CTGCCACTGCAACTACCGCGTATCGCGACGAGGCGCGGCCAACGCCCCGACGACGGAACCAAAACCATCCAAGGCTCTTTTTTGAAGCCATCATGACCACGCCGACCATGGCCCAGCCCACGGCCATCCACGCCAACGGCACCTCAGAATCTCCCAGCCTCGACAAAGCGCAACCTGTCGCTCCGGGAAAGCGAAAACGCGAGACGGAAGAAATGGAAGACCGCGATGAAGACAATGCCTCCGAGGAGCAAAAACCTGCCATTACGAATGGAGAGCCCAAAAAGGACCAACGCGACGTGATAAAATCTTTTGTTGAAGTTCTGAGCAGGTATGCCTGCTTTTTTTTACCACTTCTTTTTTCATCGCATCGCAACTTTGTCGCGAATGACTTCTCCCTCAGATCCACTAACCCATCACCAATAGCTACGACATCGGTCCCTCCATCCTCAAGCGCCCCTTGCCCGAATCCTCTGATGATGAGCAAGATGAACACCGAGCCAAGCGTCAAAAGTCGACTGATCTAACCACTATCTCCGAGAAGGCTGCCGCGAATGCTTACGAGGATCTAGACCAAGTGGCTAATGACCTGGTCTCTGCTCTCCAAGCCGCTCTCAAGGATATCAAGACAAAGCCAGCCGATGATGAAAAGAAAGCGACCAACGAGGAATTGAGAGCGCAAATCTCGGACTTTAAGGAAAAGGCCCTGCAACTTCTTCGACGAGAAAAGGCTTACCCGAAAACTTCGGCCGACCCTCTTGCAGTCGAGGCAAAACTTCCACCATCTCCTCAGAAGGGAGAGTTGGTACTCTCCCTTGTTGCATATGCACCTCAGGAGAGAAGGCTGTTCTCCAGTCTTCCAATCTCCGATGAAGCCAAATTGCGTGATGTGCCCTTACCCCAGGGAATGTCATTAACTCATGTTATGCCGACAACGCCTCATGAGCGAACACAGACTCTTGGAGATTTGTTTTCGTCGCCAAAGAACCTGCCGCCTCTGCAGCCACCCAAGCAGCCTAAGACGCAAGCTAAGGGCAACGTGCTGGACTTTTATCGACCAGAACTGACAGATACCTCCAAGTTCCGAAATGCGTCTTACTTCACAACCAAATTGACTGCTGGATGTTACCTCGACTACAGCAATGCGACTCCTTCATCACAAACCATCACCAAGCAACGAGAACGTGCGCAAAGTCTAGCGGGAAAGCGACCCTCAACTACTGAACTCGAACTGCACGAGATGGAATCGCTTTTCCGAGGCGCCTTTTCTAGCTTCGCACCGTGCAAGGATGATTCAGGAGCTGTTGTGCCGTCAAGTGTTGCGGGTCGAATGTGGTGGCAGCGATCGGGCCACCGATCTTTCCAGAACATGATTGAGGTCGAATATTATGGTGGTGCTGACAGTGACGAAAAGGCCGAGAAGGATGAGGCTATGGACATCGACGAGAAGGCTATCCAAGAAGCGATTGATAGTTGGGATGAATCTGTTGTTGATCCGTCACTCGAAGAGGCTCTGGGCACAAAACGGGCGGATGAGGAGAAGGAAGTCGATGAGATTTTGGAAGAAGTCAGCGACATGATTGAGACCCTGTCTTCTTACCAACGCATCCGAAACCTTAACCTCCCCAACTCGCAAAACCGCTCATCAAGCGACCCAGTCAATGGCGATATGCTGGCTACTCCCGGACCTACTCCTTCGGAAGGCGAGCAAGCCACATATGAGATGCTTAAGGCGCAGCTTGCTCTGATCATCAAGACACTACCGCCATATGCAGTCGCCAAGCTGAATGGAGACCAATTGGAGGATCTTCTCATCAGCACCAAGGTTCAAGTCCAAACTGATAAGTACAAGGGAGTTATGGAGGAGGATGAGGCGGGTGTTCAGGCTCGGTTGAGAGCTCAGCAACAAGCTGCTCAGGCTAATGCCCGGCCGCCGCCTCAACGTACACCTAGTGTATCGGGAGTTTCCTATGGGCACCATACTCCCCAGACCCAGTACGCAACCCCTCAACGAACCCCCTCTATGCAACAACAGCAATACTATCGACCTGGGCCTACGCCCGGCTTCACACCTGCACCACGACCTATGCCCGCTCAACCCAGACCTCCTCAACCTAATCAGTATTCTCGACCCAACGGTTATCCTGCTCAATATGCCACACAGGTTGCTAAAGCTCAAACTCCTTATGGCCATCAAAACATGCCTCAGTATGCTTCTCAGCCAAGACCTCAGTTTGGACAGATGCAGGCTCAGCAAGGAACTCCCAATGCCCGGTTCGCTTTCCAACCAGGCTATCCACAGCAACAAGCCGCTACGCCCTCACAGCCCAACTTTGGGGCCTACACTAACGGTCAAGCTGTGCCGCAGCGCACGATGTCTCCTCAGGTTAATAGACAGGCCTACAGTGCCTCGCCTAATGTGCAGCAGCCTCCGCGATATGGTACGCCGAACCAGGCTGTGGGCAATCAAATGAACAGGTACCCGAGCAACCCCCCTCAACAAGGAACGCCTGCTCAGAACCCTGGACTTACAGGATATCACACCGTTATCCCTGAAGCGCAACAGCAGCGGATTCTCGAACAAGCCAAAGCCCGGGTCGCGGCTCAAGAGCGGTCTACTATGTTCGCTGACAAGATCACTCAGCCTGGTACTCCTGGTTTTGGCCAAGGAGGGACTATGGACCCCAGCCGACTTGCAGCTGCGCGAGCAAGTATTGCTTCTCAGCAGAAGCCTCCGACTCCCAATTCTCAGCGATCGAGTATGAGCGGGACGCCAGGACCACCACCTCCCCACAAGGTGACTCCTGTTCCTGTCCCACCGATCCCAGGCATGCAGCAGAAGCCATTGTAATAATCGACACCATGTGGATCTTTTGGAAACGAGAGACGCGAAGCGGAAGGGGTCAGATATGATATCATCAAGGCAGACTTAGGGCATGGGAGGAGCGAGAAAGGGGGTCAGGGGAGGCGTTTAGAGGATGGATTCTCGACTTGTTTTTATTAGCTACGTTTTTCTGAGGAGTTGGCTTTTTGACTCAACCAGGGAAAAAGGGACGAGAGATATATTTTTTTGGAAGAACGAGGAATTGGTGGACTTTTCCATCGAGTTGTTGACCTGGGGGTTGGAAACTCCTGGTTGTGTAATCCAAGACGCCGAATTGGCGCGTGTATGCAGATGAAGAAAAGGTACACTATTGCATTGATACTTAATATGTTTACGCTATGGACTTTCTTTTGTACCAGTAAAACATGCCAAGGATCCTGGGTTGAGTGAGTATGTGTATGTCATCCATGATATGGAGAAACATGATAACTACAGGGGCAAGACAAACGCATTGAGTTGATTGTCAATTCTATTGAGCTGAGGGGTATCTATCAAGCCAGTCCTGGAGGCATATGTCGTATCCTCAACCTATTCCCAAACAAAAGATGTTATACATGGAGTTTTTCATTCAGTCGTATAAAAGCTCTAGAGATCTACATCCAGGCTGGCGATCTATACCGGTGGTGTCACCACAGGCTTTGGCAGTTCAGCCGCAAGCTTCCGTTCATCCCGTTCCTGGAGCATCTCAAGCACAATGCGACGTAACTCAAAGATTACCTCAACGGCAATGAGCACGATGATGATCCATTCAAGGCGAGTACCATGTTGCTCACTGGACATCTCACGCAGAACGCTGGCGATTTCAGCGGCGTAGTCCATCTTTTGGTTCAATGCACGGATTCGCACGTTTACATCGAGTGCACGACCAACTTGTTCGTAGTAACCCTCTAGACCAAGATCGGAGCTGGTGTCCCAGAAGATATCTGGCAATGAGTCGGTGAGTTCAGAATAGTGATTGAGACGAGCACGCAGACTGAGGAGTTCGCCTGTTTTTTGTAGGATGAACTTTCGACCAAGAGGTACACCAGCACCTTGTGAGAGTAGTGCGGGGATGTTGCGTGTGCTTTCAAAGTACGACGTCAAGGCCGTTTCGAGAACAGCAAGTTTTGTGCTTCGAGCCAGACCCGATGAGAAAGCAACCTTTGCTAGAGTAGTATCTAGCTTATCAGCCTCCTTGTGCTCCTTGCGAGTACCAAGAACAATAACATCGCCCTTAAGCACACTTGCTTCTCGGTTTGTATCGGTTGTGAATTCGAGATCCTCGAACTCCCGACTTTCAATGGAGTGCGCTTCTTCAGCAGCACGCATGATCTGTCTTGTAACGACATCGGGGGGCAGCGACCATGTCACAATTGTGCCGGACGGAAAGACAAAGATGTCTCCACCATTTACACCTCTTGCATGGACCACCTCGTTTGCGTCGAATCCCGTGCCATCCGGGTCAATGTCAAAACCATGCGATGAAAGAATCTCGAGAACTACAGGCATCTTGAATGATTCTGCGACGCAGGTCGCGCTGACCACATTGGAAGGTTCATCGCTGGGACTTCCTGGTGCTGTTGCGCCTCGTTTGGGCTGCTGGGCAATGATGGCGACTCGACGCAGTGAATTCTTGGCTGTATTCGATCGAGTGGGCTTCCTCTTTGAAGAAGCAGGACCTTTCTCTTCTTTGGAGAGTTCAGAGGCGGAACGGGAACCGTCGTCGACCTGAGACAGGTAGGGATTCGAGGTGAAGAAGCTTCGCTTTCGAGGGAAGCTAGCCAAAGAGGTGAGATGGAATTGTCGACGAGGCCTCAGCCGTGGCCCGGCGACTGAGGTGTGAAAGAGGCGGGCGACATTGAGGGTGATTCGCTGGGAGGAATTCCTCATGATGTGACAACAATTATGCCATTAAAGGTGAATTTATGGTGGGTTGACTCAATCAAAGTATTGAGAATGAACCAATGTCGAATCAAAAGAAGCTCTACTAACCAAGACATTGACATCGGGAGCGGGCCCGATGATAAGATAAAGAAGTCATCGAATTATCTGCATGTGAGAGACCACGTGATATCCCTCAACGGAATGTGGGTATGCTAGACCGCTTCGGGAGGCATCTTGGAGACTTGGACACCCATGACGAAGTCCCACCGTAGGGAGATCCATCTCTAGGGGAGACCAGACAAGCCCAGAAACGGTTAATTACGCTACGCTACGCTTCTCATCTCAACACCGACCGACCCCGAACAGGACAGGACGACTTTAAATTCAGAGGAGGCCCCCTTGACCTGAACTCTTCATCAACCTCTTGGCGTCATTCTTCGCCTCTTTTAATTCATAACCTCCGCTGTTCTCTATCACCGCGGACTCTTTTCTTCTTCTTTTTCTCCCCTCTTCTCTACCCCACCATACAACATCTATCACCATGGATCTGAACCCCAAGTACGACAACTATGATTTCCCCATCAAGGGCCCTGAGAAGCAGGATGGCCACGCCGGCTACCTCACAGAGGACCAGATCGCCAAACTCCACCAGTTCCGCATGATGCTTGAGTCCGAAGGTTGCACTGATCGATTGGACACCTTGACTCTGGTACGAGATATACCTTAACCTAGCTAAGCTTGCTGGACCCTGGAAAAAAGGGCCATGTAACGCGACACAGCGAATACTGACAACGCCCTCCTCTACAGCTTCGATTCCTCCGAGCGCGCAAGTTCGATGTCGAGGCCGCCAAAGCCATGTAAGACTTTTTTGCCCTTCCTTTCCATCTGATGGCGGTGGAACGAGAAAATGTGCTGGTAGCGACAGGGGGGCTGACCGCCACTATAGGTTCTTGGATACTGAGAAATGGCGAAAGGAGGTTAAGCTTGACGAGACTGTGCCTGTCTGGGACTATCCCGAGAAGGCTGAGATCGGAAAGTACTACACTCAGTTCTACCACAAGACCGACAAGGTATGGCAAGCTGGTGACGACGAGGGAGAGCTATCATGAGAACATATGTTGACTAATGTTTTTTTTCCTCATACAGGATGGACGACCCATCTACATCGAGACCCTTGGTGGTATTGATCTGACCGCCATGTACAAGATCACCAGCGCTGATCGCATGCTCCTGAACCTCGCTGTCGAGTACGAGCGCGTCGCCGATCCCCGTCTTCCTGCCTGCTCCCGCAAGGCCGGCCACCTCCTCGAGACATGCTGCACCATCATGGATCTCAAGGGCGTTTCCATCACCAAGGTTCCCCAGGTTTACTCTTACGTTCGACAGGCCTCTGTCATCTCCCAGAACTACTACCCCGAGCGTCTCGGCAAGCTGTACATGATCAACGCCCCCTGGGGTTTCTCCACCGTTTGGAGTGTTGTCAAGGGCTGGCTCGATCCCGTCACCGTCTCCAAGATCAACATTCTCGGTTCTGGATACAAGAGTGAGCTCCTCAAGCAGATCCCCGCCGAGAACCTCCCCAAGCAATTCGGTGGCGAGTGTGTGTGCGAAGCTGGCTGTGAGAACAGCGATGCTGGTCCTTGGCACGACCCTGAGTGGGCTCGTCCCGCTTGGTGGGAGAGAAAGCAGGATGCCAACGTCATCGAGAACAAGGGCTCTGAGATTGAGGAGCCCGCAAAGGCTCCTGAGGCTGCTCCCGCTGCCGAGGGTGCTGATGCTACCCAGACTGCCCCTGCTCCCGCCCCTGCTGCCGCTTAAAGAAGAGTACATGTACTAAAGGTGAAGAACATGGAAGAAAGATAGACGGGCGGGTTTGCGACGTCTTAATATAGACCACATATTTTCTCTCGTTTACCATGCTTTTTTTCAACAAATGGGGTTTGAGAGGTTATCTGAGCGAAGATATATATATATATATATATGGTAAAAACACGTTGGAGGAGAGTATGGCGGAGCGTGACGTTTGTAGGGAGCACAAAAAAAGACTTCCAACCCCCTTCTTGTTCTGCTCGGTGTATAAACATGCTCATGTGGACGTTTTATTTCGTGTGTGCCTAGACTTATGTTAGATGCTGGCTGACTGAGGTTCCTGACTATGGCTGCAATAATTCTCAACAATAGACGCGGTCTCGAGATTTGTGTTGTAAAATGTGAAGTGACATTGCCGATTAATCCAATTCAATCCAATGCGCCCCAACTCCCTGTTCGTAATACACTGATCGCCGCCCTGGGTATATATGCAATCAAGACAAGGGATGTCTTTTATCGTCCCTGCGTAACGACATACTCGCCCGCCACGCGCGCTCTCTGCATCTTGGCCACCACGGCAGGCATATCGCGCTTCAATCTTCCCAGACCCTCGACAGCTCTTCGAAATCCTTTCTCCACGCCATCTTGTCTCTCCAGTGGTTGGACATCCAAATCCACTTCAGCGGCCTCTGCTATAATCTGCTGTTTTCGCGCTTCGAGCATATCGTCGTCGCGCTTTAAACTATCGCGTAATTGCTCTGCTTGCGCCTCGGCCGTTGTAGCGGGTACCGAGCGTTTCAACGCCGCAACGTCCTCGAGAAGCTTTTCTTCTTGTGTGATTAAATCTGCCACGCGCCGGCGCTTGCGTGTATCGAAAGGTTCGTAAACGGTATCGGGCTCGACGTTTGATTCGGAGAGGAAAGAGTCTGGAGATACGGGGAGGCCGTTTATCGAGAGATTTGGAGAGGCGAAGGAGAATGTTTTGTCGATGTACTAATGTCGTTAGTTCCGTACCATAAGATAGATTCAATGAGGAACAGTACCTCGTTGACGAGCTTTTCTATCTGATTTCGCAATTCATCCTCCCCATCGTTGCCCTCTACCACGGGAAATGCTTCGTTGAGGCGTTCTGCAGCCGCGCGACGGACATTGGCTATGAGATATGAGAGATCGTCGGGGGATTGCAGCTCGATCTTGCGCTGGACTTGGGCGACGACAGATTCAGAGTCCATGACTATTACTCTCCAGAGGAGAAGAAGAAGTAAAGAATAGTTGGAAGAGAGGGGGTAGTAGAGGAAAGGCTGTGCTATCAAGGTGCTTGACGGTGAGTGCCTGCCCCGCGGCCGCGTTTAATCAATTGTTTACTTTGAAACTCCGGGCGCCGACTCGGAAACGGAGACGGGGCTTATCTTATCGCTTAATATGTCACCTCCAACCAGAACATGAACTTGTAAATAATTTATTGTTGACTGAACTTGCAAATTACGCTGATACTTTCAATAACCTCATTATTCCATCAATCGTTCTCATATGTCGTTCCAAGCTTGTTCGCTCACGTTGTACTCTGAAATGAGAGTCCTTCTGTTAACTCCCTCTTGCTCCCGCTTACAGGAAAGCAAGATCTTGTCCATAGGAGCACCAGAGAGTTCTGCCTCAACCTCACTCATCCTGCGCGATTCCGGTAATAATGGAACCTGGTAATCCAGATCGCGCATTGGGGTATTCAGCTGAAAGTCATCCCCAACCTCAACACCCCCATAAAAGTTCCCTTCTTCCAACTCGACCACCTTTTTGGCGACACATGCTGCGATATGCGCATCCCAGATGCCTTCTCTGTGAGGACTCGTCCTGAGAAGCTTAATTGCCTCAACCCGGATGCGATGGACGCGACATTTGACCGCTGTGAAATAAAGTGGCGGTATCCAGCCCATGTCGATGATGGACCTGGGCATGCAAGTCGTCATGATATACAGCGGCATCTCGTCCTCCAGTTCATAGTGAAGCGACAGTTCCCATAACTTTGTAAGTTCTTTGATGAGTAGGATGAACTTGTCGGTACAGGTGTCGTATATGGTCTCGTTATTGTATATGCAGGTCTCAGCCATAACGTTCGTCATGGCGTAGTGTATCCTCAGGATCTGGTATGCTTTTTGCAAGTATATGTTTGAGCCACCTGGTCGCGCTTTCATAAAGTCTTGAAACATGCCATGCCATTGAGCGAGCCTTGTTTTGACGAGTTGCTGGGCCGTATGCTCTGTTGCTGTTATTGTCTGTTGACGAGCTCGATGAGTAAGATGGAATATCTGGTTGTAAACAAGCTCTAACCCTTTCCAAGCATCGTTGAGATTAGCGAAAGATTCAAGAAAACTCTTCTCGGGGTGGTGAGCTGGCTGTAGAATAACACATGAGTGGTGGTACAACAGTCTGAAGAGCTCAACCTGGATATGGAGCCTGGACAGGGCCTCCACTATCCAAGCATCGGTCGACTCGTGACAGGGTTTCAATGCCAAGATGCCCGAATTAGCTTCGGGAAGACCCTGCATCTGCCAAAGAATGTCAAGCCCATTCTTCAGGTGAAGCTGCGCCGTAGCGAAGTGGCCCCGGAAGAACTCCAAGCAGACAAAGACAACACAAGTGATGAGCGCCACACGACACGATTCTTTATCCTTGGCGTTGAAGTGTGGCTGCAGATGTGCAATGGCCTTGACGTACTGCTGCAGCGTAAACTGCTCCTGTTGGCTCATTTGAGACGTGGGCGAGTTTCTATGTATGTCCAATGTCACGACACCCTTCTTGTGCGCCGAGCTGAGCGCAAGCAGGGCATGCAGCACAGCGGGTTCTCTAGACCCAGCCTGGAAGACGAGGGTGTTCCAGAAGCCGGAAGAGAAAGTGGCTGATATCTTTGTAGAAGTGCGGCACTTGAACCAGCCAAAGTAGAGCTTCTCGTTTGCGTTTAGAGAGAGGGCGAGGGTTGTTTCTAGGGGAGCGCCAAGAGTGAACTTGGGCCGGGACTGGGAGTGTTGCGTAAGAGCGTGTGATCCTCCGCCCCAGATTCCGTATCCGTCGCATACTCGACCTGTTGATAGGCATCTTTGACAGGCTGGACGACCTTCGTCACACTTGACTTTTCTCAATCTAAGTCATTAACCTCTGTTCTGTTCTGTTCTGTTCTGTTCTCTTGTCTCTTGTCTCTTGTCAAGTACTCACTTGCATGTTTTACAACCCGACTTGACCTTGGATTTCCCCTTTCGAGCCATTTTATGAAAACAATACAACAGGGAAGAAACGGAGTTGATTTGTCTGCTCGGAAACCTTTAGATCTGCTTGGTTGTCAATTTAAGCGGAGATGGCAGTTTGGCGTCGTCGAACGTGCCCCTGGAGCTTATAAGTTGGGAATATTCTTGCTAGGCCCGCGGGTCGGGGGCGCTAATAGAGGGACTACGTACTGAGCGTGCCCTGCCACCCCGCGGACTACTCCGCTGACGAGATCGTCATCCATATCTGCACTTCCTATTGGTTTGTTCGGAAACTACGAGATCTGATTGGTTGAGATGTTGGGTGTCAGAACCTTGGGTGCAAGAGATAGTACTTATACGTAAGTTTGTCCGCTTCGGAAACTTTTGAGAGTCTGTTGTATGATGTAGTTAAGCCGGAGATAAGATTTAAGAGGCTATTACTATTTAACAATGATGTGTTCATTGTTAAGTCCAATCTCCGTGAAGATGCATGAAAATATCGTGGAATTGGGTCGTATAAAAGTCGATTTTGAAGCCAGCAACTATGAATTTCTTGCCGGATAACCAGCTCAACAGAACAAACAAATCTGAACTTTACATTATTCAAATTCTTATCATCATGTCAGCCAAAACCGCCCCTCGAGTCTCCCTTGGCAAGAATGGCCCTCTCGTCTCTCGCATGGGCTTGGGCTTGGGCTTGGGTACCATGGGCTTAACTCGTCCAACATATGGAGCTATCTCTAGTTAAGATGAAATATTTGCGTTCCTTGATCATGCTTATGAGGCAGGTGTAACGTTTTGGGATAGTGCTGAGTAAGTTCAAAAGTCTGACAGCATCCAAATACCAGCTAACCACATATAAGCTACTATAACGATTGCGAGGAAATCATTGGCAAGTGGTTCAGACGTACTGGCAAACGAGGTGATATCTTTCTTGCAACTAAATTTGGATACGTCAAGAATAGCCAGGCCTTTGAGCTCAACACTTCATATGTATATGTCAAGAAAGCATGTGCTGAGAGTCTACGGCTCTTGGATATTGAGTCTATCGATCTCTGTAAGCATGGAAATATCAGCATAAACTCTAATTATAACTGCTATAGCCTATCTGCACACACCCAATCCCGAGACGCCTATCGAGGAAACCATGCGCGCTCTGAAAGAGCTACAAGAGTAAGGAACTCCCCAGAAAGGCAAGAAGTTCCGACGGAAAGCTTCTTAGTCAAGGCAAGATTAAGCGTATAGGACTCTCAGCTGTCACCTCAACCACTCTCCGTAGAGCCGCCAAGATCGCCCCAGTTGCCGCGATTCAGATCGGATACTCTCTCTGCATTCGGGCTCTACTGTGAGGGAGAAAAGGGCACTCACATCCTTGACACATGCCGGGAGCTTGATTTAGCCATCGTCGCAGCAATGCCCCTCGGTCGAGGTCTTCTGACCGCCAACTTCATCGAGGGAACAGCATCTGGAAAGCAAGATAGCGATGTTCGATATCAGCTCATCCCTCGGTTCATGGGCGAGAACCGCGAGAAGAATATTCAGCTTGTAAGCCAGTTTAAGGGGCTGGCTGATAAGAAGGGAATAACTACTGCTCAACTTGCGATTGCGTGGCTGTTAAAGCAGGGCGATGATATTATCCCGATTCCAGGAACAAAGAGGATTCAGTATTTCGAGGAGAATTGGGCTGCTCTTGATATAGTTCTCGGTGGTGAGGAAGAACCTGACATCAGGAGATTTGTGGACAAAGCTGACATTGCCGGTGTGCCACTGCCTTCTGCTCTCGATGGTTGGCTGTTCAGAGATACAAAGGAGGAGTCTGTATGAGCTGCTAACTTTTAGTACCTGTTTATATCAAAGAAGAATGATATACAAGGTCACATATATCAAGCACCAAAAGGCCCGATATATCGACCAAGCTTCCTCTTCACTCCGATGATCCTCTTCTCGTCAATAACACCATGTGCCTTCAGGATATCCAAAATTCCATAGATGAAATCCTTACTGTCGTTACGCATCTCACCCTCTGCCAGGCTCCAGAACGGCGAGATACAAGTCATATTCACAAGACTCTCAAACCACTCTACGTTTACTGTACAAAGTTTTCCCCAAGCGACATGGGATGGAAGAATACGCGGGTTATTTGAATGCCGATATATCCTGCAAAAGTTACCGCGGTGAGCTCGAATAACTTCGAAGTTTTGCCAGAGATGAGTAATAGTGTTGTATGCGGAGAGCGTCCATTGAAAGTCTCTGTCTAGATCGGAGGTCGAGATGGTGATGAAGACTTGGATGGTACACGGTGAGAACGAGGCTGGACGGCGGCTGTAAAGATGATAGCCGTGAGACATGATGACTAGATATGTTCGTCAGTGTAGAGGAAAATAGGTATGAATATGCTGGAGGACTCCCGGCATGAGAAATTTGTTCCATCTTATAGGGTGAGGCTCGTTGTGACCAAAGGACAAGTAGATAACAAAGGTTCTTTGATTAGAAGAATTTCATTGCAGTGATTCACGATTCAATGTAGCTCATTGATGGACTATCTACAAGTCATTATTTGAAATCAATGGCCGATTTCATCTGATTAAGAGGATGCAATGAGGTCAGATGAAATCTGAATCAGGCATCCTTTTAGTCTGTTTGTCAAACGTAGGATGGAATCTATCATCCCTTATAATCTACTTAGTGAAAGTCCCATGCTCTTTACAAACAGCACCGCCCTTTCAGGTTCAATAATACCTGCATCAATGAGGCTATCCACCATCCCCATAATATACCCCTAACTACATCAGACGTCTTGAGAACTCAACCTTGGATCCGGAAACATGATCCTGCGCCCGTAGAAGATTCAGGTACCTAATCAAAATCAGTTCTTGCCAGCAGTACATCTTTTCTTTTCTTTTCTAGGTAGTGGTCCAATACGCCCATACATGGGTTCCCTCTGGCCCCTTTAAAGTCTGCCTCGGCTAAGTTGTTTACATTCTTTCCGCGAGAAGAATAAGTCATTCTAACTCTGTATCAAAACATTCATCATAGCTCAAGACAGGAATGACGAGGCGAGCAAGGACACACATACTGAGTATCAAGGGAATCAATGTCAGGTACCTTTCGCAGAGAAATCTCAGGCACGCATACAGATCTGTGCTTACCAGTGAACAGAAAGCTGACCACTGTTAACAAAAGGTCTATTTCTGATAGTTAAAAGTGATTGTAGTACCTCAAGTGATAACCCAAGCATAAGCCCCGTAGATCAAACACCAGAATCGTCCTGGAATATGCCGACAGGGTTCCAGTGATTCTTCCGGTCGCCATACCAATCTTTCCACTTCTTACAGCCGTCATTGACCTGCTTTAATTTCTTCGGAGTCATCATCTTCCTCAGATCTTCTTCACGCTCCATGATCTGCAATGCCAACCCACTTGAAGCATGCCAGGCAATATGGCAGTGGAACAACCAAGAGCCAGGATTATCAGCCTTGAAGGCGACTATGAGGTAGCCTCCAGCCGGGATCAGTGCTACGTCTCGGCGAGGCGGGTTGTCGAATTTGAGTGTGATGGGGTTATCTGGGTCATCAATCTGCGAAGAGTCTGAACCTTGAGCGAGAAGAGCAAAGTCATGGCCATGAAGATGAAGCTATAATCGTCAGCAAATTCCTATGTCAAACTGGACTGAACTTACTGGGTGAGCAAGCGAGATGAATGTCCTGTTATTCCCAAGCTCCTTAGTTGCTGGAGCCGTGATGACAAGGTAGACCCATCCGCCTCTGTTCTCTGCTGGAACAATGACATAATCGCCAGGCCATTCTTTCTTTTCGTCAAGTAAAGTGATAGTAGGCTCCGAGAAGTTGAGCCAGAGAGGCTGTGCGCCGAAAGCCCACCAGCTGAACTTATCTCCCAGATGAGGCCTATTCTTCTCCTGCTGCAGGCCAAGTTTTAGATCCTTGCTTTTGTCTCCTGAACCTTGTTAGTAAAAAGCCTCAACCACAATCTTAACCTAGGTATACTCACTACTATAGAGTTCAACAGGGGGGATCGACCATGGCAGGACAGGCTTCAAGTTCTCATACTTCTCATCACTGCAAGTCTTGTTCCACGGGCCTCTCCAGGTCTGAGGTACCTCTGTGCTCACAGGTTCATATCTAAGAATACCTTGCCGTTCATCAGGCTCGTTACCATCTTCAAAACCCTTGCAACCATCTGCGGGAACTGTGCGGATCCAATAGTTTCCATTATCTGACGCGGGAAATTTGGTGTCGTTTCTAGGGTTGGCATGAAGAACGACATGATATCTTTGGCCTTGAGGCTGTTAGCTTTATATACTATAATGGATATGGCATGACCTACCGATTCCGACGAGGATATGGTCTACTGTATAGGGGTGAATGGGTACAAAGTCGGAGCTCATGACCTCAAAGTGGTGATTGTCGATACTGAAAAGGAATGTGGTATCGACAGATGTGTTGATGATACGAAGGAGATATTTCTTGCCCTATAAAGGGGGTTAAGCATCATATCGTAATCCTTCAATTGCAAGTTCTTACCTTGGTTACGGTCATGTTGTAACGTTCGCGCGGAAAGCTGCCGGCAAAGTTTCCTAAAAGAGCCTTGTAAGCATTCAACGAGATATGTAGGTCAATGTGTCTTACCAATTCCATTCATCAATATGCTATTCATCTGAGGCCTGGTAGGGACACCGGTCAGTTCTCTCTCCCACTCCTGAAAGGCACTTCGATGGTTCCAATCGGTGATAAGAATAGGATCCTTCGCTTCATCATAGTGAGCTGATGACGGCCCAAAAATAGTTATAGGTCCTGCAAGACCGTCGGCGTATTGTAGAGAGTAGTGACTATGATACCAAGAAGAACCATACTGAAGGGCGCGAAACTCATATGTGAAGGTATCATTTGGGGCAATGGGACATTGAGTGACGCCGTTGACTCCATCCATCTCCATAGTTCCGTTCTGCCTGATACCATGCCAATGGATTGTAGTGCCGTTATATCGCAGTTTATTTGTGACGTGAACTCTGATGAGATCACCCCAGCAGGCTTTGATCCATGGACCGGGGTAGGTTTGGTTGAAGACCTTTCCATACGGGTTGTCGATGCCGTCGCCGTTGATAGTCTTGTTGTCAACCACAAGCCAATACTGCAGACATGATTCAGCAAAATTCCTCAAGTGTGAACAATATAAGTGACTATGTACCTCTCGAAGCACCCCAGGCGGATACATAGTCTCATAGTCAGTATGAATACTGAAATTATGTCCATCAGAGCTCTTCAGCCAGCAGTGTCGGTTTTCCGGGGTAGAGCATGGTTTCCAGTCATTTCCAAGCTCGGGATACTTGCAAGTGAAGTCTTCATCAGGTGAGTCGGGGCCATTTGGTGCTGGGAACTTCGGATAGTTTTGTGAGATCTGGCCATTTTCGAAAGATAAGACAGGTTGCTCAGAGTCACCTCCGATATGCTCGTGAAATGGCAGCGAGAAGAACGTAACGGTGTAGACGATGAACGTCTTGCACGCGCTGTAGAAACCCATCTTGGGCAAAGGTCTACTAATGCCTCAGCGAAATTTGGAATATGAAATTTGCGACCTACTCAGAACTCTGGAGCTTGAGTAAGATGGTAAATGAGAGAGAACAGAAAGGTGTCAGGGATAGCTACGTCCATATCATCTCTCAGCATGGAGTTTCTTGTTTCTTCCGTCTGTTTACCTTCGTCATTTGAGTATGTGACAAGCCATTTAGCAACCTACACAATACACAATCGTCCCTTTGTAGTCTCGTCACATCTCTTCTACAAGCTCTGATCGAATCCCATGGTTATATTTCAGCCATGACTTGAACCTAGTTCGAGCTCAGCTTTCAAAGCCGTCCAAATCTGGTCATCATCCGCACTCTAGCTTGAGCCACCACTGCTTTCCCCTCATTGGTTGGAATGTCATACGAGAGCGTTACCATAGAGAGACAGAAGATATCCCCGCTTCTGTAGAAACACGTTCAGAGCTAGACTAGCTTGAGCTTGTCGTTCCGTCCCGTCCCGTATAAGTTAGTGAGTTATCGTTGAGGTGACGCATTCCTTGTCTGTCAGCCAGCCTCAATCGCCAGGCTCGTCAGAAGAGGTACGTAAGTGAGACAGACTGTGATCTAGATTCTGAATTGTATTCTGTTTCTTTACAGTTTTGGTGGCCAGCCAGTCTCTGTCTGTTTCAACGGTTGAACGAACTAACAGTCTGATAACGCGCTATCACTGTGGCTGATTTGTCAGAGAAGACTATCGACTCACCTGGCTCTCGTGCCCTGCCTCCCATCTAATCTAGCTACAAACCTGTCTTTACATCCACTCGTAGAAAGAAGTAGCCTCTTAGTGAGCCATCTGAGGGATCGTGCATCCATCTCTTTTCGGCCTGTGGTCTTAACTTTATTCCATCATCAGCTGTGATATTGCTTATATTCAAGCTATAGTTATCTAGCCACTCGATATGTAACTAATGAAGATTACGAAATCACATTTCTACTGACTTGTGTGTCTCCTTGCCATGATTTTACAGCTACTGTTGAACGGTTTCTTCTTGTCAGATCTACTCCTGAACAGCAATTCTCTTGATTTCAAAAGTTTTAATACTTCTGCCACCCCTGGACCGCTACTGTTAGATATTTGCCTTGGCTACTATGTCGTGGGCAATACTCATATCGCTTATTCTGGCAGCTAATCCTTAGTGGCAGGATTTGTGTGCACCTCTTCATCAACCCAACTTGCAGGCAGTGATACGCAGACTGGCCGGTGTGAATGCTACACCTTCTTCCGCATAGTTCGTGAAAGTCAACTAGCCCGCCCAAGATCGACTAAGCGAGGATACAGCTCCAGGCCGTGAATCACTGCTGTGTCCTTTGTGATACACGGCTTAATTCTCCTCGCCATTCAGAGCTAAGACACTGCACACACTCTCGCACACTTCGACTCCTGTGCAATTTTTACTTGCCCATAGTCCATTTCAGAAGAAAGGAGAATACTCAATAGCACAAGAATGAGAGACTGGTGATCCAAAGGGTATCATTTATCTAATCCTCGAGATCATTGCCCATCAAGATTCTAGGCTACCTCCTAGCCTTCACATTTCACACCGCTTCCAGTGGTCTTTAACATTGTTACAATATGTGCATTCCTTGGTCTCTACAACACCGGCAAAAGTTGAGAAATCGCCACGTCGTTGCAATAACAGAAGTACCCTCTGCCGCATCATCACCGAAGACCAACCTATTGACACGGCTCTCGGGGTCGGATACCTCGTGAGCGATTGCCGGCACACTGTTGTCTCGGATGGATAATCCTAGGAGACCCTCTACTCCTTCTGCTCGAAGTATACTACACCAAGATTCCAGGAATTCAGAGCTAGGTTCAGGAGGTGGATTGTTGGTAGTGTATGTGAACTCATAGGGGATGGCAGCACCGTCCTTCACGAGTAGATCGCTGGGTCTGAGCGCTCCGTGTGAGATTGGGTATATCCCCTCTGCGGCAAGCAACTTGATAGGTAGCCCCCCTTCACTGCACATCATGGACACTAGCTAGCCCTGGCCAGTAAAACCAACGACTTGCTCGCTTCCTGCAATGTCAAAGTGTTTATGGTTGAGGCGGATATCATATACCTTGTCAAGGTTATGCTTGACGAGTAAGTTTGCGAGAGCAGGGAGAATGTTCGGTCGGGAAGCGATTATCTCGGAAACCTCGTAGATATCTCCAAGGCTGTTGTATATGTCCTGCAGGGATTCCATTATGAGGTATGGTTAGTATTTTGAGTAGTAATATGAATTTGATGATAGTTTATTCAAAGAAATCGAGCCTAGAATGTGGAAACCACTACACTTATGAAATAGTAGATGTTATTCCTTCGAATGCCTTGGCTAGCGAGATCTGGAGGCTCTTATATAGGTCATTCCATGAAAATGAATATTGGCCATTATCTCGCGGCGTGAGTGTGATTCAGTTCCAGAGCCGGCACGGAAGTGTGAAGAGGTCTAAAGAAGTTGCTCTTCTACTTGAAGAGCCGTATATTGTGGCTGCTAAAATCAAACGCTTGCGATTCTTGCCTCGACGAACTGACTGTTGAGCCGCACACAAGATGATGGTAAGCATGTAAACACCGGAGACGTGGTAAATTCATCGCCAATGGCAGCATTCTGCCCAGTGGCATTCTTTCATGTAATGATCTTTTCGGCTGTGATGGAGATTCAGATGAAACTGGACGTGATTCATAGGCACTTCTCAATACATGGCAAACAATCATGATGAGATTATGTGAATTATCACGTGCTGACATGCGCAGATTATTGTTGGCCAGCCTTGAGGTCTGTAGTCAGCATGCTCACATCACACTCGCAGCGATGGTCATAAAGGTTCGTCAAGTCATGAATTCGGATTGATAGAGCTATCTTTGAGTCTCTCTTCCTTTCATATCATTCGTAGGCGCACGTTTCCCGTGTCATCCTATCCAACTGCACACCCAACTCCGTTCATCTCGTTCTGTCCCAGACACTACCTATACATTCTTATTTAAACAACAACCACCGGACCTCAACACCCCGCTAACCATTTCTCAAAACTTTTGTAACATGGACCCCAAACGTTGGGGCATATATGAAATTGAAGTCCTCAGATCTTGGACTTGGCGGCGGTCCAAGAGGCGATGGCGTCCATCAGAGGGGGAGACAGAGCATCGTAGGACTCGAGGCCAAGATCCTTGAACTGCTGTCGAACCTCGTTGGCCTTGTCAGCAGGGAAGCCCTGCTCAATGATGGAAGAGACAAAGGCGGCGAATTGAGGCTCTTGCCAACCCTTGTCATCAGAGAGCTCGACGTGGACAAAGTCGAGACCCTTGAAGGGGTGATCGTTCTCAATGCGTCCGAACAGGTGGACACCGCAGTCACGGCAGGCGTTTCGCTGGATAGCAGCGCTCTTGTCGACAATAGTGAGCTTGTCACCGTTGGCAGTGACCTGGACCTGGTCACGGGGAATGACAGCGACGATGGAGAAGAGAGCACCCTCGGGCTTCCAGCACTTGGAGCATCCGCAGGCGTGGTTGTGAGCGACCTGGCCGCTAAGGGTGACCTCGACAGGGTTGGAGGAGCACTTGCAGCGGAGCTTGCCACCGGAGAAGTTGGGCGAGCCCTTGGTGATGCCGTTCTTGAGGCTGGGGTGGAGATTGTGAGACATCTTGGAGGTGGTTACTGAGCGGTAGATGGAAGTGATTACTGCGGCAGCTGATACTAAGGCGGCGGCGACGGCGATGGGAGTTTTGTTCTTGGAGATGATGTTTCGATGAGAGGATGAAGCCATTGCGAAGGGGAAAAAAAGAAGAGCTGAGGGGAATGGGATGGATCAAGACTTTATATACAACAAGATTTACGATAGACAGCCACAGGCGCCTGTGTTGAGTTATGTACTCTGATCCCCCGCAAAACGACATGTATCAGACGGTAATTTTGACTGTATGCAGCCATAATCGGCGTAAGCGTAAGCGTCGAGACCGAGATGCCGAGTTATCACCATTGTCTTTCACTGTGTGTCTAACTGTCGCGATGGCGTTTTGCGGGGAATGGGCCATGGTTCAGGGACAGTCGGGGCCTGGCCCAGGGTCCGGCCGACGGTCATCGGAAGCCGATTCCGTGGCCGTGCCCACTGATAACTCACCGATAAGATAGATAATACCTGAATCTGGAAAGACAAGTGAGAGCTGAAGACGATAATTGCTTTTACAGTAGAGGCTTCTAGAAATGTCTGATACTGTGTAGCCCAACATCGGCTCAACGTCCGCATTGCAACTTATATCGAGGGGTAAGCAAAACATAAAATGATAGGATAGACGATCGACGACCCCTCTCAGACGTCGTAATCCCAAATCTGGGCGTTGTTACCCCATCTTCCTCTTACTCATCATCTGATCGGGATAAATATATGCGGTCCCGGTACATACTGATGATCCCCCGGGTACCATCCCGAAGGCGTCTCGTCTAGCATAGCAGGCAATTGACACCTGGAGATAAGATGCCTTAAGTCCCCCCTGAATTGAATTTTAAAACCGTTTCGAGAATTGCGTGATGGGGGATATTCGGAATTTTGGGGACCCCGTTGTCGGAAAAGTAGTGGGATGTAGAGTTCCGAGATGCGCCGTGGCGTGGCGGCCGCGGTTAAGCTGCCAAGAGGAGGGGGAGGGTCAATGCTGAAGAAGGAGATATACTTTTTATATACCGTATTCGCAATATTTCATAGGATGGCATCGTGTGGTTATGGCGGTGATGCTAGATGCCGATGTTAGAAGCCGATGCTGATATCGTAGCCAGACAATATGACAAGGGACGGACGTTGTTCGCAGTCTCGCAAATGAAACACGGTAGGATCAACGACACTTTTCTGTGAGGAATCAGTCAAGGAAACCTAAATAATACGCGTTTTGAGGGATCATATCGGAAACATGGAGCATCCACACAATGCGTGATCATTGAAGGGCGTGATTCCAAACCAGGGCAACCTATCATATGGCGATCCCCAAAAGTAACCCCGACCACCTCCTCATCACCAAACCTTCGCCTGTCTACAGCGAAACAAAAGTCACAGCACATCCTTGCTAGAACTGAACTTGAGCCATGTCGTGTCCAGCGCGTATCTATCCCCTCCGCAAACCCGAAGGCCACAAGCTTCCGATCCCACGATGGCACCTCGCCCTCCCAGATGATGTCACCCATGTTTGCACCGCGTATATCGGGGTTCAGAGCCATTCTGATACTCAAGATTTTGATATCGCTCGAAATAAAGCTACTGAAATAATCCAAGCATGGGTGAGCAGCGATACTGGGCCGGAGGCATACGAGACGTTCGCGGTAATTGATGGATGTGATGTCCAAGAATCGACAATATGGGTGTGTTATTGGTCAGACAAGACGAAATACGAGAAAGGCCTCAATGACCACTCACTGAATTCCATCTACGCCCAACTACCAGAAACAGGCCGTGCCTCAGTGGGCATCTGGCGAGAGGCCTTCATCACAGAGTTTCCCCGCCTCGAAACAAATTACTCGGGCCTCGATTATCTCCCTGGTCTCGCAAAACTTCCTGGCGCAAGTTTTCCAGAACATACACTCTCGGCATATTGGGGCGCAGCGAGAGACAGAATCCCCTCGTCTGCCCACGATCTCTTCCCTCCATCAAATCCAACTCCGCCAGTCACAATTCCTCCAGGTGTTGGTCAATATCTCATCGGAACAAATGCTGAGAATCTAGCTCATATTCGCTCAGGACAGTTTTGGGAGAACTGCGGTCAACAGGAAGCTGACTCGTACGATAAAAAGCTTGAACCCACTCTTCACTCTGGCCTGCAATATCTTTGGGATAATTCACCTGATACGGGTGCTTTAGGACTACGATATCTCAGAAATCAAGATCCTTCAGTTGAGGAAACTCGATCTCGAAAAGAGTCATGCGGCGCTGGCTTCTTCACCAATCTCGAAGCCCTTGAAACATGGGCGAAGAGCCACAAGTCTCATCTCGCTATATACCGTGGTGCACTAGCTCACTACAAGACCTTTGGCGACGCAAGAAAATTCCGAACATGGCATGAAGTTTCTGTCATGAGAGCTGGAGATGCACGATTTGAGTATCTGAATTGTGTGCCTGAGACGGGGGTGATTCGAGGCGTTACTCTTAAGGCAGAGAACCTCCAGTAAGCAGTGTGAAGGTAGGGCATATAAGCAAGATTACTCAAATTTCAGGCCGGGGCATACCGTTATATATAAATTCAACTCTATATACCAGTACCGAAGAGTGGTGTAGTGGTATACGTCCTGGAGCCTATAAACCTTCCTTAAATCCGAACCAAAAATCCTAAAAATCTCACCCACTGCGCCACTCTTCGTTTTTGCAGGTCGCAAGTTCGAATCTGCTGATGCCATTCTTTTTGTTTGAGCTGTTTTGGGTGTCTCAAGCTTTGGTGCTGTCACGGCCTGGGACGTCGGTCTTGACCCATTGTTCAAACGTGGTAGGCTCCAGCTGAGTCTTCAACCATGCAAGATCCGCACCATAAGGTCTCTCACCGATGAAGCTGAACATGGTGTTTAGGTCTTTGGTCATCCAGATGATGAATCGTGTCAGAAGGCCGTAAGTAACAGGGACGCCTTTGCCGGTATGTTTGATGAAGATGTCGTCAATATCCTTGAAGCTCAGCTCCTCGCTGGCGATCGAAAGAGCTTGGTTTCGAATTCCGGTCCTATCAGGACGGACAAGACCTTCTACAGCCCATCTTCCAATGTCTTTCGTCACAGTGACTTGCATCTTCTTTCCGTTCATGTTCTCTCTCCAACCCGTCATACAGAGCTGACCTGGGAAACCCCACCAAGCATTATCAGCGAACCAAGTCGGACGAAGGATCGTGCAGTCCATGTTGGAGTTTGAGCAGACGTTGATAAGATGCTTTTCAATGAGGAATTTGTCAGAGAACGTCTTGCAGTACGAAGGGTCGTTATCGCTGAGTTCACGGCCACCTCGATCAACAGACGAGTACACAAAGTACGGAATACCACTTCTCGCAGCAGAATCGATGAGCCTCTTTGCATCACTGACTTCAGTCCGTCCATGGGCTTGAGCGAGAAATATGCCTGTTTTGGGAAGGATGGCCTTGTCTAGCTGTTGGAGAATTGCTTCTGGGTTGTTCAAGTCGCCAGCAACAATATTGATGTCGCCATATTTCTCACGAAGTTTGACGGCTCCGTATCCAGAAGCTTGGCGAGTCAGTGCATAGACTTGCTTTGGTTTGATTTTGATATCGGGATAAGTGAGGAGGGCATCGACTGCTGCGCCGCCTTGACGACCTGTTGCGCCTGCGATGAGAAAGTATTCAATGCTGGACATACTTATAGGTTGTGATGTCTTGTTATTATTGTTTATGAAGGACTGGAATCATAGACATTTCATTTATGTTCCATCTCAGGCCCTCATATTTAACATCGTATTCTTGAATATCCTAAATCTGGTGTAGGTCATCGATAACGTTAACACCACAGGCTTCTTCACTGGGTGTTGTCCCATAATTACTAATATGGGCTTATTCCAAGACCTTTCATAATCCGCATAAGCCCACGGCCGAAAAAGGTTTCCGCGCGGTAAGAATAAGCTCATGATGAGGCTCGATCCTAAAGTGGAGTTACCCGCGCGGGTTGAACCATCAAGGTCCTTTAGTCTCGATAAACGACCTCAATCTTAACAAACCCCCTCAAAGAAACGGGCAGATCTTGATGAAGGGAAAGTAACGAATCTTGGCTGCAACTTAATCGACGTTTTCCACGATCAACGGACATGAAGTGGACGATGAGCTACACCAATGGTCTTACACGGTGCAGGAGATCTAACGCGCGTTAGAGATAGCGCGGGGCTTGGATGCGACATGGTTTGATTGCTAAGCACAGCGCGCGGTGGCTACAAGAAAATGGGGCGTGATACAGTCTATTGTGTTATTCGCTGCCGACTGCGAAGCGCTTGGGCTGAGAAGCGGTGGTGTCTATGTGCTGTACCAGACCCAATGTCCCGTCAATAGCTCAACCTGATACAAGAGTCTATCGAGATGGCGTATCTGTACTCTGTAGTTCCATACGTGCTCGAGCAGTTGTCAAAACCCCCCATCACAGCAGCCACATTTCCTCCATGCAGTCCAGTCCAGATCCCTCCGACCCAAACTCCATCGATGCCATTAGAAGTTCATCTCCTTGGCTAGTTCTTTCGCAGTCTCGTCCAGAAGTGACTCCAAAGCGCCTTCAGCGGTCGTACGCTCAATACCCTTCAACAGGACACTCCCATGCCCGCAAGTATGGGGAGTGGCCACGCCGGCAACATACAACTCGCCACGTTTACAAACGAAAAGCTTCGTGACTGGCATACTGGCGTAGAGGGCGGCGATGTTCACTGGCAGGTTAGCTATAGATGAACTTGCTGGTCATCAGGTTAAACTTACTCTGGATGAGCTCCTTCAAGCGTACAGCTCGCTCGAGATTACCGATATTTACCATTTCGGATGTCGATAAGTGAAGAGTGTTGTATCAGGAGACGTGATATGACTTGATTTATCGGATTGGTCAAGGACTTGGGGATAGCCTGGCAGCGCTGTTGAATATCAGAGAAAGTTGACTTTGGAGAAGCTATCTCGGAAGGAAATTCTACTGCCTTATATATGTTTCTCAGATATGATTGTCCTCAAATCTATGCTTGCTGTGTGCCAGTGGCTTTTTTGAGCTTAAACCTGCGGGTAGCCTAGCTGTAGGATACCTCTCTTTGCTACAGCCAATCGTTTACCCTTAAAATCACAGGCAAACGCAACCTTTGTGGGTTGCCCGATGGCAAATGCTTCATCTGTGGCCTTCTCTCATTTACCTGCATGCATGATCGGGAACGTTATATGCAGCAACCCAGACTTTCCACTGAGGTAATCTGAAAGAATCAAGTGTATTTTTGTTTGCCTTTAGCGCTGCATGTCTGACTGGCTGAAGGTAAACAAGCTCATTGGTTTGTTCCGAAAACATTACCCTCTTAGACATAGGAAACTGCTTGTCTTGTTTCCGTCCAAGCTGAACGCTCTTGGCCAGCAATCATCGAATCCATGGATTCTGCCTGATTATACAGCAAGAAGAGAGACAGTGCGTCACAACATGAGTATACTATTTGCTGCAACTTGGAAAAGGTACAAGTCAAGAGGTGGCTGTATTTAGATGCTATCTCATGCCCAGTGATGTTCAAGGTACTACATCCAGTCGCTCGATATTCTCTTCTGCGAACTAAGTAACTAGCCCATCACATACAACAATCATTCATAGGCTACAGAAGAAATACAAGGTTAGCTCATTCTCTGTGCTCTGAGTTTTCGTGATTCTGTCGTACATACCATTCAATACTTTGACACACCATTCTGGAAATAGCATTTCCTTACCAAGCTTCGCCATCGTCTGCTCCAGAATATCCTCAAGCGCGCTTTCGATGGTGAATCTTCTGCCACTGCTTCGGAGGAGGATCTCAGTCTCCGCAGTGCTCGGAAACGTAGCCACGCCAGCTCCATAAAGAACTCGGCCTGGCGCCTCTTCTATACGCTTAACCAGGAACAGCCTGACTTTGTCGAAGGCGTAGAGAGCCTTGAGGTTCACTGTTCTGTTAATGACTGCATGTTGCTCTTGTTATTTTGTTAGGACATACTCTCGATCAATTCTTTCAATTCGCCGGCTGTCAGCTCGATTTCGGATGATGACATGTTGAGTTTTGGTTGAGATGGAGTTGTGATGTTATCAAAATGGCTATAATGGCTGTTGGTCGAGATGCAAGATGGCGTTGAGCGTTGATCCGAGTTGGAAATACTGCCGTTTATATGGTTCTTCAACAAGATCACGGAATGAGAGGTCACACCACTTTATAGCAAATTTTGTCTCGCTTTATGTCGAGGAACAAGCGCTGGCTGTTGTTTGCTTTCTCTTCGCTTGTCTTGGTGCTTGAAAACACAAGGTCCCTCTGCGACGCAACAAGACAAGCTTCTTCCAAATCATTTGTTAGATTTCCAAGTTCTCGCTTCTTTTCGGCAGTGCATATCTAATTCTATTACAAACAGTAATAAATAAGCATGTTTTGGTATCATGGCTTTTCAAAACATGGAAAACCCTTTGCCTCACCTTCCTGAGGCCTGTAGTCGATACTCAAATATCACGTCTGATGGATTTTAACAATGTTTGGTAGGAAACTTGAGCAATTCAATAGTGCTGGCTGTGTAACAATATTCAACAGATAATGGCTAGAAATAGGCAATATCTGTTAGCTATCGTTAGTGGTCGAATCCCTGATCGAGAAAAGTGGAGCTCCTGACATGAAAACCCACCACCGACAATTCGGCGGAGCAAGATCCGACGCTGACTTACAAAGCCTCAAACATGACATGCTTTGCAATGGATCAACAATTTGTAATGAAACCACGAAGGATGCTTCTCTCGTTCTCCTTCAGGATGAATATATATAGTCTCAGGACTCGACTCAAAATTTCGATCATCACACTCTCATCTCTACTCATCCACAACAATCAATTCTCTACCATCGATACCCACCATGAACGTTACAATTGTCGGCGCAAATGGCGAGGCCGGTTTGTCAATCATCGATGCCCTCTGGTCTTCTCCAAATGAGTTTGTAAGTTGCAAACTGAAATTCCCAAGATTTCAGATGCTCACCTTTATAGAAATTGACTGCATTTGTGCGACCTACTTCCATCAACAAACCCGAAATCCAGCAGATCAAGAACAAGGGCGTATCCGTTGTCCCTATCAACCTCGAAAACAACCACGACGAACTCGTCAAGGCTCTCACCGGTCAAGATGTAGTCATCAGTTGTCTTGTACCCTTCACTACTGGGCCTGAAATTGCTTTGGCAAATGCCTCCAAAGAAGCTGGAATCAAACGATTCCTCCCCAGCGCTTTTGGTCCGCCTTGTCCTCCTGAAGGTGTTATGCTTCTTAGGGAGTTTGTAAGTTACATAACAAGTCAACAGCCAGTGCTACTAACCACTTTGTAGAAAGAGACCATCATCAACCACGTCAAGAAAATCTATCTTCCCTACACCGTTGTTGACGTTGGCATGTGGTATCAAGTCTCTCTTCCATCTCTTCCTTCTGGAAAGATTGACTATGCTCTCAAATTTCCTGCCACTGTCGTCGCTGAAGATGGTTCTCACGCCACGAGCTTGACAGACCTAAGAGACGTTGGAAAATACGTTGCCAAGATCATCACTGATGACCGAACCTTGAACAAATACGTCTTTGCCTATAACGAAGTCTGGACTCAGGAGGAGATTCACACTCACTTGGAGGAGGTCAGCGGTGAAAAGATTACACGTAATTTGGTGCGTCTATCTCCCATAGGCAGAATTGAAACATGATGACTGACAGGTATAGATGCCTGCCAAGGACATTGAGGCCACCATCGCAGACGCCCAAGTCAAGTACGATGCGAGTGACAAGAGTCTTCCCTTCATCTTTGGACTTGCTGGTCCTCAGTATCTCTACTGCGAGTGGTTCCGTCAGGACAATCTCCCCGAGCCCGCCAAGTATCTGGGCTATCTCAGCACCAAGGATCTTTACCCCGACTTTGAGCCGATCAAGTACGTGGACTATGTGCATGAAGTTATGCAGGGCAAGGGCAAGAGCATCTATGCGGACCGTTGAGTAGGGAAAAGGTCGGACGTGATCAGATCAGGCAACAGTCGAGAAGATGTTTCATTCTAGTGCATTTATTTAGAATTCCGTTACTATAAATCTATCCTTTTTCCTAGTCGAGAGCTGCAGTGCACTCAATCTCAACATCAGTTCCCAACGGCAGCTGAAAGACTGCTACACAAGTTCTAGCCTGGGAGACATCAGTGGTTGAGTTGAACTATGCTTGGAACTTGACATACCGGCTTGGGCTCCCAAGTAAAGAACTCATCATAGGCCTCATTCACAAGAGCAAAGTTTTGCATATTTGTGATGTAGATGTTCATCTTGACGATATTTCTCAGGCTGCTACCGGACTCTTTGAGGATGGCTTCCAGGTTCTTGATAGCTTGTCGCTGTATTCATATGGTCAGTCATCATACATTGCACGGTCTGAATGTCCCGAAGGCTTACCGCTCTATCTTTAACTGTCCCCTCTACCAGCTCAAAATTGGTCCCAGGAATGGCTCCGATGTTTCCGGAGCAGTACACCATGCCATTGTGCTTGACGGCCTGGGAGAATTGCGGCAGCGGAGCCGGGGCAGATGTGGTAGAAACAGCTTCGATCTGAGGGGCCATGACTGTTTTTTTGATTGAAGTGAGGTTGTTGTTCAGTTGCTTGGTGAGATTCTAAGTGTTGTGTGTGTATTAGAAATCAAAGCTTCAAGGAAGTGGGGAGACTATTATCTCATAAGGTTGACCACGCCCTACGGAGTACATCCAGCTCATCATGTCATAGGTCGGAGCCTAGATCTATCCCCGACATAAAGAAAAAGTAGTAAAATGCGATTCCCGTTTCATTACTGAGATCATGCTGAAAAGGAATTGCGGGGTTTTGCATATCAATCTCATAATCTCTACTTAGCTTCCGATATCTAACAAACTATCAAAGCGAGTTCCTCTCTTTTCACGTATCACGCGAGGAGGGTGAGGTCACCATGGCTGTAGCTCTAACAGACGTGTCATTTTAGAAGCTGTGTGTTCTTAATAACGCTATAAGGTTTAGGCAATAGCTTGCATGTTTGGCTTCTTCACTCCGTGTTGAATGTGATTGGGGCAAACGATCTAGCTATCAGACACATCGTATATCTATAGGTACCTTGAAGTCGATAGAGTTCATAATGATCCATGCAGTCCATGATTGGACTGAGTTTGTATACAATTGGATGAGTGAACATTTAATTGCAAGCCACGGGATAATTCTAGGCTGCCACTAGATAGAAGCCATTATGAGTAATGGCAGCTCAGATATGATGAGACTACCCTACAAGAACGTAGGTGCTAAATGCATCACATGACAAGACAGCTTTCCTGAGAAGAGCTAGAGCGCGCACCTTCGTGTTGGGTCACGATGATCATTCCGATAAACTTCTTAGAAGGCAAGTAGAGTCTTCTAGCCTTTTAAGCATGTTTTTAGACAAAACACCTTCAAGGGCGGCTAGATAACCGCATTCCTTTGCATCGAAACCGTCGTTAGCTAACGAAGCAGTCCCAAGTGTATTGATGAAAGAGACATTATGTTAGATAATGGGGTAGGGTATGTCACTGGTGATTTGTGCAGTTGCATCCAATATTCATGTTTCATCCAATATCGAGATGAAAAGAAGCAATGAATCATTTCACAGTCTCGAACAGCCCGTGCAAAGTGCTCAGATTAGCAAGACACGGCCTAGACTAGACCAAACAATGGTCTCTCCCTTTGGCGGCGCCACCCGCTTCGCTTCTGACTGGACAACCAATAGACCAGGGATCGAGTGAGACGGGTGATTTGAGACTGGAACAAGTGGCAAACCAGACAACAAGAGTCCCTAGGAGTCCTCACCCGTTGTTTCAGCCAAATATTAGTAGCTATTAGACAGATCTCAGCCACTTCTGTGAGATGTCGCTATGAAACCCGCCATGAAACGTTGGATCTTCGGAAAGACGTTATTACTGCAACGGAGAGGCTGACGAGCCAAGATGAGGGTGGCTTGATGGTAATTTCGCGTATGGTGATATTTTTGGGACTTTGGTATGAGTCAAGCGACGCTGACTTTGGCTGACGTCTTCGATGTAGTAAACTGGAGCTGATTGCAAGCGAGGGGATTTACAACCAGGATGATCTGATCTTATTGCCTCCTTCACATTGTTAGTGATAAGGATGTAGGGGTGCAAATCTCATGGCAGCCTTGCAGAGAGTGAGAGTCTCGGTTCAGCTTTAATTAGATCAGATGTGTTGAGATATCCTCGGCTTCCGCGACAAGCCACAGCGCCATCTCTTTTAATTAAAGCTGACGAGCTGTGCATAGGAGATTAAGTGTCTAAGACAAGCTTACAATGCCATTGATCCAGAGACAGACCATTGACGCAAGGGGAACGGAACCGCCGCCGTACGAAAACTGTCAAGGCAAGCATTGCGTGCAATTTCCTGTTCCGAACGGCACAACCAACAACGGATGAACTGATTTTGCTGACTCTGGGGTCATGATTTGCTCTGGTAAAATGCAAAATGCAGCCCGCAGAATGCAAGGGGCAGGGTGTTCGATGTGTCACTAGACAGGGGGTAATCTATTTTGGTGTCTTAATTGGTTGAAGCTTAAAAAACTTGATGAGATAAGACTTTTTTTCGCTATGGAGACTAAAAACCAAGGAACAGCGAAAAGGGACAAATCAACTCGCACTAAAAGATGACGACCTTTTGTGATTGGAGCATTTGGGTCAGAGTGTGATAGAGGCTGCAGCACGCCGCATTAGCCTGATGCTGACTGCAGGGGCCGTTGTTGGTGATTGGAGATGGAAAAACGTGAGAGAAAAAAACCGGCTTTTTTGGAGGAGGAAAAGAGGAGATTTGAGTGACTAAAAAGTGAGTAAACAAAGTTCCCCGGACTACGGAGCTAGGTGCTATGTGGGTACTAGCGCAGGTACCCAGCTCACCCAAGACTCTAAGAAGTCCGGCTAACTCGGCCCCTCTAAATCGGATCATCCACTGAACAGACAGTTGATAACCGTGCTGTGCTGTGCTGTTGCAACTGCCACCGTTGCAACCGATGTGTATAGAGTTTACCCTGTCGATTAGTAGATAGAGTCACTGCAACTGTGACAACTGGCCATCACAACAAAAGACCCTGCATTGCAACAGCACACACTGAGAGTCAGACCAATCACTTCTGCCTACCCCGGACATTTCCTTATCATGAGGTTTCTCACAAGATCCGAATCTGTCATAAAATCCCTCCCCTGACCTCGTATTCCAAGACAAGGGCCCCTGTGCCCTGCACCTCCTCAGCCCAACGAGTCTGGCTAGTGCAAGGTACAGTATGAGTAAGAAGTGAGATGGCTTCAATGATATCATGATTGGACGAGCTACGCCTTGGAGCGGTAAAAAGAGGGCAAGGGGAGCCATGAGAGGCAAAAACTGCCTCGTCTAGCGTGAGCGTGTGCAGTTGAATCCACTCACAGGCCCCATCTCGATGTGTGTACAAGGTTAAATGGACTTTCAGAAACTGGTTAGGCTAGACTAAACTAGACGCCTTTTGAGTTTGTGTGTGTCTCTGGGACCTGGGTTTCCGTATCTATCAGCCCAGTTCGGTTCAGCTCAGCTTTGACTCAAGTTGGTCTTGATGTTGAGCTCAAGATAAATACCCTCACTCTCTTCCACCTTTTCCCTCGCTTCTTCTTCCTCCCAACAACTACACTCGCTTCAGTCGTTACACTCTCGCACAAAGCTCAATCTTGCTTTTCTGCACTTCACTCGTTTTAAAAGTCAGAACTTAATCAACACGTCCAAATCCTTCAAAATGGTTGCTATCAAGGTTGCTGCTGCTGGCCTCCTCATCGGAGCTGCCACCGCTTCTCCCTACTACGCCCCTCCCTCCAACGGCACCCACTACACCACCGAGGTTGTCACCGCCATCACAACCTACTGCCCTGGTGCTACCACTCTCACCTACGGTGACAAGACCTACACCGTCACCTCTGAGACCACCTTGACCATCACCGACTGCCCTTGCACAGTCAGCTACCCCGTCAAGCCCACCAAGCCCGTTGTCCCTCACCCCGTCTACACCACTGAGGTCATCACCGCCGTGACTACCTACTGCCCTGAGCCCACCACTCTGACCTACGGCAACAAGACCGTCACTGTCACCGCTCCCGGCACCGTCACTGTCACCGACTGCCACTTCACCACCACTCACCCTGCTTCCGAGCACCCTTACCCTCAGCCCACCCCCGGCAAGCCCGGTAAGCCCGAGTACACTGCTCCCGCTGTCCCCGGCAAGCCCACCACCGCTGCTCCCGTCCCCGTCCCCACTGGCACCGCTACCTACCCCGTCCCCGAGGGTACCAACCCTGCCGTTGTCACCGCTGCTGCCGGTCGCATTGCCCCCGCCGGCGTCCTCGCCGTCCTCGGTGCCATTGCTCTCTTCTAAGCAACTCAGAACCTCTGCTCTACATGTCATGGATATATCTCGTAATGAGCTTGGACGACAAGGGAAAAGCATTGGTCTTTAATGATTAATTTCACACATGATGAACTAAGGATGGAAGCGTTGGGTATATAATTCATTTCTACAACTTGCACATAGATCTCTTGATAGAGGTGCATAGACCTTAATACTATACAGTTCATCTGAGCTACATACTTTGCCTTCTGTTCCATCGTGATGAACTATCGTGAATGATACTCAACCTAGGTGAGGAATGTCGCAGCCTGACCCAAAACTGACCAATTGTCGCTGAGTTTGTCTCGGCTGTAAGCTGATCCTCAGCCATGTCTCGGCATAGCTCACTCAAGCAACGACGAATGATGAACAATTACACGAGACAGCCTGCTTCTACTTGTCCGTCAACGTGATTACACCGTCCCAAACTCTCAAGCAGCTCAAGTGTCCCAGCCACCACTGCTCTTTCAATTGTTACAATGCGTCTATTAAATGTCTCAACTCTTCAGCTGAAAGAATTCATCGGACAGGTCCCTCCCTACGCAATTCTCAGTCACACATGGACCGAAGAAGAGGTCCTCTACAGCGATATTGGCACCCCGACTTCTTCCTCGAAGCAAGGCTACCCTAAACTTGTCGGTTGTTGTAGAAAGGCAGCTCAAGATGGCTTCGAGTGGGCGTGGATCGACACTTGCTGTATTGACAAGTCTAGTAGCGCTGAGCTATCCGAGGCAATCAATTCCATGTACAAGTGGTACCAAAAAGCGACCGTCTGTTATGCTTATTTACAAGATGTCACCACAGAAACATCTACCATTACGGACGTCTTTCATATCACAGAGTTCGGCAGAAGCAGGTGGTTCACAAGAGGTTGGACACTTCAGGAACTGATCGCGCCTCAAATCGTCGAGCTCTGCTCCAAAGAATGGACCGTAATCGGCACAAAAAAGAGTCTCGCTTCAAGTATAGAAAGTGCCACTGGCATCCCAATCACTGTATTACGTGGTTCCCATCCTTCATCATACAATGTCGCCGAGCGAATGTCGTGGGCATCGGCTCGAACCACAACCAGAGAGGAAGATCTTGCCTACTGTTTGTTGGGCTTGTTCGATGTCAACATGCCTCTTCTCTATGGCGAAGGAGCCAAGTCATTTATCCGACTTCAGGAGCAGATTCTCCGACAAGAAGAGGACTATAGCATGTTTGCATGGACTCTCCAGCAAGATAACCCAATAGCCGATTCCGAAACCTCCTCTACTGGGTTTCTGGCTTGGTCACCCTCGCAATTCTCCAAGAATTCTCTACATGCTCAAGCTTCAAAGCACACGCAGGACCAGAAGATGGTCGATCATGGTCATGCATTTCCTCCCCCTTCTGAGCCTGAGCTTGATGCGGAGAAACAGAGCATCGAATATCGAGTCCTGCACGAGAAGGAATATGGCCGCATGTTTCGAGGCCAACGTAGCATCGTTGCGCTGCAGTCAGTCCGAACAAGTCCTCCCGAGTTCACAAGCCGTGGTTTACGTATCAATCTGCATGTTCTGTTCCCTACTGATCTTCACCTGGCCCCAGTTGCATGGCTATCATATGAGACAGAGGACAGTCTTGTCTGTGTCCTAATAGAACGTGACTATGAGTCGGCGCGACGACGGGTCTATTGCAGAGTTAAATCGTTTTCACTTATCGGTGTGCCCAAGACACTGCTCCCGTATTTTCGACCTACGGAACTATTCATTCGACCCAGTGGCTACTTTGAAGGTTCAAATGACTTTGACACGAATCCGCCTTCTTCAATGCTTTCATCAAAGCAATTAAAGATATTGGCACAAGTCTCATCGACAACTACACGCTCCCTCGATATTGTCTTGTCTTATCCAAGTGACAACTGGATGAAACGACAAACTCCAATACATGAGTCCCCATTCAAGGCTCTCTGGGTTGCCTGTTCACATGGCTCTCAATCCTCACTCTTTCGGATCGACATTATGATATCAACCGACGATGCTTCATGCACTATTCGAGAACTTTCGCAGTCTAGCAACGACATCGATGAGTCTCGTAAGAACGCTCTCTTTCGGGCTTGTGCGCAGTACAAGAAATCTTTTGTTGCACATACAGACCGTGCTGTAAAACGATCTGCTAGGGTTCCAGAGACTGTGTTTTCAGCTGTTCTCCGCAAGATGCCAACTTCCCAAGAGGACCTTGTGACTTATGAGCTTCGGGTCGATGCTTGGGATATGGGTGGCTGCCCCAGTTGGGTTCAATTGAGTTTGTTGCAAGAACATAAAGAGGTTGACGAGGTGAAGACTCCGTGATACATGTTATGGCGGATTCAAAGGTGAATTGGGGAGGACAGGGGGTTACCATAGGTCCGGCTCTGAACTTGGAAAACCACACAACTATCCTACTGGTCATGTAACACGGCGTTCATGTGCATCAGAAATACCTTTGATGTACTGATCGTGGAAGTAAATGTCGAGGAAGTTCATCTTCAACTTAAACCTATCATAAGCTACATTGGAAGCCTATTACTACAGTAACTTGGATGCCGTATCTCGACATAGGTTTTGTGGCTCAAATCGCAGCTATCAGGTAACATTTGGAACTGTTGTGGATCTATGGAGCTGAGGGCTGTGAAGGGGAGGACGCAGGGATAATCTTTTCATCCTTGGCAAGAATATTTGACCCCTCCCATGTCTGGTAATGATCCCTCCGCTGGTTCACCAACGGAGACCTTGTTACGACTTTTACTTCCTCTAAATGACCGAGTTTGTCATCCCTTTAATCAACAAATCAACGACCCAAATTCTGAAGCTTTGCCTCTCATCATCCTCTATCCCGCAAAGAAGGATACAAAAATAAATAAAATGTTGGACCGCCTTGAACTTCGAACGGATCAGGAAAAGGCCATACGCGGTGATGGAGTGCCGAGGCTCCTTGAAGACCGTGATAGTCGCGCAGCGCTTATCCGGGGCATTCGCCTGCACGACCACTCGGCCATGAGTGAACCCGTCAGACGCCTCAGCTCCTCAATGCCTCAGGTCGCTCGAGCCCGCAACGCTCGCCGCATCATGAGCAACGACATACCGGAACGGATGACGGCAGAGGAGCAGCCATATTGTATATGACATCCCGACATGGCCACCGAGGACACCTACCGTTCACTGGCCTCTAAATTCCCCGGCATGCGCTACCAAGTCGGTCGTGCATGTGCTGCAGCAGGTTACCACGTCCTTTATCAGGAGCTTGACCTCCTGCCTGAAGTGTCCATCGCTGAAGAGGCGCGAGAAAGCGAGACAGACGGTGGGAGACTCATCTATGACGAGATCATGAGTTTCAAATCTCGCTATGCCATTATGGACGACTGCAAACGCACCATTGAATTGATGGATTATGAATGCCCGGCGTATCTGAACGGTAATACCGAAGTGCGATGGCGCTTGGCAGCTCGACAAGGCATCACACGGTGGTCCAACGACGACCTCCTTCCATGCATCAAAGAGGACATGCATCTTGGCCTCGAGGACCAAGAAGTAGACCAACGGCACGGCACACTGACTGATGACGAGGCGAAGCTTCTCTACAGTCCTCTCCCTCGGGACCTGCCGACGGTGAAGAAGACTTTATTGACACAGATGGCCGCTCACGACGGCAACATCGAACGCTATGCCCAGCTCGCCAATTCTGAAAGAACCTTGACGCAACTGGACCAGGACTGTGTCATCCGTGGTGTCTTACATCACACCATGTATGCTCGCTGGTGGGCGGACCAGATCAAGAACGACACCATCTATGCTAGGTCTGCCCCATATCCAGCGAGCCATAATGGCGCGGCGCATCATGCTCAACGACGCTTCCGTGTTTGAAGACGGCTGGCCACCCGGAGTCCCGATGCCCTACATCATATGGTGGCCCCTGCAGCCGCAGTCAGATATGCTTAGCCTTCTCGCCATAAAGGTGCCCGAGATGAAGAGGCAGTGCGCGGCGGCAGCGATTGTCTGCGATTACGAGAATGTCTATAAGAACCTTGACCCAGAGCCGAGCTGGCACCTATGGAAGGTCGCCAGTGAGTTCGCTGCCAACCCGTTTTATCGTGAGGATCAGGAGTGGCGAGGGAGGGAAAACGATGTTGATGTGAAGGATGACTCTTTTATGGAATCATACTACAGTGAATTAATGCAGACGAGGGAGACTACGGTACTTGAAGAGGGCGGTGAAAAGATTCCAGACAGTGTCGAGAAAATCGAGTTGCTCACTAACATGTATGGCTCCGTGGAAGTACTCAGTGCAAGCCCCGTTCAGCTCCGGATCTGGGAGGGCATTGGAAAGGTATCGCCGATATCTGGACGCCTCGACAGTTAAAGCAAGCATTCTAAGAGTGAGATTTGACCATTGATTAAATTCGAGATGCATTGCAAGGAGTCTGCTTTGGAGGGGAGTGCGTCTCGCTAAATGCTCGGGGGGGAATCTACGGGCGTTCATCTTCGGCCCCCCGGTGGGCAATCACGAAAACGGCACCGGAGCCCCACCGTCGGCGCCGGCCCTGTAAAACGGTACGGAGCGGAATCGGCCTGCACATAAACAGTTCAAGAAGCAAGGCTATTTAACAACACCTTATGTTTGGCTTTTATAAGCGCATATTACTCTGCCGTTACAAACTCTATAACATTGCATCTACCTCTCTAACCGCTCTCAAAAAGGCAGTAATCAGTCCCTGGCAATCATCAAAAACACCACAAAAAGAACATACAACACCGGGGATTCGCTGGTCGTCACCGACCCAACTACTAATCCAGCGCTTCGCAGCTTGACTATGGGAGAGCAGACGGGATCCCGTATTTTCTACGAGCTATGGTCGTATGTGCTTGATAGACTCGCAAACTGTGCTCATGATGATACCGAGTTGTGTCCCCAGGCATCGTTGTGAGATCTCACCGACTGTGGTGAAAAAGGTGGACCCTGTAGAACGAGGCCACCCGGAATTGCAGGCCTCATTATCGATCAAGACATAAATCGCTGCCCAAGATGCGAAAGTGCTGTAAAGATAATTTTTGCACCATGGCGCTCTTGGCAATGGATGTTGGTTGAGTCAGATACCGGGTACTGGTCGGTATGGGAACAAAGTTAATCGTTGTCGGGAATCGGTAATAGACTCGTGGCCGTGCCCTCAAACCGTTTTTACAAAGATCCATAGCGTAATGCAATCCAACATAATCCGTGCGACGATGAGACTTGATCTCTGTCAATCTGACGTCGATCACCAATACCGAAGACGGAACTTGTTTCTTGGGCTTGAATGACATGGAGGTTCACCGGCCGGCCCCGTACAGTTAGCTTCGGTCCGGGCGAGTTCTCGGTAGGGGGCCGGCTCATATCGGCCATCGGTGATTGGCCCCAGCGGGGAAGCGATCAACATCGCAGGTGTCATTTGAGCGATGATCAAGTTAAGTCATGTGAATTGAGGAGAGTTACAAACAAAGAAACACCGTCCTACCTCAACGCCACCATCCCTCAAGAACAAAACAGTCCAGCCGCAAAATTAGTGAGGAAAAAGAACGAAACAGTTTGGTCTCAAGACCCCCAAGAAGTGAAATAACCTCTTCCATTTAGCCCGCGAATCCAGGCGTTCCCCCAATCCAATTCCCAAGATTGATACCGAATGTGCCGGACGCTGAAGTGATGGATGCTTTGCCATGTCTTGTCTACTCCGCCAAAGCCAAAACCTAAAAGTGAGGCTGTCAAGCCGATTGACCAGGGACCCTGTCCCGAAACCATACTCCACCGAACAATGCCCATGCGTCGACAGGCCTAAAACAAGTGTCATGTCTTGCTTGACTGAAAGGAAAGGCAAGGAAAGTAAAGTAAAAAGCCGCGGGAATCGTAACGCCATAAAAACAATAACTGAATAATAGCAGGCCTGTCGTTGAATCGGGAATCTCGTGAGAAGAAAATGTCTATCGTGGCCTGGTCTGTGTATGCGATATAATGTCAGGCGATTTAATGGGGTAGCAGGTTCTTGGACTCGTCGTCGGTCAGAATGATCTCGTGGACTGGGTCCCGGCGGTTCTCGAGGGGAACATAGTCGCAGTCGATATAAGATGGGAGAAAGATTTCTACCAGTTGTTAGCCGTGACTCGTGGAGAGGCCATTCATGATACAAGTGAAACATACCGGGGTTCCAGGCGAAACCCTGGCTGGAGGAGAGGTAGGAGATCTATGGAAAGTCAGTACACCTGAAACCAAGTATAATATTGTCGAGACACTTACCAATCGGGGAGTGCCTTCCGGATCGCCGACGTTAATGACGGTGCATTCTTGTTTGGAGAGTGAAGAGCCTACAAAGACAAGTCAGCAAACGACTGCGGGTGCATGATAAGACGATCGTATCATTGTCGCTGCAATCGTGTGAGGCGGGGGATGATCCAGCTTCACTTACTCAGGAGGCTCGGACGGCGGTTGTGCAGGGCCTTGTCCTTTCCGGCTGACGGAGGAGAAGACGAAGGAGTGCCAAACGGGCTGTTTGTAGAAGAGCCGGTGCCCTTATGGAATGGGCGGGTAGCCGAGGGGCCAGCGGGAATGGCGATAGAGGACGACATTGTATGTGCGATGTTGAGGTTGCTGGAGTATCTAGACAGAGACAAACAAGCAACTCAAGATGAAACGAGGGGTATCGTGTGTGTGACGAGAGGCTGGCCGAGTCGAAAACGGCAGCGGAGGGAGGGAAGATGACGGCGTTTGGGGAGGAGATGGCAGCAGTATCCGTAGAATGACGCAACAAAGACACGCCGAGCAGTAAGTAATAGATTAAGGTGATAAGAGACGTGAGGATGGCTTGTGCGAGAAAGGCGATCGAAAAGAGAGCAAAAAGACAAAGAGGTTGAGTTGGTTGGAGGTTGAACAAGTCAGAAGGTAGAAGGTGGTTTCAAAGAGGTACCAGTCAGTGAGTGAGGTGACTTGTCGATTGCCTTACCTTGCTCCTCGGCCGCCGACCAGTGAATCACCGCCGCATCATCCCGTGAACAGGCGAGTGATCCGACGCTGATAAGCCACAATCCAACCGGGTACTTGAGTTTACATGAGACGATCCATAAAGATACATGTACTGTATAGACAAGCGAGCAGCTCCTCCCTAACAATTAACAATAATAATACTCTATACTGTAAATACTGTATGAACGATTCACGATTCACGATTCACCTTGCATCCTCTCACCGAACATCGCGGGGCAGGCTTATCGACAGGGTCATGAGTCTATTCTCACCGCAAAACCCGCCATCTTTCAACATTAGACTGAATCAGTTCAACGCCACTAATAAGACATTCCCCCAGCTTATACAGCCTCAGAAGGGTCAAGTGCCAAAAGTACAGAGGCACTTCATCCGCTGTAGCTCTCATGTACCAGGCTAGAAACGTCCCCCTTCAGGGTCCCCACGTCTTTGGTCTTTGTGTGGAGGCAGATCCCCCCGATAATCGGCCAATCTGATTCACTGAAGCTCGCACTGGGGTCGTTGGAGCCTTGGAGCCTTGCAGCTGCTGCAAGCTTGCAACCCCACTTCGCCCTGCCTGTGAAAGAGAATCATGAGCCAATCAAAGCTATCGAGTCTGGACCCTCATTGCTCTCGCTCTTGACGTCGACAGATCACGTGAGTCAAGCTCAATCCAGATGACTAAGATTTCAAGCCGCGCTAGCTCACCTTAGCTTCCAGTGTCGTCGTCGTCGTTACTGGCGCCTGGCATCATCTCGAAGCAGCTCCATCACTCCCTCAACGACCGAAACAACAACCAAGCGCTGTATCTCCCGACGACAATCGCTTTCCAGGCTCGACGCGTATTTCTATCTACACCCCATTCTCACGATCATTTCACCTATCTTACCCACACAGTAGAAGCGCAAAAATGGGTGACGTCGCTGTCGAAAACCCAGCAAACCAAGTGGCACCTCACAAGAGGGCCGCGCACTCAACCATTCCCACAATTGATAACTTCGAGGGTGTATCAACCGATGGAGGAGACGACTACGCGAACCTCAAGAAGCTCCAGAGGCAACTAGAGTACGATACTCCAGTCTCAGATATCGCAAAGTTGCGGGGAAACTGATAGCTTTCGAATAGGTACATCCAGCTGCAAGAAGAGTATATCAAGGATGAGCAAAGGTAATTTATCAATCCCGTCTGAATCCTAGTTATGATTTGCTGATTCTTTGCAGGAGTTTGAAGCGTGAGCTTGTACGGGCTCAAGAAGAAATCAAGCGGATTCAGAGCGTGCCATTAGTTATAGGACAGTTTATGGAGGCTATTGACCAAAAGTATGTGCTCACCTGCAACCGACAATTCTACACGAGCTAACCAGCATCTCAAGTACTGGAATTGTGCAGTCTAGCACCGGATCCAACTATGTCGTCAGAATCCTCTCTACCCTCGACCGGGAGAAGCTTAAGGCTTCCTCCTCGGTTGCCCTCCATCGACACTCCAACGCCCTTGTCGATATTCTTCCTCCCGAGGCCGACTCCTCCATTGCTATGCTTGGCGCCGACGAGAAGCCCGATGTGACATACGCCGATGTCGGTGGTCTGGACATGCAGAAGCAGGAGATTCGCGAAGCTGTCGAGCTCCCCTTGACACACTTTGACCTCTACAAGCAGATCGGTATTGACCCCCCTCGAGGTGTTCTGCTCTACGGCCCTCCTGGTACCGGCAAGACTATGTTGGTCAAGGCCGTTGCCAACTCAACCACCGCCAACTTCATCCGAGTTGTCGGTTCCGAGTTCGTTCAGAAGTATCTCGGTGAGGGTCCCCGAATGGTCCGTGATGTTTTCCGCATGGCTCGCGAGAACTCTCCCGCTATTATCTTCATCGATGAAATCGACGCCATTGCCACCAAGCGATTCGACGCCCAGACCGGTGCCGATCGAGAAGTCCAGCGTATTCTTCTCGAACTTCTCAACCAGATGGATGGTTTCGATCAGACCGCTAACGTCAAGGTCATCATGGCCACCAACCGAGCCGATACTCTTGACCCTGCTCTTCTCCGACCTGGACGTCTCGACCGAAAGATCGAATTCCCCTCTCTGCGAGATCGCCGTGAACGACGTCTCATCTTCTCCACCATCGCCGGCAAGATGAGTCTGGCTCCCGAAGTCGATCTCGACTCCCTTATCGTCCGAAACGACCCTCTGTCTGGTGCTGTCATCGCTGCGATCATGCAGGAGGCTGGTCTCCGTGCTGTCCGTAAGAACCGTTACAACATCATTCAGAGTGATCTCGAGGACGCCTACTCAAGCCAGGTCAAGGGTACCGGCGAAGAGAACAAGTTTGATTTCTACAAATAGACCCACTTGGTGTCTGTTTATCATTTCACGCACCCTTGTGTGTCATCTATCCTGTATTACATACGTCAACTATCAGACCAAGGGGATATGGAAGGAAAAGTCCATATGAAGGGAGGCGGATTAGAGCGAAAGGTAGATTAGGATTAATCAACGTGCCGATTGACGGCGCAAGCGATATGAAATTGTCTCTTTGGTTCACACCGGTGAACTGATTGATTTACGCGATGTGTGCTTCGAGTTACATCTCAAGGAATCTTACCATTCTGTATGTCAGACTATCACATGTTTCTGAGCAACTTGTCCGGTCACAGCAAGATACTGCAGCCAACAAAGTGGGATGCGACTTCAGAGGTAACATTGGTGATACTCTGCTGCATGCATCAATGTGGCCTTTTGAAAGTCAGCGGCGATAAACAGTAAATGGTATGTGTAATCGGGATTGGAGGTCCAAGTTCCCAACAATTCAACCCGGAGGCCAATTATTCATCCTCAGTCGCTTGATAGTTCCGAATTCTCAATCTTAGGCATGCGAACTTCACAGATAACCACGCACAATAGCACACAACAATGGGGTATTTTGAAGGTCAAGTTAATCGTAAATAACCGTAGTTTTCCATTTCATAACATTTTCCTGTCTATGTTCCGTACAAGTCTATCAATAAAACCGTGCCAACTCCTGGCTGTTGATCTCCATCTGACAAGTGATAACAGGTAAAGGATTGTAAAATACAGTTATTTCGCCACAAACTCCATTATTCCGTCCATCTTTTCGGGTTTGTTTCCCCCAACTCGCTATCCGTCTATTTTGTTTCGCCCGCTTCCTTAGAGTTCCCGTCCTGACGAGTTCTCTGCGCACAAAAGTAGATAACAAACACGCTACAAGAACCAAATGGGAATCAAATGCCCGTGCTAAATATGCCGAATGACAACGCCGTAAAGCCCTTCCGAAACATGTAAGAATACAGTTACACGAGGCTCTTGGCAAGTCGGCCGCTGGGTATAACTCCCCGGTCTTGCGGGAAGGTGTAAGCAGCATTGCCAAGAATCCTCGAGCATTGCGAAAAGGAAATGTAGAAAAGACCAGTAGGTCTTGAGTGAGTGCAGCTATCGACCGAGATCGTTGCTTCATTGAGGTATTACGATTAGCCATTGCCATTGCCATTACTCTCGAATAAGTATGCTTGTATGTAAAATCATACATCGCTTATTGCTCCAAAAGGACAAAAAAGCGCCCAGCCAACAAGGACGAATCGAATTTTGACCGGTTCAGTATCATTGGGTAGGGCGTGGAGAGTTGCATTGGTAAGGCTGGGGTATGTCTGCGGCGACCAGATCATCCCGAGAAGACAGGGTAGAAGAAGTCATCCTGATCCTAAGGAATGGCCTTGGGTATGCCGAAGCAGAAAAACGTATAGAGCATGCCAATAGGCATAAGCAGCTCATTACGAGCTCAAGGTGACACCAACTTCAAAGAGAAGGTGCACGAAACGCCGGTGCAGCTCGATAAAGATATCAGGCTGTCCAACAATCTCCGCTAGACCACGGGCTTTTGGGGCTGAGGCACCAGGGCCACCTCCCATCCGTCGGGTGAACCCGCTACCACCTGTCAGAAAGCTGCTTCCATTGCGATCAGGGCCTCCAGAGGATTCGACAGTTGGTGGTGGTGGTGCATAGCCACCCCCATAGATGCTGCTACCAATAGGAGAGTTCTCGGCCGCTCGCTCGGCCTCGGCTTCAGCCAGTTGCTGGATCCATGTAGCGAGCTCGCGAAAAGCGGTCGAGACCACAGCAAATGTCTTCATGGCCAGGCGCTCTCGGTGAGTACTAAGCGCCAAGAAGGCATACACTCTCTTATGGCCCCGTGCGTGTACATCAGGAATACGGAAGATATAAGCCGTCGTGTAACCGGCGAGGGCGTCGCCGAAAAAGATGGGGCCGCCTGTGACAGCCGAGCCGGCGCTTTGTGTAGTGACAAAGGCCGGAGAAGAGGTCGCAACGGGTGAAGTGGGGTTTGCCGTAGATGGAGCACGGGGTAACGTCTCGAAGGATAGAGTGCGCAAGCAAGATGCTCGAATAAGAGAGAAAGAGTCGGGTAGGACCGGATCATGGGTAGATGTATAGTCGACGTAGTGGACATGAAAGGGTGTCCGTTCTGCTGCGGTCGAATTGCCTGTACCACCACTCTTGCTTGATCGCGAGGTATTGCGCGAGCTGACCGAGGGTGTTATTCTTTGCCGAGCCCGAGGGTCCTCGTCCCGCTCTCCATCGGTATCACTCGAGGTCTGGGAATTGGGAGGCGATGCCTGACCTCCTGCGCCGAAAACCCGTTCTGCTGGCGCACGAGTGCGCAATGTTGGTCCACGAGTATTGTTTGCGAGATGAACACTATTTGATCCCGCTTGCTGTCGCGGCAAGGTCATTGCGCAGTTATCACAAGGGCCTTGTTTCTTTGTCACAGTCTCGTCATAGGTTCTTCGGAAACTCGAATCGCGCCGAGGATGAGGAGGGGCCGGTCGTGGACTTTCAGGAGGAGTATCGATAGCAGTGGGAGTTGCGCCAGAATTGCTAGAGTTTCGCAATAGGGCTGCACGTTGCGCCTGAGCCTCTTGTTCGGACGCTGGCATTGAAGCGCTCCGAGATAGGTCGAGGTTCTTTAATGCGTCGTTGAGAGCAGTCGACGATGCATGCGCGCTGGATCGTGGTCTGTTATCGGCAGGATCTGCACCATCTTCAAAGCAGACAGTACATGAGGCAGGTAGACCCTCAGTGACCATCAAAGGGGTCGGGCCATGGAGGTCGCAGTAGTGGGCAAGACATAGCTGGAAAGACGCCATTAGTGGTTGATTCTTGCGCATTGCGAGCAGATGGCCAGTTGGCGCGAGAACAACAGTAGATCAAAGTGGTAGGTAATGTACAAGCTGCCGAGAGAATTGATCATAGTAACAAAGGATGGCTCTGGGGAAGTATATCGTGTCAAAAAGCTCATGACGTTATGGGGCAGGGATAGATCATGTATGGATAAATAGACCTCAGAACAGGAGGGTTGCAAGGGGTAGCGATGGGAGACATGGTATTATAGGAACAAAGCAAGTGGTGATATATCTCGGTGTACGGAGACAGCTTGTTTTGGTCGCCCTGGCTCCTCTCTTACCGGCAACGGGCCGTTCTTGAGGTCATGGGGCTGAGGTAGGGAAGTGATGTGGCACCGGTGAGTTGGGATTCCAGTAAGAAGCATGATTGCCCCGGAACTACCAACGCTGAATCGAGGGCAGGGCAATCACAGTCAAGCGGTGAAGCGGTGTGGATGTAAGTGCATGTCTGTGTGCGCCTGTGTATTGTTCGTGCCTAGTCAAGGGTGTGCAGACAAGACAAGTAAAGACTTGGGCTGGGTGCGTGGGATGTGGGATGCGATGCGATGCGATGGGGATAAAGAAAGGACAGGACAGGCCAGGACAGGGTGTATGTGAGGGTGAAAGTGCATGTCAGACAGCGGGCGGCTCGGGGGCCATTAGGAGGTACGGCAGACGGGCCGTCAACGGACTGGCAGCTAGGAAACGAGAGCGAGGGTGTGAAAAGGGAAGGGATGTGAGGATGAAGCCAAGGGGGATAAAAGCAAGGGAAGGTTGAAAGCGACGTCGAGAAGCAACATCGATGAGAGCCAAGACATGGTTGCTGTGTATGGATGGATGGACAAGAATAGGAATGGGACCATGGTAAGGAATCATGATACATGATAGAAGTGAGTGTGTGTGTGTGAGATCTTTGGTAAAGAAAGGTACCAGAAATGTCTGGACCCAACAGGGCGGGCGAGACTGCTCGACCTAGGGACGTGCAGAGAGTCAAAGGCTCAAGGAGGAAAGCATTCATTCATGGCTGACAGGGATCTGCTGAGACAAGCTATCGACCATGTGAAGTCAATGCATGGCGTGTGATGCCTTCATTGACCAGGGCGGAGGAAGCAGCTCGGAGCGTGGAGGGTGCGACGTCGGACGTGGCAGGAATTGGCATGTGGTTGTACAAGAGAGCCAAGTCAAGTAAAGACAAGCAAAGCAAAGCAAAGCGAGACATGTCAAGTCGAGACATGGAGATTTGACCTTGAAGGAAGCTTGTGTTGTACACTTACAATGTATGTCATGACGTATCGTCGTCTCGGAATCGAATCGCGGCAGAGGAAAAAACGTAAGTATCAAAGTATTATCGACGATTGGGCGACACTGCGAGACAGGGATGGGGTCTCCCTTTTGGCAGCACGAGACTGCACAAGGGACGGCGGGGAGAGCTGTGCTGTGTTGTAAGCTTGATTTAAAGCTGAAGCTGGTTTTCGGGGCGTCGCGGTCGTAAATAAGTTTGTAGAGGGAGAGAGTCAAGAGGTATCGAGGCGAGACCTTGAGGCGCGAGCAGGGGCCGGATCGACGAGGGCGTGCGTAGGTACAAGTAATTAGGCGTGGGCGTGGTAGTACGAATGGCTCGTGCAGTGCTTGCAGTTCCAGTTGCAGTTGCAGACGGAGTGCAGTAGGGCTACAGGACAGGACAGGACAGTAGTAGCTGTTGTTGAAGATTCGATTCGGTTCAATTGGGTTTTCGGTGGACCAGACAGGCCAGGGACTGTCTTTGTTCGGATGAATCGAATTGAATTGGATGTAGGGGTGTTTGCTTTCGGAGCTCTCTGCTTGGTTCGATGTCCGATTCGACCAGGGTGTGCTAAGGTATGGTACGGTACAGTACGGTATGGGTAAAGGTGGCAGCACCCAAGATGTGCAATTGCTCCGGGCAAGATTGTCGAACAAAGAAATCGAGTCGTTAAATAAACGTATCAGGTTAACCGAGAAGACAAGAATGGCCTTTGACTCGCTCGCAAAGTTACGCTGCGCGGGGAAATAAGTCGACAAGGACAAGGAACTGCAGCAACCCAGTTCAGGTTGATGAGGCGTAAGAGAGACAGAGAGAAAGGGAGGGGCAATTAATGTAGAGAGCTCCGGTAGACGGACGGAATATCGGCGGCGGAAAGTCGCGGCTGCAGCCCCAGAGCCAGAGCGAGAGAATGGGTAAACCCAAATAATCGTATCGACAAAGAAAGATGAGGGAGAGATTATGGAAGAGGAGGATGGCAATTGGAGAGGATTCGACGGAAACGACGGGATCGGACGGACAAGGTTTAGTTTGAGTTTCTGAGTGAATGAAGCCGAGCTTAAGGATGACGATGCCTGTATTCAAGGGCAAAGTAAAATGGAAAGACACCGAGAAAGTAGCTGGTGATTTTCTAATCCATCATCATCACCGTTGTCATTCAGTCCGTAGAGGTGAGTCGAGTCGAGGTTTCTTTGCTTTGGTTTCGATAGTACAAGTAGATGTCAATTCTCGTGGCTGTGGGGGTGGGCGTTTTTTAAGACATGGCCCCTCGCGAACCTGAGAAACCGTTTGACCAAGGGAAAAAGGGCCTGGGATATTTCACATCAATCAATAAACGGGATCCAATAGGATATGACTTGGGGAAACTCGTCTCCATTGCTTCCATTCGGTGGGTACCGTACTAAAGACAAGCTAGACAAGCTAGAAAGGACAAGGATCGTGTGGGTGGGTAATTGATATCCATGCCCATGCCGATTCATCCAATCCCACTTCGCTGTTTTTTTCCTTCTTTAGCTCGATAATTTAGCTGAGATATTCTCTCTTGTCTAGGGTATGGTATGGTTGGAATTGACGGCACCCGGCACGTCAGGGCAGTCTCAGTCATACAGTCAACTACAATCAAACCCCCCCTTGTACTAAACGTGTGTGGGCGTGCGATGCGTCCTGTGCGAAGATGAATTGTTTGGGCATCATTATGTATCAAGGGTTGATTGTTAGAGGTGAGTTTCGTATCTAATATTAATCTGAGAGAAACAGTCAAGTCACATGAATGTTCCAACCAGCAATTTGACGGCAGCTGTGGATGATTAACTTTACCGTGGGAAACCACATTTCTCGGATACGCTAAAATCATCTTCTTGTTCCTTAGCATCCACATCCTATCCACATTCACACACCAAGTTTTTCATCTTCATCTATGACGATGAATCCGCAATGGAGCACCGGCAAGAGATTTCTCACCGCAAGATATTCAAGGATACAATTACCTCCAATATCAAGCATCACGATGGCCATTGCTTTCAACATGAACATGGTCTCGTACCTCTCTTGAGTTGCTTCATATCATGACATGACCCACCAACAAATGTTAAGGAACGACGGTAACAAGCAGGAATAACCAGTCGTAATAAGGGTCCTTCGGTTGGACACCCGGTCCGCCGATGCCTTTGCTCCAGTGAGAGAGACTATCCCAATACCTTATTAACCTTTTCAAGGATCGGATCTTTACGACAACGATAACTTCCTAGCCTTGCTTATTAGTTGAATACCTTCGTCGCCGAGATGCCAAAAATAAGTGGTCTAAAGGTCTGTCAAACTTTCTCCAAAGACTACCCAAGTATTTTCTGTCACTTAGAACAGAGGTCTCAAGTCTTCTTGCATCCCCTTGCTCAGGTTCCAAGCCTCCGAGCGCCGGCCCCAGGGGAAATTTTGGTACCAGTGGGGCCTGTTCCGCTTGCCCAGCCACCAAGTCAATGGATGAATTCTCGGCTTGTTTTCTTAGCTGCTACGCCAAGCCTGGCTGTATGTAAACCATCCCGATGAGCAACACGGAACTTCCTAGAGACACTTCCTCCTCTGATCTGGCTGCTGTCTTGACAAATTAGACGGCCAATTCTGGCTGTTATGTCTAAGCCAAAACTACTAGTCGGGGGCAAAGAGAAGGGAACCGAACTTGTTTGTCAGGATTGCTTCTAGAGCGAGCCTAGATGACGGACGGGGTCAACAAAAGTCTGGAGGGGGATCCCGATGCTGAGGCACTTATGGGGACGGACCCGATGGAATACTCCACTCGTCGCGTGCGTTGAAATCGAAGCAATGGAGCAAGCAAGGGGTCCTCTTATTTCGGAGGAAATGGTCGGACGTAACGGTACTTGAACGTTGCACTTCTCTCACGTACTCGTCATGTTGGTCGAACAGAGCACGGCTCTACTCGGAGCAACTCAGCAAGCAATGAAACCAATTTGTCGTAACACTCGGCTCACCCTGCGTTTAGCAAATGTCAAAGGGTATAGCCAAGAAACACACGGTAACATCGCAATCTTCAGCAACGAAACACAGCCAAGAGAGCCTATCAAACAACGGCCTCTAGCCCGAATAGGGTCTGGGCGGCAGTTGGCCATGGTCATTATGACAGCAGCTTTCACGGCGACGACACGAGGGGGCTGTTCGCACAGACACAGTTCGATTCTGCTTATTTATTATTGCGTTTCATTGCTAGTCTGTGCAATGTGAAGCAGAGAAAAGAGAAGGAAAGTTGATCCGTTCATGCGGGGAACTCTAAAGTTCTCTTGTCTTGGAGTGGCATTGACTGCGAGCTATGGTAGCTGAGGCCTGGATATAATCTCCTCCCTGAGAGAAGGAGATGAGACAAAGTTGTCGCTTCCGAGTGTGATGGAATAAGCAAAGTCTATCACTTTCAGCATCTCCTCAGTATGTTTTGGAGACTCTCCCTCCTGTCGCGTGTCCATCAAATCTATCCGTACATGCGCATGCATACCTCGTCTTGCACATGTCGAAACTGTCTCGTCTTCCTTCTCGCTTCCAAAGCAGTGGATTACCTTGCCTTGCCTTGCCTACCATCCGCTACTGTACCGAGAGCGGATACGATACGATGCGATGGTACCTCATCTTTTTAGCCTAAGGTAACCTGGTTAGGCTTAGGTTACCTTTGGGCCGCCATCGTTTTGTCTCCTCTTCTCTTCTCGTCTTGTCTTTTTTATTCGCGCGAGATGGAGCCGGCCACAAAAGGACTCAAAACGGAGACCCCAGGAGCAATGACCAAGGGGGACCAGGGGGGAATGACTTGTGACAGTTGTTCCAGAAGCCTTCGACGAAGAAAATAAACCCCTGTTCTGGTGGGTCACTTACATTCACTTTGGTACAGCGAGATCCGTGAGAGACTGGGAGTGAGGCTGTCTCTGATATTTCCTTCTTTTGTGTCTTTTTTTGCTTTTGCTGAAACACTTTTGATTCACGATTCATGGTAACAGAGTCAGAAACCTCAGCTTCCTTTCGTTTCCTTTCTTTTCTCATCAATAGCCCGCAAATACAACCTAGGCGATCCCTTGATATGGATTCACAAAAAGTCCTCGTTTACTTCACTTACCTGGAACAAGACCCAAGTGTCATTTGTCAAAGGACATTGCGGACGTCAAGATGAGCCCACGACGTGGTCAACCCCTGGAAATCGTGGTCAAGGCTTCCAAACAAGTAGGTCCCACGATCTCTATCCCTGCACCCACGCGCCGAGAGAGTGTGTTTGACAGGCGACAACCGCGGCAATGCAAAGCAGGCAATTGCGTTTTGAGTTCAGTTTCTTCCACGTGTGTTATCATAGCATTGCTTATAATTTTAGTCTAGATCGTATACCAAGCAATAAGAGCTGAGAATTAAGGATCTGACTAGCTGTGAATCCGTTGCTCTTGGCAATGAGTCCGAATGTCAACATGGCGCTGTAGATCAATGCTTGGGATCTTCAATACATGACATATGCACTGTACATGCCGCAAACACTGCAGCATCACCCGCAGCGCATGACCTGCAAAAAATATGGGATTCTTCGGCCGAGGCCTATTGTACTGTAGGCACTGTAAGAACTCGACCAACCAACAAGCATGCTGCCGATACGCGTTGCGTCGTTCAACCCCCTGTTCGGATATCTGCAACGTTGATAAAGATCAGCGACGAATCAGACTCTGCGATTAACGACTGCCAATTAATCAACTTCTAACTCGTCTGCTGTACAGTATCCGTACGCATTCATCACCAATGATAACCTGCCTATTGACAAACGTCATGTCAGCATAAGACGACTCGGCTCGGCGCGTTCCCTCCTCTCCCTCTGAAGATCATGATATCTCAACACCCCTCAACGCCCGCTGTTCATAATCTTTAGGAACGTGGAACGCCGTTGCAGTGAGATAAACGGACACTGGGCTGCATCCGCCTGCATATGCAGCTTCTAAAACATCCATCGGTTAACGACTTCTAAGGTCTAGTTTACGACGATCACTCGCCCTGGGCTCCACGTCTTCTTCTCTCTTTACTCCGCCGAGTTTCTTTTCTCCTTCTTGTTTTTGATAAGCCACGATAATCATTCATGCACCTCCATAAGTCTGGGGGTCAAAGAAAAAACAGCTGAGTCTTGAGTCTCGGGAATCCCGGCCAAGGGAGGCAGAGAAGTGCTCGTGGCCATGGACTTGGACTCAGAAAAAGCAATTCACGGTCATCTTCACGCCCCCACCTCGGGCATGTGCCAGCTTCCTCCAGGATCGTTGCCTGCGTGAATCTTCGACTGGGTCCTAGATCGGTCCCGAAGCCAAGTCTGGTCAGTGATGCAGATGCATAATGCCGTTGCTATCCCTTGAGCTGATCCTCCCAGCCATTGATACAAGTGGAACAACGCTCACTCTTGAGTCGTACTCGTCTATCAGCTCGGTGGATCGGCTTCAATCCTGTTCTTGCAAAGGGGCTTTCTGCTTGTCTCGCTCCCGAGGGCTTGTTTCAGCGTTGCTTCTTCGCGTTGTCGTCTCTTCCCTCCCAGCGATCATTTGGTTCCGTTGGGCCGGATTTTCGCGGATCTGCCGTACGTCAAGACAGATGTTTGGTATGATCTCCTGCCAAGCAATGATAGGTCGTGTGTGTGTAGGTCTCAGACAGTGGCATAGCTCGATATAACGATGGAGCTGCAGGCACGAGATAATGGCATTGCATTTGTGGTTCACTTTGGACGCCAGGTATCCCAATGGGGCGAAGGGATTGCTTCATTCAGTTTGGGTCTGGCTTTCAGCCTCGATCAGGTTCCATTGAGGCTTGATGGCGATCTCAAAGGGGCAATCTGGGGTCGCGTGATGGCCGTTGAGTTCTGGAGTTTGGTGTTACACGAGTGACGATCTCAAGGGAGTGAGTCTCTACAGTTGGCGTAGAGATGAGGCCCGACACATAGCAATAGTTTATCGAGTTCACACTCCTCCCCTTGTTCGTTCAGCCACATCGTCAATGAGCCAAAAGTGAGTGAAACCTGATTAGAATGCGATGTCTTTTCTGACGTCGTCGACGATCTACCGACAGCGAGGCTTTGATGTGTCTGCAAGATATCATTTATGAGAAGTCATATTAGGAATCAATGAGCACGCTCAATAATTCATGGCTGAATCAAAAACTTGCAGGTGGCTTCTTGAATACCCTGGACTAAACATCATGCAGTTGTCATGAACTTCAAGCAAATTCGTCATATGGCTGAAAATATGTTGAGCCCAAAGACGCTCCGGAGCTGTTCCGTGTCCTATCAGCCGTTACCTTGGCCGTCTCTTGCAGCTGGGAGCACGAAGGGATGTCCTTTGTCTGTATCCAGTCTGTCTTACTCGTATTCCAAGTTGAGAATCTCGTGTGGAGGAGCAAAAGCGGGACTCTTGGAGAGAACCGTCCGAGTCAGCCCTATCTCAGGGCACCACAGAATTTGGGTTCATGCGACGATCAATCGTGGATAGGAGTCTTTAGTCCAGAGCCGGTGCTTAATTGTCTATTGCTAGCTGGAGATCACTCAACCCCGATTCAACCCGGACGAAAGCCCCCGGACTCATGTCAAGTTTGTCTATATGAAATCGAGGAATACTTCCGATATCGGTGAGGGTGGTATTCGTCTCAAAGGGAATGTTTCAAGCCATGATATTCAGGTAGACCACGGAGTAGTCCTTGGGGTCGTTGCAAATTTGTTTTGTTTGTTTGTTTGTTTGTTTGTGTATTTTTCGTCTGGGTGGCTGTAACGAAGCCAAATCTCCTACTGGAGCAAAAGACGTGCTGAGCTAGCTAGGTACAGGATACCCCGCTTCCTTCACCATCCAGCATACCAAGGCACAAAAGGCGCTGTATTTTCTCGAGCCCGTCACCCGTCAGCGGGTTCGGGGGCATACTGTCGACTTTTTCCACCGACCAGAATTCTCTCACGCATCGCTACATCTGCTGACGCAGTCCACAATCTCCAGTAACCAAGTTGTAGCTCGTAGTCGTATGTCGTGGCGGCAGGGAAAAACCTTGGGAAGGAATCAGAGGCCGGCGGTGCGGCTTGCCTTCAAAGGGGAAAAACCCATCGCAATCGGCGTCGTTGATCGGGAGGATGTCGCTACCGATGCCACGGGCACCGTCCTCCGATATCTAAGGCGTTCTGGTTCTGAGGTGCCGCCATTAGATCCGACAAAGGTGTTGTCAGAGAAGGCGAACTCTCCAAATTCCTTCTCTGAAAACTGCTGTTAGGGAGCCGATAGCGTCCCCGCAGTTTTTGTGTGGTCGCGTGGCCTGCAGAAAATCCCGCTCCTAGCACCGCACTAACAGTGCGTGCCAAGAAAGAATTTTTACAGGAGAGAGTTGATGGGGTCGTTGCAAAGGCTAGGTTGTGTTGAGTTGTAGGGTAAGTTCAGCAACTTGTACCTCGCATGGCAACAATATTACTGGAATACGCCTTTAAAAAAAAATTATTTGAAAGAAGATAAAAAGGTTTCTTGTACCGTCCATCATATAGAAATCACTCCATATAGAGCCATGTAGCTGGTGTTGGAAACAAATTGCCCATTGTTGTCAATGAAGACGAAATCTCAAGCCTATGGATGACAGCAATGATATCCAATTGTTGGATGATGAATGACTGCCCCAGAAATACCCTGTAGATCCGGGCTCTCCGTGATCTGGACCCGGCAGTTGAGGCCAGCATTTAGCTAATGCCGTGGGTTCTGCGGGTATAATCGACAACATATTGCTAATAGATTTTTACAGATCTTCTAGTGAAGTTGAAGATCGTTTGATGTTTCGAGTCAAGGCTAACTTGGAGCCACATGTGAGCCTAAGCTGGCCTCAGGGAGCAAGAAAACTTCAGACCCCAAGTTTAGGTGTCAAAAATAACTAGTCCAAAGGCTAGTGAAGTCTCACCTAAGTTTACCCAAGGCTTTTTGTCATTTAGGATTGAGGTCCTAAGTTTTCTTGCCTCCCCTTGGCTGGACAGTTAGGCTGATGTATGGCAGAGCAATGGTCTAGGTTAGCTCAGTCTATCTGCAAGGCATCAAGCTGTTCGAGATGCCAATTATTAGTCGAGTTGCTGATACCACGACAAATGAAAGCCCTCGGGCTTTGAGTCAAACACACGCACAACACACAAGTACATGATTTCTCGAATCTTCGGCGTATAACTCTCTCATCATCTCTCTCCTCCCCTCATCACTCAACATGTCCTACCTCAAACTTCCTTTACGCTCAGTAGCACCCGTCCAGTTCCCTTTGAGGCCTCACCGCTGACTACGGCAGGGCGAACTATCTCCACCGAATCGCTAAATCCTGGCGCGGACAGTGGACTCTTAGCGGTGTTTAGACGCTGTGTTTGGCTGGGTTTCGGCCTCCGGTGGACTCATCTATCGCCCCCCCACGGGATGCAGCTCGGCAGCGGCGGGTCTTTGCTGGCACGTTGAGAGGGTTGATTGGTGCAAGAGTCGTGTTTGGATTCAGCCTTGTCGAGGTTGATAACACGATAATGCCTGGAAGACGGACGGAGTATCAATGGATTAGTTTAAGCGAAGTGTTTAATGTAGATCAACACGAGGAGTATTATGAGGGTTTGGTCTGCTGATGTTTGAGCGAGAGTGCGTGCAGAGTGCCCTGTGTTTCAAAGAGCCAACAAAATTAGACATTACAGGAGACCTGCATTTAAAGATCAGCAAATGTTGACAGCTATGGACCCCGAAAAACAAGGAGCCACACAATCAAGGTCCCCTGTTCAACATCGACTGTCAATGGCAAGTCATCTCTTGCAGGCAGCAACAGCCAATTGAAGCCTTTTCTCTTCAGCTTCATCATCCAATGTGTTATTGTCTCGTGGCAGTGCATGAGGCAGCCGCCGTCTTACAGGGGCGTAGGCGGGAGACATGGGAATATCTGGAGCTCTGTTGAATCGCCTAGGGAGCCCTAGTCTGAGTAGCTCCAGTTTGACTGCCCAGGTGACTCTTTTTTCTTGATGCGTTAAGCTCTGGTTTAGAAAGTAACACAAGATTGCAGAGTTCCATTGTCTTTTCAAGATGTGTGTATGTATACAATGTGTATTATTGGGCTTGAGATGAATGCAGTATTGTGTATTTTTGAAACATGACATATTCATAGTCATTTCACGTGTTATACATACGAATATCAAGCAGCGTTGAAATCATCGCACCATGAATGCCATGCTTTCGTTACGTGCCCGCCAAGGTGCAGACTGTAGGTACCTCAATGGCACTCCAGGTCAGCCCCCGTCTTACTGTCGTACTCACCTCACCTTGCACATCGATTCCATTGGCTGCCTGCAGTCTACATCAAACAACTAAGCAGGCAGCTACCGCCTCAGCCTTAATTTTGAACTTCTCTTCTTCCATTCTCAAACATTCCAGATTTTCTCCTCTTCTTCTTATCTTTACAGCGTCTCCTCGATAGCTGCTTGCTCGCCTCCCAAGTTCAGCGAATATTCTCTAGACCGCTTCTCCTCTCTCCCGTGCCTTTCGTAGGTCTTTATCGATATCATCTCCTCGCACGCGATCTCCCTCTCTCTCCCCACCCCCGCTCCGGCTGTCCCATCCGCACATCCGCAGAGCTATCGCCCGGTCCCTGCGTGTTCACCACTTATCTTTGCTTGCTTGCTCGCTAGCTTGCTAGCTATCGAATAACCCATATTTGGGAGTTATAGCTTTATCTTAGAGCAAACAAACCAGCTCCAGTGCCATCCAGTTCACTTCACTTCATTTCAGTGCAATGCAATGATGGAGCTTGAATCTACTGATATCAACTTTTCCGTCACATGGCTACTTGGTCTCAAGCCAAAATCCACGTATCCCTCATGGGCAAGAGACTTTCTGACCGATGAACCACACTTCCTTGTGAGCCGTCTTCTCGGCCTTCTTCCCACTCGCAAGCCCCGCCGGCGCTTGAGAAGGCGGCGCAATCGTTCCAAGACTGTAATTGTACCCGAGGAGCCTCTGAAGGAGGATGATCAAGATGCCGACGACCAAAATATGGATGGCTTTGGTCTAGGGAAATTATACGGTGATATTCCATATGAAACTGATGATGATTCCGAGTCTGAAGCTGAGGACGCACCTGTGGTGGAAGAGGAGCCACCTGTCTTGGCAGAGCCAGCATTCCTTGAACTATGCAAGATGATGGAAGAGCTTCTGGATGAAATTGAGTAAGTGGCACCTTGGGTGCTTGGAAACGTCCACTAATTTGTCCCAGAAAATCACAGCAAGAAGACACCGACGACTCGGACAACGAATCGATAGACGGCCTAGAACCCGAAGCTTGCCAAGATGAATCCCCATCAAGAATCGAATGGTTGCGACAAAAGAAGGTGGAAAAGGCAGAGAACAAATACCTCGACCGAGTCATGTCTTTAACCGGCCTCGAAGAAGTCAAGGCTTTCTTCTTACAAGCAAAGGCGAGAGTCAAGGCCGCTCAGAGGCGTGAGACCGATCTGAAGAAAGAGAACTTTGATGCAGTCTTCATGGGAGGTGAGGGGACAGGCAAGACAATGCTGGCTCGCCTCTATGCCAAATACCTGATATCTCTTGGCGTGGTGAAGAAGTCTGGTATTTTCACTGGAATCAACAGATTCTCGGCATATAACATGTCTAAAACATCGACTTTGAGCACCATACATAACACAAGCAATGCCTGCGGTGGCTGCGTAAGTGAATATCTTATTACCAAGGCTATGAATCGCTAATTTGCTTAGATTGCCATCATTGACCACGCTCACCTAATGAACAGCGACGATTGTAATCTCTGGAGCCTCTATGTTCGCTCACAAGACCTGCCCGGAAAAGTTGTCCTCATTATAGCCGGCAATGGCGAATGGGGTTTGTCAGACTTGATGGGTTACAGTGCTGAGGTTTCCAATCACTTTCCTGTTCTGAAGTTGCCAAATTACACAGCAGAAGAGCTCCAGATGGTATTCCATGGCATGATGCGAAAGTGGTTCAAGGGCAAAATGGAAGTCGAGGGCGGCTACGATGGCCTGTATGTCAAGATTCTGATCCGCAGAATCGTTTCAGGGGCCAGCGAAAAGACATTTGGTAATATCTGGCCAGTTAGAAAGGCATTTCTCGAAGCTTGCAGGCGTCAAGTTGAACGCTTTATTCAGGCTCGTAAGACAGGGAACTACCTGGAAGACTTCAGAATGACCAAAGAAGACCTACTGGGCAACAAGCCTTCTCTTGGTCCCGAGAAGAGCCCTGCCTGGAAAGAGCTTCAACAACTTGTCGGGTTGGACGATGTTAAGGAGTCGATACTCGCTGTGGTCAACCAAGTCAACCAGAACTTTATCCGAGAAATGCGTGGCGACGATCCTTTGCATGTTTCACCAAACCGAGTCTTCTTGGGACCTCCAGGTACCGGCAAAACCACAGTTGCAAAGCTCTATGGTAGAATTCTCGCAGATTTCGGCCTCTTGTCCAAGGGCGATGTCGTCACGAAGACTCCAGCTGATCTTCTGGATCGCTATATCGGAGGATCAGAGAACAACACGCAAGAAGCCCTCAGGGAAGCAAAGGGCAATGTTCTGATCATAGATGATGCCCACATGCTTGACCCAGGCACCAACGGAAGTGCTGGTAGTTCTAAGAACGGTGATTTCAGAGGCGGGATCATCGACACGATTGTTGCAGAGGTAACTGGAGCTGCTGGAGAGGATCGATGTGTTATCCTCTGCGGTTACCCTGACCAGATGAAGGAGTTGTATGCAAATGCCAACCCCGGTCTGGCCCGAAGATTCCCGCTGGATACTGCGTTTGTGTTTGAAAACTTCAGCGAGGATACCTTGGGCAAGGTGTTAGACCTCAAGCTGGCAAAGGAGAAGCTGGTCGCCACCGACAAGGCCCGTGAGGTTGCTATGGAGGTACTGAAGCGAGCCTCTGTTCGGCCAAACTTTGGCAATGGCGGTGAGGTGGACAATATTTTATCCAAGGCCATCTCAGCACGTTTCCGTCGCATTGCTAAAGAGAAGAAACCACAGGATGAGGATCTCGACCAAGTTCCTCTAGAACCTCAGGACTTTGATGCCAACTACGATCGGCTGTCACAAGCTGTGACAAACACGCGGGCCCTGTTCGACGAGTTTGTCGGCTTCGAGGAAATCATCTCCAAGTTCGAATCGTACCAGTACATGGTGCAAGGTATGCGACTGCGCAATGTCGACCCTCGGCCCTATGTGCCGTTCACATATGTCTTCAAGGGTCCTCCCGGAACTGGAAAGACATCGACCGCGAGAAAACTTGGCCAGATCTTTTATGACATGGGCCTGCTTGCCGCACCAGATGTCGTTGATGTCTCAGCGTCACAGCTTGTTGGTGAATATTGTGGCCAAACTGGTCCCAAAACACGCCGACTGCTCGAATCGGCACTCGGCAAAGTTCTCTTCATAGACGAGGCATACAGACTCAATGGCGCTCGTGGATCGTTTGCTGAAGAAGCAGTCAGCGAGCTTGTTGATGCTGTGACAAAGCCTCAGTTTGCACGCAAGCTTATCATTGTGTTGGCAGGCTATGAGGAGGACATGGACCGTCTTCTGCGTAGCAACCAAGGCATCAAGAGTCGGTTCGCTACCGAGTTCACTTTCCGCCCCCTTCGAACGGAGCAGTGTATCGAGCAATTACGACAAGTTGTTGGAAAGGTGGGCATCACTATTCAAGCTACACCAGAGATGGATACTACTACTCGCACATCTTTGTTCTCACTGCTCCAGCGTTTGAGCAACGACAAAGGCTGGGCCAGTGGCCGCAGCATCGAGACCCTCGGTGAGCGCCTGATCGGACATATCTTTAAGGAATGCGCCATCAAGGGTTATACCGGCAAGGACCTTATTGTTTCAGGTCGTGAGCTGGTTACCATCTTGGGACAGGCATCGGGTGTTCCTTATGCCAGCATCAAGATGCGAGGTGGTCAGATCCCTATGGGCGCCAAGGTGATGACCCTTAAGGATCTGGAGACATCGGAGTAGAGGGGTAGACGGACGGAACGCGATACTGGAAGAGGTTTTGAAACAGCGATATGTTTTCTTCAGCGTTTTACATCGAATCTGGCTATTTTTGGTACGAGAAGGGGTGCATCCAAGAGCAAGGCGATATCAGCATTAGGTTGAATCGGAGTTTTGGAGTAGCATGTTTTTTCTCAACAGTTTATCAACGTTAGCAACTAGCGAGCTACCGTAACGACAGTAATGACTTTTGAACCACTCTAAATTTGCTTCGATTTATTTGTGCATCATCTGTCACTGACTCTCCTGCTTCCGGGTGGTTGTTAATCATCACTCCAGTGTAATGATATGGTGGAGGGGTGTCAATAAGACGATGAGATCAATAGAATTGACAATAACATAATGAGTTTAATTCACCAGTCACTGTATTCTTGCCTGTCGTGAATCCCATTCACCAACACCTGGTTAGAGGTTAAGGAGAAGCCACAAAGCTAGCTGTGACAGGTAGCTGGTCTACATGAGAGACCCCCCATTTTGTGATGCCCACAGGTCTCAAAATTCGAAGTACAGGTTCGCATGTCAAGACATCCTTCTATATGTAGTCTTCTGAGCTCCGATATTCGTTTATACAAAACTATTCACCCGTGGTGCTATGCCGTAACCTACTTGATTTGGAACGACTGGATGCCGTAGACGTGGCCCTGCTAGGGCTGTTGTATTCGTCTGTCCTGAGAGATTTCGATCCGCGAATATTGACAGCGATACGGCTATGCTTAGTAGACGGTTGAAGAGGAGTAGGAGGAGTCGAGCTCGGTGTAGACGAAACTTGATTGACTCGAGATTCACTTCTGGATTTTCGAGACCGTGGGGTGCTTTCGACAGAGGCTGACTCGGACTCAAGTCTCCTGATATTGGTGATAGGGGAAATCTCGACACCCATACGAGCCGGCGCCACAGAAGGAACTACAGCAGTGGAGGCATGATCACCACCCTGTACGTGATGCTCGTCTGCGAGGCTCTGAATCCATGCCTCGCAGAATACAGCACCCAAGCTGACCGCGACCTCACGCGCAACGCTGTTGCCGACAATCTTGTATTGGTCACTTGGGATACCCAACAGGACTTCATCGTCTCTGAACCCCTGTGCTCGTCGTGCCTCCATGATGGTTAAAGCGCGAGGCTCACGCCAGTGTAATGTTCGACCGTTCTTCGCATCGTCCGGACTTTGGGTCTTGACGATTGTCACAAAGAGATGGTCGGGTCGTTGTCGACCATATGCATTCGAGTTTGGGTTTGCTCGTCCTAAACCCTGATCGGTGCGCTCAGGGAATGCTAGACGCTCACTTGGCGTCATGACGCCTGAACCAGCCTTTTTCAGGTCACGACCGTACCAAGCTTGTGCGTAGTTCATACCCCAGGGTTGAGTCGGGATGAGGTGAATTCTACTTCGCATTAGAGGCGTTATGCCTACAGACACCCTATGGTCGGGGTATGGCACGCATATATCCGGTTTTGAATCATAGATAGGGGGTAGGTCGGCAGTGGAAGCACTTGCAGACACAAAGTCAAATGGCGTGGCAGCCGGCATAGCACGCTCAGCCATAGGTTCACCCGTGGGAAGAATACCTAGAGCAAGTCTGGAAGTATTTTGCGGGTGAGCATGGGTTTGATATGGTTTGTGAGGTAAGCGGTGGCCTGGTGCAGCAAAAGCCAGGAACACGCGAGAACGACGCTGAGGCGAACCGCAGGCAGAAGCATCGAGAAAGAAAAAGTGTGCTTGATAACCCAAGCCTACAATAGCACAAATGAGTTGACTGAACACGTCTTGGTCTCGATTAGCGGTCTTTTGCACGATTCCCGGAACGTTCTCAAGGAGACCGTACCGTGGACGGTACAGGTCCACGCACGACGCAAAAGCTGCTACCAACGACTGGTTCTTCCGCTGAGCGGCGGTTGTTTTATCGTTGGTCAACCGAGAGAAGCCAGGGCAAGGGCTACCGCCCGAGATAAAATCCACATCTCCAATCGGTGGGACACTGTCTGAAAATTCGCCTTCGATAGCAAGACGTTGGAGATCGTCTATAGACCCAAGGAATGGAGATACCTCAGAAGGCCCTGCAGTGTTTGCCATATAAGTGTGAATAGCCTTTGCGTCAAAGTCGTTCGCCCATCGCATCTCGATAGCACCTCCATCTTCCAACCCACGACCAAAGTTACCACCACCGCAAAAGAGGTCCAGGCCTCGCAGTCGTGGAATAGACTGCGATGGGTCGTAGCCCTGCTGTATAGACGAGGGAGGTTCGGATAGCGCAACACATGACTTCATTCCAGTCTCATTGTCGGAAACTTGTTCGTGGGTGAAATAGAAAAACCCCCCCACACCGTCACGGTCATATGGCGTTGGTATTGTTTCTCCGTCTTTGAAATAACGAACAAAACATGGCTCGAGAATACGCGAACTTTTTACCTCGACAAGCGGCTCGACATAGCTGTACACCAACTCGTTGGGTCGAGCTTTGGATGCCGGATCAACCTGGTGTCTTCTTAACAACTTCCGAAACCTGTATATGCCGTTGCCTTCCTCCTCATAAAAGGTTAGAAACTCGCAAGGCTCGGATCGACCACTAGTCTTGTTGATCATGACGAGCCGTGTTTCGCCAGTTCGCAACCCCAGCGCCTGAGGAGAACTCTCGCGCAGATGAATGCAACGAAAATGGTCTTTCTCAAGGGTCACCCAATTTCGCTCTACGCATATGTATGTTTGGCGACAAAAGAACTCGGCTTTAGTCGCCGAAGTCCCCCCAAACTCGACTTCGTGAACCCCTGACACTTCGTCCTCGGAGATTTTCGCTCTTGTATCACAAGAGCAATGATCCGACAAAAACAACTCGTTGTTCCAAGGATACTTCATCAGACCGCATAGCGTATCCACGGGTCGATAGTACCAAATCACATCGAACGTTCTCTGGCCACGCTTGTTGACACGCACGCGCTGTACCAGGGCGAACCATCGGTCGACGTCATCGAACCCATGCGCAACGTCACGTCGCCATTGCGTACCGGACCCCTCAGCATCTCGTTGGGTCGAGATCGTATCGCCTGCTCGAATTGCTCGAATCTGCTTCTGTCCAGCCATTGTCATGGTCTTAGCACTATCATGAACTGGGGCTGGCAATTCAAGATGGCGTTGTTTGATTAGTGCATTTCGTAAAGACTGAGTCGTTTCGCTTAGAGGGATGGCCTTGAGACGGTGGCCGAAGGGTTGATGACTGAAGCAGTCGTAAATGTACTGGGTGACGACAGTATCTGCGTCTTCGCTGGGCACAGTCTTTGGGCACAGTTTGTATCGCGTAAATTCCCATACCTCGGCCCAGATAACGTGCTTGTATGTTTTTCTGTGCCCAAGAACACCGATTGCTTCCTTGTGTAAAAATGTAACATTGGCCACAATCGCCGTCCTAAAATCATCGTTTATGTGCTGCCCTTTCCACGAGATGAAATCTGGTGCATTGCGGTGCATTTTCGCCAGCCAAATGCTGAAATTTGATCTAAAATGGAAGATCGTAACTTGATCGTCTTTCTCCCCTTTGAACTTGAGGTAATCCACGAAATGCTTTGCGAGATCTGCAACCCACAGGAACGGGTCAAAGAAACGACGATATTCCTTGGCAGGGGTGTTCAACCGGTAGTATATCTCGCGTTCTGAGTTTAAAACTGACCGTACCCAAATCTTGTCTCTGACAGTGTGCTTTGATAATGTACCGTAGTTCTCGATCGGTAATGCGCTGATTTCCACGCTGTGAATGTAGAAAACAGTACTACCAACACTCAACTTTCCGTCAAAGAACACAGTATTGAAACCGTGTTTTGTATGGAGGTGGTGGAGAGAGCACATCTCCTGGCCGTATCTTTGACGGTCGGAGTAGACTGCGAAATCATTAAGTTGGAACTCAACAAAGTCGTCAAAGTCAATACCCTGACCGGCCTCTTCGGCCACCTCAAGCAGTCGAGCGACAGCCTCGCGTTCCTTAAGGATTGGGACACCCGGTTCGAATGGTTCGTAATATGACCTCGGTACCAAGAGCAGACTTTCGGGGAGCTCAACGCTCATATTATCGCTGAGAGGGACGTCCGGCGTCTCTTCCATTGTAATATCTTCTTGTTCCACCACCTCAGCTGAAGCACCCTCATCTGCATCACCAACTTCGAGATCCGGATCTGCAGCTATCATGACACAGGATTCAGGAAGTTTAGGCATTTCAGGATAAATGTCCTCAAAAAGGGTTTCGGGACTTGAGCCGCAGTTAGGAGGACTCTGGGTGGGTGGGCTAGGTGACAGGTCAACCCGCTCCATGACACTCATGCCATCTTCCTCTTCCTCTTCCTCTTCCTCCTCCTCCTCCATCTCACCAAACTTGGTCCACATTTTAGGTGTATCATGAGTGGTGGTGGCGGTTGTGTGAGGCTCCCTCGGAGCAAAGGCGTCGCCAAACATACCGTCAAAGTCGTCATTGTGATTCGAGAGCCAGTCGATGTCCGGGTTCTCGAAATTCTCTAGTGTGAGGTCAATAACATTATCTTCATTCTGGAACTCATCCAGCGTCAAATCGACAACATCGTTTTCGTCAAGATCGATAGGCTAGTCAGCGTCAGCAGCCGAGCCATTCTGTTTTTGAGATGTGATCTTACGGGCATGTTGAAGGACCAGGCCCATGCTATTGCATACTAAAAAGCAATGAAAAGAACGGGATATTGTATGCGAAAAACTCAATTGAAAGACAACACCAAGCAGTCTATACCTCCCGTATCATCTTTTTGATGAGAACAACAGGTCTGACAATGCCAAGAGAATCCCATGTAGAAAGGCCGAGCTTTGTGTGTAGGAACAATAAGAAAGCAAAATAAAGAAAGTTAAGACGCGAATAGGAATCCTTGAAAGCCTCAATTTCAACGAGGCCAAATGAGTGAGTGTGATTATAAAGACGCGAAAGGCTCGAGCCGTTGTACGCAAAAAGGAGGGTCGATTTAGGCGAACAGGAGCGTGTGTGTCTGCGTGTTTTATGAAGGAAGAGAGCAGAAGAAGTTGAAGCGAGACGATTGTGTGTATTTATTGTGATCGAGTTTCTTTGTTTGATCTTCAAGGCCTCTCAGTGAATGTGAATCACTGTCAATTCTGAAGACCGGCTCGGCAGCTGTGAGTGAGAAAGCGCTGACCCTGAACGGTCCGCAGCCCCACCCACGTCTGGATCTTCTGGCAAGAACTCCATCTTCTTTTGAAGCATACCTAAGGTACCTTACAAAGAGAAAAGGTAGAGATAAATAATTCCAGTACGAGACATAAGGTCAAAAAGTAGATGATCAGAATGAATCTCAGAGACTCTTAATTCTATTCCAGCTTGAACGCTCATCTACGCCGAACTGGACAATGTAACAAATAACCTCTCCTTGTCTGTTGGTATATATATGCCTCGAATCAGAACGCCACGCAATGCATCTCATAATAACCCTCTTGCCCATGACCAAAATGGCTCATCACCTTCGTCGCCGGAATCTACTATTAAAACCAGGGCCGCCCTTTGCTCCGTGATTCCTAAGCTTTAACCGTTGGAAGTTTGCATGAGCCAGCTCATTGACCTTTCGCGCAGCCTTCCTAACAGTGCCCTCCTTCTTCTGTGTGGGCTTCTTCTCCTTGACTTCCTCAAAATCAGATCCAGCATCTTCACCATCAGCTTGCGTTTCGTCGTTCTCAATATCGCTCTGAGGGTTCTCTCCCATGTTTTCGGGCCGCTTGGTTCGAGTTGGACGCATCTTGACCATTCTTGTAGTTCGCTTCTGACCCTTCTTCTTATACACTCTAGTCGGGTTGCCATTTTCCTCCACTGGGCTGTCGTACAAGGCTTCATCATCGAAACCACCAAGTGGTAATTGCCGTGTCTGGGTCTCCTCTACCAGAACATCATCCTTTGGCTTCGACGGGAATAACGTCTTGGGCTTAGGTTCACCCATCCCTTCTTCTTCAGCGTCGCGCAATGCGTCCAAGTCGTCGTCCAAGGTCTCCTCCTCCACCTTTCGAAGACTCGCCACAATTTCACTGAGACCTCGTGTGAAAGGCTTGCGCGGTAGCCGTAGGGGTGCTGGGGCATCAAAATCGCCATTCTCGTCAAGAACTGGTAGAGTATTGCGTTTCAAGAACGCGGGTGTATCGAATTGGAGTTTCGAGACCGAAGAGGGCGTAACGGCATCCCTGTTTCCATCCTTGTTCTTCAACGGGGTCATGAAGTGGTTCAGTCTTTGTCGTTTACTAGATGACATAGGGGTTCGGCCAAGCCTCTCGTTCTCCTCGTCATCCATGGCAGCTGATCGTTTGCTCGGAGTTGCATTGACCTTTCGTGCGGACTCTGATTTGGTCGGAGAATCTTTTTTCGACGGTGTTCCTAGCTCCTTCTCTACCAATAAGTCAAAGAGGCCAAGCACACGACCATCCCTTTGTGGTGTCGGACCCACTGAGGTCACCGACGCGGGACTGAACAGCTTTCGCGATATGGCTGGTGTGTTCATGAGTTCCTCATCATGGTCTTGTGTACGGTTCTTGGAGGGAGTCTGAGTGTGTTTGGTACGTTTGGTGGGTGTCTGTGCTGGTAGAGTATCGGATTTTCGCTTCCTGGGTTCTTTCGAGGGAGGTGGGATTTTGCCCGAGAGTATATCTCGAACCTTGTTATATTGTTTATATTTCAAAGCTGCGTAATGATTAGCCGGTTGGTTATTTTGTTGCTCTAAAGACCTACCGATCTCTTCGTTGGCCTTGATGTCCCCTCTTCCTGGCTTCTTGCCCTCGTGTGTCTTTGCCCATTCTGTCTCCCAAGTCTTCAAGTCGATGCGCAGTTGCTGTGATTGACTTTCATATTCTGCTCTCAAATTTTCGTCCATTGCTATAGCCATGAAATATTTTATTCGTATGTGAGTTTATGAGAAAATCGGAATTTGGAAGAAACATGCAAGAAACAATGGTCATGAGGGAAAGTGGAATTGAGTGTCGCGATTGCAGGTAAAACGCGTTTAGATGGATCCCTTTGTAACTGCCAATGCGGGACGCGAACCACTCAACGCGAAAATGGGTCTCACGTCATGGCAGTTGCAGGGAAGGTACGGAGCTAACGGGCCCACCCGCTCCGAACTTTGGTACGTAGTTCCGGACCCCCACCTAAATCAAGTCCATTTCTAATTCATCGTTCATCATCTTCTTTTCATACTACACCAAACGATAACATCTTATCTTCGCTTTCTTACCTGGGTGTTTTGGATACACCACCACTTGCGCCAGGTGGCCAGCCCTATAGCGTCTCAAATCCGCCAGTACGCTATGGAAACAGACCAAAACACAGATGATCTCCAACGTAGAGTCCTACAAAGCACCCTCGACGAAATAGCGACCGGGCAAGAAGACGCCACCGACTGCTGCGTCATCTGCCTCGAAAGCATTTCTGAAGCCTGTGAGGCTATTCCTTGTCAACACAGAAACTTTGATTATCTCTGCCTTCTCAGCTGGCTTGAGCAATCACCGAAGTGTCCGCTCTGCAAAGCTGTCATCTCACAAGTTCGCCACGGTCTCGATGAACCTATCGCAAAGACATACACCGTAGCTGAGCCTGCGTCAGAGCCCCGGGCACCACAAATTGAACGTAGGAGACTTGCGTTCCCTCCTCATTTCCGCCGGCGTCACTCGCAACTTCGTCCATATCCCCGTCAACCACGCTACGTAACCGCCAGCTCGAGTCCTTCAGATGAGATCGCGAAGCGGAGGGATGTGTATCGCCACAACAGATACTCAAAACATGTCGGGTCGAATCGCTTGTCTCGATACCGCGAACTGACTCCAGCGGCCTTTTGTTCAGATAGCGACTTAGTCTCGCGCGCGCGAATGTGGATTCGTCGAGAGCTGCGAGTGTTTTCCTTCTTAAACCCCGATGCCGACCAGACAGAGCCAAGACCCGAAGTGAATTCACAGAGAGATGCGGTTGACAGAAGGAGAGCCAATAATGCTGAGTTCCTCCTCGAATACATCATTGCCATTTTGAAATCCGTGGATATCATGGGCAGCGCTGGCCAAGCCGAGGAGATGATTTCGGATTTTCTGGGCCGAGACAACACGCGCCTCTTCTTGCACGAGCTAAGAGCATGGCTTAGAAGTCCATATACAAAGCTTGCGGACTGGGATAGGGCTGTTCAATACGACGTATCTGCACCAAGCAGCCCTAGAGCTGAATCTGGAGGGGTTGGCAGTTCAAGGCAAGACCAACGCCAGTCAAAGAACGTCGGCGCACGTAATTGGGACACACCACGAAGACAGGGAGACTTTTATCGTCCCGGGGGCCGATCACAACGCCCCCGAGAAGTACATAGACACGAACCATATGGAAGACCGCATAGAGATTAGTCAGGCATGATAAAGGGAGCTTGGATAAGGCAAGATAGAATATGATACCCGGAGAGCAATCTCCACTGAATGAATAACGAATTGCATTACCCCTAGATGTGTTTGGAATAATCCGAGGTTCACTACAAGCTTGCGGTGAAATCATAGCTTACGAAGCAGAACTCCTTGGCGGGCGGAATTCCGCCCTCTTGATGAGTCTATGCCCGTTTTCTCCTGAAAGTTCAAAGATGGCGTATACAAAAAGCACTTATAAATCGGAGTTGACCAAAGGTCGTCTCGGATGTAAAATACACCCGATCCCATCTGAACCTGCTCTTATATCTTTCCATCACATCTTCCCTATCCAGTCCAATATTTCATAGCAGATTCCCTGAAAAGCATCATAAAGAAGAACCACCATCATGCCTACGATCTCTATAACCGTCATATCAGACCCCGTCTGTCCCTGGTGTTTCATCGGCGCCCTCCGTTTATCCCGCGCCATAGCACTCTATCTCAAAACTGTCTCCTCAACGGACACTATCACCACCAAATGGCACGCTTACCAGCTGGATCCCAACACACCCACCCAACCCCTCATCACGAAGATAGCATCGAAATGGGGGGAAGACCAAGTACCATCAGTCAAAGCCCGCCTCAACGGTATCGCTAAGGCAGAGGGTGTGGAGTTCAACTTTAACTCTACGATTGGAAACACCAGAGATGCGCACCGATTGGAGAAGTTGGGGCGGCTCAGGGGCAAGGAGACGGAGGTTGCGATGGAGATTATGAGGATGTACTTTCTGGATGGTGGAGATATAACTAGTAAGGAGGATTTGGTGACTGCAGCGGTCAAGGCGGGACTTGAGAGGGACGAAGCACGGGAGTGGTTGGATGGCGACGATGGGGGTGAGGAGGTTGATAATGAGGTTCATGAGATGCAAGAGAAGGGCATAAGGGGTGTACCACGGTACATCATCAATGATAAGTACACAATTGACGGAGCGGAGGATGTTGGGGAGATTCTGGAAAAGCTCGTTATGGCGAGAGAAGAGCTGCTTACTGAGAACCAGTAGACATCCCTGCCTCAATCCCGTAGAATATCATATTTAAGATTTTTACATCTCATAAGGGTATCATAACATTCTCATCAAACCACCAAGATCCTTCTCCATCTGCCTCAACCTCACCTGTAGCTCCCTCTTCTTCACCTCCATCTCCTTCGCCTCCTCCTCCTCCCTTCTCAAGTCATCCTCCGTCCAAACCTCACCCTCTTCTTCTTCCTCTTCCTCCTCATCATACCAATCCCTATGATCCAAACTCGCCAACTGCTCTGCCTGCTCCGCGACGCGCGCTTCGTAATACGCCGCTGTGTTCTTTCCATGTGCATGTTTACTCCTCAGCGCAGCGATGCGCTCCCTCGCCCCTGGGAGTTCGTATACACCGCAGAGCTTTTCTGCGCCGCGCAGAAGAACATTTACATCGACGTCGCCTTTGCGATCTGAATCTCCGCGCCGTAGTTCCTCGTGCATTTGACCACCTAAGACAGCTGCTACGGCCGTTTGTCGACGGGGATGTGTGCCGGTGCGGGGTGGAGGTCCTGTGGTGACTTCGCCTGAGGCTACATTAAAGACAGTTTGTCGTCGACCCGAGGACTTTTTCTTCTCCGGTTCTGTGGGTTTGAGAGTTGTTGAGGGCGGAGGAGGTGGTGGGACGGAGAAGAGGGCGCGTTCGTGGGGTTCTGTATCGCGGATGAGAGATGTGATGTCATGGTTTGAGAGGAGGGCGTTGGTGAAGATCTTCGGAGGAGGGAACCTGAAGGCAAGTTAGCGATTGACACACAAGGAATGTGTATTACCTACGGTAGAGAGTCAATTCCCTGGCACGAATAGCCAATTTGTTCGAGATGCGCAGAGATGAGCGACATGATGGGCGTGGCCGTCGTTCAATTCTCGTACTCATAAATGTTCTTATATTATGGATATACGGAAAAAACCACAAGATCTATTGTGTATGTCAACTTGTTAGGGCGGAGGAGGAGAATGGCCTCAAAGTTGCGATTTGATGATAGAGACGATAGCTTGTGTTGACGGTGGTGGAGTTTCAAAACAATCAAGGGACGCGGGCAGCTCTTATCGATAAGTACCCCCCACATTGCAATCACTTACACGCCAGCTCCTAGGTCTTGATCATCAACCTAACAGTCAGACTAGCTATGTTGCAAGAGCCGCTGAACTATCCAGCCATAGGTGTTGATCCATCCACATACTATATCTCACCTGTCCCTTATCAGTCGTGGGAATAATCTTGCCAATCAAGTGCGTATCTGAGGATAGCATTCATGATTGCGACCAACGCTAACATACTGGGAGTAGCTTCATGAAACCAAAGGAGTTGACAATGCATGCCCAGTGCATTGAGAAATTACATGGTTGAGTTCAACCAGAGCTCACATCTACGCAGGTCCTGATCTTTCAGAGTACTTGTTAAGCTTCATGACCCCTGTAGATCAACGAAGCCAAGACCTTTCACTCACACAGTCGAAGCCAGAACTGCAAGGACAAGACAGATGATCTAATGCTCTGGTTCTAAGGATGCAGGAGTTAGTGGCATCAAGCGACGCCCTACTAGCAGTTTGAGGTGAAAAGCTACCGCCCGTTATCAAACTTATGCAATGGTTCATTGCCACTACATCAAACGGGCGAGAAAGAAACTCCCAGTCTATCCCATTTTTTCTAGAATTGCTTCAATGATGATAAATGCCAAACGCTTTCATGTTGTCTGTCAGACTTATATCCATGTCTTCTCCGCATATATATGATGATCTTCTGTGCTCAAATATCATGCCCATCTTTATATCTTCAATAAACAAATTCGACATATCGTAACAGTCTAAAGGTATCCCTGTGAAATCCAATGAGACAATTCCGTATTCGGCCTGAATGCAAATTCTATGCAAAACATGCAATATCATTTTCTCTGATCAAATGGTCTCCTCAACCTTCAGTATCCGTACCTGCCCGTTGCATAATTGATCATGGGGTTAAGGTAAGGCGAACACAATCAATGGTTCACCGTTGCCCGAACCCCGGTAGACTCAGGGGCTGGTCGGTGTAGGCGGTGTCATGCTCGTGGGATGCGAAAAGGTGAGTCGTTATCGTCGTCAGAGGGACCCCTGGTCGCCTTCTCGTCCTCGTAATGTCATTAATGTTCATGCCTATGCGGGCCGGGGTAGCATAATGGCTGTCGCAGCTGATGTGCGTGGCTTGCAGGGTCCAGCGCTCTAGCTGGAGCTTGAGCCCATCTCCATAATTTCGATGGCCCAATAGGGCAATTCCCTTGCGAGATGCTGGTGCGCAACAAGTTCATCCTCACTGGAGTCTGGCTCCTCAAGCTCCTCGATCCGCGCAGGGGGCGGATCATGGAATAATAGGCTGGTGCGATGCATCTTTCTCCGCATACGACGTGCGCTGGAGCCGACCTCGTTGGCGTCGAGCCCTTCGCCCTCATCCTCAGAGTCGCTGAGCTCGCTGTGTGTCCGTTTACCAAAGCTGCTACCCATACTCATACGTCGAAATTTCTTGATTTGCTCGCGGCGCTTCAAGAACTGCGCTTCCTCGTCGAGTTCGCCATCGCCCTCGGGAATTTGCTCGTTATCTGATGTTTCGTTGCTGCAAGTGAGATTCCTAAAATCCTTGACCATAGTCTTGTGGGCTTTCCTGCTTCGTGACCTTGAGCGACTGCGATTGGATTCAATCTCGGTAGGTTGTAGGACATCGAGTCCGTCACAATCGCTATCCATAGGGTCAATATCCTCGACAGTGAAATTACAAGCAACTGTAGCCGTAGCCGTTGAAGTAACAGTAATGTGAGAGGTCTCAGCCTCGTCTGTTGCACCGGATCTGTCGGATTCTGAGCCCGAGTCAGATTCTGAAGTGTCTGAATCACTAGAGCTGTCGGTGTCATCATCGCCAAGCTCCATAGCAGAGTCGTCAATTGGTGAGGAGATGGCTGGGCCAGTAGCATTCCCCATGCTTCGTATGCTGGGACTTGCCGAATCTTCTTCATCCTCATCTTCACTACTGCTGTCCTCATCACTGGTGTCGTCGGCCATGCCGGATGAGGAAGACGAGCGAGGGCTTAACTGATGAGGGCCAACTGAAGGCTGATAGCTGAATTGGTGTCCATCGCCAGTTGGCTTGATGTTAGGGTCCGAATCCAATGACTGAAAGTAATCATGAAAGTCAGGTTGGCGCCGAGGTTTTAGACTGGTCTTGCGTAGGAATGGCGGCGATGTGGTGGGGGTTTCTGGTGGCGAGTTGGGGTCGGCGGTGAGAGGTTGATTCTGGACTTCTTGTACTTGAGCTCGAAGTTGAGCGACGTTAAGATTTGGCGTCGCGGGCCACCGCCGAAGGCTCTTTTTTGGCGGCATGGCTGATGTGGTGTATAGATCGGTAGACCTTAGAGTTGAGGTCTAACAAGAAACGTATATATGATATGGGACAATAGGAATCCCAATTGTGTCCAGGTGTGAACCTTTGATGGACAGACAGATGAGTCGTCTAACAAGCCTCGAGTCTTGGTCTCGAGTAAGACTGTCAACGACAAGTAACTTGGGTCGATAAGGGTCTTATCGATCGACGACAAGTATTGGATGTGTAGTCAAGTAGTTTGGTTGGCTATGATGTGGGGTAAACAAACGGATGGAGGCGAGCCGATCCGGCAGTAAAACGAGTAAGATAAAATAGTAAGGTGAGGTGAGGTGAGGTGAGGTGAGATCAAGTGAGGGTGTAGTTGAGTGAGGCGGTTTAGTCCGCTTTGAGGTTGAGGTACCAGGCAAGAGAACAATGCGTTGCCTTGCCTTGGTACGAAGAGGAAAGAGAACAAGAAAAGACGAAAGACAAAAAAAACGGCAGAAGGAAAAAAATTGCAACTGTTGGCTACTGCAAGGCAAAGCAAATGCAGATGCAGTAGTAGCGGTAGCAATAGCGGTAGCGGTGCTGGCTGGGCTGGGCTCAGTGCGTGCTGTATGAAGACGTGGGCGTGGGTGTGAGCGTGGGTGTTGACGTGGGTATAGTTATGCAATTGGATACAGAGACTGGGCTGGGTTAGGCCAATACTACGCGGGGCTGCCAGTCGAGTCCCAGTCCAGTCAGTTGCCAGCAGAGCATAGACGATGCAAGGCAATGCACCCAAGTGGCCGAGGGTGGGAGTGAAGAGGGGAACGTAGATGGAGTCGATTGGGTGCCCCAGTCAAATGAGCCCAGTCAAGTCCAGGCTGTTTGTTTAATGATGCGGTGGGTGATTGGCGATAGAATTGGTTGGGCGATTTATTCTTTCAGGCCCTTGATACCGTAGTGTTGTTTGACTTTTAAAAAAGCCAGCACTGACCTTGTAATTCAGGAGAGTCACAAATCAGTAGTAAAAATAGAAGGTTCAAGGAAACAAAATAGAAGAAGCGGAGATGATGACAAGACGTGGGACAAACGCACAAGCCAAGTCGAGTCAAGGCCGGGTTTTGCTTGTCGCGGGGGGTGTCTCGTCAGGTTCAGTCAGGTAGATCCTCGCTTGATTCAACTTTGGGCCTCAAGCCAGTCGATACGATGTCGATATTTGTGACGATCAATTGGTAGTGGAGAGACAATGGCAGATATCAATGGATGAGTCTGCTGTGAGCAATAAACAGTAGCGATAGTCAGGGAGTCAGGACCCAGAGGAGAAACCTCCAACACGGAGAGGATGATATGCGACTTGTGTTTGGGGTCATGATAAGTCTTTCTCCAAAGACAGGCGATAGAGTCGTCCTAGAAAGGGGACAGGGACCGGGCGAGATATTCCTTCAAGATATCTCTGTCAGTCCGCTTATCGTAATATCGTAGGGTCTCGAAGTAAGTTATATCGCTACTGCTAAGACCCAATTCTGTCTGTGCAGTACAGAGAAGGAAGAATCTCGTCGTCGAGATTAATAAGGTTGAAGATGATTATCAATCCCGTTCGTAGCTCTTTTGTCATTCACTTGAGAGAATCCAAGTGAAGATGACAAAAAAGGAAGAATGAGAGGGAAAAGAGAAGAAGAAGAAGAAGAAGAAGAAAAATAAAAAGTGTGAGAAAGAGGAGGGGAAAGTGCCAGATGGAAAAAAAAAGTAAAGAGCACCTCAGATGCAATGCAAGTGAGATGCGGATGGCGAGCACCGGCCGGAGCCTGTGGACGGAGGGGGTACCTTTACTGTAGAGAAACGACCTTTGATAGGCTCCGCGGTCTTTGATGAACAGAGACAAAAGTGATGAGCAAGTGAAATGCACAACAGATTGAAAAGACGATGAGGTATGTAGGTCACTGTATGTAACTACCGCAATGGTACCAGCCTGGTACGGGATAGTACAGCGATGATCAAGTCTGCAGCAGCAGTACTGTAAGTCAAAAAGTTAGAAGCTGATCAACGATGATGCCATTGATCAAATGTACGATGACAGACAGACAGAAGACAATCAGTCAGGCCAGGCCAGTGGATAGATAAGAGAAGCCTAACAACAAGGAATGTCCTTGCATCTGAGCCTCAGCCGCGCTTCTAGTTCAAGAATCTAGTCTAGCGCAGAGAGTTTCTGCTGCTCGGCTCTGTTTAGAAGCGAAGCGGCCCTTTTCGTCTTCGTGCGGAGGAGGAGAGTGGATGGATGATCAACTTGGACTGCCGGGGCCGGGGCCGGGTTCGGATCGGGTCTGTAGAACAAAAAAAAAAAAAAAAGAGGAGGTTGGGCCGTAGACAGTCAATGTCTCAGTGAATGAGGCCTAAGAGGTTCAACTAAGACTCTTTTCTGGTTCCACAGTCTTGGTCTTGATCTTGGTTCTCAGACCTGGATAAAGAGGTTCCGGGTGAATTGAGGGCTGACAGGTCTAGATCGAGACTGATCGGACGGTTTCGTTGTCACGCAGGCAGGCCTTGTCTTAATACAGGTTTATGCAGTCGCCTCTTTTTTGCACTGAAGCTGACTGAATATCTAGTTGGGGGTCTAAAATGTATGTGATGTATAAGTAAAAATAATCAATGTGAAATCAACAAGAAGAGACTCGACACTTCTATAATGGGTATCAGAGTTGGCATAGAGGAGTCCATACCCATGGTTAGATTAGTTATCGATAGTTTGACTCTTGGGCATTGCCTTTATATCAGTGCCAACAAACAACCTTAGCCAGTCTTGGCTCTCAGTATAGTATAGACTGTGATATAATGCGAATCCTCAGACATGGAACGGCCCGCTCTGTCCATTCCACGTCTTCAAAGATTCATGTGAAAGCAGGGAGTCAACTCTCACCGAGCCCATTCTAACCCAGCCCTGCACTAGCGTCGGGTCGCTGCCAACACAGAAAACAACCTTGAAATGGAAGTTGAATGGAAGAGCCCTTGATCAAGTGGAACATCTAAAAAGAACCCTTGCACGATTGAATGGATCCCACAGATTTCGAGACCTCGAGTGAAAAGCAAAATAATCACTCAATGCCCAAACACAACTTCTTCTAAGCGCCGTCGTGGACCAACCCATTTTATCAGATCCATACGAGGGGGCATCACCGACATCCATGATTTGGGCATCAATGCTCGAGGTACGGTCCAGTCTGTGTTTTTTTTTTTCTTCTCTTTCTCTCCATCCACAGGGAATCGACAAGGGCATTGTTTGTGTTAGTCGATGGGAACCACTGTTGAGACTTTTGACACGTTGGTATGACTCTTAAATTTTGGAGACTGTGCTACATATTGTGCGCGGTATTTGTCTGTCGATAGAAGATGCAATAATGTTCAGACGGTCAGATTTTGATTCATTCATTCAGACTCGACGAGGCCTTGTCTGGCCTCGTAATGCAATGCATGAGTTGTCAAACATCAAACGAATAAGACACTCGGTGAGATGCAAAGCAACGCACAAAAGAGAGAAAACACATGATACGTTACAGGCTTGAAATCGAGGTACTCGAAGGATCATGAGGGTACTGATACCCATTGTTCGGTACCGAGACGCAGACGCTGCTCAACGGCCCATCATCGTCATCACGCATTTGCGTATTCCGCTCCTGCGAGGAATCGAGTCGTCTGTCCTGCAGAGTCTGACGAAAATGGGTTTTGTCGCGCGCGTGCCTATCGCGAGGGCACACGTCTGATGGCATCATCGTGTAGCATTGGGGGAGCTGCATCGCACAAACGGGCTAAACTTTCGCTTATCGTTTTGGCATTTCTAGCTGAAGTCGATGAGTCTAGTAAGATGAGCCTCGTGTCATTTGTGTGTGGCTTGTGCTGCGAGTGTTGATCCAACTGTCTTTCTGTCTGATGATACAGTGAGTGGCGTGTACGTTCAACAGACAGAATGAGATGAGGAAACTTCAGATTTACCGTATTGTAAAATACGCACAGTAATAAAGACTGAAACTGTCTATAGCACACGTTATAGTGTAACTCTAAATTTGGATCATGACTGAGGCGAGAATGACATCCATCAACCGTTTCCATCCCGGATCTGAGCGGAGACAGACACGGGCTGCCCCGCTTCCCCGTCTCAGCGCCCGGAGCCGCTGAAACTCAAATCATCAATTCATTGGCCCGTAATTAAATCAACAAAACAAAACATTTCCTTACACAACACCATGGTAAGTAAAAGAGCAACAGATATCCACTCACACGACCATCGCGATTAACATGCACTCTCTTTGATAGGCTCCAGATCCAAAACCGCAAGGGCGCAAGCGCGGTAGGCCTGCAAACGCGTCCAAACAAGCCCCCAGCGCGTCGCAAGATCGACCAGACGAGTACGAAGCCAATGTCGAAGAAGCTGCGCGTCCGAAACAACGAGGACGACCAAAGAAAAAAGTGCAAGAAGATGCACCCGAGGAAGCAGTAGTGCAGGCGGAGAAACCTAAGAAGAAGCGTGGTCGACCTTCACTTGAGGATAAGAATGCGGAAAAGACGACAGAAAATGCAGCGCAACCGAAACGAAAACGCGGTCGCCCTTCGCTAGAGAAGAATCAGGATGAGCGAGAGGCTGAGCCAGAAATGGTAGAGGAGACAGCCCAACCAAAGAGGAAGCGCGGGCGCCCATCTCTCGAAAAGAATCAGAATGAGGAGCCTGAGGAGGAAGCAGAAGATGCTGGAAAGCAAAAACGAAAGAAGAAGTCGAAGGAGAAACAGATTGAAGAGCCGGAAGAGCAGCCAGAGGAGGAGCCCCAATCACGAAAAAAGGGCCGCAAGGCAGCTCAACAACCTGAACCCGAGCCGGAAGAACCAGAGGCAGAACCAGCACCAGCACCCCGAAAGAGACGGCGACGTGAAGCGAAAGAGCCCGAGCCTGAACCTGAAGAAGAGGAGCAACCACGACGAAGTCCACAAAATTCTCGGCGCGATCTCGGCGAAGATGCCAATAACAAGGGCAGCAAGGCCGAAAAGTCCAAGAAGAAGAAGAAGGATCGTGTAGCACAGGAAAACGCAGAAGATCAACCTGAAGAAGCTCCCAAGAAGCGCGGTCGCCCAAAAGGGGGAAGACCATCAACTGAGAACGCGGATGAACCACAAGAAGAGCAACAAGAGACGAATAAAAGGAAACGTCGTGGCAAAGAGAAAGACGGTGCACTCTCCGATTCAGGCGAATCTCTCGCCTCTCCGCCAAAGCCATACATTCACATCGCTCCCTTCAAACGCACAATCCGCTCCTCCAAAATCGCCGCAGACTGGACCGGTCTATCGGGCGCATCACTTCCCACTACTAAATCCATCCTCAAACTCGCCCAACAACCTATCCTGCAACGTATGGCCCCAACAAACAACCGACGCACCTACGCCTCTGCAGCATTACATCTCGTCTACCGCCGCATGGAACGTAAACTCGCCCGTGGTCTACCCTTCCCACCTGGGAATTCATCAAAGACTACAAAACGGCGCCTAGATGCTGATGGGGGTCGTGCGTTGGAGCTTGATTTTGAAGCGGTGCTCGATGGCAAGGCGGCGTTAGAGAGACAGCTTGTGCCCGGGATGCATGCAGTTGACTTGTTGAAGGCGGAGAAGGAGAGGATGGAGAGAGAGCTTGAGAGAGATTATGAAGAGCTGAGGAACTTGGAGGCAAATGCGAGGGCGCAGACAAGAGAGCGGAAGGATTTGTTTCGAAAAGCTCATGTTCTGGCACCGACATCAAGGCCAGCCAGTAAGGATCAGGATACAACTTTTGTTACTGACACCAAAGATGAGGGAAGTCTCAAGGTAAGTTTGTTCCATGACATTAGCTTATGTCCGGAGAACTCACAAAAGCAGGACATTGTCGATACACCTCTTGAGCCTATAGCCCTGCAACTAGCAGACCACGTCGAAAGCATCCGTGGTAACCTCCAACAAGCTGATGGGCTCACACCACAACTGAGTCGGACAAAAGCTGCTTTACAGGATGTGTTGCAGCGGTATCTAGATGAAGGAGCTTATGAGCAGGTTGTCCTTGGATAAGTGCTCTGTGCAAGACATGAGATGATGAAATAAGCTACTTGGGCTATGCATGAATGGATGAGCAAGGCGTTGGGATTACGGTTTGGATGAGTTTGCATAAACGCATGGCCTCAGCTGAGCGTCAGGGTGCAGGTACAGATAATACCCAGAAATGGGGTTTTTTTAAAGCCATTGTTAAGGGCATTGCATTCATATTTATTGCTTATGTTGTCTCACACCTACACAACTACATCTTCAGCAGGAAGGATATGTGGTATGAAAAGCAAGATGTATATGTGTATAAGACTCAATGAGACAGGAAGCGGTCTATGGAACCGACATTCCAGATAAGCATAACCCAAGTCTATCTATCTACAAGCGCTTCAATATACCAACCCCATCCGTGCTACAGTCAAAAGGAAACAAGACCAAGTAACCCGAGAGGGTATTTGTTGAGTGGACCAGATAAGACGAAAGTTCATGATTCTCATTGAATTGATTTTGAAGAAGGAAGCAGCAAAAAAAGTAAATTGTCATACATCCAGGAGAGTAGTTGACCTATACAAAGATATTCCCCCTTCCACTAGATGCCTAACCAAGAAGTGACCAAATGGTGAGTAATGTACAGATGAGACTTCATGAGTTGTCTCAAGACATTTATCGGAGACGGCGAGAGAAGCCAGTGGGCTTAGCGTAGCCACCGGTGGCAGTGTTGTTGACGGGGTAAGGGACAACGGTGACGGTAGCCTCGAGGGTGGTGGTGGTGTCGCAGAACTCCTCGTCATCGTCGTCCTCAGAGTCATCATCCTCGGAGTCATCACCACCAACAGCCTTGTCGGTGACGGTGGCATCATCAGAGCTGCCGGTCTTGCTGGCCTCAGGGACAACAGTGACGTAGACAGTGGAGGCAGGGGCGGTGACAGTGACGGTCTCAGGGACACACTCGCCGTTACCGTTGCCGGAGCCGGAGCCACCGTTGTTGGATCCGTTGCCGGAACCGTTGCCAGTACCCTTGGAGCCCTCCTCCTCACTCTTGCCGGTGCTGTAGCCGTTGTCACCGCCGGAAGCGGGGTTGGTCTCACCGACGCGCTCAATGGTCTTGGTGACAGTGCCAGTCTTGGTCTTGGTGGTGGTAGTGGTGGTATCATCCTCGGGGGTGCCGTTACCCTTGGAGCCGTCGTCGGTGACCTCAGGGCCAGCAGGGACGGTGATGGTGGTCTGGAGAGTCTTGTGGATGGTGGTGGTGATGGTCTCGTCACCCTGGGTAAGAGTGACAACCTGCTCAGTGGTGTAGTCGGAAACGACGGTCTTGTCGCCCTCCTTAGGAGGGGGGTAAGCACCGCCAGTGGTCATGGGGACGGAAGCGGTATAAGGGGCAGTGAGGGTCTTGCCAGTAACACCACCAGTCTCAGCGTCGTGGAGGACGGAGGTGTAGATAGAGCTGGCGTCAGCGACGGGGCAGACAACCTCAGTGAGGATGACGGTGTTGGTCTCAACGTAGGTGACCTTGTCGGACTCGGGGAGCTGAGCAATGGCAGTGTGGTCACGAGCAGGGCAGTTGGTGACGGTAGGAGCGCAGCTGGTGATGGTCTCGACGACAGTGGTCTTGACGGTCAGTGTGGTCTGGGTGTCGGTACCATTGTCGCGGCGGTAGTGGGCGTGATGGGGGAAGTTGTAGGCGTTGGCCACGGCGGCAAGCATGCCGATGGAAGCGACGACGGACTTCATTTTGAAGATTGAGGTGGTTTGGGTGTGATTTGGTTAAGTGGTTTGTTTTTGCGGTAGCTTCAGATTTGTCTATGACAACGGTTTGCGATGCGATTCAAATGGCCGTAGAAGTCAATTCCACAGTCAGGCAGCGAGCAAGACACAGTTTTGCTTCACTAAAAGAAAGGATAGAGTTGGAACGTGAGAAACGCTGGTTGCTGTAATGCTGGAAGGATCGTAATGGCAGAAGCCGGAAATGAATGGAAAGTCACGATAGAGACTGAACGAGTGTGGTGGTTGTGATAGACAAGACTGAAAAGCCGGATTTGAGGTGAGGCAGGAAGCGTTAGATATTAAGAGAAACCAGAGTCGGGGGCGTAGTACCAACTGGGCTGGAACGCCTCTTTTTAGCTCAATGTCTCTTGCAGGGGAGTAGACTGCAACCACAAAACGCCGGACTGCCAAGATGCTTTGAGCATGGGTGGTGTTGTGGTCCACCAGGAGGCCCCTTGGATTTAGAGAGGGCCAGGGTCTGCATCTCGAGTTTGGGCCTTGATCAGAATGAGAGGGAGATGTACCCACTTGGGCACGTTCCCTCCAGCGACTGGTGAGCCATCTTCGGCTCTCCGCAGCTGGAGGAGATGTGATTATCGCGAAGGATCATTGAGAGCGAATGCCACGCATGCGTACAGTATAGCTGAACGATAGGAGTAGCGACAGACTAAGCGACGAGCCAGTGCCAGGGCCAGGACCATGCACCTGAGCTAGAGAGGCTTATTCATTGTAACCTTTCGTGATGAGCGTGTCCTTCATCTTGCTTGGGCGGGTTGGTCGGTTGCTGCGGCGTTGACGTTGTTGAGATGAACATGGATGTGATTTGATTGGAGATGATGGAAGAGTCAAGACCAACCGTTGGAGAAGGTTGAGGTTCAGATGTCGGTGGGGCGTTCTAGCTCTTGCCTCAAGAGGAATGGTTCAGGGGCGCGGTAGGCTTCTCGGGCCAGGGTCCACGGGGTGCCTGACCAGGGGGGCTTGGGGCTAAGGAAGCGCTTTTTGGTGAGCGAGCACCCTGCAATTTAGCGATATTATTCCAGTTCACTTGAACCTTGGTTGATTTTGATGATAGTTCATGCTATATCTGAGCATCATCATGGGTATTCTCATGGTGTTGGACGACAATTACTTGATACATATGTTGACTCTCGCTGATACATAAAACAAAAAGTTATGTTTTCACTCTCTTGCGTTGTTCATCCTTTATGTAAGGTACTCTCCCCCCAAGACAACGCCACCACGTCACTTTATGCAGGTACCGTGCAAAACCTGAGACGCCACGCGGGCCAATTAAACCTCCAGACTCTTAATCACCGCCATCCCGAGATTTCGTTGTTCTGGCGCCCGCCACATTTTGGTTTAAGGCGGCGAATGAGAAATGCCCACAATCATCGTCAAGTGACGAATGTTTCGAGGAGCGCCAGCTATTCTCTATCTGTACACATGTTGCACAGCGTAGACAACAGCGCGTAAATCAGGTGAGGCTGCTTATTTACCAAGAGTCTGTAACTGCTGCTGTGCACATTTACCCCTATGTAGTCGGGTTGGATGTATGCGGTGAGACTCTTCCTGGTACTGCTAGTCAGCGAGGTAATTTCAGCCTTGTGCGCTGTAAACGCCAGAACCTGCAATATGCCGCCGTGCGTGCCTGTCTAGACCACTAGAAATGTCCGACGGGATCGACAAACCTGGCACGCAGGATTAGTGCAACTCTGATAACTAAAACTCGAGCCATAACCGGATACCAGAGATTCCCGAGTCTTTGAAGCAATGTCCATGTCATCCTGGCGCAGTCTTGCTACTCCAAGGAGGTCCATCGTCAAGGAAACGAAGAACCTAGAACCTAAAAGTCAAACATTTTTCTCACATGTCGAGACTGTCCCTGGCAAGCTGAGAAGTTGTTGGAAAGAAAAACCCAGAAACAAGTCCCTTGCATGCTTGACCGCGATTTGGCAGAGTCAGACAGAGTCCACTCTCTTGTGCAGGCTTCCGCCAAAAGAGATCTTTTCTTCCCTGCCAAGCATTTCCTCGGATCTAGAATGACTCAGATCCCGGGTTCCAACTTCCGACCTTTTCTGTTCTTTTCTGACTAGAGACCATGGCTGTGACGAGTGATCTGAGACTGGTAGCTAAGCCTCATCGGCATACGGCAATCAATGAACTACAGTTCCTACACTAACCTCTAATAATAGTAAATTCGTAGAGAAGATTGGTCGAGTCGTACAGAAGCACATGGGCAGATCATAACTGGAAATGACCATCAATTGCCGATCCTCCAGAATAGAATCAGCCAGCCAGACTGGTCACTGGACGGTGTTGGTTACCCAATCTGGTAATTAAATTCTCGTTATGCTTTCCAACAGGCTCTGACAGCGTTGATCTAAGTTTTGCTTGCTTGGATGAGGCAATTTTGCATCAATATGCAGGTACCACAGACTGTCATCTCCATCTTGTCAGTCTCTGACTCCAATATCAGTCATCAACTAATAGATCAAGATCCCCGAGTTGCACATGTTTTATGAGGAATATGTCTCATCGAAGACTTCAGAAAAGCCACGTCCTTTCGTATATGTTTCACTTCTCAGCCGCCTCCGGCCAACCCGTCCCCCGATGCCATCCCTGTCGTTTCATCAAAACCCCTTGGTCCCTGTCTCGTCTTGTCGCAGAATAACAAGTTACCAACTTTGTTTCCCCACTCGTAAATTACCTCTTACCTCCTTCCTCTGTCCTTCGCGGTTCCGACGGCTTGTTCATAGCACGTTGACGGCTTGTCATCTCGATAATGTCGTTGTCGTCTTCATATATCAAAAACACCCCAAGCAAGGGTTTAAAATTCTAGGAACGCTTTTTGACTTCCTTTTCTAGATTTTTACGAGAATGTTTATTATTCGGCTCATTTTAAACATTCAAGCCGCGCAATCGCTCATCTCATCTCGTCTCGTCTCGGTAATCACTCATGCTCATAGGCAGACTTGGCCTTGGCGGGCGGTTCTGCTGTTGACCAAAGTCCCAACTTATGCTTGATACATGCTAAATAGACTGTCGGGATATGCTGACTGCGAATCTCATCTTCAAGGCACGGTCACATCCATCGTGAGGCTCTTTATGCGCCGAGTTACTTTGAACCATGTCAATTCTAGCCCTGTCGTCAGCTGCAGTTGGCTGCATCTCCAGGGAACCTCAAATCCTACATGGTGTCACTATCCACAACTCAAATGCGCTGCGCCCTGTTGTGCTTTCCGATCAGGTAGACACCGAGATTGCCAATCATTTACCGTACTCGGGTAGCGTGGGACCTGGATATCCCCTCGATCTCTTGGACGCACCCATTCATCCCGTCTTTCATTCCACTTCCTCAATTCGTGGCCGAGGCTTCCCAGCTGCGTCCACCAAAGTTCCGCCGGGGTTGACATGGAGGCCCGCCAGCTGCGTGAGTCCTGGACTGCTTGTTGACTCTTGCGGCGGGAGGATGCTCGCCATTTGCCAGTTCTCAAGGCTTTCAACCACGTCCTTTGCATGCTGTTGGACCAGTCCATCGTTGTCCGTTTGAGCCACATATTGCAGTGTCCTCACAATATCCTCTCGACTCTCGTCAGTCAGACCAAAGCCAAGTTTCCTGCCAGACTCCTTAGCAGCGTCGAGAGCCCTCACAAAACTTAACACGTTCAGGATGGCAGCTCTTCGTAGAATTGCCGTCTCCATCTCTCGTTCCATTGCTAGGATATTGATGCAAAGGTCAACGCTACCAGATACGAGCGTTGGCCCAATGCCTCCTATGTTCGTTTCGATAGCAGCGCCAAAGATTGACAAGGCAGAAGTTCGTATTCGAACGTCTTCTGCGCCTCTCTTACTTTCCCATCCTTGGAGAATTTGAGCCAAAATGTCATTCCTAGCCCTCTGTTCTTCAGTCACTTCTTCTTCATCCAAGTCCATATCATCGTCGTCATCCTCCTTTTTCTTCTTCAGCTTTCTGAGCTTCTCATCACGAGCTTGTTTAGCCATAGTTTTGGCTCGATATCCACGACGTCCAGCGATGGACAGCAAGGTCTCGCTAACTTGGCGTGCAACATCACCGGTAAAGGTTTCCCCTAGTCGCTGGATCACTTGCAGTAAAGCTTCTCCAAACCGCAGCCGAACATCCGTCGTAGACTTTTCCTGTGGGTCTAAGTAGTGGTCTAGAAGCTCTTGAACTGCCGATTTAGGATGTTTGTTGGCCAGCTGAGTATAAACTTTGATGACTCGAAGGTTTATGTAGTCGTCGTTATTCTCGAGTAGGGTCGACAAGAGCACGGCAACTGCAGGGATGTCGAGGATTGGGCTGTCTTTAAGTATCAGACCAGAAAGCAGGTTCAATCCTTCAGACACGATGGGGGCTGGATTATCATCGCCCCCGGTAACATATTCCATGGCCAATTTATATGTCCTCTGATCTTCGATCTGCCGGGTGCTGGGGGCCGAGGCAGAGATATCATCCTGCTCCATTTCGTCTCGGTACTTAAGAAGCAGCGCTAGGTTCCTTGCTGTAGGTGACAATTGCGGCCTATCTTCATTGCTCAATCGTTCCAGGGAACTCTCTACAATCTTGAGCTCTTCTGGTTTAATGTGGGATTTCTGGAATGTCGGTGCAGTGATGACCAGATTCAGTAAGCTCAGTACCACAGCGAGTAGGTCATCTGCTAGCCTCGACTGAGTATCTGCAGTAAGAACTTCGCATACCAACTCTAGCAGCTGATCAAACTGGCTCACGAGCTTTTCTGGAGCCTTGTCCATCAGCTTCTGTAGAATAGTGACCTCGAAAAGATTTTGCAGAGGTGAATCTGCCTTTTCATCCTTAGGACGCAGATCAATTTTGATCTCATCATTTGGTTTGTTTGCTGTTTCAATCCAGCGCTTTAGGAGGCTCAAGAAGATGGATGACACCTCTGTGACCGAGCACGATGTGGTTATGAACTCAACCAGCTTAGCTGCTTTGTCTTCGAGTTCGTTCCAGTTCAGCTCGAGGCCTGAGTTTGAATCAAGTCCACGAAGCTCTGTGATCTCAATATCGCCTTTACCTTTGAGTCGGTACTCCCAAGGCTTTTCACTTCCTTCTGTGGCGCCTCTGCAGAGGAGGTTTCGAACAAATGGTCTGACACTTTCAGAATTACCGAATATCCTCAAATAGGCCTGTAGCAGTGCCCTCGCAGGCTGAACATAGTTCTCTTCCGTGCTAGGAGGTGGGTTTTGCCACGAAGCGAGAACCCATATCTGTAATAATACAAGCCTAAGGAGACGTCTGCATAGCCCAGGTGAAGAATTGGACATCACGAGAGTCTTGAGGCGTTGTAGCGATGTTTTGAGAGATTGGGAGGTGACGAGAACACGATCACGGCTGAGATCAACCATTTCCTCGTCTTCTTGCTTAATGGTAGTAGAATCAGGGTTGGTCATCGATCGTAATGTCGGATTTATATCCTGGACTAGGGGCTGAACAAATGCATTCCAACCGGGAGATCCTATCTCTGAGTTTAGTCTTGCTTATAGAGGTTGTCTGCTATTACTCACCAGGTGCACCATATTGCTTGTTCCCCAACACACCATAACCTACGATCTGAGAAGCGGTTTTCGCGAGTTCAGGACCAGCAGTTCCATCGATGAGCTCAAACAACTGTCCTGAGATGCCTTCGAACCACGCTTCCGCTGTCATGCTGGTTGGAACTGATGAGAGAAGTTTCGTTGCAACGGCGACACCTTCGTGTGTTATGCTAGCTCCTTGCTTCTGTGGCCCAGCCTTTGCATCTGGAGTTCTGCCAACATTGCTAGGGTGTACTGAGAAGACAAATTCCATGGTTCCACGGACACCAGTTGGGCGTAGAGGGAGGAGGGTGAGAGTCTGGACCAGAGGATCTCGTAACCATTGTGGGAGAACTGATGGCTTAATAAGTGTGTTTAGAGCAGGCAAGAGTTTCCAGACTGGTGTTCTTGTAGTCTGTTAGTGCCCTGATATTAAGATACATGATTGTAGTCAGAGTTGCATCTCACCTTTCGATGAGTTTGTCATATGCTTCGAGGCCCGATGCCTGAGTGCTGGCATCATTATTTGGATCAAAAGCTTTTTTACCTGCCTCTACTATCTCCTCGAGTATTTTCGGGTGTGCAGCAGCAGAAGATGACGAGCTTGCCATGCTGCGCCAGAGGTTAATGATAAGCTTCAAAAAATGTATAGGTGAGGTGAGAAGATTAGAAACGAGAAAAAGTCAATTGGTATAGGGTGTTTGTCATCATGATCCAAGAGCTCCAGCCTTCATGTGCACTCCACACTGTATGTACTGTGAAGAGGCTGGATCAGTCACGTGCAGGCGCGTTTGCAGTGGAGGCCCACATATTTCATCGCGTCTATCTCTCGGTGTGTTGAACACGACTTTCTCAGTCAACAACCACTTCGTGATGCTGTTCAGTTTCTAGGATTCTCTACTGGAGATACAACACCCGCCAAAAGGTAAGATTCATACAGATCAGCTTTCTGAAGCTCCCGATGCGGTCAAGATGAGCTCCTTCACTCCATCCAACACGCGCGACGCCTCCCCCACAGTCCTCCGGTCCTCGTTTCTCGCAAGGGATCCTATCGTAGGCACCCGCATCATTTGGTTACCCTTCCATATGCCGCTCTCGAGCCTGTAACAGGACCTCGTGAATGCCGCAGCCGGATTACGGTGGGTAGCGCATCCTGTATAGGACGTACCAAGCGGGCGGGTGAACGAGGCTCGGAACTTAACCCTAAGAAGATATCTGGTTATCAAGTTTTGCGCTCTTGTCGCCCAAGTCGTCTTTTATGCCGGTGAAGCACCAGCTGTCATCATGCCCGCTGAAAAGTTGGATGATTGACTGGTGGCGCTACTGCCGACGGACAGGCGAGGAGGGCAGTCCAGTCACCGTTTGGGTGCGCGAGAGGATCGGTGCCATGAGTCGTTTGGTAAGAGCCTCTGGTCTGAGGACGCTCGTCAGCCCTTTCCGCTGGAACCAGCACATTGGTCAAGAGTAGACCGTCTAGTCGTTGCGATTAGCTCTAGCTCTGGGTCTTGGAGATGGAACTAGTCTGACCACTTGGTCACACTGTTAGCTTGCCCATTACGCCCAAGCAGCTGAGAAGTGGGGCTTCGATCTGGCCTTCAAACAGCCAGTCAATGAATTTCATTCATGTCCCGAGTTTTCGCTTGCCGGAACCGCCAGTTAGGGTAATTCCATCTGGTGCAGCGGGCAACTCGCGGAAACACACAGAAATTCGGCGACTGACATATCTTGCTAATCGTATAGTCCCCGGTCCTTCAAAGCTGTTCATGGCATGGCGCGTTGCTGCACTACTTCACATCCACCCAACCCGTTCGCACACTGGACCACACCACATCACTTACTACCGGTGTGTGACGCTCCGCGTCTGGTCTGACCAAGCGCATTAACCTCCAGCCATGGGTCCCAATCCCTTGGTCATGATGGGCGCCAGCAAGCCTGCAAGGATCAGAAGGTCTAAACAGGTCCCTCAGGTCCGCCGAAAGGTTGAACCGAGACGAAAGGGTGGTTTTTATGGATGTCTTTTGTCCACCCGTCAACGCCCTCCATATCTCTCGCTGGCGAGAACTTTGGAGAGGAATCAAAAACTAGTCCTAGTTGGCAGCGCGAATCATACAGAAGGAGTTCTCCTGTCAGTGTCGGTGGGTCTTCAGACTGCGTTCTGCCATGACAACTTTTGGTGGAGTCGTGTTTGCGAAGGTATTGGATCATTATGGAATTGTCAGCTCACGAAACAGTCTTCACCTTTGCAATGGCCGTTATTGCAGGAGGATACTTGTGGTTGGTGTTGGAAGCATCACCGGGACCCATCTCGAGTTGGAGTCAAAGTTTCGTGCTTGTCTGGTGTTGTGAAAGACCCTTCCATCGAGTTGAGTCTCACAATTCTGTGTCGCACTGTTGAAGCTGGGTTGCATTGTTGGATCTAGGACAGGCCTTGTTGGGTACGGTAGTCCTGGCTGTTCTCTCGCCTGAAAATGGTGTGGAGGACAGCCCCCCGCGGTGAGGGGATAAGTCTACCCATTTCTTCTGATGATTGGACAAGTGCTAACATTCGGACAGGACCAGAGCCATCTAGATACACTAGCTGCCATGTTTGGGGACAAGCTTTCAGGTAAGTTCAAGATCTAAAGTCAATCGTTGTGTGGGGAAGTTGAAAGATCCCGTCTAGATCGGCATTCGGATCCGACGGGTCGGAGAATTAGTGTCGTGATGTCATGAATGCCAATATTTTCCAACGTCCGCGTTTCTTCGGCAGCAAATCAGAACTAAGAAAATACTCGTCGTAAACTTTATACATTTGTAACAAATGATCAGCGACAGATTTGGAGTGTGTGGGTTGCTCTAAGAAGCTTGCTTCCATCCTGGTCGTGTTACACGAGTGCTGACGAGGAAAGAAAAAAAAAGACGCATCTAATGGTGTTTCTCCTCACGAACATGCCATTGTAAATATCGTAAAAACTCTAAAGAAGTCCAAGATAATAGACTTGATCTGGATCGTCTTCAGCAATTTGTCTTGGAACTGTAAATGAATTTACAAGTATTACAACGAGAAGGACGGAGTTTGTCTAATTCTGTGCTTTTCTTACCCCCCAAGCTTGCTTGTTGAACGAGCCAATAGGAAATATCCGATGACTGAGATACCTGGTTGCTGGTGATGTCACATAATGCAGGAACCTGCTCCTCATGTCTGAGCTGATGATACTAAACAAAAGCAAGATTGCCCTGTTACCTTAGCTTACCTAGTCCGCTTACTCCTCATAAAATATCCCCTCCCTTCGTTTGCTCGCTCCCGTCTTGGCTCTGTATTCTCACGCTACTCTTCGAAAGCCAAGACTCGAGAGATATCCATCATGGTGAGAGCAGCATTCTTGGGCTTTTTGCCCGCCGTCATGGCCATCCCGGCAGCCGTTCCCGGTCCCGCACCAACGGTTTATCGTAGAGAGGCAATTCCAGCTGCTCAGCCTACGCAGGTTATGGACCTCGAGCGACGCGACATCATTGGCGATGTGGAGACGTATGTCGGCAGTCTTGTTAGTGGTGTTGAGACAAAGATCAAGGGATGGGTCAATTCAGGCATTCTCGACTTTCCAACCGGTTTCCCTACAGGCGATGCTGTTAAGAAGTCAGCAGGCGTCGACGACGATGATTTGAAAGCGGAGCCGACACAGGTTCTAAATATTCCGTAAGTGGCATAAATCATCTGTACGAATCACACTAACCAGGAGGCAGCCCATACGGCAATTGGACCGACAAGGGATGGAACGTTCGAGTGCACGGCAATGTTTACAAGATCCCCAACCTGAGCCAGGAGAAAGTCGACGACCTCGCCAATGTCTTCCTTATCGATACGAGTGTTGACAAACTGTCAAAGTCTCAGCAAGCTCAGGCTCGAAATGTGACAAAGTCCATCTTTGTGGTGCAACAGGACAATGTTGAGGTCAAGATGAACTTTGTGAACAATGTTGATGTGTCTCCCGATGAGAGCGGTGGTGCAATTGATGCGGTAAGCCAAACAAAAGACAACAGAAACATGGAATCAGTTGCTGACCATATATCAGAGGGGAGGTTCGCAAAACATTACCATGCCATATAACACAACTCTTGAGGGCGACTTTGACACTTTCGTCGTGCTTAAGAACACCACTGGCCCGAACAATGGCTATTTGATCCCCGGTAACGAAACTTCGAAGATCCAGACCCTCAATGTTTATGCTGAGGGTAAGAACAACAGCGGAAACGCAACCGCTTACCTCGTACCACCCAAGGGTATCACGATTGTCTCTGACATCGACGATATTCTGCGAGTGACAAAGATTTACGAGCCAAAGGAGGGTCTTCTCAACACCTTTGCTCGACCTTTCACTCCATGGATGAACATGCCCGACATTTACGCCAACTGGTCGTCTTCAGTGAAGGATTTGCACTTCCACTATCTCACTACGACACCTGAGCAGGCCACTCGTAACTACATGAGCTTCATCTACAACACTTACCCACTGGGCTCATTCGATACCCGTCCACTGAACTTCTCAGACGTCTCAGCGACGCTGTCCATCCGTCGCTTCTTGCTCGACAAGGTCTTCCAGACATTCCCTGATCGCAAGTTCATCCTCGTCGCCGACACGAGCAACTCAGACGTAATGAAGGACTACCCAGCGATGTACAAGGACTATCCCGGTCAAGTGCAGTGTATCCTCCTGCGCAACACCAGCTCCACCGACAGCGGTGACAAGTTCCCGTACAACACAAAGGGCTTTAAGGATATTCCTCAGAAGAACTACATGTTCTTCCACGTGCCTGACGATATCGCAAAGATTGACATTGCCAATGGGGGATGCTATAACAGCTCTATCAAGCAGAATGTGACTTTTGACTACCAGGGCCTTCCCTTTGGTTTGAGCGACGACGATAATGCCGCTGCGGGTGTTACACCTAGGTTAGGAATGGTTGTTGCAGGATTAATTGCTGCTGGTTTGGCGATGATGGTTTAGTTGGATTAGAGGGCGTTATTCCGGGGTATCATAAACTCAGACTGTAGCATAGGTAGTTACGAGCATAATGATTACGTTGAGTTACTCACGACAGACCTCACTCCTGTCCCCAGACGCTGTAATCGAAGAAGATCTCTGGTTCCATGGGAGCGTCAACAAGTCTGTCGTTGATAGGATACTCTACAATCGGTGATTACAGTACTCATACTCTTACCGTGACATGACATTGCGTTTACTTCGTTTTTTTTTTTTTCCACAAATCGTGCGTGTTCTTTCGTAAATCCGTATCAAATTACGTCAACCGGAATATATTCCGTCCAACGGCACATGAGTAATTCTTCGGAACTTGTCCACCCGAAGGAAGCTATAAAATTCAGGGTCCAGCTGAAATATCGTATGACAACGGCACCTCTACCGCATAGATCGTATGAACACCATCCCAGGCTCTTGGATATGAGCATCTCGTTGCGGAAAATAACGTCCTGTGTCTTGAGTATTATCCGGCACTCCGTGCATCGTATCCTGTCGTATCATGGCTCAAGCAACGAATATGAACTTTGACTCCACTACGGTACTTGGAACTTCCAGGATTGAAGAATTCCATACAACTGTCAAAGCTTATTGGGAATAGACACAAACTCTCTTGAGATGTATCGACGAGGAAGATGTACTGCACTAATGCGGCGAGCCCCGACTCTAAGAGAGATGAAATGGCCAGACAGCACATGCTCCAGATCACCAAGACAAGCCACTTAATACTAAATACATTAGTAGCTGCACTTGACTGAATCATGAACTGGTTGGTTTGTTCCTGGTTGTTGTCATGTCTGTATGAGTAATTGAGGTCTTTTCAGTAATTCTCTCAATCGTTCCATTCCGCTTCTGGAACGGGATGTTGTTTGTGCCATGACGCTTCTAGCACTGGCACTAAGCTATGGATAATGGGCTGATGCAGGGTTCTGAAGGTGCTGTATCCATAGCGCGTAGAATCCTCGCGAGATCTCGCAGGCATCTTTCGCATACCGAGCGTTGCATTGTAAGAGGATGAGGGGAGACAAGGTTCACGCCAAGACCAGGGATGGCTGTTTTCTTTATTGTCTCTTTCTAAAGTTCCGGCATATCACGGATCTTCCAAGGAGGCCAAGTCAGAGGCTGAGAGTGGTCATCGGCTCTTAGAGCTGTGATTCAACCTGAGGAATTGTCCAATAGGATCTCAATTGATACCCGCGCAGCTGAGACATTGAGGCTACCTAGTCGTCAATCTTAGCGAGGCGTGAGGTGTGTAAGCTATTTCTAGAAAGGAGTTTACACATGACACAGCGGCATCCCTCAAAAGTTGAACTAGAGACTCATGGTTGAATGGATGGAAGCTTCTAAAGGCCCTAGACCTTGAAAAACATACTAGAGACTGGCCAAGTTTTACGGGCACTAGTGGAGACCGCTTTCCCCTGATCAGCCAGTTGACAGCGGCTCATATCCTATTTGATAATGGTGTTGTGGATGTCGAAAGCACTAATCCGTAGCTGCCGTGTCTGTCTCTTGCCAATTGAGCATGTTCCTGGACCACAGACTGCTCATTCAGGCCGGAAAGAACGGAGACCTACAGGTAAGTCCCCGCCTGAGCTCTTTCTCGATTCACACATTTTCTGGGCTCTGGCTCCATTCCATTGGAAAAGGCAAGAGCACATGAAGATGGCTGTTCGCTGGTCATTATTCGTATTCCCCACTCGCATCCGGAAGCCACCATCTCAATCTCTTCAATCTCACTCAGACTTCTCCACTACTGCCGCTACTGAAGAGAAAACAATGCTACAAGCAGGGACATTCATCCGCGGTCAATTCGAAACAAGCCGCATGCTTAGCACTGCATTCTGCACCTCTAACCGCGTCTCTGTGGCTACGCGGTTTGTCTGTCCGTGCAATACGTACCTCCGTTGTTCGGGGATCCTGACGATCCGCAGTCCGCGGGAGTAAGCGAGGCCGGAAGTCTGTTCTAAAACAAACCGTCTTGCAACGGCGTCAAATTACTTCATCACCGAAGCTCAACCAATCCTCTGCTAATTGCAGGTACAACTGGTAGCTCAGCCTTGATGGACCCCCAACCAGCTATTGGCACCACCCTCACTGCAGGCACGTGGAGACTGGTGGAAACCGTTGCACTTGGTCCCTTTTGAGAAAAGTTTACCGTTTGAAGAGCAAAAACGCTATCCATGGCTTTTCGCGAAGTCAAGTGCTACCACTGGTCTAGCAGAAACGCCTCGTTCAGCTGCGGCTCCAAGCCTCTTCTTCAACAACCAACATCGTTCTTGGCCCTCTTCGGCCCACAATCAATTGCGGCTCCCGTGTTGGTCATCGCTATTTAAGTTGGTTTGATATTAGAGCTTAGACTCGCGCGCCTTGTTGGACAATCTCTATCGGTGGGGTACCTCATCCCGAAACAAACAACGACTGACTGATAAGTCCTGCAGCCAGACAAGGATCATCAGACGAGCTCTCTTTCCGAGGCACGCCACATCTCACGACCTAGCCCTGGCTTCCGCGCCTTGATCTGATTCCTTGACATGATCTCGTGTGCCTAGAACTCATTACTGACCCGCTCAGCAGCAGGTCGACCACAACTAATGCTCCCTGAGCATCACATCACATGTCGTGTGCGTTTTTAGCAGATGATTAATCGAAACGAAATGAGATCAAAAACTGCCTCGTCTTTTCCGCGAAGGAAGAGGTCAGAAATCAATTTCCCGGCTCCAGAAAGGCCAAAAAGATAACAATTGTTGCCACCCAGTGAAACTCATTCGCGCCTGTTACATGATGATGTCCGAATAAAAAAAGAAGCCCAAAAATAAAAACAATTGCAGATTGGAGTCCCCCGTCTCCAGAAAGGTTCAACAGCGCATGGGTATCTCGCGGGGGTTTTGTTTGCTTGCGGTCTTGCTCCAGCCACCAATCTCCCGCTCCATCCAATGCCGAGCGTCGCAGTCAGTCAAAAATCGTACACTGCATACGCCCAATGGCGCGTTGCAAATGGTCGGCGGTCAAGAGAGAGGCATGCCATCCTATCTCCCCGTTGCCGTCGGCACTCAATAGTCCAGTCCAGTCTTTGCCCGTCGATAATTGTTTCCAGCTCTGCCGTCCTCATGTCGCAATTGAAGAAACCCTCTCAGAGGGTGACGCTCCTGTGCCCCTCGAGGACACTACTCTTCTCAAAATCGATGATGTGCCATGATGCTCGGTATACCTGGCATAGCGCTTGTTACGGGAATTGATGGTGGTGGCCGACTGGCCTTATCCCGAAGAGTCCAGTCGTCGCCAGGTTCTGAGGGAGCTACGAGCTCCATTAGAGTATATTGAAGAATACCGTCGAGAACTTGTGGGACAACAATATCTCGAGACAGTCCCCATGATGGTAATGAAGGTTCTTCGTTATCGCGCCCATCAGCCTGGAGCTATCAGTCAGTACCAGCCGAATGAATTGATATGCAAAGCGAATGTCCCAACTTACAAGGCATGATGCGCAAGGCGCATTATTCACCCAGACCCAGTTGGGGCAGTTATGTGTATAGAAGTACTTGCATCTGTACTTATAAAAACCACCAGCTCCACTCATTGTGCTGTTGATGTCCAAGATAGAAGAGAGTTGTATGGCGTAGTGAGGAACGGATTGGACAAGGTGAGATATGAATCAATGGGCAGACGGAGAATGAAATGCGAGGAAGAGGCATAGACTCTTATATGAGCTGCCAGGCAATGAGAGGAAGTGACGTGAATGCGATTATTAGCACGGGGAGTGGACTAGGCTGGGGAAAGGGTCGAACGATTTGCTTGTACTACCGCTGAAGTGCGGATGGCCAACATGTCAAGGATACCCAGGGCAGAGCGGAGCTCTAAGTGGGAATGAGCTGGCATGATCAAAGGCGCGTAGTGTTTGCTCGACGGAGTACGACTTAGAGACTCGGGCGCTGACGTCTTAGGGACAACTAAACTCGATGGGAATGGCCGTTGGCGTCGCAATGCCATTTTGCATGGCATTGACTGATGCCCCCGCCGAACAAAACGATGCGATGTGGTGGGGACCACACCCGTAGTGATGACAGACAGGGAGCCCCTGTGAGCTCTGCAGGACGACTGCAGACACCTTTTACAAGCGACAAGGAGACATGACTTGGGTACGGGCAGGCAAAACAACGTACATGATTCTAAACCGACGATGGAATACGGGAACCAGCCAGAGATGACTTGTTCTTGAAAGGCCGGTCTCAAGGAGAAATCGACACTATCAACATATTTCGTTACTATGCGCTCATACAGCCGGGGAGGACATTCAAGCGCTTCCAGAGCACGACTAGACAAATGTTAATCAGCATTAGTGGCATTCATGTGTTGCGGTTCCCGCCTCAATCTGCTGCTCCAGTACAGTATGCGTCCATACTGAAAAGCGAAGTGATAGGATGGGTCATCGCAGAAGCCATGTCGACAACTTAAACGGTTTGTGGTTCGTCGAGACGTGGGGCCATGGGACGAGAGCTATAAAGGGTGTAGCGTCCGGCGGAATGGCGTGAGGTTAGACCCGACAAGGGCGTGTCTACTGGTCTGGGGAAAGGACGTACTGTCCGCCATGGTCATATCCAATGATACCGAGCTTTTGCGCATCCCCCTCGGAGTTGACCTTACTTGAGACGATGCATGATGATTTCCCCCCGTCTATGGTCCACGCCTAAGCCCCTAGGTCCACGGCAATCACAATTGCTCCAACGCCGCATACAGGACAGTACCAGGTCAGGGCAAGAAACCCTCAACAGGAATAGGGAGGGGCGTGCTGTGTATCTATGAATATGTTGTGGTGTTTTCTTTTCGGGCCAGCCGGCGCCACGACCTGAAGCCAAAAACCCGTAGTTAACGGTAGGCTTGCTGCGGTCGTCCCATGCTACCATGTGTCGTGCCACAAGAAGAGCACGGGCAAAGATCCGATTGTCGGACGCGCAGTGGCATGGTTCAACATCAAGCAGGCCATGTATAAAATTAATCTGACCTCACTCTGACCCTGTGGCTCTTCGAGGCAGGGACTTTGTGGGGAGGGGATCTCTGAGGCTGAAAAAGAAACGTTCTTAGAACATCTTGGGATCGATGCCAATGCGGCTCAGCCCAGCACCTGGAATGGAAGGACGGGAAAAAGCAAAAAAAAAACAACAACAACAAAAAAACACTTTGCTTGTGAGGGGACGGGATCCACAAGCGCGTGGCGCCGCAGTTTGGCTTGTGGGTATGCGAAGTATATCTCAACGTACACATACTTGCACATGTCGCAATGGCTTTTTTCCCTGTGAACTTGTGTTGGGGAAGCTGGTAGCCAATCTATCGGCGATACAAACTATCAAGGTTGCCGAAGAGCGAGACCAGAGCTTATTACGAGGAGGGACTTCAGACATGGGGGGTTACCTGTTCTGATATCATGAGATATTTGAGAAGCATCAGTCTTTGCTCGACAAGATTACGACCCTACCCGGAGGTCTCGGGTCGCCCCGTGCTTTTCCAACGTCCAGTTGAGCATCACCGATGACCTCGGGCGTCTCCATTCGCGGATCTGCCATTCTACCTCGGCCACTCCACACTCATTTGGACTTCTTCAACACCATCTTCTGATTGAGGCAATTGCAATGTTGCGCGATAAACGACACCTTGGACGGGCGCGCAGAAGAAGCAGGATCCAGGGTTGGTCAGTCTTATCGTTGCGTTGCGTTGCGACTAGACAAAACTTAAAAAAGTTTCTCTCATTTCCCCATATTGGGAAAACATTACAAACCGCGCAATATGCACAGTTGACAACGCGGCCCCCTCGGGCAGTGCACCATCTTCTGATGCTTCTTCACCTGTGCGCCATCTTGCTTCTTCCGCCCCCCCCAAGTATGTTCCAGGTTGTGAACAGGGGCGAACGGCAAGGAGCTATGGCCTCCTCGGATAGATTGCCATGATGCTCAACCACCCAGGAAGTGCCCTGCAGATACATACATACAGGTAATGCTCTCCATACTTTATTCTCCGGTCGGCACTGTCGTCTGCTTGAAGCTCGAGCCCTTCCACTGCATTGCATTCTCGAAAAGGAAGAGAGCTGCTGGAGCTCCCGTCAGAGCATGTCATTGATTGGACCACTTCTGAAGGTCTGAGCCGGGCAATTTGTTTGGTCCGTACGATGATACCCTGATATTCCAAACCACGCTGAGATACACGTGATGTTCTGCATCAGCTCTTCTTACTGATCTGATATTGCTGGGTCATCCCTGGCTGGAGCGGTCTCAATCATTATGATAACCCGATTGACTTTACCGGGTGAAATTGAGGGATGCTACAACGGCTCTTTGTCACCCCTGTCATCGGATAATGGTATTGAATCGGTCATGAACGGCTTTGGCGACCTAAAACAGGTATTGATCTCGTCGGTAGTCAGTAGCCGGGTCTGTATGGAAGCAAACTTCGAGGTGGAACCAATAGGTCAAACGTGGTGGTAATTTTTTTCTTCTCATACGATCTCCTCACCTCGTATATCTGCCCTTTCATACCCTCTTACTCTCATTCGTCGTGGGGCAATCATGGCTGTGAGCAACAAGTATTCTTGAGAAGGGATCCGCACCCTCTGTGAAGACCCGGCCCTATTTGTCTGTCCCGCCGTATATCAGAAACAAACAGCCATCGCCGATTTTACTTGGCCCAGTACAATTGAACTCGTACTCTTTTGGCGGTCTTCATTTCACCGTCATTGGTGTCAAATTGTGGTAATAGGGGCAACATTGCGACTTTTCGAAGCCAAGGTGCAGTGTTGAAAGCGATCCACGATAATTGCTCTCAAGTTACTGGCGTTGTTGTTCCCAACTTACACTTACACTTCGTTTAGTTTCTTTTCTCTTCTTTTTGCTTTTTCCATCGATCTCCCGTCTTGCCCGCCTCCAGAACCGATGTCGATGAGGGGAGCCTTGCTAGCTTGGCCACTTTTATCGGCCCCTGGTCGCCCACATCTAGAACGAGCAGGCATTGACACACACATCGTCATCCCAAGAGAGAAGGACGTGAGAGGTGAGAAAACCTTAGAAAAATTGGAGTTGGATGGCCGAACCAACATTCAGACTGCATCGTCAACCGCGGCGAGACGGATATGCAGGCCACCCTTCCCTCTGCAAGGATGCCTTGTTTGTGTTTGCATCAGAGAAGCTTCATCCTGACAGACATACATACTCAGGCTATTCCGAGTCAAGCTTTGCTGATTGCCTAGTTGATTTGAGGCTGGGAGAAGAGGCAACAATGCAGTCAAGACAAACGCTCAAACAACCAGAAGAGGTGTCGTGCATGATACTAAAGAAGCATGAATGCTGCAGAACTGCGCAAGTGCCTGGAATTCGTTGATAATGTTTCATCTAGTTTGAAATACGGCTGGTGTGCTAACAATAGTTCTCTCTGCCACAACCTTTATTCAGTCCCAAGGTTATCTGTCGCCTCTTTCCTCCTTCTACCTCCACTCAAGATACGCACGAGTAAAACAACCCAAAAACGCCCGCATCCCTCCATGACACTCACTCACACCCTCTTTTGGCAATCTAACGGTGCTGCAGGACTCTAAGACCGAATAGGTAAAGTGAAAGACACCATGGACCAGACAGAGAGGGGCGCGACGAGGGGGAAACATTGAAGCATGAAACACTGTAAAAAAAAACAATCCAACCGAGCAGCCAACCATGAAAGAAGTGGCTGATGCACAAAAAACGCCGTGGTCAACCAGTCAACTTGTGAGGATGTGCAACTCCAGACCGGGATGAATAAGGGAGGGGAAGAGCTTTGCCGAGCTACATAGTAGTCGCAAACAACACCTCTTCCCTACTCTCAGTAACAAGAAACGTTTGTGTCTTGTCGGCCCCATCCCCATGCAAGGCCGAGCCGCAATGGAGGGCCGTTTCCCGCACGTACATGGTAGGGCTAAGCATTGGATAAGCAAAGAGGTCGATCGCTCACGTTTTGAATCCCTGCCCACGCCTGTATTGTCGATTTCTAGGGGACGCATGGAGAGCCTTTCCTAGCCTTTCTTTCATGGGCCTCTGCAGTGAGTACTTCATCGACCAGCCTTCATGGCTTCCTTGCGGCGCTTCTTTTCTGCAGCGCGTGCGAGAGAACGCTTGACGTCGCCTTGCTCAAAGCTGTCGATATCGTAGTACGTAGGGGCAATTTCCTGCAAAAAATGTTAGTAACTGTAAAATTGACTCAAGGTGCTCGTAATGAAACGAGAGTCATCTGGGACTATCACTTACCAACAGCCACTCAGGTCGGATACCCGTACATGTTCGGATGTATTGCTTGGACGTCAAGACAAACTCGTTGTAGAGGACCCAGTCGAACTCGGTACGGAGGACAGTTGAAGGGTGAATTAGCACAGCCTGGTCGTCCTTGACAGTGCGATAGAGCTTGCCAGAGCTCTCCTTCATGGCGACCTGCATGAAGAAACCGGCGAGCAGTGCGCGTCGAATGTTGGTATAGTAGTTTTTGTCCTCAAACGGTGTTGACACAAGCTCCAAGCCATGCGTCTCCATGATGCGCTTGAGCTGAGCGCGAACGTTATCCGCACTCGAGAGATGTCGGAAGGAGAGGAAGTGCTCGTGGCACCACTGCTTTGCACTGTTGGGGTCGGATGTTGCCTGGCCCTTGAAAGCGTGATAGGCGTTGAGCAGGGTGAGGTGGTCACCATCGGGATGCGCAAATTGAGCCTTCATCTCATCGGCGCGCTTTCGGTTGTTGGCAGGGCGAGTGAAGATTTGAGGAACTGAGAGAAGCGAGGTAATAGAGAGAATCTCGTTCGAGCAGTAGAACTCGGGAGACGAGATAAGCATGACCGCCAGAGCGGGATCAAGGGGGAATGCTGAGGCCATGCTGCCGAGAGTGGTCAGCTCACCATCGTCGTCCAGACAGGCAAGATAGTTGAGCTCCTCAAGGGCGCGCATCATGGTCTCGGGAGCAGGGGGGTCCATAAGATCGAAGTGGACAAGATCCTCCACACCAAGCTTCTTGAGCTCCAGAACGGTGTTGGCGAGGTTGGAGCGCAGAATCTCGGGATATGTTTGCTCAATAAGCTCCTTCTTGAAGGCCTTCTCGGTGTACAGACGGAAACACTTTCCGGGCTTGGTACGACCAGCACGACCAGCACGCTGCTGGGCTGAAGCCTTGGAGATGGGTGAGACAAGGAGAGACTCAACACGGATACGAGGGTTGTAGATCTTCTGCTTGCTAAACCCGGGATCCACGACATAGACGATACCGTCGATAGTCAAACTAGTTTCGGCAATATTGGTAGAAACAATGACCTTGCGACCAGGACGACCGCCCTTGCGAATAGGCGCAGGGGCCTTGTCGAAGATGCGCTGTTGCTGGTGGGGAGGCAGGGTACCGTACAGAGGGTAAACGGCGAGAGGACCAGCGTCGACCTCGCGCATCAGCTCATCAGCCTCGAGACTGATCTTGCGACAAGCGTCCTCAATCTCGTCTTCACCTGTAAGGAAAAGCAAAACATCACCCTCAGGCTCTGAAGCGTGAATCTGGAGAACGGTTCTTATGGCGGCCTCGACGTAATCGCGCTCAGGCTCGGGGGTGTAGAAGATCTCGACAGGATGTGTTCGACCGGGGACGGCGAGCAGGGGCGCATCGTTGAAATACTTTTGGAACTTTTGAGCATCGAGGGTAGCAGACATGATGATGATCTTGAGGTCGGGGCGGCGCATAGAAATCTGCTTGAGTAGAGCCATGAGAATATCGGTCGCGAGAGTACGTTCGTGAGCCTCATCGAGAATAATACAACTGTAGCGAGACATCTCGTGGTCGTGCATGGCCTCACGCAGAAGCATACCATCAGTCATGTACTTGAGCATAGTCTTAGGACCTGTCATGTCCTCGAAACGAATGCTGTAACCAACTTCCTCGCCCAGGGTGACGTCCATCTCGTCGGCGACACGCTGCGCGACCGACATGGCGGCGACTCGACGTGGCTGGGTACAGGCGATAAGCTTGCCGGTAAGATGCGGTAGCTCGTCGTAGACGACATACTGAGGAATTTGAGTAGTCTTTCCAGAACCTGTCTCACCGACAAAGACGAGAATCTGTGTTGAGTGGTACTTGTCCAAAAACTCTTGTCGTTGCTTGTGGACAGGCAGATCGCGACGGCCCTGGAGAATCTGGAAGTACTTTTGCGAATGAGGCCGGCCGGTGAAAGGGTTCGACTCAGAGTCCTCAGCTTTTGAGGCCTGGGCAGCGGTAGTATGCTGCCTCTTCATACCAGTGAGAGGAGACTCTGGCGAAGGCTCTGCGCCATGACCATTGCTATTACCGTTGTCGTACATGTGAGCGAGGTAAGGGTTGTATTTCTCGTCCTCACCGTCCTTCTTGGCCTTCTTTCGCGTGGATTCGTCGGCGTCGGCGCTTGAACGCTTTCCTCCCTTGATATCGGACATTATTTTCGGTGAATGACAGGGAGAGGAGGTGAGAGAAAGTGGCGAGGCTGAAGCGGAAGGCCGTGGTGTTTTTGTTTTCTGCTAATGCTAGAAAATTTTGGCGGGACCTTCTAGGCAGTTGCTTATCGATAAGGATCCTTGTCACACAGTGCATGAGATGTGATTGCGTTACTGGGTTATATGACGAGATGCAGCGTATATGTGCGTGCTTGTAACATCAAGTGTGGCATAGAAATCATGAAGTTGTATGCGAGAATGAGATTGCATTGAGTTTGTCAACACTTTTGCTATGAGGAGGTTTTTACCGAACCTGAAGCTGTTTTGCTGTACTGTTTCAACTCGAAATGGGCGCACACTGTGCATTTTCAGGGTCTTTGCGAAGATCAACAGCTCTTTCTCTCGAGCTTGAAGCTTGAAATTCCAACTCGCAGGTTCTGGGGATGCTTCTTGCATACAAAAAACAAGAGCAATCTCTTTATAGGACACGTCTTGATTCTTAGCAATTTTTGTCTATGACTCTTTTCCCCTCTATACTCTTCTCTTCGTCTCATACATCCCACTTCGCACAACTGAACGATCTGGCTTGGTTTGGCGGGGTGAATTTACTCCACCACCAGAAATCTCAACTTTATTTTGCTGTTTCTCCCTGCAGACTCCAACCGCAAACGTCGTCCCCTGACAAACTCTAAGCTACAATTATGGCTTCTGACGACGCAGGCTTCGAAATGTCTGACAACTTTGGTCTTCAACGTCCCAATTTCCACATTGGATACCACGACTCAAAACGCGATGAGCCCCTCACCGACATGCAGTATGGCCATCTGCTGAACCATGGTGTAAGTCGCAAGCTTTCCACGCCAAAGACCTTTATATTCGATATATGATACATGGCATATAATCGTGAGGATGCTCGGGGCCACCAATTGACTCTTGGATAGCTGGCCTTTGCGACGACTCCCATCACAAACACTCACTTCCGAGACCGTGTCTTCGCTCTTGTTTCTGAGCATCTGTCCGCTCTATCCGAAAATGGCGAGAAGCCTACCACCAGGGCAACTGGCTCACGAGCAGAGCCTATTTTGCCTCCTCTGACTCCGAAGGACACCGCTCTGTTCCCTAGCGCCGCTGTCAACACCTACACTGCAGTCATCAGCCCCTGGCTCGACCTTGGATCTTCTAATCCCATCATCTCAAGCATCTCCCGTCAGGTCCTCAACGTTGAGATTAATTATGCCAACTTTTGCGGTGTGAGAAGCATCATGATTCCTGCCCCTCGACAGGATGCTTCCATTGATGGCGGCAACCAAAGTCTTGCCCAATATGCACGAGCTGTTGAGGAGGCCCTTACCGTTGGAAACCGACTCACTTTCTTGATTCACATGCCTATGTATCGGGAGCCCGGCCTAGATACAGAGGGAGCTAATATCTCTTCCCTTGATGTCAAGACTCTGACTAAGACCGAAGGAAAGGATATCGATCTTCTGGCCGCTTGGGATTCGTGGCACCACGTCCGAAGTGTCTGTAACTACAACACTAGACTCTTTGTTGGTACGCTCACATCACTCTCTCAGGATCCTTGACGAATGCTAACTTGATGGAAAGCTTTGCAAATTCCCCGTGTTATGCCCGAGAAGGATCTTCAGGATCGTTGGTTTGCTGAGCCTTTGCACTACCTCACATTTAGCCCTCTGACTTTCCAGGCTAACAAGGCTGGTTTCCCATCGCTGTCTAAGCACCACCAGAACCTCATCTTCTCGTACATGCGCTTGAAGAATGTCCCATGGATTCTACTCTGCGACGTTGGCCCTGATGTTTCACATATTAAGGATGGCCACCAGTCTCTGCCAACCGCTCAAAACGAGTTCCCCAGTTTGGCCGAAGCTGAGTCTCAGGACCAGTCAACCAAGACCAAGAATAACGACTATATTTCCTATCTGCAATGGCTCGAGGACCAGCAGCCACCGTTTAGCTATCTTGAGAGCCCAACCTTGACCAGTTTCCAAGACTGGCTTCAGTCACCTCTCCAGCCTCTGTCAGACAACCTCGAGTCAGCGACATATGAAGTATTCGAGGGTGATCCCGTCAAGTATAGTCAGTACGAGATCGCCGTGTTTGAGGCTCTCACGGAATGGAAGGAACTCAAGAAGCCTACCTCTAAGGACGGCAAGGTTGTCGTTGCTGTTGCAGGTTCTGGCCGTGGTCCTCTCGTTACTCGAGCACTCAAGGCGTCCGAGGACGCTGGAGTTCCTATCGATATGTGGGCAGTTGAGAAGAACCCCAACGCCTATGTCTACCTTTTGCGCCAGAATGACCTCGTCTGGGGTGGCAAAGTCAAGGTTGTCAAGACCGATATGCGAGCATGGAAGGGTCCTATCGTCTCTGAGGACGAGAATGGACCTGTATATGGCAAGGTTGATATCCTCATCTCTGAGCTTCTTGGTTCATTCGGCGACAACGAGCTCTCTCCTGAATGTCTTGACGGAATCCAGCATGTCATGTCCACGCCCCATGGAATCTCCATTCCCAGCTCTTACACCGCTCATCTGAGCCCTATCTCGACACCAAAGATCCACGCTGATATCCTTTCGCGAGTATCTGGAGACCCCAACGCTTTCGAGACACCCTGGGTTGTTCGCCTTTTCGCTCTCGACTTTGTTGCCGAGAAGGTGCCCAACAAGCCCCGATTCCAGGAGGCCTGGGAATTCTCTCACCCTATTCCTGAATCTTCGCTCGCGGCTCTGGAGGCAAAGCGCTCTGGTGGTGTTGTCGGAGGCGGCGGCGGTAGCATGGCTGGTGCTGCTGGAGCCAACGACCACAACTCGCGATATACTCATCTCACATTTGTCTGCCGGACAAGAGGTGTTACCCATGGATTGGCGGGCTACTTTGAGTCGACTCTATATGAATCTCAGATTCCTGAGAACAAGGGAGAGAAGATTGAAATTAGCACACATCCTGAGCGTATCGATGAGAAGAGCAAAGATATGATCTCTTGGTTCCCCATCTACTTCCCCCTGAAGGTAAATTCCTTCTCCAGCAAGTATCGATGCGTACTAACAGAGTTGTAGAAACCTCTCTACTTCCCAGCTGATACTGAGCTCGAGATTAGCATGTGGCGACAGACAGATGACACCAAGGTGTGGTATGAGTGGCTCGTCGAGGCTTTCACATGGGTTAGCCCGACAAGCCGTGTCAAGGTTGCTTCCTCAGATCTGTGCAGCAGTCGCCAAGTGGCATGCTTGATGTAGACGAATGACCTGGATCACGGCGAGAAGAACTGGCTGGGATAAATGATGTGACGAAAGAAAAGCTTTGCTTATGAGTTTGAAAAGGTTAGAAGTCTTGACGTTTGGGGACAGCCGTCGCTTGAATTGTCAAGTGGCTGTAGCCTGGATACGAGCTAACTGTTCTTCACATGATGGTTCACTATTTGAGGAAATCACATAGCATTTTTAAGACCGCTATGAAGCTGGAGAGACATCCTTAGCTTTGAATATCTACATTGGCTGCCCTTGTGATGGAGTATCACGCGATCAAGTCACGTATTGTGATCAATGTTGTTGCTCTGTTGACTGTAGTATAAACCGACACGATACTGAATGTCTCAATGCACATGATGAGCATTGAGACATACTGTCTGCCATAGTCTTTGTTGCTGGTCTATTCACATGCTATGTTCCACTAGACCGAGCCTCAATTGAAGTCGAAGTCGGTCAACTTCCGATCAATGCACATGCTTTGTCTCACCTTATAGGACACTTTACCTGGTCATTTGGGGAGTATAGGTGCCTAACAGATGTAATTACGGCTCGGTGGACGGGAAAGGTGATGATGCATACGATGATACAAGACAAGGTCATGGTTGACTTGTGATATACTTCTCGCCTCATGAGACGTTTTATATGCAGAATCAACATGCCATGTTCAGGCATCAATAGATTTGTAATGCTCCTGTTGTCCGACAATATTTGACTTTATGAAACAAGCCTTCCCTTCCACCGATGAACTGTGCCCATCATGACATGTCCATGAGAGGCCATAGGAGCCCGTATTTACAGTACTGGCTGTGACTGCAGCGCCTCTCACGCTTCCTTGTTATAACAGATGGTAACAAGACTTCTATCTAGCTGCTTGAATGCTTCCCGTGGTATCACATTATGTTGGACCGTCTGAATATAGCAAGACGAGGCGACACACAAAACGCGGGGGAATTTAGATTAACTACGCCTTGACTGTCGAGGTGCACAAACCCCAGATTCTCAAGTAAAATTGCCTTTAACCTCATTAGTAACCACCAAGTAATTAACACCCCGTAAAATTAACTGCTGCCCTACGAGGCGGCTCTAGACTCACTCTCTCATCATGGTCAGTGTAAGCCAAAAGCCGGAATAACCCGGCGTCTAGTCTCGCACCATTTCCATCGGCAAGACTCGGTCAAGCCCTGTAATTTTTCACCAAATTATTATGGAGTCAAGCATCGTCATTCATCAATTCCATCCTTCTCCAATTCTCCATGTGGAGTTCGGTTTTTTTTTGACGTTAAGTACTCATGAGAATCCCGGTGCCGGAGCCGGAACCGGGAACTGAATCGTGCATGTATTTCCCCAGAAAGAGAAGGAAAACGGAGCCTCAATTGACTTCTAAAGTAGACGCCGGCGGACACTACGAAACTGTAAATCTTTCAGGTCCCGGTAGAGGTGAGGCAGAAGTGGAAGAGCCGGGGTCGGGTATGAGCTGACTGGAAACCCCCTAGAAATAAACCAAGAGAATAGTTCGTGAGAAGACGGGCTCTACAGGTGCCAAGGATTGTACAACGCCTGTTGACCAGGGCGAGTGGCATGTCATGTTGCATACTTGTCATGACACTCTAAAAACATGGCGAGACATCACGGTAAAGACATATCACGGGTAAACGTAGATGTAATAGTATAGACTTTTTTTCTGGTATTCACAATTTCTACCAAAAACAACTCCTTTGTTCAACGCCGTGGTGCCTCTTGCTTGCTGTTAAAGCTTCGCAGGCAGGTCTCCAACTATACAGAAAGAAATGGCGTTGACGCCAGTCGAGAACAAAAAGCACGGAGGTCGCAACGTTCTCCGCAGCCGGGGGGGTATTCTCTATGTAAAAACCCGACTTATTTGCTTTTTCCCGTTTTCTCCCTCTTTCGTGGTGCATATACTAGCCCCTCGTTTCATATGACGCTCCTGGCGGCATAGTACCGTAGTGCCCTAAGTGGTTTCTCGAAGTGAACTGCAGTTGGAAGCATCGTCCTGTTCTGCATGTCTCGATGGGATGGGTTTGCGTACCCCTCCCTGAAATGCACAGTGAAGTTGATCACTATGTGCATGGTCACTCGGCGTCCCCGTATACTATGTCGTGCAGGATATATGCTCCAGACAGTAGATCCTGGCTCTCGTCATAATCTGCGCGTCATCGTAGGTATTCATTCGTTCATCCCGTCTTTTTTTTTTCATCCCACCGCTCCACCTATAACTCCTCGCCTGTGGCGGGAGACATATTTAACCGAAGAGAGCAGCGCCGCCGGACTCGATAGCCTCGATCTCAGCGGCGTTGAGGGGAGCGCGGTGGAAGCGAGTGGGAAGTTCAGAGACGTCAAAGGCAACGCCCTGAGGGGGCTTGACGGAGCCAAGGGAGGCAGCGGGGGTTCCGCCGAAGCCAGACTTCTGGAGAGGACCGTGCTGCTGGACGTGGTCGCGGTAGGAGCTGAAAGACTTGTGGGTGGTAGCAGCATCGCCGTTTCCGTAGCCGGACCAGGACTCGGGGAGCTTCTCGACTCCGGAGGCAGGGTGAGGCTTGGGGGTGTGGTCGACGTTGGCTGCAGAAGACGATGTTAGCTTGTACTGAGGGGAAGCTGACGGTATTGCTCAATACCAGCGGGTTGACATACAAGGAATGGTTCGGGGACCGAGGAATTTGATGAGAGGAGTACGCTCAGCGTGGACAGCAGCCTGTCGGAGGGCTCGAGTAGCAGAGAACATTGTGACGGTTGTTTGGGGGGTTGGTCGGGATAGCTCGGTAGACGTTGATGAGATCGAAGAGTGAAGAGCGTGCTTGCTAAGATGAGAGATGACGAAGATGCAATGCAATTGGGTTGAGAAGAAGAAGAAGAAGGAGGGGGAAGGGTTATAGTAAGAGACGAGCGTGGGAGAGGGCGCGATTATGTATTTGAGGAATTTTTTGGGATGGGATGGAGTGAATGGAAGTTAGCTCAGGCCAAGGTAACTCCCAGCCAAGCCCAGTCCAGGTTGTACCGCGCCGAAGCGTAAGGTAGCCCACGCACCGCACGCACACAGACTCAGGTCACTTACAGGGAACGTCCCTAGGCAGCTGCTAGTGGCTTCTGCTAGTGCCAGTCCCGTCGAAATGGCGCGAACTGGGCCCAAGCGAGCTAAAAAGTTGGGAATCCACATCCACCAGGAAAAAAACCTCGACACGACCAAGAGAGAGGGAAAAAAAACAGGCCACAATTGGTGGCATTGAGCTGCATGTCCACAGAACAACACGTTACCCACACCCAGAAATCAGAAGCAATTCTGCCCAAACGAAATAAGAGTGGGATGAGCTTGTTGACTTTCCCTTCCCCAGTGGCACAGCAGAGACATCCAACAATACAGTTGCCCAAAGACGTGGGATATCGACATGGGGCATGGATGCTACAGCTACAGCAGGGCCAAAGACTCCGCTACCTCGCATGCGCATTCACTTGCATTTGCCATGAGAAGCAGCGAGAGAGGGAGTCCAGATTTACTTGTGACAGTCTCCGATGGACGGCCTCAAGGAAGTTGATCGTAGGCTGAGAGAGGATCATGATCATCCCTCCACAAACCCATCTTGCATGAGTCGAGACAGGTCGGTCCATGATGCCGTCGGCGGATGTACCGCCCTGCATTACAACACTCCAGGCAATGGATGTCTGGGGTTAACGACCGGAGTTGGGCGGAATGGCGTGGTCTATCACCTTGAATCAACGGGGTTAAGCAGCCGTCTTCAAGGCTACAGCTTATTCACCTGAAGGTCAAAGGTGAATTGAAGCCAAAGCCAAGACAAATCCCCGAACCGATAACTCCAGGCACCATAAGCAAATTCACCGGCATCCTCAAACGAACCGAAAGTTGGAGTAGCCAATGCCCAACTTGATGCTATTCATCACTACCCCAAACTCCGAACATGGCCACCATCTTGACTGCAAGTTTACATCCCGATGCACACACATTGATCATCTACCATTTGCCGTCTTGAACATCAGGGCAGTTGGTTGGAGAAGCTCTCCCCCTTTCCGCCCCAGGCTTACCATTCATACACCCCCTTCGCCGTTCCTCCGGGATTGGCAACAGAAACTCAGAGGTTCGTCTGCGCGGGGGAACACACATTGCCTTTTTGGGAGAGAATGCTCGTCTGGGGCACGGCGTCCGGGGGAGACTCTTGATTGTGTGGTTGGTGGAGGAGGTGGGTAGACTAGAGACTACCTTAGAAAGCGGACAGATGGGCGCGTCTGCGAGTGATGATCGTTTCTCAAGTCAAGATGAGGCTGGAGGGTCTTCTCCTCTCTGCTGTATACATCAACTACAGCATATGGCTATGCTGGTCTGTACAGCACAAGCGAAGAGCTCCGTGCCGTGTCCGTGCCATCCGAGGCTGGCCCATTGGCGCGATCTCACCAAACAAAGGCCTCAAGGGAAATAAAAGCTAAGGCCACGTCCATGTCACTGCTGGACCCTACCTACGTAATTGAAGTGCTCCCCCCCTGGTCCGGACTCCGAACGCGAAACGTTGTTGCGCTGAGTTTAGCTGCCGCTCTATGCGGAGCGGAGAGGAGCGGAGGCACATGGTCCAGACAGGCTAATGTAGGGCCTAGGACGCCGACATACAAGCGTGAAAAGACCAGCGTTACAAATTGGAGAGTGAGGGAGGGCAGGTAACACGGGGGGAGTGATAATGCCGAATAGCGAAGGATCCAGCGAGTATTGGAAATCATCTTGATTGATAATGGCATTCGGGGTTACATACTCATCTCATTACTACCTACGACTCAAGGGTATGACAGAATTGTTCATTCGCAGCATAACGGGATGAGGATAAGTGGACTAAACATTTAATTACATGATCTTCAAATCGTAAGACGTGGCATTTGCCCCCCCGCGGTCTTTGGTCTTTGCAGTTGTTGTGATTGATGCTGTTGGAAAATAAAAAGTTGATATCTCTGAATCAAGATGGTGTTTTGACCAATCCCGTGTCGAGATCAGGCTATGACAGATTCAGATTACATGTGGTTTATGAGTAAAAAAAGATACGTACCCAACCTCCACTGCCTGAATCGCATTTCGTTTCTGCGGCTGGGGAAGCATCGCTAAAAGAACGTGGTGGATTTGGTAGGAGAGTCCGACAGATCCAACGAGATCTGTTCGTATTGTTTATGGAAAACAGTTGTTCCTTCTGAAGTGGTTATTTGTAAATATGTCGTCTTTAATGAGAGCTACTCTGTAGAATGGCATCTAATCCCGATGTTACTCTCTGCAGACAAGACTACTAATTCTGGATAGACTCTTGAGGTGGAATTGACCTCGCGTAATACTTCCAAAGCCAAAAGGCCCGATCTTGCATTCATTGCCAATCTTCACTCATTGTTTCAAGATCCTCCTTCGCCTCGCTCAACCTCACTTTCTTTTCGAGAGCGCTTACACCGGGATCCGGCATCGGGCGTGGAATGGTCTGTGCTTGTTCTATTCCATGCATCGTGTCACTTTGAGAGCTCCCATTGGATCTGTTGGATTAGCTTATTTCGTGCCTCACATCAAGTTCCCGCTCCTTGTCCTCTTGGGGTAGTTCCGCTGGCACGTGAAATCGAAGGAGGAGGTTCCCTCTCGTGGTGGAAATTCTGAGCTCGAATCTCGACTTTTCATCTTTTGGTTTTGTATGTGATGGTACTGTCTATGCGCCATGAATCCATTGTTGGTCCTCTTTGACATAAGAGAAAGAATGACAGGCAGACTAGTATTTCAATTTGTGCTATAAACAATGAAAAGAATAAAAGAATGTTTGGCAATCAATTGGCGACAGACACTCTCATTGTTGTTGTTGCTCTCTGCCTGAAGCTTTTCATCTCTTCTTCAGAATTGGACAAATTCACAGAAATCTCTGTGGGCTGCTACCCCTCTAGATAGATAAGATAACGAGTTTACCAATCATATCGTCAAGTCCCCGTCTGGGGAAAAACCGCCTAGCCCAATATCTGACTGGCAGCCCACAGCAACCCCTGTATTCAACTACAAATAGGCCGTTGCCACTGAACCCATCTCGACTTACACTGAGGGCCATATAAATATCCATCCACGCATGGATATCTAAGCCCTCCAGCTGTTGGGGCCAGTCAGTCGTGGATTTTGGCCATGTCTGATATCTTCTGAGTGGAAAGTGAAGCGTTTCTCCTGAAAGCACATCACGGCCATCTCGCGCACTGGCTTCTTTAATTTTCCTGGCAAGTAGATATGGCCTCCCGTGGTGGACCGGAACATAAACCGCCGGAGCGAGTTCAAGAAGCTCTCTTTAGCCTCAGGTGTGCAACGATACTCAGTGTTGGTACCTTTCCCCTGGACACCATAGAAATGGAGAGTTGTTTCGCGCCGGGGTGTAAATTGATCGCTATAGTGAGGTCCGGGAAAGATACCAGTGAGCCAGTCGAGCTGAGAAACGCCTCTTGGCTCGCTCAACCGAAAGGAGTAATAGATCTCAAATGATCCAGTCTCTTTAACGTTTTCTCTGAATGGAAGATGATGCACGTAAAGACGAAATTGCTTTGGATCGTGGAAAACCAGGGTACTCGAGAGGAGGATTGGGAGAGCTTCGTTATACCTGGAGGGAAACGGTGTCAATACATTCCCGGAAGGTAATACTATAGCAGAGGGGAACTCACACTTGTTGAAATGTCAAAACAAGATTCATTCCCTCTAGGCACTGCCCAGACTTGGGCAGGAAGAGAGACGCATCGGGCACCCTAGGAGATGAACTCTCATCGCATCTACGGTCGCGTCAGTAACCCGTTGGTTTAGGATGATAGAGATATTTGTTCGAGTCTTTGGACTCAGAGAGAGCAACGTGAACTCGGGAGCGACCAAATAACTCCCGATATATACGCCATCGAAGCTCCCAGTCGAGCTTTGTGAACAGGCGTGATCTCTTCTGGTGGGACTGCCACTGTGCGCAGAATCCGGGTTCCATGGCTGGAAGAAGACGCCGTGGAGCCTGTTCCACTGTCAGCATCGATCCGTGAAGGAGGTCGGGTATTACTTACGGGTGAGTGTTGGTAGTCTATAGATTTACATGGTTCTGAAAAGGAGATGACAGCTTCAAGTTCCAATTAATAATTTGCAAGCTATGTGGCAGAGATCCGCAGAGATGATGAAACAGTGACTTTTATAAGAGATATTAGGGTTAATGCTACAGCATGAGTCATTTGATGTGGTTGTTATGTTTAGAGTTGGGGCAGTGATTTCAAAAACCCAGACGCAGCTTGAAAGTCACCCCTTAAACGACTTACAGCGAGACTGGCTCGAAGTAATGGCATGAATTGACTAACCAAGAACTGTAGAGAATCTCAGTGAATAAAGAGAGTAAATTCACTAGCAAGTAATAGTAGTGTAAGCGAGCGTGATATGTAGCAAGGTTAAAGTAATTGAACGTAGATACTGACAAGGCTCGAGCTGATTTCTAGTGAATTTGAATGAATGAAGCAAGGCCTCCTATATGCATAAGTGATAAGTTAACTAGGAATGTTCAAGCACTGGCAAACACTGCCATGCATCTACCTACTTTATGAATGGGCCGTAAATGTTTATAATGTCTTCCCAATACTCTCTTGATAACTCCTCTCATCTTTCTCCTACATCCTTTCTCCTTCGTATCATCGTATCAACGCCACAAACGTCTCCCAAACCTCCCCAACATGGGGCTAGAGTTTGAGAAGGGCAACGCCCAGAGGGGCTCCTTGTTCTTTAGGAAGCTATCCCCGGAGCTCAGACGGCAAATCTTCATCTATCTATTTGGAGGGTCAAAGGTGCACATCAAGTTTCTCCAAAGCAATGAGCAGCTCAAGCGTGAGGGCCATCCTAAATCGTCAAGGGTCCCGGGGTGGTGTCACTGCGTCTGCAGAAAAGGGTTAAAAGTACCTATCCATCCACACTCAGAAAAAGACCACAAATGGTGTTACCTGTCGGCGAATATTATATTTACCTGCAAATGGGCGTGAGCATACCAAACCGATATTATGATTGAGTCCAGGCTGACAGACTGTAGCTATCAGAGCGGTCTTCCTGTGCTCTATCGTACGAACGAACTCATCCTAGACAATCCGCAGGACTACACAATGTTCAGCTCTTGGTTCAACGCCAAGCAAAAGTATATTCGATCAATGAGCTTGCATCTCGAATGCCCGGCTGTCTACGATGCTCACGAGGGTCTCTGCCACTTGTCTACCGCATTGCCTAAATCCTTGCTACTGCAACGCCTGGAAGTGCGAATGCTCCTCACTGGTCTTGGAACTCATCATGGAGGCTTGGAAAGGGACAAAGAATTGATGTTGAGATGTCTTAGAATGTTCCTGCGGGGTGGCCTGAGCAAAGGCAAGGTTGAGCTGCTTGTGTTGCATCTGCCGGAAGCTATGAAAGCGATCGTGGAAGGCGATAAACAAGGCGATGTTGCGATTTGGGAAAATGTCGATTGCCAGTTTGAACCTGACGATGGGTTTGTTAATGATGACAATCGCCCAGAAGAAGAAGCTCCGGAGTCCGACGACGAGAACCATGGCCTCTATATCTTTCCCACACAAGGGGACTTCTAAGGAAATGTATCAAGCATGGCAGATGAGCTAAAGCATTATGAATTATCTTCTAAAGTAGCATGGAATGTTTGTCTTCGCTTCGAACGTAGTTGGAGCTCCCAATCAAAGATAAGCATCTTGGAATATAGAAACTTTACACATGGACCCCCATAGCTACGTCGTTCTTCTTTGATTTCTTGAATGGAGTTATTGATGGTCAGTTTTGACAAGGCAGTGATCATCATTACTGTGATATGCCCTGGTCGTAATGGGTGACAGTTCCAGCTCTTGTGTGCAATGATATGATTGTGAGAGAGTCCCTATTTCAGGAATCAAACCATGCAAGGCGTGAATTCAACAGAGATGTCTCCTTTGTCCTTTGAAGCACACTGTTTGGCAGTGCAATCTGTGTTCCTTCACCACTTTTACTCTCTTGATACCTTGGTTATGAACTATTATTCATTCCACTTCCTCTCATTTTCTTTTCTCCTTCTCTTTCTGGATCCCCTCAACACCATCAACGCTGGAAAGCCCCTTTGAGCCAACCTCAACTGTCAACTGCGAAGTCAGACATCTGAAAAGGTATATATTCTGATGAGGCGAAGAAGCTTGGGACAACTGCTTATGGCCTAAGAATAAACTGACCTAAATATCTCTCAGCTTATGGAAGCTCAACTTAGCTTTGCATCGCTTAAGATTGGCTTGCATAGGTCTTTTCATCGGTTTAGACTAAGGTCCACCTTGATCATGCAATCATTTCGGTTGCAGCGATATAGAGAGGGCCCCCAGAAGTCCCTCTTCTTCAACAAGCTCAATCATGATATTAGGCAACTTATCTACCGCGAGCTCCTTGGATCGCACAGGATTCATATGGCGCGCAAAGGACGAATCCGCTTCTGCAAAAATCGACTGTCATATCTACATGGCGGAAAAATACACACCAACATACTCCTAACCTGTAAAGCGGCGTAAGCGTATTCTTATAAATATTCATGGTACAGATCGACTGACTTGGACAGCCTCAACGAGGGAATACACCTCTTTTATCAACTCAACACATTCTACTTCACCTTCCCAACAGACCTCATCCAATTCTTCACCGAGACCAACAGTACAGCGGTCGACCAAATAATATCTTACGAGCTCAGGTGTGTTGTTGAAATCACATACGACAAGCCCATTCTAGACCTTGATGTACTGACATGGGTTCTGGACCGCTACCTTCGGCCTGATGATGTCAAGGTCAAGCTTGATATTGTCTCAGAATGGGCCTGTAGGCCCTTCAGCAAGGCTTGCAAAGAGAAGACTGCCGAGGCGCTGGGGCGATTTCTCGCACTTCGAAAGCTGGGGGCTGCTGTCGTCGTCGTGCCTCACATCTTTAAGGAAGTCATGCAGAAGACGCTGGAGACTTCGGGTCCTCACATTTAGTTTGAGCTTCGTGAGGCAGAGCGATCGAGACCTTTGCCTTTCACTGAACTGGACGAGTTCATATATTATTTTCGTCCCGTAGCCCGTCAGGTCCTTCTTCACTGTACTTCTTCCCCCCCTTCAGCACATCAGTCACACCATGAATGGAGTTCTGCATCCAGTGCTGCGTTCCGTTTGGAGTTGCGAGAGTCTTGGCCACGACACCATCTCCAACCAGGTATTTCTCATCCAGCGTCCCCAAGTACAGATCAAATATTGGGGTGTAATCAGCTGAGCGCCATGCGAGCGACGTGCCGCAGTCACCACAGAACCCACGGAATCGACCAGGTGAGGACATGTACTCTTTGAAGGATGCGAAAGTGCCCAGTGCTGGACTGATGTGCTTGGGGGATATGACGAGGAATTGGGCAATCAGAGAGGATGTCCACTTGCGACACATTGTACCTAGTTTCATGTTTGTTAGCTGTCTTGGTGTCTATCGATGGAATAGACTTACATTGGCATGCTGATGACTGTTCACAAGTGAGTTAGCTAAAGTGATTAAAGACCATTCATGTATAACTCACAATTGGTGGCCATGGGTACTCTTCGTTAAAGTTGACGGTGTACCGAATAGCACCACAGAGACATCCGCCTGTGATAGCAGAAGGGGTATCTTGGTTGTTATCGTTCATGATGATCTTGTAGTGTGCGAAATAGATGACGTGAGGGGTAGAATATATATCAGTTGACAGCCACTGGTATTAAGACCGAAAGGTCGTCGGTTTAGGCGTTTATGTGTACGAGAAATCAGAACCGATTGGATGATATTCCCGTGCATTGAATACAGCCAATCATGACTTGCACAGACACATGAATGTGCTATGCACATTCGACTCTGGTCAACGTTGTACATTGGGAAATGATGAAAAGTATGATATGAGAGATGCACTAGTTAGAGATGATATAAGTTAAGGTTCTACTCTCACAAGAACAAGTAAACAAGAAAAAGTACAATTTACCCCCAGGATCCTATAACCCAGAGAACCGCCTAGTTACGGGATGCATCCATACGTGCGGCCTTAGAGCTTTGGGTACACCAGTGAGGCGAGCGTCGTTGAAGAGCAAGACAAATATCCGAAACAAACATTGGATGATGACGAAGAGCGAAACCTAAGGTAGCCAATTGTGCGTTTAGAGCAATGAATCACTCCAGGCTACCTAACGCTACAAATAAGGCATGACGAGCCAGCCAATCGATATTCTGTGTATATCTCGTTTGTATTTCTACGATAAATTGGTTGATGTATCTCTCAGAGACAAACGCCGTCACAGTCATTCTTCCTCAACCTGCTCATTGCTCTCGCTATCAGTTGAAGAGTCGTCACCTTGTTCCTCATCAGAAGACGAATCATGGCGGCTCGGAGGCTTGTGAGGACACATGTTAAGCTTCAACCCCCCCTCTAGCTTTTTCGACCATATTCCCTTCACGAGTTCAGAGAAGCCATCCATACCACAGCCATCAATTACACAAGTGATCCGCCCCTTGCCGACAAGCGTCTCTAGACCGACTTTGATAGCCTGGCTTGCCAGTCTCTTACTCTCAGCAGTGTGCTTGGGCCATGGCTCGCCGTTGCCCATATGCACATGAAAGCGCAGGTTGAGCTCTTGCTTCATCTTAGACAGAGTATGGCACAGCATTGTGAACCTGATGGGCTGTGGCCTTCCCGTCTTCTCAAGTTCGCTTCCATAGCAGACCAGATCGCTGAATTCGATCGATACTGGGGTATCAATGTGTGTGAGTAAATGTTTCAGGTCAGGAGCAATCCGGTATCTTTGGAACTCCATAAATTCACCCGAAGCTTCAAACTCGAAAGTGTTTGTCTGGTAAAGAATCTTGATACCCTGTTCAAAGCTAGCGACAGTATAGCCATTAGAAACAGTTGCAGGGAGCACAAAAATGACTTACGCTGGCTTGCAAGTAAGAATGAAGGCTGATGACAAATAATATCTCCAATATGCATCTTCTTCATCGTCATGGAAATGTTGATATGACCCTTCGAAACAAAGGAAATGCACCAATTGGCGGTCAGTCGGCCGGGTCCTTGCCTTCTGCTCCCGATCGTTGCCGCTCGGCTGCGGAGCGCGTTCGATATGAAGCCTGCGTTTGCCAAACAAGTTGATCAAGATCATGTCATGAATTTCTGGTGGAACATTTGCGAAAAATGGAGACTGGTTCTGCAGAAAACCGTCGGTGAACCTGATAGTCATTATGCTGTATCGAGTGAGAGTTGACGCAGGAGAGAGTTGGGATAGTATCGGGCACGGAGGATATGATACAATATTAGCGGAGGCTTCCGGGGATGTGAAGAAAACGCTAGAAATTGAGAAGCGGGCAGCGACGTCAACAGATATTAATGACTATAGGATACGGCCAGAATAACAGGCCAACTCATTTGCCGATCAATTAGTGGTTGGCTCAATATACATGTAACATCGACTTCTGCACGTTGGCTCAACAATGATCTGCATGATGGCTTCAGAACTACTCATTTCGAGGGTTCCCAAGATGTAAAGTTACTAACGTGTGTTTTTGTAGTCTAACAGGTCCTTACAGCTTGGGCTACCCTCTTACCAAACTCCATTATTCCATCTGAGTCTTCGCAACATCGCCATTGTGTCTTTCTGTCTTCACACTCTTCTTCTATCTATCCTACTTCCAACCATGTCCCCTTCTATTACTTGGCCCAGAATTTGGATCCCAGTTGTAGCCCCGTATATCAAATTCAAGTCTTCCACTGCGTCCTAGGGCCAATCTACCTTCTTCCGACTGCCAGCAGAGATGCGTAACATGATATACAAAGAGCTTTTCGGGGGCAAGGTCGTTCATATCTGGTTCCATCGATGCAGAGAAAGTTATCATCGGAAAGGAGCTCCAAATGATGCCATGTTCCAGTGGCTTGCACTGTGTTTGTCCCCGTGGTCGTGAGCCTGTTCCTCATTTCCACGCGGAATATGACCACGAATGGTCTTATCTGTCTACAAGCATCCTCAGTGCCTGCCAGTCTACGTAAGAATCGACAGTTTTACCTCTGGTCTTTTCCTCTGGCTTATGTGGGAAGACATGCCTTCTGAGAAACTTCAGATCTTCGTCAAGCGTATCCCCGAGGACCCCTCTGTTGCCAAGGCCATCAAGAAGATCCGGAATATGTTGCCAAACACGAGCATCGAGGTTGTCACGGAAAAAGAAGGAATAGTCTGGGATCTTGGAGAGAGTGGCGAAAACGAACCGATTTCTATTCCCCCCTCCGAAGCATCTGATGTCGAGGATGAGGCAAAATTGTTATCTCAATTATCTAACTAGGCTTCTCTTGCAAGCATGAAGAATCTCAAGAAGGACCTCATAGGAATCTAGCTCATGATCCAAACTTATACACCAATCATCTGTCGTGGCCCATATCAACCCCCAAACAATAAAACAGCTTGATCCATCTATAATAATTCAATACGCATCGTATACAATCATACAACACTCTCAGTTCCTCTTACAAACATCCATCGTATGCAATAATACAGTAACCTCTTACGTCCTCTTGCGAACAACATCCCGAACAATGTTTCTACACTCACTCGGGTCCTCAAAAACATGCCAGGCTTCAACCGGTACATTCTTGAATGCCTTTTCAAATCTCTCTAGCTGGTTTTTCTCTTCAATACCAATAGCAGCGACGTCTGTGGCCTTGCGAATGAGTATCATCTTGACCCAGCCTGGGAATGTTCGATAGCTACAAGCGAGTCAGTAAAGAGGTACTGTATCAGTCTGAGCTACTTACATCTCGCCATATGCCTCGGGATCGGATTGTGTCGAGTCACCGATGAGGATGAGCTTTCTCTTTGGTAACCACGAGTGAATCTTCTTCATGCGATCTGCCTTGTACTCCTCAGTTCCCATTGTCAGCGCCGACAGCAAGCCCGCTACAGTGCGCCAGCTCGAATCTCGGAGGATCAATGTGCCTTGTGGGAAGTAGCGGTCTCGGAATTCTCGAAGAAGAGGGTACAGGTTGTATGGAGATGCTGAGAGGTAGAACCAAGGGGTATCGCGCGGGAGAAGAGTCTGAAGTTCGGAGTAAAGCTCGGGCATGCCAGGGACCGGTGTTGGCTCGTCGACAAAGGTGGTCTTGAGGATGCCTAGTGGATCGCTGGTCAAGGTGACTTTGATGGTATCGTCGACATCTGAACCATGTTAGTCTAAACGGCTGAGAGCCAATAATCAAAGGAACATACCTGATATGATGGCCCAACCCTCAGGTCCAGCATAGTAAGTCTGCATATCGTGAAGGCCTTGAGTGCCTTGAGGTAGCAACGCCGTGGCATCAACTACCGACCCCTTATGGGCGTGATGAAGAGGCTCAACGCTCGTCGTAATACCATTAATACTCGTCGGTCCCAACTTGATCTCCTTCTTCTTATGCTCGATCCAGAAGACTCTCGCTGCTTGAATATCCCAGAGGAACGGAATGATTCTCTTCTCGATGACATCGCGCTCAGCCGCATCGTCCGCCAGACCCAACGTTGAGGCAATCCCAGATACTATATCCGCCACGCGACACTTAGGCTCGTTCTCAAATACAGCAGCGACAAATTCGGCTTCCCACTGGTCGGTCTCAGGGTTTCGGTACGCCGTGTTATCCATCAACCACACTATATCGCCAGCATCGACGGCTTTTCCGAAGGGGTTCCATTGTGCAAAGCGCGAGAGCCACGCTGAGACATTGACAGGTGCTGAGAGAGCAGCAGCTTGTGTCTTTTGAAAAGCAGCGGATTTGGGATCGGGCAGATCGTGCTCGACCTTGTCAAAGTTTCGGGTCTTTCGAGTGCGCAGTTGCATATCGGCTGCGAAAGCGCTAGGATCAAAGTCTAGTTTGTCCGCCATCTTGAAATGCGACAACTAGCTAGAGATATATACTGTAAGATGAGTTGCCTTGGGGAGGCAAATGAGGTCCCGTGCTGTATGAGTCCTAGGGGCAGCGAGGCTGTATCAGGAGCCGCAAGGTCTCGTGGATGTCTAGGTCAGGTTTCAGGGCGTGAAGGTGCAAAAAATAGGCAGCGAGACAATGTTTTATGCTTATTCTCGACGAGGAAGTCTCATGGATTACAGGAGAAGGTTCAAGGTCTCAGTCACAGGAGGAAAGCGCGTGTGTTAAAGGCCTGCCAGCAGCTCAGGTCTTGGCTTTAATATACGTGACCTCATGTGAAGATCAAATCAATAGCGCAGGAAATTGTTTATAGAGGCTGCGACGTGCTTTGTTTAGGGTCTTGGACTTGTGACGTCGCTGCGTGATACTAGTGACGCCGATCTTTTAGGCTTGTGGGGTTGGAGGTTTACCCGCGTGGGCGCTATGCCCAGAAGAATGGCCCGTCCAAAGCCAAGATTGGACCGTTTGACTGTGGCTTGCAGCGGTCAGTGCTATAATTCTGTCAAAAACAGGAGTCGGAGGGCATTAGAGTGTGTTCATGTTGGCATCATATTTGCAGTTGACCTCTCGGATGTTGGATTTGCCAGGCGAGAAAGGACCCTTGTAGTGATCGATCGAGGATACAGGGGCTAGATCAACTGCCGGATTACGTCACATCCTCAACTCGACTGTTGACTGTTGGATCACGAGATGGCCTTCTAATGTATGGCCACACCAGAAACTGAACGGACATTAAATCCTGCAGGTTAAGAACCAGCCTTCTTGGTGATCAACCAACTTTAACTTAATCTCTTACCAACCGATCTTTACGTTTCATGGTGTCCCGCTTCCTGGTAGTAGATCCAGCATCGAGGCGGCGATCTCGGCCTCGGGAGAGCCCCCTGTTAGTCCCTCGAGGTTCGGCCCGTACGTCAAGAATTGACTTTGTAGTTACTGATGGGGCTCACAGGGTTGTCAATTTCGTATTGACATAGCGTATACATATGAAGATGCTCGTTCTCCCTCTCATCACTATAGTGATTCTATCTACTCCTAAACGCCATCCATTCATCCTGTCTTTAATCATATATGCATTTCCATGTCTCTAACCACCGGGTATCAACCAATACCAATGCAATGCAATGCCAAATGCAAACTGGAAAACAACTCATCATACACGCTTGCTTGAACTACCATCCCCCGTATAACCAACCCTTCTTCTTCTGTGCATTGAACAGCTCATCTTTGATCTCTTGCACAACCGCTTTAACCACACCCTTCGTGGCCCTTTCGCTTATCGTCAATGAGTCGTAGAATAAATGGTCGTTCTCAACTGCACAGTCAGCCGTGACCTTGTCCTGATCGATGATGAGATCAGACATATCAGCCTTGACACATGAAGTCCAGACATCGGCGAATCGCATCGTCGCGTTTGGTGACATTGTACCGCGTCCTCGCAGATCTACCACCGCCGCACGCTGCATCTCACCCTCTGTCATAGCATCGAGAAGCACCTTTCCAATGTCCACCGCCAGCCCGTTACGCATGGGGTATGGAGCTTGGATAACACGCTCGTCCTCGTATGTCTTCTTCGCCGAGTCTTTTGTGTCTTCGCTGTGCTCAACTGGCTCAACACTCTCGGCTCTCTTGCTCTTGCTTGATGCCTTGTCCTCAGAAGCCGGCTTCTGGGGTTTCTTGGTCGATCTCTCAATCCACTCAGCAACTGCAAAATCTACCTCTTGATTCCAGTATTTGGTCAGTTCCGCGGCATTTCGTGTGTGCTCTACTACGCTGTTGGGTGCTGGTGGCGCCTGTCGAGTTTGCCACGCCGGTGTCAAGGATATATCGAATATCATGGGCGCGATAATGCGAAAGCTCTCGAACTTGCGTTTGTCGACACTATCCAGAGCGCCGGGTGCCGTCAGCTCTCTAATCTGGGTTTCGGTCGCATTTGTCCAAAAGTCCGAGTACGCAATGGAAGTTGGGTCTAATGATCGTTCGTAGAGTATTTCAGCCTGGTCAAGGATAACTCTCGCCATATCTGTAATAATATCTTCTGACTTCGTCCTTGGCATTGCGGCCATGTTCCAGACTTCCCAAGTGCCGAAGCTGAAGATCCAGAGCGTTTCGCGCGGGGGAATTTCAGGTGGTGGCATCGCGAGGAAGGTCTTCACTTGGCTGGCTAGGTCAGGGACTTTGTCTGGAGTTGGGTACTGTTTAGAAATGTAGTTGTAGTCAAAGGCTGGCTTCTTCTTCACGTCTGTATGTTTTGTGATGTTGAGAAGATCTTTGACGCCTTTTTGATGGAGTTCGTTGCTGATGAGGCCCCTGTTCGGTTGACCATCTGGCACAAAGGAGAGATAAGAACTGCAGTTGAGCTAAGTATCTGTTAGTATGTAAGACCGATATCACATTATCGAACTTTGGTAACTAACCTCGTCACATAACTCTTCTGTCCATGTTTTGCGTCGGGGATCTTTGACATTACCCACGACATCAGGGGATCCAAACACCACGATCCTCAAATTTGATTCGGGTTCTGGCTCATGTCTACCCCAAGAAAGTAATCCAGTGTAGCTGTTTCCGAGCTGTCCACCTGATAGTCGATTCGGTAATACGCCGAAGATAAGAAAGCTGGTGAAGAAGATGGCAGCGATTTGAAGGATAAGCTTAGGCGCGCCGCGCCAAACGCGAGTAGAGCAAAAGATGAAGACATTTTTCCCACCAAGTCTACCCATGACAGAATCTTGACTGTCACGGCGGCTTGGGAGTTGATGATCGAGCTCTGCGGGTGATTTCCATCGTGCTTGAAACATGATGCGCTAGAGTCGGATAAGAGAAGTGACTGAGAGAAAAAAGGCACGGCGATTTCAAGTACTGCTGTGGGCCATGGGCAAAACGTATATGTTGTTTGGTGTTGATGTGGCTGAGAAATTATAGACAGAAATAGGATAAGTCTAGAACTAGAAAATGCAAATCCTATGCCGATGATCCGGTGGTGGACGCCCAATTCGTGGAAGTGGCCTCTTGAAGTGATCGAGTGCACGTTTTGAGAGGAATGTAGCCGGTGGGAAACAGTGATTAACTTTGAGCGAGGCGTTTCGAAAGCAGGACGGATGAGAAGCTAGAAACGGCTTCAAGGGAGATGTTGTAGAGAGTAAAGGCTATGACAGGGTGTTATGCGAAGTTTGAAAGTCTAAGACGAGAGAGTTTGAGGTTGACAGGAGCAACTCCTAGAGCAGAGATCAGAGGCTATTGCGAAAACAAGGCTGTAAATAAGATGAAATAGAATTTATGGGGGAACAAGCGATTGATTTATCAGGGATACGATAACAAGTCTAGTGGTTACGTTTCTACTAAAACTAAAACTGAGGTAAGTGCAGTAACCTCCGATGAAATAGATGCAACAGTCATTGCCAAGCCATCTCTCATCACAACTTGTTGCGCGGCCAAGACCTTTCACAGACTTGGTATCGCGGGATGTGGTGAGCCTAAAGCGATTCAGGAAAGGGAGGACAAGGCAGAGACGAGAGATTAGAGGCATCCTTGTATGGAGAGTGGATTTCCATGTGGCCAAGAGAAATAGACCAGCGAATCTCATCGAATTGCCTCTCATCCTCTCCTGAATCTCTCTCTCGAGACGATTGAAGCCAACAAGAAACGTCACGTCACGGTTACAGCGGGATCCGGCCGGCGTGTATGTACCCACATCCCGGTGCCGTCTTCCGGCCTCGTCATCCGTGGCAGCAACGTTGTTCTCCCACTGAGAACCCGTTATTTCCTTTGGCCTTCACTTTGTTAAGTTAAATTAGTCCCAAGAAATGCGTCGTCAGCAGTGGAGTCTGAGCCTCCCCCCAGACCCAAGTCAAGTCAAGTCAAGCTAGAACCGAAGCCACGGGTGAGCACAGGCCAAGAATCTCAACTTCCAGAACTCGACTTGAGGTCTAGGTATTGTTGATGGTTTGTGGGGAAGTGAGTGGATGAGTGCAACTCAGCCGTTGATCACTGAGTGATGTGCTGCAGGTTTGGTCCAATGTTTGTTTTTCGTGACCCGCAACCGGCAATAACGCACGAGACAAACTTGATGCCTCCAAGGTAACGATGCACCCGGTTGATCACCAACGGGTATTGTATCACACAAGTAGACACAATCACTATTGTCTTGACATCCTCTTTCATCCAGCATCAATCTCTTTTTCTTCATTATTTACTGCCAAAGTAACGAAATCCTACGTCATTCTTATTTCCCCACCTTCGGAGCGCTCGATTACGCCAGATATAATTTAATGAGCGCCCAGCCTCTACCGCCTGCATTTCACCAGTAATCGACTCATGATGAGGTCTGCCCAGGAATTCTACTGCCTACAAGTCTTGGGAGACTAATGATGGATCCAGTCTCTGTGTTACTCTATTCGAACAGACAAAAGAAGTTTTTATCATATGATGATGTACCCCAAGCTTTTCCCAGACATAAAACGAAGATATCTTCATCGAGCAAGCCATCGCCAAGAACCACCACATATCGAAAATGGTCTAGAATAAACGGCACTCTCCAACAGTATTCCTCACATTCGACTATTAGATCTTTTATTTCCGTCCGTCAGTGAGAACTGAATGCCGTGATTCCGACACCTTCAGCCATCGTACGTAGGTATTGCACACTGACCTGATTGTTTGAGGCTCTCAGCTCGGCAACGCCGCGTTAGTTCACCAAACCTCACAGCCTCGTGGCTCAGGTTAGCGTTGAAAGTTGAAGACTTCTGAAACCGTGGCTGCCGGTTTGTTTGCTTTTTCTATTCTTGGACTCAACAGATGACAGCTGACTGAATCACGAGTACCAGTGAGCTCGAGTAAAAAGATTCATCGCTTTCTGATGTGAATGTATCGTGTCATGCCCCGATTCCACAGATGCGATTAAGCTTTGATCGACATTATCATTCACTTACGTAATTCTCAGCAGTGTTACACAAGCCTGAAATGGGAATGTTACTCGATGACGCACAGAAACGGAGGGGAATTGCTCGACATGGCTGCTTATTCACAGCTGAATAGCCTCGCCTTGTTATCGACGATCCATTTGTGTACATATTTGATGGAGCATGTCTGGTCGAGAGGTCAGCTCCAGTTACCTGTTGCGAGAGTCAATTTAACATGAGTCGTCTCAGATAAGCTTAATCGCCATGGCCAACACCATCGCATATCCATTCACCTATTGGGAATGTCATGATAGTTGGCATAGCGGTTGCAAAGTTTATGTCATTAGACTCTGGGGGATTAACCTTATCGGCGTGTTGGCTGCCACCCACGTGCTTCCATCGTCTTGGCAAGTTAGACTCAGAGCGAAGCATTGAGATACCGTATAGCAGCCCATCCATCAGAGGCCATGTCATGGGTGTCGTTGATACTGCATATGATTTCCTCCGATGCACTAGATGGGCTGAATCATGCTCGGAGATTGCCACGGTATAAGTGGCAGAGCCAAGATACTTAGCGAATAGAAATCATGTCTTATAACAATAACCTGTCTGAGACTTCTATAAGAACAGGAACAAAGCTCAACCCCTTTGCCAAGCCGAGACCCATTGTACAGACTCTAGGCCCAGTCAGAGACTATCTCGATTACCACTTATACGTAAGGAGTTGAAGGGCGAGCTTGTGTGAGTAGATGTAATTAAAGCTGCCCTTTGTCCACAGCAAGGGAGACTCTGTTTTAAGATGAATTCGCCCCGAAAATGACAAATATTCATGATCAAAGAAAACGCATTGTTTGCGCAAATTTTTTGCTCTTAATACTGCTGTTAATTGGAAGGGATAGGGATTTCTTTTTATAGACTTGGCGCAAAGCCTGGTTTACTTTGCTGTAACAGAAGCCTGCCCCACTACCGACGACAACGCTGTAGGACTAAACTAAAAGCCCTACTTGTCAAAGCTAATTGCTTGGTTCTCTCATTGAGTTTGTTGATTGTAACAACTGATGATACAGTTGATTTAAATATTCTCTTGAAAGAACATCATTGTTGTTCTGCTGATTGGACTTGAGAAGCCGCGTCAGAGTCGTATTCGAGTGGCTTATGCACGTGCAACTCATCCTTGCCTTGTCTTGCCATTGCCAGGCTTTTGGATCGGGTCCCTTGAAACTGTAAATCCGTCACCAACCACGCATCGGGGTCAGGTCCATTAAGTTAGTCAGGTTGTCACTTTGTCTCCTCAGCCTCCTCCCAACATCTCATCCCATCATTTCCATCGCGGCAATCTACATCAACTATACCGCCGAATTCTCCGAGCCTCTCTGCATCAGCACCAGCCTCACCCAAAAACATACTTCGGCTATCGCTGCGTTGCGTTGCGCTGCGCATTTAGAAACAAGCTTACGCTCCCTTGCTGCCCGCTATCGATACCCGGGCTCTTCTCACGCCCAAAGCCCAAACAAGACACCCTATCGATCGACCACTATGTTAACGTTGTCTCTTGCGACTGCGACCCCTTGAGTCATGCCATGATCGCGTCTCGATCGCCTCCTTCGCCTACTGTTTGCTTCGCCCTCCACTACACCATCGGGTGCTGCCCCACGGATGCGCTGCCCTTTTCTCAGTATCGGTTCCCTTACGCAAGCTCGAGCGCGGAAGCGCTCCCCCCACCCAGCCGCCGTCGACATTTTGATTCACTCTCCTTGACGCAGACCTCAGCCGGTTCTTCGGTATGCTGTCCCATCTGAGGTTCCACAGGCGAGGGCCCTCGAATCCTGCCTCGCCTACTCCCGATAATAATCCTACTTCGCCTACATCCACTGTGCCTTTCTCTCCCGATGCACTCTCTCCGGAACTGCGAACGACCTCGTCGAATCCTTCTGCATTGCCTCCCACTCTACCACCCATAGCCCGTGTTACCACAGAGGACCTTGGGAAATCACAAGATAGCCGCCAAAATGCAGCCACAAGCCCGCTAGATCCTCCTCGACCGCAACCCAACTCCAAAAGCTCATCTAACAAAGGATCATTCATTGGCGGTGTCGCTCTTAGAAAGTATCAGCGGGATTTGGAAGCTCAGGCTCTTGAAACTGCGGACAACGGAAAAGGACCCAGTCTACATGGACAACATTCAGCATCTCAACCATCATTGACCTCAAATAACGCTCCTTTGCGGCCATCGCCACAAGTTCTGAGGAATACGAAAGCCGCATCCTCTTTCAGTACACCTACAGATCTTCAGCACTCAGCCGCTGTGCCTACCGGTCGCCGTCCTGCAGGTACCCGACTGGTTACAGAACTCCCCTCGCTTACACAGACAACAAGCAACACCGAAATCCCCAAGCCCAAAAAAGGGCTACCTTTTCTTAAAAAACCAATGTCGACTCTATTGATGAGGCGCAAGAACAGCCAGCATGCTCCTGACTTGCGCCCATTACCCTTGGCTCGGCGCGGGGAGGATCCGATATATGACCCTCGTATCATGGGAACTCGGGTCCATGATTTCAGTGCCCCGCGACCCAAGAGGAACACCCCAAACAGGGAAACAGTGCAGCCTCCTTTCGCCTCGCCAGTCCCTAATTCCGCTCCCCTCCCCACCCAAGAGAGGTTTTTGAACCCAGCTGCCAATCAGGCAGATGAGACTCCTCTCTCGGCCACACCTTTAACCCAGCGAGAGCCTAGTAATGCTTCCGAGTCTATTTACTCCCAAGATTCCAGGGCCCTCAAGATGACGCCAAGCACTGCATCTACTGCTGCTCAAATCCCTGCAGCAGAGATGGCCGCCCTCGCCTTGTCAGATGCGCCTCCCGTGCCTCCCAAGGACAACGCTCCCATCTCGGTTCAGCCAAGGTCGCCTCAAGCATCACGGTTGATCGATGAAGAAGCATACATCCATGAGAGATCCACTTCACCTCGGGCTGGTAGATCGAGAGGTCCCTCACTGTCTGGATTGTCAGGCAAAGACATCCCTTCTGCGATCCCTCGACATATGAAGAGTACCTCCTCAAGGTTTAGCTTTGACATGATTGGCGCTGCAAAACAAGAGAAGCTTCTTGAGGACAGGCATCGACAACGAGAGCTCGAGAAGAAGACGGCTGAACCCGCTGCAGCTCGAGACTCGCGTTTTGATGATTTTGATGACGATGGTTTCGATTACGATGCAATGATGGAAGACGATGGTTTCGAGGAAGATATTCCTATGGTCGGTGATGACTATGATGATATGGACGACAGCGGATTCAACGGTGAATTCAATGACCACATAGACAACCATCTGGATAATAACATGAACAACACGCTGAATGACCCCATGGGCGGGCATCTCGACAACAACCTAAACAATACGCTGGGCAGAAACGTGGTTGACGACCAAGACGATGAGCTTGATCCAGATAACGATCAAGAGAACTTCTCTGGCTTCGTCTTCCAACGATCGGGCCCTACATCGTCGTTGACAAGCCCACGCAGCGCAGGTTTCTTGCCAACCCCGAGGGATGCAGAAGGCAATCGGATCGGATATGCTATGAGTCAATACACACCGAATATACTCGGAGAATTGTCTCCCAACCTCCCCCTCGACCAACAACTGAATCAAGAGATGCAGGCAGGTGGACTGGGGATCCAAGGACTGGACGTTCCGAGAGTGCCCAGCCTGGAGAATGAGGCTGCATTCCAGAAGAACCAAGACTTGCCACCAATTGACACAGGGCGCCAATTAAATGATGAGGAGCTCTATTACGATGATGGGATGCTGGAATTCGAGAGGAACGAGTTTGCTGAGGATCTTGCTGCCCCTCCAGAATGGGATGATACCCCTTTTGACGAGTCGATATTTGACAACAATGATACCGATCAATTCGGTCGACCGATCGCAGGGGCATTTGCGAATGCATTGCAACGATCCGCGAATCAAGATGAGCCGAATCGATCGTCGGATATGACAGCGCCATTCTCTGCGGGTTCAGAGATGTCCAAGACTACGGCCCATACATCACTCAGTGTTGAGGAAAAGCAACCTGTCGAGCCTGAGGCTCCCCACGACAGTCCCAAACCTCAATCACCTCCTGGCCCTTCAGCTATGGTCCCTTCGTCATCACCTCCTAGCAGTGGTACCATGGCGGCTTACCAGGCTGCTCTCGCTGCCGCAACTTACAAGGCAGCAGCATCGGGCAAATTTCAACGGAGTTCTTCGCCAACGGCTGATGAAACCATTCTATCTGAGCCAAGCCAATCGCCTGATACACCAGACCGCGATAATTCTTTTAGGCAGGACGACTATGAGAGCTTTGATGATTACGGTGGCTACAACGACTCTTATGAAGACATGGCCGATTTCGAGCTCGATGATGATGCTATTATTGCTGAGGCCAACGCAAGCGCTCTGGCTAATGACTGCGATGGTTGGTATGGCCAGGAATTCAATTTCTACTCAGCCCCAGCTGGCCAACAACAAGGACCCGAGTTTGAGTATGCTAATGGTGGCTTCTTCGGACCCAAGAATGGCTTGGATCGCAGCACAAGTGGACGCATGATCTCGAGGGAGCCGAACTTGACACCTATCACAGAGCGGTCAGAGTATTCCAACAGAAACTCGTTCATGAGCCTTGGTATGCCTGGCTTCAGCGGAACACCTCTGCAGAGTCCTGGTCTAGCTCAGCTTGCTCTAATGGGTGATCGTGGCGACGAGATGACATTGTCTGCCCTACTCCGTCTTCGATCCAGGGCTTGGGGTGGCTCTCAAGCCAGTCTTGTGTCTAGCCAGAATGGGTCCCCTCGGTCAGAAAGAGGTGACCTATCTAGCTCACCATGGGGTCAAAGTATTATGAGCCCAACGACCTTCCATACTCGAAAGAACTCGGTCCTATCCACCATTAGTCATGACTCGGACAGTGTGAGCGCGTCAGGAAGCCCGACTTTGACAGGTGGCATTCCCGGTTTGACTTTGTCTCCTCCTCCTGTCCCGACACTGGCCAAACTTGACACCAGTGTTAGAGGGGATGTCCCGGTAGCGCCTCTAAATATTAGCAGGCCCCCATCAAAGTCTTATGACAACCCTATCTCTCCGATATCCGATGCTGAGAGCATGCCGGCGTCGGCAATGGTGAGCCCTCTGGAGACTTCGAACAGGGCTAGCATGGTTGAGCCAGGCTCAGCTCCAAAGCGTCCGGGTATGGGCCATCGACACAAAGGCTCAGCTGATAGTATATCATACGTCAAAGAGGAAGATAGTGGAGCTACGCGCTGGGTCATGGAACGACGACGCACCGGGGAATCTGGCCAGATTGAGATTCTCGAACGAGAAGTTCTTGAAGGAGGGCGAATATAGGATATGATTCGCTGTTGTTGTTTTATGAATGACTAGATACGACCAACGGAAAAGGAACAAACTGATACACCATGGCATGAGGAGTTTGGATTGGGATTGGATATACACAGTAGACACCGGTGCGAGCCGTAGGCCCTCGAATATAGGAGCCTAGGCCATGGACAAAACAGAAGGGAGGAGCACAAAAGTCATTAATGGTGTTGCGGAGCTATATATGGGGGACACAAGCACTTATAGCTTTTGCGTTGTTGTTTGTATATAATTATGGACGATGAGAGTCTCAGTCATACCTAGACCAATCATCAGAGATATAACAGAGCGTACAAAAAGGAACAACTCATTCTACCATTGCTGCGGTGTCTGGTGTTCGGCGTAAGGGACGTTTTATGACATGACAAGTACTTTATTTACTGTTCCTTCCTTTCATCTAGATGTAACAGGAAGGGAGGCGTGGAAAAGTCTTGACTCTTGCCTGCCTCTCATATTCAAGTTACAGTTGCACGTCTCAGAAAGGGCAGGCACAAAACTGTTCAGTGCAACTGCCTTGAGGTAACGGCAAATCTCATGTCGTCTTCACTTCCCTCTTGTCTTGTGAGAGGCATTTGGAACTCTCGTCCTACACCGACAATATCAACGATTGATCCTCTTCCCTTCTACACTCTCGAAAAATCGTCTTTGGAGCACTTTTGGGGTTTTCTTGGAACTCTTGTCATTCGCTTCGTTGTTCGCAACTCCTCTCTAAGCTATCTCTTTCTCCTTTCTGTTCTCACTCTTTTTGTCTCCTAAAAAGAAAATGCTTTCGTTTTTGGTGCAAGTCGCGACGCTTGCTTCGTTAGCTACTCTATCTCTCGCAGATGACGCTCCAGTGAATGACTTGAAGGCATACAATAAGGGCTTCCTCGGTCAATTTCCCTCACAGGAATTCAAGTCCTCGGACATAGTAGCCCCTGTCTTCCAAATCAGTACCTTCAACCCCAATCTTGTCGATGATTCAGGGTTTCTCTTCTTGACAATGGAACACGGCGACAAATCAGGGCCTGCCATCTTCTCCAGCAAAGATCTCAGCCTTGTATATGCTGACATCTCATACGCCAAAACATTTGATGCTCGTGCTCAAGTGAAGAGCGGAGGCAAGTATCTCACTTTCATTGAGGGCGGTCGCTGTCATGCCTTTGATGCCAACTACCAGAAGAAATGGACAGTCGAGATCGAGAACCTAGGGTCTACACAGGGCAGTATCCATGAGTTCGAGTTCACAACTCAGGGGGGCACAGCTCTGATGACCGCTGTCCAGGATGTCAGATACAACTTGACTGCTCTTGGGGGTGAAATGGATGGTTGGCTAAGCGATTCCATCTTTCAAGAAGTCGAGCTCGAAACCAACAGGGTTACCAACGTGTGGAGATCCTTCACACATGTCAACCTGACCGACACCATGGTCAAATACAGTCCCAAAAAGACTTTCATGCATGGTGATGGTTTCGACTGGTTTCACATAGACAGCGTGTCGAAGGTATGAGCCCCCTTCTTGGCTTCTCAACCGTCCAGGAACTGACCAGGAACAGACCTCGAAAGGTCATTACCTGGTTTCATCAAGGAGTCTTTCGGCAATCATCCTCCTCCAGGCGGATAGCCTGAACCCACGATGGGTCCTCGGAGGAAAGCGCAACCAATTCAAGGACCTCAGTGGCGGCAATGCAACCAACTTCGCAAATCAATATGACGCAAAGTTTGTCCAGGGCAATGAGAGTCAAATCAGTTTCTTCGACAACCAAGCCACCACAAGCGGATCGTGTAGCGGAGAAAATTGTTCTCGTGGTGTTGTTGTGGAACTTGACTACGAGGAAATGACAGTCAGGCTTTTACATGAATTTTATCATCCTCAGGAGATCTCCTCGGGTTCAGGGGGCAGCGTCCAGGGCCTTGACAATGGCAACTTCCTTATCGGCTGGGGAGCGAACCCAGCGATTACAGAGCATACATCCAATGGTACAGTTGTCATGGATATTCAGCGAGGAGTTATCCCACATGAAACTAACGGTGACCCCGATCTTGATATATCTGTGTATCGCGCGTGGAAGATGGAATGGATTGGCCGACCTCCATGGGGTCCTTCCATCGCTTCCGCGCTTCCAGGGAATGAGGCGACAAACGCTACCATCTATGTGTCCTGGAACGGCGATACTCAGGTTGACCAATGGGAAGTGGTGCGTTCAGACACACCCCTTACTCGTAACTGTTACTGACTCTTCAGTAGTACGTTGGTGAAGATGACAAGAATGCCACTTCTTCTCCGAGACTTCTCGCAAATTCATCTCGATTTGGCTTTGAAACAGAAATCCTCCTGGAAACATTGCCACTTCCTAGATCCGCACGGGCTGTCGGTGTAAGTAAAAGTGGTAAGATCCTCGGTTCAACAGCCACAGTTGATCTTGCGAGTGGTGAACTTCACGGCAATAGCAGCAGTACCTGGATTGTAAGGGCGAACACCCCCGATGGAGAACCGAGGGATGATCCTCACGGTGGGAACCAAGGAGACGAAGGAGACTTTGCGTTTCATACGAGACCGTCAGTTAGCTCCGTGTTTGCCCTTCTACTCGCTATTGCCTTCAGTAATTTTTTCTAAGCTGAGCCTGAGTTGGTGGTGAGTCGAGGTTAGAAGGTCATTTTTGGTGCCGATATCTGGCGGAGTCTTTACACGGCAGGACAATTCGAACTATTCAATAGTATGGGCACATTCAGTTACTTTCTTAAAGATAAGGGGCTTTACTAAAGATAGTTATTCCAAGTCAAATTTATAATATGTTGATGGCTGAAGTGGCGATGATGGTGTGTATAGGGTGACTGGCTGACTAATCTCAACTGATCAACTTCATTGCCGTCATCACAATTTCATACAAGTTCATCCTTTTTCAACATTTCCAATTTCGTACTATACTTCAACTTAGTCTCTCATAGATCTTCAAGGCTCACGAAATGTCTGTGCCTATACGCCGGGTGCCCTTTGTATGTCGGCGTTGCCTACAAGTTTCTCGCCAACCCAGAACATTGCCACCAGCTCACTATACAACTCAAGCTGGTGCATCCAAGACAGAGGATCAACAACAAGACAAAACTGCAAAGAAAGGCGAACAAGAGAGTGGTGAAAATACTGTCGAGAAGGAACTTGGGCCCTTAGCTCGACGGTTGGAAGAAGCTACAGAGGAAGCCCTCTTTACCGGTGGAAGAGCCGGACGTCGGGCCGTTGAGGATGCCGGTTTCTCGGAAGAGCTTAAGGAAAGACTGTTGAACAAAATCGCAGATGCAAATTTTAAATCTGAAAATGCCAGCGCCTTTGCCGAGGCCAGTCTCTCGTCAACGGCAGGCGAGGGGACACGGCATATCGCTTCAGCGCAGGCGTGGACAGGAGAAGAGAGCACTGCAGATACGGTACTTCGAATGCTCGATGATGCAAAGAAACCTCTCGCTCCAGGCCTAAGGGGCAAGTTTCAACCCCCTCCGGTTGATATGCGACTACAGAAGCAACCGAGGCGATCAGCTGGAGAGAAAGTAGCCAAAGCGAGGGACAAGGTGAACACCTATGTCGGAATGGGTGGTCAACAAGCCAAAAATAGTATGAGTGAAGATGAAAAAGAGGCTTGGAGAAAAGAGTTGAGGGAGAGGTTTGAGCCTGGAGCCCGAGCGTTACCAAACTCTATCACGGGTCTTGCAGCACTGGCGAATGAACGCATCGAGAACGCTATTGCGAGAGGACAGTTCAAGAATATTCCCCGCGGAAAGGGAGTTGAGCGTGATGCTCGCGCCGATAACCCCTTTATCGATACGACGGAGTATATCATGAACAAAATGATTCAAAGACAGGACATCGTTCCACCCTGGATAGAGAAGCAGCAGGAACTTGCCAAGGAGCTCGGTATTTTTAGAGCTCGACTCCGAAACGACTGGCGACGCTTTGCAGCGAGGATGATCGCTTCACGGGGAGGATCATTGCAGGAGCAGATTCGAAGAGCAGAAGAATACGCTGCAGCAGAAGAGGTGCATAACCCAATTATACGAAAGAAAACCGATGGCCAAGTGGAAGAGATTAAAGCTGCCTCGCCGGTTGTTGGAAGGCCGTTTCGAGATTCAGCGTGGGAGCAAACTGAAGCCGCATATCACAAGCTGTCGATTGAGCGTCTTAATGCCCTGACACGAAGCTATAACTTGATGGCACCGGATCTAGCAAAGAAGCCGTACTTTTCACTTGAGCGAGAACTCAAGGCGTGCTTTGCTGAAGTTGCGCCTACAGTGGCTCGAGAGATTCAGGAGCGTGCAACGGGTGGAACGGCAAGGAGTTTGGGAGGAGGGGGTCAAGCGGGCAAACAGACGGGTTTGCTAGAGACATTGACTGGAGGTGACAATGTCAAGGTTCATGTTGAAGCACAGGAGAAAGCATATGGGCTGAAGGAGTGGTGGAGAGACGTGTGGAAGAAGAATTGAGGCTAATAGTCAGACGAGGCATATCGATCGGCACATGTAGCATTGTATATAAGAGCTGCATCACCACTACCCAACAACGGCAACAAAGCCTGACTCATAACGTAAGAAAACTCAGACACTCAATTCCCATGCAAGTCCCCGCCTCTTCCCCAGATGGCTGGCAACTTTATAGATCAACTACGGCCCCCGCACGAACTATCGTGACCAGGTAGTGACTGAGAGCAGTCCCACCCTGGCATGTGTATAAATTTCAAGATCAACTGTGTTTCGCTATAAACTGGCCTGAGTCTTGAAGTCTTAGCTTTATCGAATAGTAGCTGACCGTAAGGGCCTCAAGACTGTAGTATCAATTGGGGTCAAGGAGTGACTTCCTTTGAGTTTTGGGGTAACTCCAATGCCACGAACTGGAGCTGGTGCATATATATATATATAGGTCAGTAATAGCCACTGCTTGGCCTCAAATCATGTTTTGACGACACAAACTTTGTGGCTTCCACGGCACTTCAACTAACATCAAGAAGATAACCGGCAGAATTCGCTCTCGCCACTGAGCGAGGGATGGAAATGAACGGTGAAGATTTGTCGGTCCTACCACGGACGTTGAAAGAGTTCCCCAATTATCCTGGTAGTTCCAGGGGTTCGCAAGTTTTAATGGCGCTAAATGGCTGCCGATTGTTCTAGCTTCTGGGCATTGGAGTCAAGTAGGGTTAGCCAAGATGAGGCTCCGCACCCTTGGTAACTTTCGAAAAGATAAGCTTGAATGCCGTTGTCAACAATGATCAACGTTCTGTTTGAAGTAAGGCAGTGTATTCAGGACGCAACTGTGGCCGCATGTATCTTGGTCTCATGGCTCAACCATGCTTCTTTCGACATCCGAATGAACCAGATCTGACATGAACCGCGAGGTTTCTTCCTGTGGTTAAAGAGCAATCGGCCCACTTGAAAATAGCAAGGGTGGGCTTGACAGATAATGTTCCTCGACATGCGCCATTGGCCTGTGGCCTCACAAGCTCCCTGACAATCTGTTAGCAAATGCAACGACCACAGGGAGAAATTGCGAGCTCCAGACTCTAGAGTCGTACTCCATTATTCAATGGTTTTGCCATACTTGGTCTGGCATGGCTCGTCCCGCTTTGATCCGACCATCCGCCCCTAGAATAAAAGTTGTTGACCATTGGATCCATTTTTTACCAGGAAAAGGTCCCTTTCAGACTCTATCATACTTTCTCTCTTCTTGTGCTTCTCTCTCTCTCTCTGCGCTTTGCTCTGCTTGTTCTCTGTTGCTGCTACGTACTGGTGCAGGTCGTGTGTGAGTGAAGAGTGGTTATCATTGTTGTCGCCCACAGATTCTCTGTTGTTTTCTCGTGTCTCCTTGTGGTCCATCTGAAGTGTCACCTTTCTCGCACACGTTGAACTTCATACTCGTATGACTTCGTTCAACATTCCACCCCATCACCACATCAAGCGTATTTGGAAAAGCTTTGATCGTATTGCTTGGCCCCTCTCCGTCCGTTGCAGTGCTCTCCAACAGTCGTCTTCAGCTTTGTAAGTCAGGTGTTGATTGGTTGATAAGCCCATCTTCACGACCAGACTCAGGAAGCTGAAGTCATGGCGGGCAAACAAGACATGGTGACGCCGGCCCCGGCAGCGGCCCCGCCTTCGAAGAACACCCCCGAAAACACGGCCGCCGTGGACTCGGCCGCTGAGGACAACACCGACCCCAGCAAGACGCATATCAACATCGTCGAGCATGCCCGTTCGGCTGCCCACAAGGAGCGTACCATGACCCTCCGCCAGGGCATCAAGCTCTATCCCAAGGCCATTTTCTGGAGTATCCTCATCTCCACATGTATTGTAATGGAGGGCTATGACATCTCTCTCGTCAATAACTTTTGTATGTGTTGACCGATCCCCTGGCCATTCGTGTGTGACTGCAATCAGATGCCTGGCGTGCGGTGTCAGCATTGATAGTGAGCGAAGCTATAGGTTCATCTCGCTAACACTTACTACCAGATGCCTTCCCGCAGTTCAACAAGAAGTATGGCGTCCTTGGTGATGATGGAGAATACCAGGTACCGGCTGCGTGGCAAGCTGGTCTGAGTAACGTAAGTCATCTGCCCACAAGTCCTCAGTGTACTCGCTCATCAACAATTCATAGGGAGCCCATTGCGGTGAGATCATTGGTCTTTTCATCAACGGATGGATCTCAGAACGATTTGGTTATCGTTACACTGTCATGGCCTGTCTTGTCTGTGTAGCTGGCTTCACAACCATCTTCTTTACCGCCCAGAACGTTCAGACCCTGCTTGTTGCTGAGATACTTTGTGGTATTCCGTGGGGTATCTTCCAAACATTGACCATCACCTACGCATCTGAAGTTTGTCCTGTTGCTCTGCGTGGGTACTTGACGACGTATGTCAACTTCTGCTGGGGCCTTGGCCAGGAGATCGGCATAGGCGTCATTCACGCCATGCTCAAGCGCGACGATGAATGGGCGTACCGCATTCCATATGCTCTCCAGTGGATGTGGCCCTTGCCGCTCCTCATTGGCATCTTTTTTGCGCCTGAATCGCCGTGGTGGCTGGTCCGAAGAGGTCGCACCCAGGATGCTAAGGAGGCATTGCTTCGCTTGACCAGTCTCGACCGCGAGACTGACTTTGACGCCGACGAAACTATCGCCATGATGGTACATACAACTGCCCTTGAAGAGAAGATCACATCTGGTGCAAGTTACTGGGACTGCTTCAAGGGCACCGACCTTCGCCGTACCGAGATCGTATGCATGATCTGGGCCATTCAGAACCTAAGCGGCAATTCATTCTCCAACTATTCCACCTACTTCCTTGAACAGGCTGGACTATCAGCCGACAAGGCATATTCATTTGCCCTTGGCCAGTACGGCATCAATATGGCCGGAGTTTTTGGTGCTTGGGGTCTTATGACTTTGGGTATTGGCAGACGATCCTTAGTTCTCTATGGTCTCTGCGGTCTTTGTTCCATGTTGCTCATCATGGGTTTCCTTGGTCTAGTGCCCGAGGCTCATCGAAGTCAATCATCGCTAGCCACAGGCTGTATGATGATTGTATGGGCGCTGTTCTACCAGCTGACCATTGGAACTGTATGCTATTCTCTTGTGGGAGAATTGTCATCCCGGCGTTTGCAGATCAAGACAGTTGTTCTTGGCCGTAACCTCTAGTAAGTCACGAATATTGTGAAAGACAGGGACGCTGTCCTCAGTTGGCGTTTAGCTATGATGAAACTGTTGTTACTGAGAGCTAACCACATTTGACAACAGCAACGTCGTGGGCATTATCAACAGCGTTTTGACTCCTTATATGCTAAACCCCACAGCCTGGGATTGGGGTAATTATGCGGGATTCTTCTGGGTAGGAGCCACTTCGTCACTCCATAACATATACACCTCGTTACTGACGAGAACAATAGGGCGGTATTTGCTTCTTGTGCATCATCTACACCTTCTTCCGGTTACCAGAGCCAAGCGGGCGCACATTTGCGGAGCTCGACGTGCTTTTTGAGCGAGGTATCAGCGCAAGGAAGTTCGCGTCTACTGAGGTGGATGTATTCCATGAGACCGTGGAGGAGAATGTCATGAATCGGTACGAAGAACTCGCGGACGCACCCTCCGAGAAGGTCCACGACAAAGCATAGGTTGGCAGATTGTAACTGCTCAGCCCCCTACGCACTCTGACCCCAGTGCAAGAGATGAATAATGTTGTCGAGATGATTATACTCCAACCTTGCAAATATCCCAGCAAAGCATCAGATGTTCAGCTGAAATGCGCCACAGGTAAGATGAAGAGATCTTGCTAAGGGGATATCTCGGATCTTGGTCGGCATTGACATTTGCCTTGGCACTTGCATCACATCGGCGTTGGCGTTTGGGAGTAAGTTCCATATCCTTATGGACTTGCAAAATGTAGTTGCAAAAAACGGGAGGCTCCAGTATGTGATTTAGTTGAAGACGTCACGATAATTGACTTAATGATTCCCTTGGTAGATGCTGTATTTCTTTTGGTGTGAAATTGACCGGTGTTTGAAGCCCCCACGTTTTGGTAATTTCAGTTTGAAATGTTTGGATGGCCACTCCCATAAACCAATCGACGTTTCTGCGCTCAACTACCTTGTGGGTTCCTGTAAAGATAGTATATACCGCAGCCTGAAGCTTGTATGATCCAGCAACGGCATATGTATTGCAGTTGTAGAATACACGGGACCGGGCCGGTCACGAGGACGGAACTGGTGCAGAGAAAATGCGCGTGTTTGTGGGTGTCATAAAGGTAGAGCCCGGTACCTGAGGCATGGGCTCGGTGACGCAGTCAGGACTAAAGTGAGCATAAAGACAGTAGTGGGAGCGGAATCTGGACAAGCGGAGAGACAATGGGCTTCGAGCTTCAAAGGGCGCTGTCCTGTCCGTATCCTAAGAGCGGACCCGCTGCTACAGACAGGCCCAGCGGAAGACCCAGAAAGGGACGCGCGGTGAAGAGGCCGGAGTCGACCGGACAGCTGGAGAATAAATCGACAGTCGTTGGAAACAGGTCAGGGTCGGATTCGGTTGCCGGCGGTTGATGGGAACTTTCTTTTCTTTCCTCGCTCCTTTCTCGGGGTGGCTTCATATATAAGCTGATTCCAGCAGATATATGGGTTTGTACCAGTGGTGGTATAGAAATTGCCGTTGAAGAGTATAAATATAAGAAGGTTCGTACCGGCCGTTGAAAAGAGTATCATCGAATGCCGGTTTTATCTAGTGATAAATCGAATGCGGATGAACCGGGCTCTTGACATGTGGAAGCTGCTTTGAACCGTCGTGCATGTGTCCATATTTGCTTGACAAGGATCCATCTCGATCCCGGGTTTCAAGCGGCCTTGATGATTTTGGGGTCCCAGCTTCTGTACTCAGATCATACTATCCCGAAGCGGCAGGCAATTGGTGACAAAGATCCGTCCTTTCGATGTGGAAACGACAATTTGATCTTGTCGACTCTGGATAAATTGGTGGACCATGCTCATTGTTGTGTTTATTTAGAAATGAATTATGATGGGCAAAAGGAACAAGACCCAACAGGGTAAAAACAGAACCTGGAACCGCCTCAGGCGCACCACTCAGCTTGAGGCGTTTCTTTAGGGAAAGAAGGAACGCCCTTGACCCCAACAAACAACAGGGCGGGTTTCAGTTCTTACACAGCTACATACTAGGTAAGCCTAAGACTTTACATATTATCCTCGACTTGGCATATCTTGTTACCTATAGAGCCTAAATGGCAGTTGACAGAACTAGAGTAGTTCATGTTTAAACTTATACCAACTCTCCTACCTTTTGACTCACAATTCTAGAGTCTGTGTCATCATTAAAAGAGTCATTCTTTCTAGCCAAGAGTCATGGCAAGTAGATCGCAGAGAAACACCCCGGGAAGGATCAAAATATTGTGGCTTGAGCGCCTGTGACTGCCATGCTTCACACGCCGATGTCCGGGGTAACCCCACTAGAATTTCACGGGCAGGAGAAGCCCACCGAGAAATGCCCTGATCAAGGTGAGCTCATTCTGTGGGAGCTGCTTAACGCCCCCATAAATTAAGGGTCTCGATTCCGTTTCCAGCGTCTGATTGGACAACAGATCCCCTAGCCCAGCTCCGAAGAGGCCCGATCGCCAAAATGTACGTTAGACACCACGCTTTGCCTAGTCACACTCCGCCATAGGATAGGATCGCCTCAAGTGATCCTACTTCTCCTCCCACGCTTTTTTATTCTCCTCCTCTTTCTCCTCCTTCAACCTCCTTTCAGTCACCAATCCATCCCTCATCATCACCTTCACAATGCTGTCCACTCTCCGAGTCGCCAGCCGCCGGGCTGCCCGTCCTGCTCAGTTCAACCTGGTTGCCATTCGCGCTGCCTCTCACTGGGCTAACGTTCCTCAAGGTCCTCCTGTATGAAGCTCCCTCACTGCCGGCGCACCTCTCCTGTATGATCTCATGCTAACCTCTCACAGGATGTAAGCTGAATCAACCATTTCTGAGCTTTGCGCGAGCTTCTGTTGCTAATCAATTGCTTGTTTTGTTCTGTACAGGCCATTCTTGGTACGTACAACGCCCGCTCTATGCGATGCGCTCCGTTTCTCCGAATACGGGGCGTTTTGCGCCAAAGACAAATCGCTTCACCACCATGAATATCGATATTAACTTGTCTCTCCAGGTATCACTGAAGCCTTCAAGGCCGACAAGAACAGCAAGAAGATCAACCTGGGTATGTTGCGACGTCATCCCCCACCATCCGAATGCGGAGGTTTCTCGCTATTTCTCGACCTCATTCTGACCCGAATCCCATACAGGTGTCGGTGCCTACCGTGACGACGCTGGCAAGCCTTACGTTCTTCCCTCTGTCCGTGAGGCTGAGCTCAAGGTCGTCGATGCCAAGCTGAACAAGGAGTACGCCGGAATCACTGGTGTTCCTGAGTTCCCTCCCGCCGCCGCCAAGCTGGCCTACGGTCCCAACAACCCCGCCCTTGATCGCATCACCATCACCCAGACCATCTCTGGTACCGGTGCCCTCCGTGTCGGTGCTGCTTTCCTCCAGAAGTTCTTCCCTGGCGAGAAGAAGATCTACATCCCTACCCCCTCGTGGGCTAACCACAAGGCCGTCTTCAACCATGCCGGTCTTGAGGTCGAGCAGTACCGCTACTACGACAAGAAGACCATCGGCCTTGACTTCGAGGGTCTGATTGCTGATGTCAAGGGTGCCCCCAACGGCAGTGTCTTCCTTTTCCACGCTTGCGCTCACAACCCTACCGGTGTTGACCCTACCCAGGAGCAGTGGAAGCAGATCTCTGACGTCGTCAAGGAGAAGGGTCACTTCGCCTTCTTCGATATGGCTTACCAGGGCTTTGCCAGCGGCGACACCGACAAGGATGCTTTCGCTGTCCGCTACTTCGTTGAGCAGGGCCACAACATTGCCCTGTGCCAGTCTTTCGCCAAGAACATGGTACGCTAAACAAATTTACATGTGATATCTAAAAACAGCCAGCTAACAATCTCATAGGGTCTCTATGGTGAGCGTATTGGTGCCTTCTCCCTCGTCTGCGCCGATGCCGACGAGAAGAAGCGTGTCGACTCTCAGCTCAAGATCATCATCCGACCTCTGTACTCCAACCCTCCCATCCACGGTGCCCGCATCGCCTCCGAGATCCTCAACAGCCCTACTCTCTACAAGCAGTGGCTCGGTGAGGTCAAGCAGATGGCTGACCGCATCATCACCATGCGTGCCCTCCTCAAGGAGAACCTTGAGAAGCTCGGCTCCAAGCACGACTGGTCTCACATCACCAGCCAGATCGGCATGTTCGCCTACACCGGCCTGACTGCTGAGGAGATGACTCGCCTTGCTGAGGAGTTCTCCGTCTACGCTACCAAGGACGGCCGTATCTCTGTCGCTGGTATCACTTCTGAGAACGTTGGTCGTCTTGCCGAGGCCATCTACAAGGTCAAGGGTTAAATACGAAATGACCAGAGTATAAAATGAGAAGGATGTGCGTCCAGTGATCACACTGCTTTGAAAAGCGATCTCTTGGATGCAAAAAGACAGCTACGACCATGAAAGCTGTCGGGGCGGATGGCTTGAAAATACCCTAAGTCTAGGGTCCAAGTCTAGTATCAGACTTGGAGAACTAATGACGAGACGAAGAGAATCTGAAAATACATGTACGAGTAACCTATATAGAAGACGTTCTATGCGTTCGCTACCTCTCCAGCACCTCATACTGAGTTTGGAAATGTGAAGATATATACATTCGATCTAAGTAGGTATTAAGTCTAAGTTATGCTAGCAATTCGCGCCGCTCTTGTGCCATCATTATCTTTCATACACCGTGAATAGTTTGAAACACATTGTGTCTCACAATTACCACCCCTCGTTAACCCTGGTTCAGTCGGTCCAGGTCTCTTTTCACTTCATCCATTTGTCTCGTCATGTCCCGATATACCCTCGACATCTCCCTCATCTTCCTCTCCTTTGTCTCTCCGCCATCAACACCGACGCCGTACTCTCCCAACTCAGCCTGCAGACCGCGAATGCGCTCCTCACCTCGCATTCTAGCATCGCGCAAGTGCGCGCCATAGTTCTTCAGAGCAGCAATTGCTTCGGGTGTGTAGACCGCGCGGCGCACAGAGGCAGCAGCTATAGCAGCATCGGCGTCGTGACGACGAGCTTGAAGGGCGACATCTGCGGCGCGGAGCTCAAGACTGCGGGCTACAACGCCGTGCTTTACTTCAAGAGCGCGGACGAGAAGACTCAAAGCATTGCTGGCGGACTGAAGAAGAGTTGTCAACGCGGCCAGGGAGCGTAACCGGTGAGTGCTCAGATCTGCTTCTGCAGCTGTGAGGTCAGAACGCCAGGACATGAGGGTAGCTGGCAGCGAAGCAATATGTCGATGGAGAAAGGATGGATTCGTAGACGGATGAGCGATTCGTGCAAGACCTAATGCCCAGGTCCGTAAATTCGATGCGATGACTGGTGCAAGAGCTGGAAGGAGAGTCTCAAGGTCTGAAAGGGGAGGATGGGCGAATAGGAGCTGGAGGGTATCTTGAGGAAGAGGCGGATTGTTGGCGTCGAGAAGTGGAGGGAGGATGAGAAGAAGATCAAGTAGAGGTTCTGGAAGCGAAGGTTGTTGCTGTAATTGCGATCTTGACTCAGTAGGTTGTTGATTTTGAGGTGCTCGTAGGCGGGAGGAAGCTCTTGTTGCGGGCGGTGTGCTTGATGGTGTTGCCGATGAGATGGCGAGAGTTAAGAGATGTTGTTTCGCGCAGACAAGACGCCTGCGGTTGAGTTCCTATACCTCAAGTCAGAATACAACACCATTATTGAAACGATAACCATGGAGTAGTCTCACCTCTCGAACTGCAGCTCGCTCTTTAGCTCTGGGATCCTCCTTAGTCGATCCATCAGGATTAAGTACAAGATTAGTAAGTTTACTATAGAGATTCGCAAAATCAGGATTATTCTGAAGAACAGAGTCTTCCACAGGAGGAAACATGGCCATCGTATATCAGATCAGATCAGATCAGATCAGGTCAGATCCCGCTGTCAACGAATACTCATTGTTTGCTTTGTTGATAGTGAAGCTGTAGTGGATCCCATCGCGAAGACACCACGAAATCGCCTGATTGGGCAATTCCCTCAAGTTAAACGGCCCCACGTCTCCGGCGCCGGAACATCACGCCCCTCCGAACAACGACAGTCCAAAAATCTCAACTCCAAAAGGTCATTGATATCGTCGACGATCAGCGCATCTCGAAGGGGGCACTCCGCGCTCGAAAATCTCCGCCCGCCTCGACGTCAATTGAAGACCAATGTCTCGTATATAACCAGAAAATCACACTCCGAGATTCGATAACGAATATCATGGCGTCCTGGGCCCCCGCTCGGCCGGCTCTGAGGGCCCTGGCCTCATCATCAACAGCGACTCCCGCTCGACTATTCAGCACAACTCTTCCTCAGCAGACCAAGACGATCAAGTCACATCTTCTGCCCAACCGTCTGATCCCCCCATACCCCTATGGCGAGCGAAGAGTCTACAAGCAGTCCAACAAGGGTCTATACGGCTCAGCGAGAATTCGTTTCGGTAACACTGTTGCGGAAAAGTACAACAACAAGGCCCGTCGATTCTGGCGTCCAAACGTTCACGTCAAGGTCTTCAGGCTACCCGCAATACAAGCCAACGTCAAGACCCGCCTCACACTCCGAGTTCTCAAGACCATCCGCCGAGAGGGTGGTCTCCAGGAATATCTTCTCAAGAGCAAGCCCGCCAGGATAAAGGAGCTTGGCCCCGGTGGCTGGAACTTGAGGTGGCTGCTCATGCAGTCCAAGGATATTCAGAAGCGGTTTAACGAGGAGCGTGTTGCTCTGGGTATGCCGCCCAAGGAGATTGAGGACCGGGATGATATTATTCAGTATGCGCTCGATTTCGCTACTCCGGGGCCCCTAAGCAAGCGTAGTCAAGCGACGCTGGGCGAACTTCTGGCGCAGGAGTTTGTGTTGGGTGACGAGGATTTGGCTGATTTGGAGGGCATTCAAGAGCTGTCAGATGAGGACGAGGCCCTGTTATTCAAGGAGCTCGATGCAGAGATGGAAGCCAGAAAGACACAAGGCGAGCAAAAGATTACGGTGTAAAATGTCTTATGTATAATATGTACCAAAACCCCCCATTTTCAACGCCTTCCAACCATTGTATCGCCAACCCGCCAGAGCCACGATAGAAAAGACTTTTTTGTTCATACTGTCATTTCAATGGTTGCTACATAATCCAAACATGGTATCACTTTTAATCTAGAAACGGAGATCCCAACCAATCTTGGGGCCCAACTTGGGCAGCTCATCAGCGACGCTCTGCACGTCCTTGTCACCACGGCCACTCAGGCAGATGACAATATCCTCACCCTTCTTCATTGTCTTGGCAAGCTCAATGGCACCAAAGATACCGTGAGCAGTCTCAAGAGCAGGAATGATACCCTCGAGCTGACTCATGAGTTTAAAGCCAAGGAATGCCTCAGCATCAGTGGCAGCAACGAACTTGGCTCGCTCGTTGTCCTTCCAAGAGCTCAGCTCAGGTCCGACACCGGGGTAATCAAGACCAGCGGAAACGGAATGTGTCTCGGTGATTTGACCATGCTTGTCCTGGAGAACATATGTCCTCACACCATGTAAGACACCCTTGGAACCACCAGTGAGAGTAGCACTATGTCTGGCGGTATCAACACCGTCACCACCTGCCTCAACACCCAGAAGCTTGACAGTAGGCTCATTCTCGAAGGGATAGAACATGCCGACAGCGTTACTGCCACCACCAACACAAGCCACAACAGCATCGGGAAGCTTGCCTCGCTTCTCGAGCATTTGTTGCTTGGTCTCGTTACCGATCACTGACTGGAAGGTTCGGACAATGGTAGGGAAGGGGTGAGGTCCGATGGCAGAACCGATGATGTAGTGGGTAGTATCCAAGTCAACGACCCAAGCGCGGAGGGCCTCGTTGACAGCGTCTCGAAGAGTCTTGCTGCCAGCTTCGACAGCAACAACCTTGGCGCCGAGAAGTCGCATACGGAATACGTTGAGGGCCTGTCGTCGGACGTCCTCCTATTCAATGCATTAGTGACGATATTCAGATCAGCGAATAGGCTTAAACTTACAGCTCCCATGTAAACTGTGCACTCCATACCAAACTTGGCACAAACGGTAGCGGTAGCAACACCGTGCTGACCAGCACCAGTCTCAGCGATAATGCGTTTCTTTCCGAGTCTTCGAGCAAGGAGAAGCTGTCCCAGAGCGTTGTTGATCTTGTGACTACCAGTGTGGTTCAGATCCTCACGCTTGAGCCAGATGTTGGCACCACCAGCGTGCTCAGTGAGTCGCTCAGCCAAGTGCAAGTGGCCGGGTCGCCCCATGTACTCGTAGTAAGATCGGTACTCCTCCCAGAAAGAAGGGTCGTCCTTGATCGCATTGAATCCATCCTCCAGTTGTGACAGGCAGTCCATCAGACTCTCAGGAACGTACTGACCACCGAACTCGCCAAATCGCTCGGGGATCTTGCCGTGAAGAGCAGCGAGCTGAGCAACCAGGGCGCTGTCCTCCTCGGCAGTGATATCGGCATCTGTGACAGTACCACTGACGGTAACGTTCTCGCCGCTGGGCTCCTTAGCACCAGCAACAGCCTCAACAAGTCCGACCTCTCTTGTGTTCTCATCGGAATCGCGACCTGATAGGTAGGCACAGTACTTCTCGACATCGGCAAGAGCCTGGCCGGGAGCGGCGTTCTTGATGGTGGTGATGATCTGACTGCCGACGACGACACCGTCTGACAAAGTAGCGACACTTAGGAAGTGCTCTCGAGTGCTGACACCGAAACCGACAGCGGCGGGCTTGTTGCCGCTGTACTTCTTCACTCGCTCCAGAAGATCGGGAAGGTTCGCGTTAAGAGTGCCGGTAGCGCCAGTGACGCCCATGCGGGAAACGACGTAGATGAATGAATCGGCGAGCTGGCAGAGAATCTTCATTCGGGTATCTGATGTAGCGGGAGCGATAAGAGGAACATATGAGAGACTATGTATAGAATCAGTATTGTGCTCAGGTCGATTTAGGCGTTTTGACTCACCGGCCCTTGTTGCAGAGCTTTCGGAAGGAAATAGCCTCCTCGGGAGGCAAGTCGACGACGATGAAGCCATTGATACCGGAGGAGTGGCAGTCCTGGAGCAGCTTCTCCTCACCGTAGCTTAGAAGAGGGTTGTAGTATCCCATAAGCATAACGGGGGCCTTGAGACCGCGAGATCGGGCCTCCTTCACCATCGCCAGCGTGGACTCGATTGTGACGCCATTCTCGAGAGCGATCTAAACCAGTCAATTCCTGTCTAATCGAAGCGACTGGTGCTGTACGAACCGTGTTGGCAGTTTGGATCGTAGGACCATCGGCAATTGGGTCGGTGAACGGCGCACCGACTTCGATAACGTCTAGAGTTGCGACTCGGTTAGTACAGTTCACAGGCGTCATTGAGCCGAGGAAAACTTACCGGCGCCACCCTTCTCGAGAGCCAGGAGGATGTTGGGTGTGTCCTCGGGCTTGGGGTAACCAGCAGTGACATATGTTACCAGCGCAGACTGTTTAATAGAGAAGAGTCATTGTCAGTTTCTTTGTTCCTCCAGCAAAAGTTGGTATTCTCGCCGTTTTACCCCGCGGAGGGGCAGTCATGACGGGAATGTGGTGTACTGACCCTGTTCTGCTCCTTGCAGCGCCTGAAAGTCTGTTTGATAGCGTCCATAGCGAATTGATTATCGACTCTGGTCCTAGAAATGATATGGAGATTGAAAGGAGGAAATTCCTAGGGAGGACGTGGTGATCTTTAAAGAAAGAAAGGAAGAATTGAGGCGAGGGTTGTCTGTTGGTGACTGCATTCTCATTCTCCGCCACCGATTCCGGAAGAACGAGTTCCGCCACCTGCAATTGAGCCATTGGACTCGTTAGCTCCTTCCCGCACATGCAAGTCGCCCGCAGGTGCATATTCCGCCCACACTCCGCCCTGCATCAAGCATCATAGCACCCACTTCGGCTCCGGAATTCCCTAATTGGGGAATCAATCAACATGACATTGGATGGAGCTTTGGTTGCAATCTCAGGGTCTTGCATCATGGCATCTGAAACTTGTGACATATCTTGTGCTCCTACCTATGTAAGCAATTACGGACATTGCGATTGGGTATTATCTAGCATTTACCTTTGCTGCAGTCATCATGCACATGAAGACTGAGGCACATACGAGGGAGTCTCTTTGTCGAGCAGCTCCGACGCCAAGCAGCTTGTAACAAAGAACCACATGTAGGGCTGAATTAGCATCAGGAATGACCCTTTGGATCAGGAACAGAACAAACTTTCACTGATCAAAGGGAGTCTACGCATTGTTATGCAGTCGCAATAGCCATGCATTCATCACGCATGCATCACATCCGCATCACCACCACTATACACAGCCATATTTGCAATTGTAGCCTTCAATTTGCTGTTACTGTGTCATTCTAGGGCTAGAAACAATCTGGTTGAAATCATGACCACAAACAACGTAGAACACGAACCAGACCCAAGACTATCCCTTGGACACGAAACATAGACTAAGTATCCAACGACCACTACCTTTTTTCCCTTCTGGATATCAATTGAGAAACATATGAAATAAATATGAGTTGCCTCCATGTCCAAGATACGTTATATTGACGCCTTCCGTCTAGTCATCGCTACATGCAGTTGAAAAGGGTCGTCTCTCTCGGCGCGGGTCCAGCCAGGGCCAGAGTAAGAAAAAAAGAAACTGCAAGGGAAATCATCCTTCAACTGGCTATCGGGCTCCGACACTCCTAGTATTTGCCGCTTGCCGTGTCTAAGTAGCCGTAGGAGCTGCTTCTTTGGTGACCGTCCACCTGTGTAGCACGGGCCCCTGTTGCACCGGACATGAACTTCTCGTCATGCCTGCTTGCATCTTCTCTGTAGTGATCTATCTCGCCAGAGGAGGACCCAAAACGAGGAAAGTGTGTTGCGCCATCGGGATTGGCGGGATCATGATGTCCGACACGAGGACTCAAACACGGTCTGTTGTCTCCAGTATAGCGCATACCACCTTCAGCGCGGCCCTTGTCTGGTGAGACCATGCCGACAAGTGTCCATACTGTGCCAATGAGGACAACAAGTACATACACTAGAAGTATACCGGTAGAGATAAGAGCATCTTGGATCAGCTTGCCGTGAAGCCAATCTGTAACTGCCTTGACAGCCCCCGTGACCTCATCAGTAGTGGCGGACGACGGGGATGCCAGGAACGTGTTAAGCTCCGAGTCACCTTCAACCGAGTCCTTCGCACCCTCGCTGAAGGTATTGTTTTCGAAGAGTGGGAAGTTGACCTGGGCGTGGTCATGAACCCAGGTGAGTCCCTTTTGCACGCTCTCGATCTTGATACCGATAACACAGTGAAGGACTGTCTTGATAGGGTCAAGGAGGATGGTTCCCTTGAAGACAGTGTTAAGTCCATCATTCATGGTATCAATGAATGTGTTGAGAGTGTCGTTAACAGCATCCGTGGCGTTGGTAACATAGCCAAGGACGTCGTTGTTGATTTCACTGTTGAAACCAGTGATCACGCCGTTGGCATCATGGGCCCATTCAGCCGAAACGCTTTCGAGGTTCTCAACAACATCGTCAGCAAATGCGCCGACTTGACCTGCGAGGGCAGGCACTTGGTCTCTAATCGCCTTGAGAAGAAGCCACTGGCAAAAGCAAGAGAAGAAGCCAGCAATTGCAAGAGACAGAATGAAGAGGGCTGGGACGGATGTTGCATAAGCGATAAGCCATCGTACAAGAATCTGTCGCTTGCCCTTGAAGTGCGAAGCGATCTTGATGCCCGCAGTAGCCGTCATGGGTCGAGACGCAATGTAGACAATGTCCATAGGGTCATACGAGTTTTGAGCAATAAGACGAGCATGCTGCTGTTGTCGCCGCCAGCGTCTGATCTCAAGCCAAGCCATGGGAACAATGGCGGCCAGAGCGAGAATAATCAAGACAGCGATGAAGATGGTTCGAGCTTTGTGGATAAGTTCGAACAGGTTGTTGAAGAAGTCGTTGAGAGCAGTGTTCTCAGAACAGAAGGTCAGCTTCTTCTTCTGGGCGAGAGGGAAGACATCCCGATCGAATTTGTAATTGCCGTAGGTTTCGTTGAGGGCTTTGCGGACGAAGTCGAACGGGATCGAGATGGCTTGCTCCGTCAAGTTCTGGACTTCTCGGAAGTCAGGGAGATCGTCTTCCAATTTACGGACATCCTTGACGAAATCTTCGGACTTGATGTCAAAGTCCTTTAGTTCCTTGACGGGGCTGGAGAAGTCAACCTTGGGGATATCGGGAACAAGGTCTCCAAATACAGAGTCTTCAATTCCCTTGGTGACCTTATTAATGCCATCTTCAAGTTCCTTGGAGAGGCTGTCTATCTTTTCCACAGCCTTGTCAATCACGCCGTTGAACTTTTCAGTTGCCCCTTCAGTGACATCGGCAACAACATCCAGACTGCCGTGGACCATGGCGGTAATCAGGCACACGTAAGTGGCAGTTAGAAAGTTGATGTAGAACACGATCATGTTCTTGACGCCGACAAGGACCAGGTCGAGCAAGTACACCATGGCATCGACTGACTTTTCGATTCCAGAGGCTGCGAGTTCGTTTACGCCCCTAGAGAGGTAATGAGGCATGGAGGCCATGGCGCTGCCAACATCTTCGACTTTGGTACAGGCGGAGAGGGCTTTGACTTTGGCATCTCCGACGTTTTCTTTGAGGTCGACAATGAGGATCATGACTCGGACCAGGACTAGGATGAGGAGAATTGTCCAGCGATTCATCCATATTTGGGAGAGCCTTGCTCTGAGGCTGAGGTAGGGAGTAACATTTGGAGCAGTATCGGCTCTAGCTTCTTGAACTTTTCGCATCTCGGTCATTTCGAATGATTCTGACCGGAGGGAGTTGGGTACGGCCGGGTAGACCGGCGGGTCGTCGTTTTCTTTCCGTGAGGAGAACATCTTGAATCTATGTTTGTTGGTAAATGCAAACGATTAAGTTTGTATGAGATTGTATAAGTAGAAAAATGCGAAGACCGAAGGAAGAGGAGGCTGGGTTCGAGTGAGATGTGATGATGATTTACACGACGAAGGGACAAAGATTAATTAGGTAAAGAGCCCAAGATGAAAGATGAAAGAAATGGGACAAAGGAAATGACGGCCGTGAGCAAAAAATATCTCCAGTCTATCGTCTATGATTCCATGTTGATTGTGCAAGGTTGAAGTGCGATTGTGTATGAGTGAAAGAAAAGGCCGAACAATAGAACAATAGGAAGGGGAATAGCAACAATAAGAGAGAGTGATTGAGAAAGCTTTGACGCAAAACATACCTGACTCACTCCACAAATAGAGTATCCAATGAATAACAAATTCCAATAGAAATCAGCTGTAACAGAAACGCCTTTGACAATCCTGGCGGCAGCGCTTAGGGTACGAGAGTGAGGTTGAGTTGAGTGGGCTAAGCGCCCGCCTATACTGGTGACCAGTCACGATGCTGGCAAAGGCCTGAACACAAACAGTTCCGAAACCGAGCCAAGAGCAAACGGACCGCAAGGATAGTGAGGTAGGTAGCGTTTGTATTAGATTAACAGCTGAGGTTGAGCTTGAGTTGAGTTGAGGATACGGTTGAGCTGGCTATAGGTGCGAGGTTGTTTGACTTGTTCGACTTGTCGCTTTGAGTGGCCCAACCGCCTCAAGCATGGGTTGAATGTTATAAGGCCGCTCCGTAGAGGACTTGCACAATGAGAAAGGTACTGTTGGTAGCACTGTACTCGCAATATCACAGCATCAACTGCTGCAGCCTCCAAGTGAATGGGGTGCGAGTTGAAGTATAGATATATAGTGACTCACGCAGAGTGCAAGGGGAACACCGTGGAGCGATAAGGTGAGTGGTGCCCAGCATTCCAAACCTCACCATCAGTTGGCGGCGAAGAGTATGGGCATATAACTGATAGGAAGGCGGCACATCTTGGTAGTCCAAGCGGGTGACGCCATTGCAAGCTGTTTCCCATGAAACCCTAGCCTGAAGCCATGAGCGCAGTGGCGGAGCTGTCGACTGATTCCGATATGCTGGCTATTTGGCTAATGTAACTGCGCCGTAAATGCCATCGTGTAGGTCACTAGAAAAAGCAGGGTCCTCCGAGAAATGATTTCAAAAGGCTATGATCATCACCAGAACATTTCTTGGTGGTGAATGTTTTTTCGAGGTGGCGCACCAGGATGTCGTTGGAGTTGCCAGGGCTGGTAGCCAATCAAGCTTCCAAACAGGGGCCTCTTCACCGTTGAAGCCCCTGGACCCTGGTGAAGAGCTTCCCCAAGTAGCCCAGATAGGTCTAAGGGTCTCTCTTCAGGGCCCTCGTTGACAGGGGTTCACGTGGTCGGTAACCGCCGATCTCGTCCAAATAAATCGCCACTTGATGAGTTGTAGTTGAAACAGGATTTTCTGGAAAGAGTCACGGGGTTGGCTGGATTTGTTTCTGATCATCGTCTTGCATATTCTGAAACTTGGTCAGCGGTGAGATATGGCCAGGGCCAGGTGAACAGGTGAGTGAGGTGTTTAAAGATAGATAGAGTTTGTAGTCAAAGCTCTTTAGCCGTAGTCAAGTTGGGCTGAAGAGTATGATGTCATATGGCGGGGGTTCATTCGTCTTGTTTTCCTCTGGTTCAACAACTTGTGTTGTTGGTGACCTGATGAAAGATGCTGAGCGACAAGCAAATAATTCCTCATCTTGTGAGTACTCAAAATAGAGTTCGAGTTTCAATCTTGCCGAAGCGCTTTGTGTATCGAGCCATCGGAAAGTGGTCGCGTCTTGGTCGTTCCAGTGTAAAACGATTGGTTGCGGTTACAGCCGCTGGTAGCTCTTTTGGCGCGTAGTGAAACGGAGCCCACTGAAGGCAGAACGTCTACAAGTTGAGCAGCCAACCATTGGATCCCAGAAAAGCTTAAAATAATGGGATTCCTTTGTTAAAAGCATGCTTTCTATTGTCGCGTCGAAATCTGTTATCAAAAACAGTAGTCAGTCAATAAAGAGTGCCTGTTGTCTGTGGCAGTGAGCAAGTTGAACATATCTGCATCATCCAAGTCAGTTTGCTGCTTGTCCGGAAACAACAGGGAGAAACAACTTTAATTTGTTGTCCTTGGAGTTCAGCATTTTTTCAAGAAAAGCAGCCCTACTTCGGTTGCTTCAGTGCAGCAGACGATTCAGCCACAGCCGCGCACCCAAACTCGATGTGCCCGGATCAAATCGTGTGTGTCGCAAGGAAGTTCTATTAAGCGACCATGTATGCTTTACTACTTAATTACAGAAAACTAGGTGCATAAAAGGATTCGGAAATCTGCCTTAGTAGACTGGCTTGGATAATCACCGGTCTCCTCTGTCTCAAAGGGTTCAGTGAGGCCCAGATTACAACTGGTAAGACCAGGCATTTTAAGTCATGTTGCCTCATTTGACATATATAACAACCCAGCTTGTCCAACTCCATCGGGATACATACTGTAATCTTATAGACTCCTTTGACAGTCATATTGAGGTGGGTTTGCGTGCCTTTTGTCCAACATCTCTAGCCTCTTTCTGTTCTCGTAAACTAGCCTATTCCCCAGCATGGTCTTCAGAGACAGAGAGGTAACGATTGTGTCACCCTGCAGTCACTGATGCGCATATCTTACGCGCGGGGTACATACGCACTCCCTGACAACAGCTCATTATAAGCCTTGTTGTGTGATTCTGATACACAATTTGCAAACAAACTTGAGCAATTGCTTCAATATTTTACTTCCGTACGACCTCGAGCATCAGAAGTCATGGCCGCCGCAGCAGTGTCTGACCAAACTACCGACCTGAGCAAGCAATATGACACTCCCCTCGGCCTCGCTCACTCAACTATGCAAGTCCTCAAGGACAGAATCAAGCTCCATTATGATCTTGCAAGTGACTACTATTTGAGTTTGTGGTACGTGAAAACAATCTACCACCCAGAAAGCTTAGCGATTGCTGACTCACTGACTTACTAGGGGCGAACATATCCATCACGGGTACTGGCCAACACCAGAGTCTGAAGCCACGCAGACAAAGGAGGAAGCTCAAGCCAATCTCATTCAGCTCCTTCTCGACATTTCAAATCTTCCATCTAACAGCTCGGTTCTTGATGTTGGCTGTGGTATCGGTGGAACTTCGCGGTATCTCGCTTCCAAACATGGTAGCTCTGTGACGGGCATAACCATCTCAAGCAAACAAGTCGAGATCGCAAATCGCCTGACCAAAGCTGCTATCGAAGACACCTCTTCGTCTGATGTGTCAGATGACAATGGCTTCACCAAACTCGGCGAGGGAAAAGTCAAATTTCTCGAGCTTGACGCCGAGAAGATGGGCGACTTCTTCAGCGACCAGCAGGGCACCTTTGATGCAGCATGGATAAGTGAAGCTCTTAGCCATTTTCCAAACAAGGCGTTATTCTTTGAGAATGTGATGAAAGTACTCAAGCCTGGAGGCAAGTTGGTATTGGCAGATTGGTTCAAGGACGAAGATGTTGACGATACAACTTTTATCAATGATATCAAGCCTATTGAAGGTAAGGTTACATGCGAGATATTCGTATTCATGTGTTCATGAACTTAAATTGAGTGCAGATGGCATGCTACTCCCACCCCTCTGTACCCAGCAAGGGTACGTCGATCTCGCGAAGAAGGCCGGGCTTAAAGTCTTGTCTGAGCCAAAGGACATCAGTCAACAGGTCCGAAAGACATGGTGCGAACATCTTATATCTGACTGTTGATGATGAGCTTACACTCATATGTTTAGGGACATTACTTGGTCACTTGTGCAGAACCCATCTCTTTGGGCATTTGCGTTTACTCAAGGCCGGGACGGTATTGCTTTCTTGCAGTCATTTCGCGCAATGAGACGGGGTTATGCTAATGGCTCTTTTCGCTACGCTGTCATGGTATTCTATAAGGAAATGGTATGAGGCATGGGCTGTGAGAATCAGCGCGATGTTGCCTCAAAATCCAAAAATCGTGACATCTTATCCTTGGTATATCATTAAATTATTCAGAGGTTTTATAAGCTGTAAACGGCACTCTCGCAAGTTATCACAAGTTACCTTATCAGTGACAAGTTCAGTATTTGTAGACATAAATGCCGATCACGGCTGACAAGCCATTCAGGCACATGGCGTGCTAGCGCTCACGGTTCCAAGTTGGGGTAATCAGGTGATAGCTGCAGCTGCCTAATCTTGGTTCTCGTGGGAGTTCCGCTCGGCGTGACTGTACCATGAGCTGCTTGTACATTGTTTCTGATACCATATTCAAAGACTCGGAAAATTGTGTCACTGATCAAAATAAACCTGATAATTCGGAAAAGGAAGAAAAAAGCACTTCGAACCGTAGCTGCATTGCTAGATCGAGCGAGTAAACAGACGTGTTGCCAGAAAGAGCAGCAGACACTCTATCGAAGTCTGAAGTACGGACTCAAAAGATAACGTGAACATAACCAGTGACCAACGAATATTCACCCAAATACGACCGTAACGCCTTCATCATTCTCGAGGTGGGATATAGAACCGATTCCACACAGCTTACTCCCAAGCATCACCGAAGGTGTTCTCGCCGGAGTAGGTAATGTATAGGAAACTATAGGTCATGTCAGCAAGTTGCTTTCTCCAACAGTTGTGTGGAGAACGTACCCGTCCTCATCCTTGTGTTCCTCGTAGATGCTGCTCATGAGGGCGGCCGTTGGGGGAAGCACCTCGTCGACGAAGATGAAGATGGCCTTCTCGGGGGAGAGCTTGATTCGCTTGCGGATGACGTAGACGAACTGACCGACGGTCAAATCGGCGGGGACAAGGTACTTCTTCTTGTCGATGGTCGCGATGTCACTCTTCTCGACCTTTTCGCAAATAACCTATTTGTAACATGTTAGCTTTCTATCGTGGTAAAGAAACGGACGGAATAAGCGGTCACTGCACGATTGCACGCGCCCGCCATTCTCTCATTGCCAAGTTGGAGCCCTAACTTGAGTCCAAATCAAAGCGACTGGTAAATTACGTACGGGAATGCGGTCAGAGTACTTCTGTCGAATGCGCTCGGCCTCAGCCTTGCGCTTCTCGAAGGGATGCTCGTCCTTGAACTTGCTGCGCATGTTGACAGTAGTGGTTGATAAGTTGTAGAGGCGGTAAGAGTGGTATCGATGGTGGAATCAAGCTGCTGGGATGGTTGACTTGTGGCAGCGGAAAATTCGGGAAAGTATGAAAAGGGAAAAAAGAAGATGGAGTTGGCGATAGATAAGGTAAAATGAGAAAAAGGTTTAGGTTACGATTTGCTTGCGTCAGGCAGAAGAAGAATGAGGAAGAGCAGAGAGTCACAGGCAGAAGGTGGCAGTGGCACTGACACAGACACTGGCACACAGATGAGCGGTCGAGGCGGAAGGCAGCAAGCAACCTTACTAGGTACCTAGGCGCAGACAGGTTCAGAGCTGCAGGGAGGACACAGGCACAGGGCAGGCGGCACGCTCACTCAGAAGGGGGGCTAGGCGGGCATCAAGCGGCAGGAGGACAAGCAGTGATGGGAGAGAGGCGCGGGGCTATTGAGCTAAACTATAAATGGTCTAGATCAATGATGCTCGGTGAATCACAAGAGGCCCCGCGAGGCAACAATGGCGGGGAAGCAGCAAGTCACGTCGCACTGTCTCGTCACAGGATCGAGTTTGTGAGGGAACCTTAACAAACAATTAATCACTTGGAATGAAATCCTCTTTCATGCTGGTCATTAATTCATGACAAAGACGTCGAGGATCTATCACCGGGATCCGAGTGACGGGCAACGTTAGAGTGGTTTTAAGGTACAACGATTCACTATCCGGGAGAGGGTTAGTCTAAGCTGATGCATACTAATAAGCAGCTTGAGCTGCAAACGTGCCCATGTCCATCAGCTCCTTCAGGGTTCTTGATGTTGTGAATTACAATTGGGTATTGCCAAAGTATATGTCTACCAATGAATCATGACTTGGCCGTCTTGATTGTCTCACTGAGGTAGGGTCAAGAAAAACTCAAAGTGTTACTAAATCTTGAGCTGTCTTCATCTCGAAGTTTTTACAAACTGCACCATCCTCTGAAAGTTTGCATGGTGAAACAAATAGAGTACCTAAAGTTAGGATTGGTGAAGAAAAGTTTCTCTGCTGACCACTCATCACAACGGGAGTTGTTGGACTTTTAATGCAACTGCGACCATCTTACTACAGTACCATCTACTTGGCAAAATATATAGGCCTTACAGATGGGCAACCAAATGGTGAAGCATCATGTTGGTTGCATGTGTCACTGAGTTGGTGTATATCTGCAAGTTATAACTCTTTAGTCGTAATTCAGCTTCTGTATCAAAGAGTCTAGTCAGGAACAATAGAAGTTCTATGTTCTTCAGTGACAGCCCAGTTATCAGCGCCACTTCGCATGGATACCAGTTACCGATCCTCGGGGGGGGATAAAACTTCTGACGTTAAGGAAGGGTGCCAAAATCAACTGGTCTAAAGATCGACTAAGATACACTAAACTTACCTAAGTATTTTCGTCACTTAGGATAAAGGTCCTAAGTTTTCTTGCCTTCCCCTGCCGATGCACCAAATTGAAAGTTTGACAACTGAGGCCTTCCCTGTCAGCCACACTGCAACATCCACATCACGAGAGAAATCATGCTTATTCTACAGATTTTCTCGAATTTTTTCCAAGTGATCTCATCGCCCGGAGAAGCTCTACACGAATTATAGGAGCAACCGGAGCTACAGTGGCCTAGTACCCCCGAGTGGTGCGTTGATTTTGACCGCCCTCGGCACCGGCCGGCCACCGGAGCAGACATTGTCGGGTGCCGCTCCACACTACCAAGTCCCTTAGACTCAGTCAGCCAATTGCCGAACATTCGATTCTGACTATCACCCGAGTTCCCAGTCGTTCTCATAGAGACTTTGAACCTAACAAGAGGTACCTGTACCGTACTGTCGCATCCTGGCACTCGCAAGTGGCCTCATCCGAAACGCCTGATCGTCGTATCCTTTCTGTCTCTCTTTCTGTATTCGTTCTCGGCCTTCGGCCTTGTTTTGCCGCTACTGTTTCCCGGGTCCTCGGGTTGCATTGCCCAAAGATATAATATCATGGCTGCCAGACGGCCTTCCCAGCGCCTTGCTGCGTACCTTGCATCTCCTTCTACACGCTTCCCAAGAACCCAATTCGCTTCTACGAGACGCTGGCTGTCTAGTTCTGCCGGTCCTAAAGCTCCACGAACCTCTTACTTCAACTACTCTCCTCTGTGGCTCGCTGCTGTCGCCCTCGGTACAGTCGCCCCTTTAGCTTACAAGATGGTACATGCATTTCCTCGGACAACAGAAGCTCAATTGCTAACTTTATCGCTCTTAGGCCGAAATGGAACCTATTAACGCCGACCCCTCCACTCTCGCCGACCGCGATGCCCAGAAGAAGCGAGAGTCTGGCGTCAACGAAGACTCGCCTATGCGTCTGCGCATGGAAAAGTTTATTCGGGAGCAGCAGGCTCTGATTGTCGCTGAGCTCGAGAGAGTTGATGGCAAAAAGTTTCGCAAGGACGAGTGGGAGCGCCCCAATGGCGGCGGTGGCACAACCTGTGTTCTTCAAGAAGGCAACGTCTTCGAGAAGGCTGGTCTTGGCGTGAGTGTCGTCTACGGCTCGCTCCCCAAGCCTGCCATTGAGAAGATGCGCGCAAACCACAAAACCATGGACCCCAACATGGAGTCGATCGACTTCTTCGCTGCAGGCCTCAGCATGGTTCTGCATCCTTACAACCCTATGGCCCCTACGGTCCACCTTAACTACCGATACTTTGAGACAGCCAACCCCGACGGTACATCTCAAGCATGGTGGTTCGGTGGCGGTTGTGATTTGACACCCTCTTACCTCTTCGATGAGGATGCCATTCACTTCCACAAGACGATCAAGGCAGCTTGCGACGCTCACGACAAGGACTACTACCCACGATTCAAGAAGTGGTGCGATGAGTACTTCTACAACAAGCATCGAGGCGAGGCCCGTGGTATTGGTGGCATCTTCTTCGACGACCTCGATGAGACTGAGCGCGATCGCGAGAACACCTTTTCCTTTGTCCAAGACTGCCTCAAAGCCTTCCTGCCCTCTTACATTCCCATCATCGAGAAGCGTAAGGATATGCCCTACACTGAGGCAGAGAAGGATTGGCAGCAGCTGCGCCGTGGCAAGTACGTCGAGTTCAACTTGGTGCACGACCGTGGTACAGCATTTGGCCTGAACACCCCTGGATCAAGGGTCGAGAGTATCCTTATGAGCTTGCCGTTGACGGCTGGCTGGAAGTACATGCATGAGCCTGAGCCTAAGAGCAGGGAGCAGCGCCTGGTTGATGTCCTCAGGGACCCCAAGGAGTGGGTTTGAGTTACTGCTCTTTTGATCTAAGAGAGGAAATTTATTTGTGTGAAAGCATGAGGTCGAGCGATTGTTTAGTGTATCATATGCGAGGATCATAGATGGGGACACCCAGGGTGGTGCAGGCTATTAGGTACAAAAAGACGGACAAGTTGTCCGATATGAGAATATTAAAAAAAATCAAAATAATTCATATAATTCATGAAATGATTCGTTGAACTGGTGATTCTTGTGGAAGTTGATGCGTATTCTTGAGCTGACACTTTGGCTGTCATTGAATATCACCACTCATCTCAAACGTGGAGACTAGACTTCTTCCTTCAACATCATTCATCGAACCATGCAAAAGCACTCGTCAACTCCACGGCAATGGAGCCTCTCCCCTCCCATCGCCAGTTGATTACATCCCTCATAAGTTCCGTCTCCAATATCGCGCCATCGACCACCGCAGAAGACATATCATCAGCGCAGCCACTTCGGGCCGCTCAACAACCCACATTATCACCCTTACAAGCCATTCTCCCCTCTCAACGGCCTCTACTATTAACTCTCCATGTGCTGTTCCCAACTCTTCTACTCCCAGCGCTGGATCTTCTCGATCGGTGTCTCGTTATCAGGCTAGTGCGAAATGAGGAGCTTCAAGATGGGATTTCATCAGATAAGATAAAGAACGACATGTTTCTTGTTCGCTCTCTCGCTACAACACTTTCACGCCGCACGCGAGACTTCAGTGCATCATCGAAGCGCTACGTTGTGCATCTTGATGCGTGGAATTGTACATGTCCGAGCTTTACATTGGATGCTTTCCCAGCTCATGCTCATGCTGTCTCAACTACGAACCAAGTACAGCAGTTACCAACTGAAGATGGAGAGTGGTCCTTTGGAGGCATGAGTATGGATCCACGGGGAGATGCTCCTCCATGTTGCAAACACCTACTTGCATGCTTACTTGTGGATAAGTGGTCAGAAATGCTCGGCATGTGTGTTGAGGATCGGGTTGTATCAAAAGATGAAATGGCTGGTATCGTAGCCGACTTGTAAATATGGTTCATCATAGCAGTATCGAAAGACCCGTCTCTCAAGACGTATCTGTCCAGTATGTATTATCCGCGCTCCGTCCTCTAATAATCCAGTTTGATATGATCAATTTACAAAGGCGCTTTTGCCTTGACCTTTGGCCAGGATATTGCCGTGGTTCCCCTCCGCCAGACGCCAAAGAGCCTCAGTCCAAGTCTAGTTCATCTGCCAGGTCTTTTGTCTTTGTTCCTTATTTCTTAGTCTCCTTGTTCTCCTTGTCCTTTTCCGCGCCCTCCTTGGAATCACCACTTGAACCATTGGCGCCCTCCTTCTTCTCATCCTTGCCATTGATCTCTTCCTTCTTAGCCTCCTTCTCCTCCTGCTGTTGTCTGTTCTGGATCTTGTTCTCAATCAGATCGTGGAATGCTGTGATGGCGCGGATCAGACTGCTCAGGTAAATAGCCATAAGCTGGTCGTTGGTCTTGACGCTCATCGCATATGCCAACTCGCCACCGCCAGACTTGCCATCTCCTTCGGGTGTCGAGAGATTAGGCAGCAGGTTGAAGACATCCTGCAAATTTCCGAGGATCGCGTGGTTTACTGGTAGTTGCTTGTCGAGAACCTTCTGGAGGTATGTGCCGATATCTCGAAGGCGCAGGTGCAAGCCCTGGAGTGATTGAAGCTGGTTTGTGACTCGTGTGGACAATGTGCCGGCGGCCACATCGCGGATATCTCTTAGCAGGTGCTCAACACCAATCTCCTCTGCTTCCTCAGCCTCGATAACGGAAGGAGTGTGAACAAATGTTCGGGCAGTGGTTGTGCCGTCCTAGTGAGTGTCAGTAGCTGGCTGGGGGCCAGAAATCAGGAAGGCTTGTCAACATACGTCCTTGATCTCGTCAACGGCGAAGTAAGCATCTGTAGGAACTCCCGACTCCTTGGGCTGAACATCGACAATAACGAGCAGAGGGTTGGGTGTGTAGCGCTTGAAGAGTTCGTTGATTTCCAAATCGGATGCACGTAGCTTGGGACCAGTGTGGTACCATCCTATGAGTTTCTCTCGAGCGTTGACCTTCTTGAACATGTCGTTCATTGACTCGACGTAGTTGTGGTCAAGGAACCATACTGAAGGGTCCTTCTCATCCTCCTCGAAGGGAACTGTGTGACAATTGTAAGCGCCGCCCAACTTACGGTCCCATGATACTAGGATAACACACCAGCAAAACTGTTTGACACTCTCACGTCGTTTCCATCATTTTGTCCTAAAAGAACACCAACTACTCGTCGCTTTGTCTTCGTAGAAACAGTTCGGTTGTAGTGGTCGACGGCTGAGAGAAGGACGAGGGGCGCAACGGTGACGTTTCGAGTAACGAGGGAGAGGGTTTCTGCTGTTGTAGTAGGCATCGTTGCTTCGTCAATGTATATCTATTACGACGGATGCTGAACTGTGTAGAGGTATAAATCAATGCGCGATCGTAGTCGTGCAGGCGCGGCAAAATTGGAGGTAGAGTCGTGATGTTGATGCAGTGATTATTGTGGCCGCACGTACGTAGTCTTGAGGCTGCCTTCTTGGGGAAGCTTAGCTCCCGATTGGGCCAGGCACCTTGGAGACTTCAGGCTCAAGCCTTGCAGTGCCACATCACGTGGAAGCAGCCACAGTCAGCAATTCAGCCACATGTCATGAACTAAGCGGCATCGTGACCAAGAGAATTGAAAGCACAGGCCCCTGAATAAAGAAAGGCAAGAATCTTCGAATTTGGACTAGTGAATAAACAGAGAGAGTAGCGTTGCTTTTTTGTTGATTGTACTACTGACATCATAGGCAGATGAACGGTTGAATCGACCTATGTTACAGTACCAAATCTGAAGCTACATTTGGTTAGATGGATAGTGGCCTACCTAGGTCATCATCCTAGGGAATTCCATATACAGGCTAACTCACAATAAGCAAGACGATGGTGTCTTTTAAGGAGTCAAATTCAAGTATCAGGCCAACACTTATTTGCTGAATCCGACATAGCGTGGCCAGATCTTCCACTTATGGTAAGCGACTCGATTCTGGTGAGATTGCCGCCCACTTGGGCCTCGGTGCGAACCGGAGTACGGTAATAAGGATGTACATATTGAGGGAAGAACCATTGAAGAAGCAGGGTCCAATACGAAATTGTATATGATGATGCCATCACTATAGACTCTAGACTTGGCTTCGAGACATCTGTAGGAGAGCGGAAAGATGGAGGCTAACATGCTAATGCCGGCTATTAACACACCTACACGTGGGCGCAAGCGTTGAGTTACGAGGGTGCCATGTCACTACTACTCGAATAGGATATAACAGAACGAAGACACTCGTGCAGCGATACTAACTACCGATAGTCGTTCCTTGCACGAGTGTTGCTAGCCGTGAAAGGACAAACGAGGAGGCCAGTTGTATGCAGACCGAGGTGTGGCCGTTTTTCTGCAACAGATGAAATGCTAAGAGAGTTATTCTTGAATTGTTGAACCGGCGGGGATATACCGGATCAAAGGGGCCGGTGGCATCCCAACTCTCTGAACCTCGGTCCTGGCGACCGAACAAACTCCGTTGCGTTATGGCAGTTGTGAGCTGACCTTCCGCCATTGGCTTCGGCCAAGTACGGTTATAGCATCCTGGAGTATAGTGAGATGAGGCAAAACGGGCATGTTCCGGATACGGCTGTTGTTGAGACAAGTTGCGAACTACCCTAGGTATCTGTATATCGGTGATGTATATAGATGAAGGATTGAAGACCTGGGATGATAGCGATGCTTATAGCTGGGAAGTTATAGCAATCACAATGGCTCGTGCTGGAAGGCCACACGTTCTCACCGTATTTAAATTTATACATGTCAAGTAATGTTATTGTTGGAGCTTGGTCGTGTTACGAACAGGTGGTGGTCTCTATAACGCCGCAGCTGTACCGAGTACCTTGTCCCCAGCCTGTGATTGAAAGCTTGCTTTTGGGGTATTGATGTGCATGTTTTGAGCCCTGAAGACGTTACTTACAAATTAACGCTGCACCAAACAAATCTAAGCAATACCAGTTATCCAGAGTTCACAAAACTGCCTCTATGTATCCACACAAATATATGAATATCCGTAAATATCAAAAGCCACGATTGCTCTCACCTCAAGGCCAAGGCGTATCCCCAGCAGGTTAATTACAGGGGTGTACCCCCATCATCATCGCTCCAGCAGAAACGGCCTCAGTTGACCAATCACAGCTCGCTAAAGCTTCTCCCCCAAACCTCCCGTCCTCCGGCTACGCACTCAAGATTTCCCTGTCTTGACTTTGTTCCTCGCTTTTTTCTCTCTCTTCTTCCACTTCGATCCCCTCAGCCTCGCACCAAAGAACAAAGTCTCTCGTCAATTTCATCTTTGCTTCTCTGGATCTCCCAAGATCTCTTCCAATTGCCCGCCAGAACAAGTTCCAGTTCCAAATTCATCTTCCGCAACCGCAACAATGGGTTTCATTGAGGACGAGCTTAAGCAGCTCAAGGATGTTATTAGCACCATTGACACTCGCATCAAGAAGCTCGAGGCGCGAGCCACTGGCGGTCCCGTCTCTACTGAAGAGATCCGAATGATCCTCATCGGTCCTCCTGGTGCTGGTGAGTGTTTTTGCGCCGCAAATGCTCACTTAGTCTTTTACTAACTGTGCTTCCCAGGAAAGGGAACCCAGGCCCCCAAGATCAAGGAGCGCTTCTCTTGCTGTCACCTGGTACGTTAATTCGCGACGCAAAAACACAGCCATTCAAAGTCTCGGCCTTCTAACATGTATTTTCTTGCGCAGGCTACCGGTGACATGCTGCGATCCCAGGTCGCTAAGAAGACCCCTCTCGGTGTCGAGGCCAAGAAGATCATGGATGCGGGCGGTCTGGTCAGCGACGACATCATGATTGGCATGATTAAGGAGGAACTTAACAGCAACAAGGAGTGCCAGGGCGGGTGAGTTGCATTATTCCACGGTTTTCGGGTTCCAGACGTTTTGAGCCCGCAAATATCAATCTACACCGACGTGATCGACGAAACAGGATACTAATAATTCGCGCTTCAGTTTCATCCTCGATGGTTTCCCTCGAACTGTCCCCCAGGCCGAGAGCCTCGATGCCATGCTCACAGAGCGTAACCAGAAGCTCCAGCACGCCGTCGAGCTCCAGATCGACGACTCTCTTCTCGTTGCCCGTATCACTGGACGATTAGTCCACCCCGCTTCCGGACGCTCATATCACACCACCTTCAACCCTCCCAAGGAGTACATGAAGGACGACATTACTGGCGAGCCTCTTATCCAGCGAAGTGACGACAACGCCGAGGCTCTGAAGAAGCGTCTTGTTACCTACCACAAGCAGACCGCCCCTGTTGTGGGTTACTACAAGAAGACTGGTATCTGGAGCGGCCTCGACGCCAGCCAAGAACCTGGCCAAGTGTGGAAGAACATGCTTAAGGTCCTTAACGAGAAGCGAGCTTAAATTCTGCCCGGAGTGGTTGACTTCTCCCAGCTGCCACTTGGTGCGGCTGAGGCAACAAGACGAATGCTGAGTGAAAATAAAAGCCAGCTCGTCTTGGATATATGAACGGTATGAACTGTAAACTGGGGGAGGCGAAAGGGAGAGTGGAGAGCCCAATCTTCCAGGCAAAAGAGGCGTTAAAAGGTAGAGGGTTTGTCTGCGGTGCGGTCTTGTTTGGCCATGTGTGGAAAAAGCTACCTACTTTGGACGACGATTAGCCATGTATCAAAATGTCTTTTTACAATAGTTTCCAACCAACAGAAAGTTGGCTTTCGAAGCGTTAACTATATCTGGCCTAACTGTTTCTCGTGAAGATGGAATGCAGGTGAGGTTATGTTTTGACGACATATCGTCCTCCTCAAAATATACATAGCACAGTTATGGGCTTAGTCTCAGATAGACTAGAAACCCCTACCCAGATCATAGTCCTAGAATCGACTTACACAACCTCAGTTTCAATATTGATCAAACTATGACTCTGCAATATTTGGCCTGAGTCTCTATTGAAACATTTGGAGCCCTATATAGGACTCCTCGGCATAACATCTATACTAATGATATCATTGAAAGCATTCTGTTTGAATGCAGAAATTCTCCTCCTAGCCACCAGTCTACCAAGCAAGTACGCCCGTTTTTAAGAAACACACCAAGCTCCCTCGCAATGCTTCAAAAATAGAAAGAGGAAAATACGACACCCCGATTTCCAAGGCGGTGTCGGCAATTATGAGAATGTCGGGATCAAGAAAGGATAAGGGGCAATCTTGAGGGCCGGGTAAAATAAGCCAGTATGGGTGGGAGTGAATACGTCGAGGGAGAGACTGGCGTTTGGTAAGGTAGGTAGTAAGAGTTATGTCACACAACTTGAGAGCGTAATTCGTTGAGTCTTATCATAAAATAGCAAGGGATTTCTCACCCCGCGAGTACCTATCGCTTCGGGGTCGCTGACAGGGGAAGGTCAGTAGAGGTAGAGCGAGTCGCGGAAGCGCAACTGACCATTGACCATCTGCCTCTGCTTGTTAAGCCAGCTCCGCGGAGCTTCGTGCCGCCTTTGCAAAACGACATGGTTGCTCTGAAGCCGGCTCGTAAGATCATACCATGCTGATGAGATGAGAGCGTTCTCTCTTTCAAGGTTCCGGATAATTTGATCGCTCGCGGCCTTGAGTCATGGATAATCAGTACAGGTTTCAGTCACAGCAAGAAAAACATGATGAAAACAGATGATGTTACTATATATACAAGAAGAAATAAAACGTACCTTTTGTGCAGCCACGGCCTCCCCATCGTGTGCAGCCTTGAGTTTACGTTGCAGGTCGATCCTGTCCGTCTCTGATCGTTCAAGTTGCTAGAACATATCTGTCAGCCAACTCAATCTACCGGATTGCGCATGCATATCAATAGGTCCCTCTAGCTCCCCTACTTGCCCTCGCTGGAGGGGACGCAGGGGTAGTAGTGCAGAAGCAGGTCTCGGGATCTCAGTCCCAATGGGATCTAGCAATGAACTCGGTCCACCATCTGCAAATGTGGTATTCAAAGGCCAAGCGGCATCGTCTTCTAACGACGTCTGGCTATCTTTGTCTGGGACCACTGGGTCTTCCCCATCACCATTAACAATTGCATCAAAAAATGGACTCACCTCGCGGATTTCTCTGAGGCGGGCACGCAGCTTCTCAATCAGCTCGCCCTTCTTGCTGGGGTCAGGTGGTGCATCGCCTGTGCCATTGATGTCTTGCAGCTCCCGGCCCTCTTCAACCTCCTTACGTAGCTTATCCTTGGTAAGGAGAGCATCGACGAGCTGGGTTTGCTGCGCATCTCGTTCAGCAATGGTATAGCTGAGCTGCTCTCTTGTGTAGTCGAGCTCAGACTTGAGGGATGAGATAATGGTAACATCAGCGCTCTTGAGCTCCTTAAGAGCATCTGCCCCCTCTTTGTCAAGAGCCGAGAGCTGAGCCTTAGCAGCAAGAAGTTCGCGGCCTTGATCTGCCACCTGAACGGAGAGGTCCTTCTCCCTCTTCTTCGACTGTTCGAGTTCGAATTCGCACTGCAATAATGACTGCTTAATGTTGAGAAAGGCCTTGGTCCTGTAGTAATCCGAAGTAAGTATGTGATTTCCATCAGGAGCATCGGCTTCATCAATTGCTTTGACTAACCCTTCGCCGGTCATGTTGTTGATCAGAGCCTCCATTTGATCATGCAAAACAGCATGCTTTTCGAAAATGTCGTTATAGTTCTTTTGAAGGTGAGCACGTTGTCGCTTCTCTTCGTCCAGCTCTCGGCGTAGCGGCGCAGTATCCCCAGAACCGACTGTGCTACGCAACAAATCGTTCTCGGCCTTTAGGCGAGATAGTTCTAGGGGTAGATTAACTTGGCTAGGTTGGCCGTCCTCGGTAGCTGCATCGTTAAGTTCATCCTCGAGATTTCCTGCCACACCTAACGCGCCGGGTTCTGCACTTTGTGCGGCTCCTCCGCTCTCTAGTTGCTCCTGGAGATCCTTGATGAAGTTCTCATCGTGGCTTTGACGTGCCCTCAAACGAATCACCTCGTCCTCCAGTGCTGCGATGTCCTTCATCAGCTGGTTCTTTTGGCTGCGTTCGTCCCAAAGATGTTGCTCGGACTGAGTAATCATCTTGGTTAACTCATCCTCTGCTTTCCTCGTACGAGTCCCCCTATCTTGGTCTTCCAGCAGGATTTTAATCTGGTCTTGTAACTCTGTCTTCTCATACTGTAGATTTTGCACCTCCTTGACGAGATGTTGCTGGGACTCGAGTTTCTGCTTATACCGCTCTGCAGTATTGGCTTTCTTCTCAAGATCCTCAGCTTTGTGTTTCCATTCCGTTGCTTGGTCGCGAAGCTCTTCTGCCTCTTTACATTTTTCTGTCAATTTGAGGACTTCAGCTTCAAGTTGCGACTTGATGCGCTCGTCTCTTCGTATTGTTTCCTCATGTCTAGCAATGAGTTCCATCTGGTCATGCACCTGAATCTCTAGGTTCTTGATCATCTCGGCATTGTTAGCACCATCTATAGTGGCCTTCCGCAAGACCTCCAGTTCCCGGTCGTTCTTCTCTTTATCAAACCGGAGCTCCTCGTGACTTGTTTGTAAATGATCAAGCCTGGTGATATAATCTGACAGCTGTCTCTTTGTTAAGTCAAGTTGTGACCGCAAGGCTGCATTCTGCTCTTCAACGAGTAGATCGATGTCTCGCGCCTCCATAACAGCGTCGATGGCTTCATCCACATCGTCGTCGCCTTGTGAGCTGTTGATATCCTGTTGTATTGTCTGGATTATTTGCATAATCTCTGCCTGAGTGTGTTTGTCGAGACCTGTTATCCGAGGAATATAATGCTGGGCTTCGGGGCCTAGTGCGGCCACTCCCAACATGACAGCCAATAGCTGTAGAGTTAGCCGTACGTACCATGACTGTACAGAAGAGAGATTTACCTGACTGATGCCTTGAGCATCAGGATTCTCGGCGATTGCATGGTAGTCGAACTTCTTTGCCTGACAAGCAAGCTCGGGAACTGCTCGTCGAATGTAGCGGAAGAGACCCTTGTAGATGCTCTGAATGTTGCGCTTGTTTGTCAAGTAGCGGGATGTATTAGAATTTGTCTCGAGGGCGGACGTGTCAAAGCTAGGATCCAGTTGATGTAAAATTAGACCAAGGGTGACACCGTCGATGAGGTCCTCGACTGATTCTACCATGCGTTTCGGCTCGAAGACTCGTTTGATCTGAGGGGCATCTTCGGTCAGATTGGAGCTAGAAGACGGTGAGGGCTCTTCCTCGAAGACACTTACGGCTTTTATAAGCGCAGCCTGCGCGTTAGCACTATAGCCTGGCATCGTGTACTAATTATTGTGCGGCCGGAGCCAAATATTAGTGAGTAAAGCAGTCGATCAGGTCGTCGCCGTCGGGAGTGATAATGATGGTGGAATTATAGGGAGTTGCGTCGCGTGTCTGGTAGCAGGGGTAATGATTTTCGAGGCATTCGAGGGCATGTCGGAATGGGATTCGAGGGCTTTAAAAGGAGCTGTTATGAGGAGATCAAGATCGGTCGTTCCATTGTTCAGTGATTGTCGTGTGAGTGTTCAGTGCGAACTCAAGGTTAGAGGGAGCATTGTTCTTCAACGTTTCGGCGACATTGGGCCCTCGTTGGCTTGAGCTATGCGGTCGGGTGGGCTTATCGATTTGACAGGGGTAACAGCGTAGGGGCCCACGGGAAGTTCGAATAGCGTGCTTAGTCTGTCAGATGGGCCAGCCAAAACTTTAGGATTTATAGAAGCAATTTCGAGGCTCAGCAACTAACGAAAGTACTGTAGGGATGTTAATTTGTCTAGTGTTGGGGTATAATGGTCATGAGTCACGCATAGTTCTCTCTCGACATACCTCGCCCGTCTACCGATATGAAGTTAAGGTGATCGAATATTAGTGAATCGTCGAATTCAATGTTGCTGGATGTCAACTGTGGCGTTGTGGCGTACCTAATGACACCCGATGTAAGGAGTGGCATCTGAGGCATTCTTTGTCGCAGAAGTGTACGAATACCGGAATAAGATACAGAAAGCGTGGCTGCGCGGCCTGAAATTGTCTTGAACGGTCGACATACACAACAACAATAAGATCAATACACTGACAAACTACAATGACGCATCTCCATACTCGTTAGTGGGGGTGTCGTGATGTGTAGGTGCGGGATGTTCATGGCGGCGCGACATGATGTTCAGCTTTAGTAGATACATTATGCTTCAACCAATCTGGGCCCCTGAACCCAAAAGGATGATAGAGTGAACATATCAGCACACCAATAGAACAAGGGTTCATGAAGGCGCTATTTAGTAGTCAAAATATGGCACTCCAGAGGAGCATAGGCCAAAATAGCTGGGTTCTGTCACTCCCATGTTATCAACTCGGTGGAGCTGTACTGGTTTAGGTATTTCGCATTGACAGCTGTTGAACATGTGTTTCGAGTTGATGCCTATCATATGCCTAACATCACAAGCAGCCGCGGATATGTTGAATAACAAAAGTTCTATTCCACCTGGGAGAGGGTTTGTAATAATATTGAGCTCATTGAATCTCGTAACGAGTGTTCTCTTCCAGACAATACCGAGGCTCCTATCCTATAACGCCCAAACAAAGGATATCACTATCCCAATACTGCCGTGAAACCCCGGTCAGTTCATTTCAAAGGCATGCTGTTGTCCCGTCGTCTTTACATCATCATTTTCGTATTACCCCTGGCACCTCTAGTCCGTTGTAACAACTTCGTCCTTCTCAACCCGAATCTGATGGTTCTCGTGGTTGACCTGGACGATCTCGAGAGCCTTCTCGGGTGCGATGACGGAGAAGCCCCTAGTCAACTGGTTAGTATCGAATTGTCAGAGTGCCAAAAGGCGGAGTATGCGCACTTGATGATGGAGTAAACATGAGTGATCTTTCCACCAGCCTTAATGAGGGCGTTTTTGCACTCATCGACGATGCTGTCAGGGGTAGACTCGTCCTCGAACCAGACAATAGCCGACTTCTTTTGATCAACAGCCAGGGCGCCTGGGACAACCGCGAGAGCGGCGGCGACAAAGGGAAGGAATCTCATGTTGATAGCGGTATCGGCGATAAAGTTGACGACAGAAATTTGTTGATGATGGATTCGGCGGTTGTTGCGATAAAGGTTTAATCGATGTTGAATGCGTTGGATGATGCTCAAATGCTCGTAGCGTCAATGCAGAGGGTGACGGAGATGGGCTGGGACGGGCTGAGACTTTATATGGCCTGGGGCGAGTTGGCATGGGCAGGCCTGGGCCTCTTCCTGGGGCGGAAGATCCAAAGGGACCTGACGCACTGCACTGAATGGAATCGAAACCCACTGACCATGCGCCATGGATGCTCTGGGGTCTGCATCACTCCACTGAAGCGAATTTAAAGCAGTGTGCCACATGGCGCGCTGACCAATAACCTAATCGGGCAGGTCGTCCACTCCACTCTTCCAATCGCGTTGTCGAGAATGAGGGTACCTGAACTAGGCAAGACAATTGTCTGACCACGGAAACGGCCAATAGACGGACAACGACGCAAATGGCAGGACAAAAGATCATGAGTCCGAGATAGATATGGCCTCTTTGTTCATATGCCGAAAATCTCGACTCTTTCGGTCCCCTATGTATCGAGGGACAGGCGAGCAATGACGTTCCCTCAGCTCGCCTTGGACTTGCAACCACAATGCAAGACATGCTACTTTTTAAGTCATGCTCTAAAGAAGATAGTCTTTGCGGATATCAAATCAAGAGCGCAGCGATGACGGAGTTTGTATCTGGACAGCCCTCTTGTCGTCATTGGATTGATTGGTAGTTCGCCTTCCCTATAATAGTCTCCACATCCCATCTTGGTGTAAGTCGAAGCCACGAAGATCTTCTCCGCCGAATAGGATTCAGGAACATGCCAACAACAACGTAAGTAAAAGTATTCTTAATATGACGATATTCTAGAAAAGCATGTCTGAAAATATCCCAAGAGTTTGTCTCAAAATTGTGAAACGCCATAAATGCCGAGTAAATATCGCCTAACTCCTGGCAACGCCGAGCTGGAAATGCCGAAATCACCTGTATGACACGATCATGTCCCCGAGGCACCGGGAACACTGTCGTTCTCGCTCCAAACTTCCTTGCTTTCCTGTTCAACAGCTCTCATAGCCACTGCGACATCTTCAAGCCGGGTTACAACGTCGATCACACCTTGGTTGACTCTCTGGAAATACCGATCATTGGCTTCTCGTCGTTTCCTTGCGAGGAGGATATCCACTTCTGTCTCTTCCTCGAGCTTGTGACCCAATCTCTCAACTCCTGTGCCGCTGCTGTTGGGTCGCGATATACTGCTGCTTCCAACGGCACTCTTCTCTGTGCCATCAGGACCAGACTTGGAGTTATCGCCGAGCGCACCCTTCATGTTTCGAACTTCAGATCCAGTTACAGACCCTACAGTTTCGAGCTGGGCTGTGTCTATAACATCATCTGCTTCACTTCTGGCCCAGGCTTGAGCGAGGGCAATTTGAGCGGCTCTCAAGTCAGCTAGCTTGCGGTCATGATCTGGGCCAAACACGCGAGTGCCCCCAGAAGCTGATAGCTCGACTTCTTCCAATGTCGCTTGCATTTCGGACCATAAGAGGTCAGTACGGTCACCTGTCGCGCGAGTGCTCTCTGCTGGAAATAGTCCAGCTCGATGATGAGAAACTACAGCTCCGGACCGTCCAGATCTAACAGATGGAGCACGCTCGGCGTTAGGCCGTAAGTTTGACTGCCCTATGAAAGGGACGGTTGGCGGCGGTGCATTTGGTAAGGAGACATTTGATGCTGATGGAGATGGATGAAGGAATAAAGAGGGAGGAGGATCTCGTTGTCGGCTCAGAGGTCGTGTTAGATGAGACATAATGACCAAAGAGATTTCTCGATTGGCTGATATTAATATGTACAACAGAATAATACAGTTTGCTTCATTCCAGACCGATATCAATTGAGCATTGACGCTCTTGACGCTAAGGCTGAGGGAGTTGAGGACAGTGTAAAGAGTGTTGATGGGCCCGTTATTACTGTACGACCCGCAACTCGAACTTCCATTGAATGATTCAGTCCATCACCAAGTTCCTGTGGGGCAGCTCTCGGCATCACGTGATCTCTCGCCTGCCTCTTCCACACACAGGTCGCACCTTCTTCCTAGGGCCACCAAACCCTACCTGGAATTTTCGTTGGTCGTTCCTTCCCAAGTTTTCGTCGCCTCCGCAAATTACCATCACCATCCCGTCGTCGATACACAGACAGATCCGGTAGGTACTAGCCATCCAACCCAACACAAAGACATCCCCTCAGCTCTATACGCTCGCGCTCGAGTTTTTCGAATCGACAATCGACTAACGACTTTCTTTGAAGCAAAAATGGCTGGAGGCAAACCCCGTGGTCTTAACGCCGCCCGCAAGCTGCGAACGAACCGAAAGGACCAGAAATGGGCCGATCTCGCCTACAAGAAGCGTGCCCTCGGTACCGCCTATAAGTCCTCTCCCTTCGGTGGTTCCTCCCACGCCAAGGGCATCGTCCTCGAGAAGGTCGGTGTCGAGGCCAAGCAGCCCAACTCCGCTATCCGAAAGTGTGTCCGTGTTCAGCTCATCAAGAACGGAAAGAAGGTCACTGCCTTCGGTACGACGAACCCCAGATGCTACGAGAGATGAAGGACCGGTCAAACTAACATTGATTTCTAGTCCCCAATGACGGTTGCTTGAACTTCGTGGACGAGAACGACGAGGTCCTCCTGGCTGGTTTCGGTCGCAAGGGCAAGGCCAAGGGTGATATTCCCGGTGTTCGATTCAAGGTCGTCAAGGTCTCTGGTGTCGGTCTGCTCGCTCTGTGGAAGGAGAAGAAGGAGAAGCCCCGTTCTTAAGCGAAGGGCTCGTGGATGGAAACAAAGTCATATTTCGACACGTGGAGTCTATTCGGATTGCTTGCATCGGCATTACTGGTTAGGGATCTGATCATGGGAGACGAGGTCTGAAAAAGGGAAAATAGATCACAAAGTCTTCGACGAACAAACAACGATGTGCACGCCGCGTGAGGTGGAATTTTTGGGTCTGAACCCATATCTCCGTGTATGATGACATTATTGTACAATTGTTTTACATGCTTCAATACCCTCTGGCCTTCAGTTCTCCGACTTGACCTCGTCCTGAGGTCCCTGGACATATCTGATAGTGTAGTCTGCAGCCAGGCCCAGGCTGATCACACCGCCGGTGATCCAACACCCGTTAATGAACCACCACCAACAATCCTTGACATCCTTCAGATTGACCCGCTTAATCATGATACCAAGCGTGACCATAGCTCCTCCACAGCTCCCAACAAAGAACGCCGGGCCAGCACCAGCTGCAAATCCGGCAGCAGCCAAAAGAGAGATTTGTACAGCAGCCAATCCTGTCAGCACTTGCTTAGTCTCAGCATCATGCTTCAGTGCAATGCTCTTGATTCCCGCCTTGACGTCGTCCTTGATGTCCATATGAGCATAGATCATGTCGTATAATATTGTCCATGCAATATTTGAAGCATAGAGGCAGGCTGCAGCAGTCAAGGCTGGGGTATGTGACAGCAGATCGATTCCAAGAGCCGGGAAACCCATGATGGCGCCCCACGAGAAGGTGAGGCCGAGAACTGCTTGAGGGTAGTAAGTAACTCTCTTGGCCAAAGGATAGCTGGCTACCAGGAGCAAGCTGGGGACGCCGTAAAAGAGGCAAGGCAGGGGAAATTGGAGCAATATCCCAAGGCCGGCAAACAGTTGAACCCCAGTGTAGACAAGTCCTTTGAACGGTGTGATCGCACCACGAGCAATCGGCCTAAGTCGAGTTCTTGAGACATGAGGATCGAGGTTACGGTCCCATAGATCATTGATAGTACATCCAGCACCTCTCATGATGAGAGCTCCAGAGAAGAAAAGGAGTGATGTTCCAATAACAGAGCCTGGAGTTGCCATTGGCATAGCCATTGGGGCAGCCATGAGAGTAGAAAAGAGACATGGGAAGAACAAATAATAGGTTCCAGCGGGCTTATCAAGTCGAATCAGCTCAGCATAAGGAACCCACGAGGCTGGGAGTTTCGATAACAGTCCCGTCTCAGGTGGCTTATAAGGTGCCGGTGCCGTGGGAGCTGATGGTGAGTCCAAATCCTGGGTGACCAGAGGCAAAGATCGAGGTTTGGCCTCGTGAAACCCAACTGCTCGCTGATTACGATGCCATGGTTGTCTCAAGCCTTGACAAGCACGAATGAGTGAAGGTCGTGTCTGTAGTTGTCTTGGGACTTTCAGAGCCTGACCTGAGATTCCTCGACATTGAGCCCAGGCCGAAGCCCGGGGGAGCGCACTTAATCTCATGAGATACAGTCTACAGACCTACTAGGATCATGAGAATTTGAACTAGGATTTTATAAAAATTTCATATTTGACTTACTACGAAGCTCTGTAAAGGACTTTTTGTCACGTCAGACCTCAATGGCAGCCCACCAGAGTTCAAATCGAAAACTCTCGATCCAAAAATATGAATCTTAATAAACTTTAGGATCCTTGTCACCAAAGCTCACGAAGCAGTGGAGCGAATTGGCCGAGCTTGTTAGCGCGAGATCGGCAAGTGATCCATCACGTGCCCCCGTGGCTCGCTATCTGTTTCTGCGTAAGCACCTTTGATTGGTTGCGCATTCTACAATTCAACGCCTGAGCTTCTGACGCGCCTTCATCCATTCGCCTAGGATTTGTAACCTCCCCCAAAAACCCTATCGTCGTTTACGGTATCGTTGTCGCTATTTTCGTACTCAATGGGGGCGATTTGCGAAACGAACGGCTTTTCGGCCTGATTTCACGCATACGAATTTTCGAGACTTCCCATTCTTTGCGGCCGACGACATTCCTTTCTCGAGCCAAACCCCACTACAGCTTCGCGCGTATGATTCTCGAAGCTGGGCAAGATGCCGACTTCACTGCACCCGCAGGCCAAATTCGATCCTATCCCGCCTGATCTGGACTTGTATGGCTTGGTCGACAAGACCCCGAATTTCAAATGGGTTCAGCGTGTGTCAAGAACCCAAATACGCAATCTTGGACAACAAGAGTTTGAGAAGCTGGTGTTGATTCACGTCATCGCTGGTGGCAAACCCCTGGTCATTGATGGATGGGATGGTGTTCTACCAAAGGGGCTTTTCGATGTCCGTTGGCTGGAGGAGACGTATGATAAGCAACGTAGGTCAACTCTTCTCAGATGACCATCGAAAGCTTACTGACCATTTGTTAAACAGAGGAAAATGTGAGAGACATCAATGCGGGTTCGGATATTCCTATGACGATGGGACATTACCTACGATCGATGCGACAATTGGCGAATCAATGGACACCTACAAATTTCAGAGACGAGCGCCGTCAGCGCCTTTACTTGAAAGACATTGACTGTCCTCCCGAGTGGCACGATGCACTACAAAAGGTCATCCATCCGAACCTATTCTACCTAAATGAGAACGCCAGCGAAGCCGGTGGCTCGCAAAAAAAGGAAGATGCCTTCCGCGATGAGGCTGCTGCAGCACCAGCTGGTGATTTGATGTCCAGCTTACCAGAAGAAATGCGAGCCCAAAATCTTATGTGCTACATTGGACACGAAGGCACATTTACCCCAGCTCATCGTGAGATGTGTGCATCTTTAGGTCAAAACATCATGGTAGAAGCATCAGAGGACGAGAAGGGCGAGAAACCAGGAAGCTCCATCTGGTTCATGACGGAAAGCAAGGATCGCGAGGTCGTTCGAGAATACTTTCTCTCCATGCTGGGACACGATATTGAGATTGAGAAACACTTTGCTCAAATCAATGCGTGGAAGAAAGCACCTTTCGATGTATATGTAGTTGAACAGCGAGTCGGTGACTTTATCCTCATTCCGCCCTTGGCAGCACATCAAGTTTGGAATCGTGGTACTCGAACCATAAAAGTAGCATGGAATCGCACGACTGCCGAGACCCTAGAGTTGGCGTTGCACGAAGCCCTGCCGAAGGCTCGTCTTGTCTGTCGCGACGAACAGTATAAGAACAAGGCCATCATTTTCTTCACTCTACAGAAGTACTATCGCCAACTTCAGAAACTGGAGGAGGATGCAGAGATGACTTCGATGAGTTTCATAGGAGTTGGTCAAGACATTCTCAGGAGCTCACCTCGTGCTAGACAGCTTGCGGGTGACTTTAAGAAGCTATTCTGTCTGTTTACTGAGATTCTCATTGATGAAATGTTCGCACACAAGGAGAAGGAGGTCGAGTTCATCGAGTTTGACTCGTGCATCACATGCTCATATTGCCGTTCAAATATCTTCAACCGGTTTTTGACATGCAAACATTGCACTCGGACGCTAATAAACGGCGATGAGGATACTTATGACGTTTGCATGGAATGCTACGCCATGGGACGGTCTTGTGCCTGCCTTTCGGGTCTTCAATGGTGTGAGCAATGGTCTTGGGCTGACTTGGTCAATAACTACGAGGATTGGCGTTCAATGATTATCAAGAACGACGGATTTGTTGACTTTGAAACCTCGCCTCAGCCCTTGGAGATCGCCAGACAGCGTTCAGGAAAGAAGTCCTTGGCACAAATTTGCCAAGAAGCCTTGAGAAGACGACCCTGGAAAGACATCACTCAGCCAGAACGCGAAATTACACCAAGCGAGTCGGAGCCCGAGGTCGATAGCGAAGGAAAGCCAAAGAAGAAGTACAAACGCAAGAAGAAGAAGGGAGAGCTTAGGAGATGCCACGTCTGTTGTCACAAGGACTATGCCTACCGAGTACACCAATGCACCAACCCTGGCTGCACTGAATCCTATTGTTATGGCGTTCTTTATCGAGCTTTTGATATGTTGCCGCAGAAAGTGCTTGAGGATGAGCAATGGCAATGTCCAAAGTGCTTAGGTATATGCAATTGTGGCCACTGTCGCCGCCAAGGACATACAGACCCCTATACACCAAAGAATACTCTGCTGGGACATGATACCCGCCCGATTGCCGATGATCGAAGTGTGGAAGCACTTGTCGACTTCCGAGTCCACAACCTCTCATGGTTGAAGGCTGCTGGAGAGGAAAGTCGCAGCAAGGACAGCAGACGGATGAAGAGGTTAAGAGAGCAGGCCGATAATGCCAAGGCACAAGATATTACCGAGCAGGATGAAGCAGATGACTCCATGCAAGACGCAGAGCATGATCCTCCTAGCGGTATGCACGTACCTGGCATGAACGGCTACGGAGATCAGAGTCATGTTCTTGGTCAAGGCGACCAGTCTATGGCTGATACCACCATGGAAGGGCCATATCCACCATACCATGAAGAGAAGACTGGACTGGCCGATCAGTCCATGGCGATGGACATGTCACAGGCTGAAGACGCTGATACCTCCCTCTACCCTGATCCTTCACTGGTGGCACGACAGCGCATTGGTATGGGATACTATGAACCAGACGATACACCCGACAAGATTCTCTTTGATCCTTTCCAGGCTCCATCTGAGGAAGCCATACGACCGTCCGAGCCAGACATCCCTGAGTTTGTCAAGAAGTCTATCCGCGCAGCCAAGAGAAAGGCCAAACGAGAAAACGAGGATCCCGATTTTGTTATTGGCAAGTCCCACCACAAGAAGCCTCGTCTCGCGGCAGAGCCAGAAGCAGATTTTCTGGATAGCATGGACCCTGCGTTGTTCAATGGGCCGCCAGCTGCCCCTGAGGCTGCCATGGATCAGCCTGGCCAAGATACAAGGGACCCGAGCACTGCACAAGACACTGGAACAGACGGTCCCCAGAACACACCAGATGAAACCCCAGCTCCAGGCCCGGCTCCGGCTCCAGTCCCATCTAAGAAACGGGGTCAGTTGCTGTTTGATGCAAATGAGCCCGAACTTCGACACGCCAAACCCATAGCATCATATGTGGAGGCGGACGTCGACTCAGATGAGTTCGAGGAAGAGCGCACGCAAGCGACAAGGCCTAAAACACCCGCTGTCGGCGCACAGGGAGAGAAGAAGTCGGCTGTTGATATGGCTGCTGACGCAGTTCGTGCCTTATTCGGGACATCATCCCCCGCACCGCAACCCTCCATTGGAAAAGACCCTGAGTCTGTCCTTGAGACCAAGACTCCCTCTAAACGCCGTGGTCGTCCCCCTAAGAATGCATCTGCTTCTTCCCAATCTACGCCAGCTAGTTCTTCCAAGAAGCCAACAGGCGGCCAGAGAGGTTGGCCCAAAGGTCGACCTCGAAAGTCACGCTTGTCTCAAGTTTTAGCCGCGGATGATTCAAACGAATTCGCCGACGAGTCCATCCAAAACCAAGGCGACGACAGTGGCGCCGAGCACGAGAGAATGGTTGGCGAACTAGAAGCACAGCTAGCTGCCGAGCTCCGTACGGCTCCTTCGGAGGCTATAGCACGGCCTCCTCAACCCCGACGCCGTGGAAGGCCTAGAAAATCCGAGGTAACCACCATTACAGTGGGACCATCTGCTGTGGACCCTTCAGAAGAAGACGCCCGGTCAACATCAGGCAACCTTGAGGGTCGAGCCTCGCGAAGTGCTCGCCGTACTCGACGATCAGAGGGTGTTGATAACGGATCTACTCGGGATTCTGTATCTCCACCGCCGCCCAAATCGGGTAACGGAGGAACGCAGCTTATGTCTATGGCTGAACGAATGGCACATAAGGGGAAGAAGTTCAAGATAGGCAAACGCAAATCCACAACTGCTTCGGCCAATGTAACTACAGCACAGTCAGGGGCGTCCACACCCGCGCCAACCTTCAAGGCTCCTCTGGCGGTAATGGATGAGCCGACAGCAGAAGAGCCGAAGGAGGCTGCTCGTAGTCTGAGTCAGCACAGCGAATATCTCGGCAATAGATCACCCTCTCAATCCTCGGCCCATGACGAAAGCTCGCGCAGCCCTTCGCCACCACCACCAGTTCGGCGACCTCCACAGCCGACAGTTGTCAGAATTGGTGATACAGATTCGGAAGCAGATATGAGTGATTCAGTGTCTGCGTCAGGATCGGATTCCGGTAGTGATGGGGATATTCCGGCAAGACGTGGCGCTGGTCGTGGAGGCCGAGGAGTTGGGCGAGGTAGAGGCAGAGGTAGAGGTAGGCCAAGGGGTAGTGGGAGGGGGCATTGAAGGGTGTAGAAAGCGTGTAAGGGGTTTTCATTTAACGGGCACATTGATACCAATGCTGGAGGACTTTGAAGCATATGCGTTCACAAATTTTCGGTTCCTAGGTTAGCGATAGGGGTTATCAACGAATTCATTGCTACATCATGGTCTAATGACATATGGTATACATGTACTAGATAGTTAATGGGTTCAGAATCATGTCTGTGATAAGCCCAAGTCCTTTTCCAAATCACTCCATCGTCCGTTTCGTTTAGGGTCTAGTTTCCTGAGAGTCTGTAACCAAGATGTCACATCAGTTCGACTCTCAGGCTCGAATGGCTGCCCCGTGAGTTGGTTCAATGCGATTGCGTACTCAATGAGAGCCTCGTAGATCCATTTTATGTCCTTGTAGTCTTGTAGTAGATCCTTGATTTCGGTTACTTCATCATCAATGTATGACTTGCGCTCCTCCACCGTCAGGTTTGGTGCTATTTGGCGACTTGATGAAGGATTTGCGAGGTTCAATACTAGGAACTGGTGATAGTACCATAAAGACTGGTCTTCCGGTCCAACATTCAGCGCTTCGCGAATAATCTCAATTTCTAATCCAGATTAGCAATTGTTCAATATGGTGCAGGTCAAAACAAACCTTTATCCAGTAAATCTTTCCGAGACGCGTCGTCTGCTTTGCGCTCGTTCAGAAGCCTTGTAATGAGCTGGCTTCGGTTATGCCATGCTGAGAAATTGGACAGATCCTCATGGATCTTTTTGGTGGTATACTCAAACTCGAGCTCTACCAGGCTCTGGCCGTTGAGCACGGGGCTCTCAAGCTGCGCTACGACGTGGCGACGGTAGCCCCAGGCGTGGAAGTTTCGTCGGTCTTTGGTGAGCATCTTGCTGACAAGACCTAGCTCCTCTTCCCAAATGCGCCGAGCTATAGATACATCAAGTCTTTCGATGGCGCGGTCAAGCGTCCATAGTCGATAATTCCATATCCAGTAGCACTTGGGAAATTCCATCAGCAAGGGAACAGTGAAGCCCAGTTCGGAGCGTATCACGTCGGTATCGGCATCGCTATCAGTCGTTGTACCAGTCTTCCCAGCTGTCGGGGGGTTGGGGCGTGGCGGGATCTCGGTCGAGGAGGAGGGCAATGAAGCGTCGGAAGAGGCTGTGTGAGTGTCTATCGCTGAAGTATTCTGCGACTCCTTCAAGGGCGGCGATCCAGCCGAGGGTTTGGACAATAAGCCATAGATTAGACAGCGCCTGCGGGCGTTCCATATCGTGTAGTATTCAGGGTTGAGGCGTAGTAGCTTCGATGTAAGCTGGAATGTGTCGGTGCCGTAGTTGTTGTCGGATATCTGCTTATGCGTGAGAAATACGACCCTTGCATGGTCGGCTAGAACTGACCTTTTGGCGTATATCGTCCTCGAGACCACGGTACTTTTGGATCTTGACGAGATCCTGCTGGCGCTGTTCTTCTGTCCGTGACCGCGCAGAGCGGGCTATGCCGTGCTGCAAGCCTTGGGATCAGCATCAGTTACGGTGGACTAGTTTGTTGGGGGGTTGAGACTAACACTGGTCATTCTGAAGAGCCTCGGCTTGTTAATTTAGCCTTGATCGTTGCTCGCGATGGGTTTGTGAAGGCTTGTGAATGTTCGTTGGTGGGCTGGACGATCTGACCCCGCGTAAGAGTGTAGGGTAGCGTGACGTGGAATATCATGTCTTTGTGCTGCGATATCCTTGACTTATTCAGAAACCTAGAGCTGCAACAAACATTAAATGACTCACTGGGTACGATCTACCGACATCAAGATTTATATTCAAGTGTGTATCAGTCGGATTGAGAGAAAAGTATAGTTATTGACTTCAAAATCATGCTAGGAAACCGGCAATACGAGCGTCACAACAGCTAAAGGTAAAAAGCCTCCAGAATAAAACTCTCACGGGTAGAAATCACGGGGCCATAATCCAACACAAGAGTACAAGGAGTCTCTATAGAGGGCTGTTTGTCGTACTTGATTCGTAACTGAGTGAATGATCTCGGAGTGAGGAGTCGTTTGAGGGAAACCAATGATTTGGTGATCTGGTGCAAACGAGAACAATGTAGCTGCAGATTAAGCATATGTGAATTACGAAGCTTGAATGTTTTATGTAGATCACGATGCACGGCGTCACCGTGTTGTGTTGGGCTTCATGCGGCTCCAGGTCGTCCCTGGCACGGAGCATGTCGTATCAATAGGTGTAGGAACTGAGGAGAATGCATATAATATCTATCATAATTCTACACCAAAGAGACGACAAAGGACTGCGATAATTGAGTACCTAGGTAGCTGCCAAGACTTATAGTTAACCTTGGAAGAAATTATATATGACAAATGAATAGATGATAGTTCAGGCTTAGCAGAATAGTAAGGATCACACCACAACATGTACTTAAATGAATTCATACTACTTCACTTGATATTGTGATACAATATCGTCGACTGACACTTTACACAACGTCTATGTGATGCAGAAACTATAGTCCTGCCCGACTCATTCTGCCCGAGTTACAGAGACATCAAATCAACGTGATAGGGGTACATTCTCACCCTTGCACGATGCTTCAGTACCTAGAATACAATAACAGAACTAGGGAGGTAAGCACTTCAGTATCTGTGCCTCTTGTACCTTCCTTTAATAATGTGGGAATCTGGAAACGGTACCTTGACTGTTCCTCCCATTTAGTCCACTCCCGCTTCGCTCTTTATGTCAGTCAACCTGCCTCCCAGTTCTCAACACAATCAACAAATTTTACCCCTTCCATCTCCAACATCAATTCTTCTAAATACTGAAACTCAGCTCTTCATAAATCAAGGCGAATTATGCTGTCGTTTCTCCACCGCCTGGCGGTTGTTGCCATTCTTCTCGCAACTCGGCCGTGCCATGCACTTCGTCCTGATCATTCTCTCCGGTCACCAGAGTATGCCCCAAGAGGGCATGTGAACGCTGTTTACTTCATCAAATGGTTTTTAATCTCGCTTTATCAAGCATAGCACTTTGTTAACACTGTCAGGGGCATCTATGACAGAAGCTTTTACCCTCAGCATATCGATGTATCCCACATCTCTCACGTACTCTACGCATTCTTGGGTGTCGAACCCGATGGAACAGTGTAAGCGGAACGTAGAATAACCTAAGTATATACGTAAGGCTAAACAAACATCAGATACTCCAAAGACGAATATGCCGACTTTATGGCACAATTTGACGGAGACAGTGAGTCTACCTTCTTTACCTTAACTTCACAGCTGACGAGAGACTAGGCTACGAGGAACATAAAAGAAATGCCTACGGATGTGTGAAGCAACTTTTCCTGTTAAAGAAATCCAATCGTCACCTCAAGACTCTGCTTTCCATCGGTGGGTGGGGGGCCGGGTCTGCGAACTTCAGCTCTGCCGCAAGCACACCTGACAGGCGTGTCAGATTTGCCTCGACTTCGGTCTCCTTGATGTGGAATTGGGGTTTCGACGGTATCGATATCGATTGGGAATTTCCGTATAATGAAATCGATGCTGCCAATTTAGTTCTCCTCCTCGAGGCTATACGGAATGAGCTCGACTTATATGCAAGAACGTACACCTCTGGCCATCATTTCCTATTGTCCATCGCAGCCCCTGCTGCTCCTGAGCATTATAAAAAGCTTCACCTGAACGATATAGGCCGAATTGTCGACCAAATTAATCTCATGGCTTATGAGTACTCTGGAAGCTGGGATCATATCAGTGGTCATAACGCCAACCTGTTCCCGTACAAACGTCCTGTCACAAGGCTCAATCTCGACTATACCCTCACGGAAAGCTTTGAAACATCGATCAATACCGACTATGCTATCAAGGACTATCTTGGAGCCGGGGTGCCCGCTGAAAAGATTGTCCTCGGCATACCTGTCTTCGGCCGCTCCTTTGAAGATAACTTGGGCGTTGGAAAGCCCTTCAGCGGTGTTGGTGAGGGCTCCTGGGGGGAGCGAGGCGTCTGGGATTACAAGGCACTTCCCAAGGAAGGAGCTACAATCATGTACGACCCAAATGCCCAAGCTTCTTTCAGTTACGACCAGAGAAAACGCGAATTAATCTCCTACGATACTCCGAGTGTGGTTCAGAAGAAGGCAGAATATGTGCTGGGGCATGGTCTCGGCGGAAGCATGTTCTGGGAGGCTTCTGCGGACAAGCAAGGAGACGAGTCCCTTATCCGCACAAGCTATCTCACCTTGGGAAGCCTGGAAATGACAGAGAACTGGCTGGATTATGCGAATTCGTACTTTGACAATATTGCGACAAAGATGGGTGAGGACTATGTCTGAGCCGGCTCGAATTTACAAGATTCGTCACGGAGTTTGGATGAATCATGAGGTCCTAAGCTCAAAACATTACTGATTATTGACTATTAAATAAATTTATAATATCCGTTACCAAGATCATATGGCTCTCTGTCATGCCTGGAAGATGCAGGATATTTATCTTCAAATAGGCACGTAGTGAGACCATGGAGCAGCACTATCGTGATTGCCTCAAGCTTTAATTTATTGGAGCATTCTAAGTAAGTACCGCCGATTCTACGACTTTCAATCTGTGATCAACTAAGGTAGGGCAAGACATTAGGTGCATCTGGCATGACTCCTTCCCTTCCACCCAAACTCCTCTCTACATCCTCACTTCACCTTTACCTCTCTTCCCTACGAAATTCTTCTTCCAAGCATCAATAAAACGCATCATCTCACAAGGTAGGTAATCTCGTCGAGGGAAAGTTCTGTCTATCGTGACAGTATTGTTCAGGTTATCGTACAACAGTTCATTCGTTTCTTCATGTCCCAGACTTTCAAGAGCCATACACCTGGAACTCGTCAACAAATCGATATCGATAAGCATGTTTCGACAACCGCCTCGACGTCCTCAACTGCTTCCAAAGACTAGCGGGACAGACTTGTCTTGTCAGTCGATAAGCTCGCCGGATTCAGGCTATGGTTCAGCAGGTGAAGTCTTTGAGCTCTGCCCGAATCTCCGAAAACGATGTTTTCCTTCTTTCGATGGCTCAAGCCCGGATGAAATTCCAATCAAATCGCTTGAGAAGCAAGAGCAAAAACCGCCAGCATCGAGCAAAACAAGACTCGCGGCCGAGCCTCCCAAAACACCAGAAAGGCGTCATCCAAAAGGGAAGGCTGATGTGATTTCTCCTTTTTTATACTCAAAATGCTCTAGACGTTTGCCTCTCCAAGATAAACGCATTGACCCAAACATACAGCATCTAGACAGATACGTCCCGAGACGTGATCCCATTTCCCCATCATCCGAGAGATATCGAACAACAAAGCAAAGCCAGGATTTATCGAGAGATGAGCGTCTGAAGCGTGACAAGAGTGCCTCGGCAGATCCATTCGTTCTAAAGCGTCGTGTGATGGACCCTGATCCCCGTTTTCCTTTTCGAGTTGACGATAGTCATCTGGACAGAGGTTTGGCAGCCAACTTGTTTTACTTCTTCTTCTTTGTTTTAGTCTAACCAGCTCATCACTAGGTATAGCTCTTGGCCAACTACCACAGAACCGAGGAGGAGATCGTCAAGTTAGTATGGGAGCCATGTGGTCGGTTGGTGGTCTTGCGCCTAATGCAATCGCTACCGATGATGGACAGGGGCATCTCGTCAGACGTGGGACCAACGCTCGTGTGTTTCCCACCCTCTTCCAGGAAAGTCTTGTCAGCACGTCAGTCGAGAAGGAGAAGCACGAAGGCCGCATCGCTTCGGCTCTCAACATTGACCAGGTACGAAAGATCCTCGAGTTCGCACGGGCTCAGCAAATCCCTCAAAGCCTCAAACAGCATGGTCTTCATACGGACTTTAGTCACACAAGTTGGAATGGATATCAGTGGGTCAACAAAGAGGAGTGGTCAAGTAAGTTGAACGTGCTGGTCTATTAAAATCATAGTTGACCATAAACAGTTCCTCTTAGGCCAGCAAAGAGGCGTCTTCTGCCGGCTGCTCCATTCAGGTTGGTAAGTCTGAGTGTTCAAAAGAGCTGAGCTAACGGTCTTCAGAGTACTCGATGCCCCTAATCTAAAGGATGACTTCTACTGTTCACCACTGGCGTACTCATATACGGCACAAACTCTTGTTGTCTGCTTGGGGAGCCTTCTTTATGCCTGGTCTGAGTTTCGGGGCGTGCAGCTGATCCATGGAACACACTCCGATACTTAGTTGACGTCGGTTGCCTTCTCATCAACTCCTGGAGGTAAAGCTGTGCTTGGGATTGGACACTCGAACGGGAGTGTGCTTTTCCAATCTCTCTTTGACACACTACCACGATTCGAGGTTCGCCAGACTTTTCCTATTTCCTGTGTGAGCTGGCGCCCAGCTTGTACTCTGCGACCTTCCAAGAACCCCATGAATCTAGGGGTCGAAGTTCTGACGGAGGACTTGGTAGTTGGGGATGAGATGGGCAATATCTACTACTACCTTGTGGAATGGCCGATAGGCTGGGAAGTCACGCGGAACCCTTGGCCCGGTGCGGTATCGTTGGTAGCCAAGATCAGCAATATTCACTGTCAGCAAGTATGCGGTCTTGCATGGTCATATGATGGTCGTCTATTCGCCTCGGGGGGAAACGACAATCTCTGCTGTCTTTTCGATGCTGATCAAGTCTCTGGACGGCGAACTGAGCAAGCCCCCGGGGTAAATGGTCATCGAGGGCGCATTGGGGCGGGCAGCGCGTATGGTGGCATTGAGACAAGAGTTACACGGCTGTTGAGCGTCGATGGGGACGACGATATGCCTGTGAGGGCGTTCAGGGCACAGCTACAGCCACTTCCGACTGGAACTGACACCGTTCGGTATCTTGGCCCTGCTATCGCGAAGCATCATTGGAACCACGATGCTGCTGTGAAAGCCATTGCTTTCTGCCCCTGGAGGCGAGAGTTGGTGGCAACAGGAGGTGGCTCTAACGACAAGTGCATACACTTCTTCCATACGCCATCCGGAGCAGCTCTCGCAACGATATCAGTGTCTGCCCAGGTAACCTCGCTCATCTGGAACACAACGCGCAGAGAGATTGCCGCCACATTCGGGTACGCTTCACCAGAACACCCCTATCGTGTCAGCGTTTTCAGTTGGCCGGAGTGCAAACAGGTTGCAGCAATTCCTTGGGAGGACGACCTGCGGGCCTTGTATGCCATCTCATACCCTCGAGGGCCGACCTCTGAGGACCCAACTGCACCAGTAGGAGGCAAGGAAGGGTGCATTATTGTTGCATCGAGTGACAAGAGCATAAAGTTTCATGAAGTATGGTCGCGAGAACGAGGCGTGACCGTGGGCGCCACGGGTATTCTAGCAGGAAGCGATATCCTGGAGGGGCTTGAAGGCATTGACAAAGAAGGAGACGTAATCCGATGAACTGCTTTCTTTCTTCTTTCCTTGTTCGAGATAGTCTCTACCTGAGGAGAATTGTCTGGACTGCAAGTTATGTTCAGGATTGGTAGGTAGCTTTTACTCTGAGAATGATAATATGATAAGACGAGGAACCTAAATCGGTCTCTATTCTGTTAAACTGCGTCAAGTATTGGCGTATTTACAGGAAGTGAGTCGCAGAAAAGGCCAACTGCCCACTGTTGTACTGAAGCAAAGGAACAAAAACAAATCAAAATGTAGGTAGATGCCACAATAACGCCCAAGCAAACGACTCCGAGAACTCCAACCAATGCGCTAAGCCCGCTGTTTCTTTTGAGACGGATGGAAAGAAGAGACAAGCATGGTCTACAGACTAGGTACTTTATTTCAGGATAGCAATGAGCAAGACAAGAATGATGATGAGAACCACAATAGTGGTCATTTGCTTGTTCTCGCTTGCGCCTCGAGCAACCTTTCCGAGCATTCTACTCGCACGATCCAGTCGGCTCTGGTGACGATCGGTAACAGCCTCAACCTCATCGAGCATAGCAACATGGCTATCGAGCTCGTCGCCGATCTGCATGCTAAGCTCGCGCTGGCGTCCGATAGACTCGCCCAGGCGATCAAGCTGCTCATCCTGTTGCTCTAGGATTTGGGCGTGGTACTGGTGAATCTGCTGGTTGTCCATGCCCTGTGCCTCGTCTCGGTAGCCGGCGCTATCGGAGGGATCATCGCGGTAACGGCCAAAGAGCTCGGCGGACGGTGAAGGAGGAGTGTCGCTGAAGCGAACAGTCTTTGGCTTCCGCGAGACTGGAGATGTGGATGTTGCGTGCTCAAAGTCGTCGGCGAGCTCTTCCGAGTTGGGGTGAATGAGTGTTTCGGCGGTTTTGGAGTTTGGTTGGCCTTGGAATTGAGTTGTGAGGTCGTCTAATTGCTTCTGGAGCGATGTGATGGATTCTGTGAGGCTTGTAGCGGCGCTGAGGAACAAGATTAGCATTGAATATGGTGTTTAGCACCTTGAGAAAGACTTACTCTGTTTCGCCGGCAAAGGTCAACCGCTGCTCCTCATCGCGGAGATTGGCCAGACCATCGCGGAACTGGTCAAAAGATCGTGAGATGTGACCATCTTGCGAGTCGCCTTCAAGATTAAGATTCTTAGCCCGTTGGCGCTCCAACAGCGAGAGCTTAATGTGGTCAGCGAGCAGAAAGAGTTGATTGGCGCTCGACATGGTTGGTGATTGCGATGCGATGCGATGCGATGTGGTTGATGGATGCGGTGGATAAGGTAGGTAGATTGATCAATCAATTAGATGGAGCTGTTCTCAGTTGGGACCTACTACAGGCGCCAAAAAAAAAGATACGACGGTTGTATAGCTTTAATCTGAATCACAAGGAGAGAGAATATACTTTATTGGGGATGCAACGCCCAAGTGATGATGTTGTACGGTAGATGGAAGTTACCTCCTTCCCGAACCTACTTGACTTCTATCATCATACGTAACTGGATGACGGATGGGCTGTCCAAAGGTTCCGAAAGTTGGTGTAACTCGACAGTTGATGTATTTGCGCTACCTAGACGATAGTCGAACAGACTAAAATACCTGAGATAATACTGGTGCCCCTGCGCCGACAAGGTACTCAAGAGTCTTGGCCTATCTGGACTCTAGAGGCAGATACCTCGGCCAAGTTCAACGGAGGAGGTTGGGGACATGCTTCCCCTGAGCCAAAGGCAGAGCCAGTCCGGTCAAGGTAAGGCAAGGCAAGGTAGGCTTCCATTTAAACGATATGAAGAAGGAAAAAGGCAGCAGTGAAATGGGTATATACACTATCAAGCTCAACAGGATGATTCGTGCTTCTAAATGTTATCTCATGCTGAGAAGACCAGTTCAAGAGACGGGAGTCAAGCCCCGCTCTGAACAAGCTCTCAACTCAGTCCTCAAAAGGCCGATAGGCAATTCAAATGGTTGATTTCACGAAAAGTAAAAAGATACCGTGCAGGGAAGTTTATTAAGAGCCATCTATATATTTACACCATAGCGTAGGTTCACTACTACATCGGTAGAAAGCCAATCTTTAAATGGGGTCATGCTTGCGTTCGAGCATTCTAAGAGAAGATTGACCATTTGCTTCAGTCTATTTCAGTTGTTTCATTGATCGAAAGGTGGTACATACAGCTGGATAGTCTACCTATCTACGGATACCATGAAAGCCAATGCATACGATACGCCACATAATTATTGAGCAACATTGCTGCTTTTCATGTCTGAATAACCAATGAATTAGCTGAGCCGCATGAGAAGAGTTGCAGATCCAAGACAAGAGGTTGGCTCTGTTGCAGCCCATGAAGAGACTATTCAAGCCATTTCATGGACTGCATTGGCTATCATTTGTTGGATGAGTCTGTTTGTGTTGTGCTGCATTAGCGGTGCTTCCAGCATGTCCTGCATCTCAGGCACAATGCCATGTATCGTGCTATACGAGGAAATCAAAATTTGAACTTTCTTTAATTGGACTCTTGGCTTCAAACCGGCCTTTTCCAATCCTAACGCCCATGATGCTTGCTTGCTGCGTGTGTAATGTAAGTGCAAGGTAGGGTTCCTTATGATAGCCCGAGCCCGAGCCCAGCCAAGCCAAGGGTGTCGCGTCGTATTGGCTTGCTCGCGAAAATCACGCCCTGAACAAACGCGCATCTATTAGCGGGAGTTTTTCTCCGTCTATGCCACAAACACAACTGCACAATTTGCACAAAGTCACGGAAATGCTCGACACAATAACACAATTCACATCAGAGGCACATTCAAGAGCAGTTGTTGTTCAATAATGTAAATTGCAATCAAATGATATCAAGCCATGACTATCCGGTCTATGGCATTCGCTCTCGGTAGCCTTTCTTTCCCGTCCATCCCAAGGCTCCTTTCCCATTCCCGTTCCCAGTCCATAAGCATGGCAAACACGTAACTCCGTAAATAGCAAGTACAAGATGCATCAAGAAAAAATTCGAAACGTTCCCGGACGAGGTTTCCCTAGTCCATTCTCATGTCCATATCAGGGACGGCGTTGGTTGGTCGCGGTGATTCGGCTGCTGAAAGAACCTCCATTCCGTCAAAGATAGGAGGAGAGCATTGAAGATTTCGGAGTGCGCCCTCAGCAGTCTGGCTGACAAGCTGGCCTTGTCGGAGGTTCTCGGCAAATAGGAAGAAGCCCTCGTTGGTCTCCACCAGATACGACTGGAGACCGTTGCTCTCAAGAAGGATTCGAGCATTGGAAACAGGGAAGTGATTTTCGATATAGCGAGCCCAACCACGAGCAGCGGCTTGGATGTGCTCTTCTTCGCTGATTCTTCGCCAGCCAATGCCGAGGTGCAGAGTGAAGTTATCGACAATGGGACCCTCAGTAGCAGGCTTGACTTCAGACTGGAGGGGAGAAGTGCTGGCTGCAGGTGCGCTTGATAGAGTGGGCGATACGCGCTGCAGCTTGGGGTTTCTGATCAGAGAGCGCGCCTCCTTGATGGCGGCCTCTTCAGCAGCCTTCTTCTCCTCAACCCAGGTGCCGGATTGACTGCTGGCGTCTGTGACGTAGCGAGTGCTCTTCTTGATGAGGGTCATGCCGGGACCGTAGATCCATTCCTCTTCGGGCTCTTCAACGGGCAGGGACTTCATGTCAGGCTCAAGGTTTTCAGAGGCCTCGTCCCGGGAACGCTTTCTACCAGCTGCAGAAGGTCGAACAGGCTGAGCAGCAAACTGGCTTGGCATAGGTGCAAATCGGGGTGGTGTGTGGTGTCCGAAGCTTGCCATACCCATAGACTGGTGGGCATGTTGGGGAGACATGGTGAGGACGGGAGAGGAAGAGAACTGAGAGCTGAAGTACGACATTTTGAAAAGCGTATTCTGTTCTGTCCTGTTCTGATCTGTGATGGGAAACTGGGAGTGTTTGCAAGGTTAGTAGTCAGTGTTGTCACAAACCATCTATAGCGTATAGTCTCCAGGACACGCGGTGATGATGAGTTCGCTCAAGAGGAGAGTTGAGGAGGACGTCGGCGAGATGGAGCCTGATGAGTGACGATGAGATAGAGAGAAGTAGTAGAAGAACGCGATGGGTTCGGCCAGGACGAGGCACGAGGGCAAGGTACGCGAAGGTGAGGATGAGGGTGGATAATAGGTAGTAAGTGGATGTGGTTTAAGACAAGTCGTGATGGGAATGACTTTTGAGTTGGTATGTCCTGTGATGGATGGAATATGTGAAGAGAGAAAGAGGAGGAGGAAATCGATGGGAGGAAGAAGGAGGATTAAAAGCTGTAAAAGAATGCGAGGGGAGGACTGCTAAAATGGAAAGAACCTGTGAGAGTAGAGAGACGAAGAAGGGGCGTGAAGTGTGAGTGGCTCTTTACCCCAGGTTGAGGTGCTCTCTTGCTCTTTAACGCACCCACCCAACCCATGCAGCCTCACTCCGATCTCTAACAGCTACTGGAGTTGACACTGTGCGTTGGTCTCGCGAACGGCGAACGCCGCGTATAGGTACTCTGAGAAGATACCCGTACACCCAAAACAGCCCGGCTAAAGCATCAGCAGCTTGTATCGGATTCGGCAAGCTGCAGCTGGGGTCCGTGCAAGACAGTACGCATACGGTATGCACGCCATCAGCTTATCGCAAACCTCCCGGCCCTAAAAGTGGTCTAGCTCGAAGCTAAGGCACCTCGCAGCGTCAGGTACGTACTATCTAATGGTCAGCTCTAATTCGCGCTTGACCCCTTCTGGATTGCGTAATTGTTAGGGGTCTCGTGGCCGTAAGGGGCATGGCGTCTGGGCGGGTCTTTAGCATGTCTTGAGCCTTTGCCTGGTTGGATGGACAACGTTTTGACTTGGCTCTAGTTGCCCCGTGCCACCCTGAGCACTCACTCAGCAATCAGAACTCAGAGCCGAGCCCCATTTCAGCCAAGTTTTTTGCTTCTGATCCGCAGCTAGACATTGACCAATCTTTTTCCGATGGGACGCCAAAGAGATCCACCCGGGCTTCCGCCCAGCCCGAGTCAGTTTTTGTTTCTGCCCTGATCTTCTCTTCCAATGGTACATTGGAATTGGAAGTTTGTAGTTCCGAGCCCGTTTCCAAGTACGTACCTTTGCGAAGGAAGAAAGTGAAATGAGTGGATCAAATAGAACTCCCGATGTCCAGTGCCTTTCTGCCTCTCCTGGTGCCTGAGGTGGCTACAGCCAAGCCAGGCACGTCCAGTCTGACAAAACTCTGCTTGACTGGAATTTTCGTTGCCGCGAATGGCTGGATCTGGAGCCCCCCGGAGCCGGACCAACTGAAAATTCGAACCTGCCCGAGTTTGTAAGGACGGATCCATGTCCGCACCCCGTTGTCCCAAACGGATCACAAAGGAACTATCACCGATCTTCCATCACTTATGGAGAAGCAAGACTCAAGGGAGGAATGCTCCTTTAGTTGACATCGTCTTGGAAACGAACTGAACAGTTCATTATCCTGATTCAATAACAAACTAACGTAAGGTAAGGTAAGGTGTCTAATAACTTCAGTCAACGCCCTGCTTGATCAGCAAAACCAACAGTCACCGTAATATTATGCTCCGTTTATCTTGTATTAGCAAGACTGATCCTCGTACTCCTTGCATTTGCCGACGATTATGGACCACCTGACATCACCACGGATGTCTGTCGGCAAATCACATCACACATCGTCGGCGTTCTCACTGCCTCCGTACAAACCCTGAAACCCTGGTGTTCTCAACCCTACTGGGCTAGTATTGCCTCCAGCACGCCTTCTCCTTACTGTCACTGGTGCATCGTCAATTTCGACTCTCACTCGTCGTCCTCGAACTGGCGCCGTATAAACTCCATCAACCCTGCTTTGATGGCGAGCTTCTGGAAGTTGTCTTGGAGTTTGAGGTTGTTCTTCAACGGGTAGGCGATCGCTGTACACAGGAAAATGTCTTCGGAGTGTCGTAGGCTCCAACCCTTCGTCAGCCGGTGAGATTGAAAGCTCACCAGCATTTTCGGGGGGGTCTATAAGTTCTCCCGAGGTCTGCAAGAGGTCGTCGTTGACTTCTTCCGATTCATACGTTGATCCGTCCAGCTAACTGCCCGTTAGCCTATGCGTACTTATCTTTCATTTCGCCACAATCAATGCAATTCAAAGGGCTTTCATAAAAACATATCCGATAATAATGATAGGGACAGGATATTCGATTGGGGAAGTGTCCCTCACAGTTGCTGCCAAAGGTTGCTCCATCGTATCGCGTTCATCCTCATCCGTCACGGAACCATCCCTAACATTATCGTGGGGTTGTGTGTGGACGGGCGCAGTATCCGCATCTTCATGATCATCTTCAAACTTGTTAGTATTTGCCTCAGTTCCGATCGTATCTCGTCATTGCTGGTCTGTTGACATACCCAAGCTTTGTCGCGGGCGGAAAGGAAGTCGATGCTGGTCTGGTTGTCGATGCAGGCGGTTGGTGCCGTGAACAACGTCCACGTAGGTGGTCTCCTCGGAACTGATGCTACCGTAGTCTAGCGGAGGAACTGATGATCCTAACTCCTCTTCACCGTCTGACTCATTTCTGCCATCTGAACCTGGCGTGTCTTGCCCAATGCTAGAGTCAGTGGTTGGTGCTACGATCCTGGTTTTGAGGGCATCTTCAAGCACGGTTCCTTGATCAAGCTGGGTGAGATCATCGTGTCTTTTATTGGCCTTCTGACGACTGAGTAGGTGCTTTCTGTAACGGCTTCGACGCTCGGCGTCGCTAATATCGCGCGTGGCTATCTTGATCGTCGTAGGTTGAAGTCGGAGCATCTTGCAGAGTGAGAGGGCAATTTCACTCTAAGCTTTAACATGGAAGTGTCATATGCATAATTGCAGAAACATGAATAGATAACATCTAATAGCTTGTGTATATATTTATTCTTAACTTCTTTCAGAACGCAGCTTCCCATAGACAGTATTATAGAACAAGAGCAGGAACTTCCCTATAACTTCTGAGCTCTAGGGTAAGGCCTACATAACAGGTATCATGTTGATTCATCATGCAATGAGGTGGTTTATTGATGTGTGCTCATGCGGCAAGGTTCAATGGTGTTCTCTGGTTCTTATCATTGGTTGTGGCTTCATATATTCTCATTCCCTTTATGCCTTGTTTTTTTGGTGCTTTCATGATTCGATGAGAAGCTGACGACACCAGAGTTACGACAGTACACAATATTGCACAGCCCCAGCAAGAGATACTGTGATAAGGTGGATAACTTCCTTGATAGTATGTGGTCAGTAACAGATCCCATTATCTAGCAATATAGACAGTTCGACATGGCGTCTCTATTACGCGGCTGTCCATCACGAGATACTCGATTTCCAGATATATCTTGGAATTTAGGTGGTTTCTGGCTGGTACGAGGTGCTGCGCCGCGCTGGAAGAACCAAGTGATGGCAATGATATCGATATGCATGCAAAAAAGACCCCCATGTTTCGTACGATATGATATCCGCATTTGCAGTGAATCCTGTAATTCAGCAATGACGTTGTCATGATTGTGCATCTAATGAACACGTGGAATCAATAGTGCTTCTCAGCTCGAGAGGAGATACCTAATAATCACCGTACGGAAATGGTAAACACAACATGAATGCGTTTATGGTTATATAAATTGTGATAGTAAATGTCCTGTGCAGTATTATTGCACCGCCGCTTCACGACCTCAAAAGTCTTGATTTCCTTAACTAAATGGTCTTGAAACTGGCTGAGTCCTAAGAGCACGGACAGAATGGCATCCGCACGTACCTACTACATCAATTCTATTTTTGGGCATCACGATTGTTGAACAGCACCGAGCCCTAGATCCTGGATATCGTCGTCTCCATGTCTGGGTTAGATGAAATGCCTTCATTAGCAATTTGCAGGCTAGTTCATCATGTTGAATAGGTAGGTATTTTTAGCGCTATGATAGACAGGGACAAGTGCGGCTTCTGCACCCAAACCACCTCTTCAGGTATTTAAACTGAACCAGGCCCGTGATATATTCAAGTCGTTATCCTTGGCATAAAAGCATTTTGCCCAGATTACGGACCAACCATTTTGCAACAGTGGCCAGGAGATCTCGCAGACCGTGCTCGTGGATCAATATTCGAGGTTGCCAGCTGCACCTCACACTCTATAGTACATTTCGTTAGTACATTGGAGATTGGCTCAGGACAGATATTGGTGGCTGGTGCTCCTCTCACCAAAATATCAGACAGGACGAGGTAAGGCACCTTGCAAAAAAACACTGGGGGCTCGCAGTCTCTCCTTTTACTTGTGCATCATCCCAGCAAAGAAAACCCCTACCTAAGGTGTTATACCCAGGTTTAAAGACAAGGTTGGCGGCGGCCTAAGGCGTCTTTCGCTTCTCTGGACTCTCGTAATCTAGACTGGGGCCTCGTACCTCTGTTTTGCTAGGTGCTGTTGGCTGACGGACGGGTCTATACTTTATCAGTTTCGTTACAGCACTACCACTGCAACCACCGCCAGCGCAACCTAACGCAACGCAACGCAACGCAACGCAACAATCCGGGATTTAATTTATTATTGCTAACCTCACAAACTGACCTCGCTCGCATTCTCCCATCTACCTTACCCGTCGATTCCTCTTCTGGACAGCTCTGCTCAACATCCATCGGTGATGCTCCACGGTCCAAGCCGCCGCCAGTGGCCGACCGTCCCTTGCTCACGACTCGCGTTTCTCCTCCCAGTGCGAGTCGAGCTTGAGCCTGCCCACTTCCCCTGAGCATCTGCCCCAGGCTCCTCCATCGCCCACCATGAATGGAGACCTGAGCCTTTCTCAGGCTTTGGGCGGACTGCGCATCGCCAATCCTGACGATGCTGCTGAGGCTATTAACTCATCTTCGACTTCTCCTCCCGGGCCCGACTCGACTGCTCAGAATACCTCCATCTCCGCTTCAACTTCAACATCCGCCCTCCCCTCTACGCCTCAACCGACAACCACATCCACCACGCCCTCATCCTATGATGCAATCCGCCTCGACCCTATAGATGCCGGTGTCGAAACCTCACTTAACGATCCTCGTCTTACTCCATCCGCTCAACCTTCTGACCCTACTTCCGATCCAAGCCCCTCCGCAAATCATCCACAGCCATCTCCTCAAACCGAGCCGTCGAGGTCCTCCGTTTACGGCATGTCCAATGTGTCAGAGCCTGGCTCGAACCCCTCGTATCCCGTGAGAGAGTCCAGCCGACGAGACCCTCATCGCTTCAACAACTCAAGCCGACCAGTATCAGGTTTAATGTCTGGTGGCAGCCCATTGCCACCTCGAAGGAGCTCAAGAGGTATGGGGGTTGGCTATGCACCTGGTCCTGGCGGGCCACAGCAGAACCAGCCTTACGCAGGTGACGCGCCGGTCCCAACCAGCAGAGAGGACTGGCAGGAGCGTGGAGCGGCCGTTGGGGTCCGCAGAGAGGTTGATGCAAATGGACGTACCGTTGTCCGCCAGGTCAAAAAGGGCGTCCGCGACTTTTCCTTCGGGCGAGTTCTTGGCGAGGGCTCCTATAGTACAGTCTACATGGCGACAGATCGCCAAACTCTCAAAGAATACGCCGTGAAGGTACTCGAAAAGAGACATATCATCAAGGAGAAGAAGATCAAATATGTCAACATCGAGAAGAACACACTAAACCGACTTACTGAACACCCTGGAATTGTCCGGTTATACTATACATTTCAAGACGAGACATCGCTCTACTACGTCCTCGATTTGTGCAATGGTGGAGAGCTCTTGGGTGTCTTGAAGAAGACAGGCACCTTCGATGTTGAATGCACCAGGTTCTATGGTGCACAAATTCTCGACGCCATTGACTACATGCATTCTCGGGGTGTCATCCACCGAGATCTGAAGCCCGAAAACGTCTTGTTGGATGACCAGATGCACGTCAAAATTACGGACTTTGGAACTGCTAAACTGCTCAAAGATCCACGCGAAGACCCTTCAGCCGCATCAGCCAGCGGTGCACCAGATCCTGGAAAGGACGATGACAGTCGTGCAGCATCATTTGTCGGTACCGCTGAATATGTGAGCCCTGAGCTTCTCACACACAAGAACGCCTGTAAGGCTAGCGACTTGTGGGCTTTCGGCTGCATTGTATACCAGCTTTTGGCTGGCCGACCTCCTTTCAAGGGAGGCAGTGAGTATCTCACATTTCAGAAGATTGTAAATCTCGAATACGAATTCCCCCCTGGCTTTCCACCAGCAGCCAGAGACCTCGTGGAGCGCTGCTTGGTACTCGAACCAGCCAGACGACTCACTGTCGAGCACATCAAAAACCACGAATTCTTCGATGGACATCCATTCGGAAAAGGACTCTGGAGGACCAAGGCACCCCGTCTCCGCCCATATATACCACCCCCCCAGGAACCTCAAGTTATTCAGCTCAACGGCTTTTCCACCTCTTCTAACACCAGGCCTCCACAGCAGTCCCAAGCCACTCCCTCCAATGGGAATAATCGACCATCGAGGATAATAACAGAACTTCCTCCCCCGACACAGCTTGACATTGAATGGTCACCCGTTTTGACTAAGAATAACGAGCGCATTCTCAAGTTGGGCGATCTCATGGTGGTCTCGACGCCTTTGCCTTCAAGCCCCCACGGAAAGGAACCAGGAGAAGGACATAAGAAGTTGTCTCGTTTCTTTATCGGCAGCACTACTAAGAAGCGTCAGCGCCTGGTAATGATTACATCTAGCGGCCGAATTGTCCTTGCTCCGGCTGGTGGAGAGGAGAAAAGAGCGAAGCAGGAGTTATCTCTGCTCGGCTCAGATTGCACCTGGAAGACCCAAGTGGACGCAAAGGGCCAAACGGTGTGGTGTGTCAATACAGTAAGTGAATCTCGATTGGGTTTGTGTCTTTTAGTCAGCACACTGACATCTACCTGCAGGGCGGCCACCACTACACATTTGAAGAGGCAAAGTCCTCATCCACACCCCAAGAAGGTGGCTCTGCTGCCGCTGACTGGGTTGAATGTCTCGAGAGGGCAAGGGACATGGCACTATCTCAGAACATGACCACCTCTTATGGTGGTGATAGTGGATTTGCCGACATGTCGTCTCAAGTTTCAAGCCCATCAAGTACTTTGGGGGGTCCAGGAAACTATTCAGATGGTTTCGGGCTCAGTGACCGACAAGGACGAAACCACCTGAGTAAGAATCAGGGGAATAATGAAGATCCCGCGCCAAAACGCAACCGCTTCAGTAAGAGACAATCGAGGAACGGGCTAGGATCTGCATTCTAAGGGTCCTGAACGAAGAAATGGTGCGAACAAACTCGGATCTCGACGAGTTTCAGATTCTTACAGTCGACGACATTTGTCATTTTTGCCTCTCATCGATCACATTCAGTACGTTCATGGCATCGAGAGCGCGGCGTCTTAATTGCGGAGTTTTATTCATCTGAGCGGACTGGCAATGCATTATTTTGGGGTGCATTTTGTTTTCAGCGTTGTGGAAGAAGGATGGGCAGAGCCGCCAAATGGTGATTATTTGATGGGCTCCCAAACCCAAGGTTTCTCAATTTGAAGAAGCTCAATCCGGACCACCAGATAGGTTTACGCCATTGTCGGAAAACTGTTTACTAGTATTCTATATGTTCTCGTGTTGAGTTTTGGGGAAAACAGCCCCAAAGTGCTGGAGGCTGAGGTCAAGACTGCAGGTGCAGTATCTTCAAGTATGCTCGGGATAGGAGAAGTGGTGGTGTGTTTGGTATGAGCAAGGAGGGGTTCAGAGCTGTGGCACTGGATCAACTCCAGCCGATTTTGACAGTCATGAATGCCACCCTGTATTTCTTGAGATCCTGTTCAAAGGGCAAGGCTAGTCAGCAATGTAGGGGCTATAGATAGGAACTATAGTAGGGCGATGAGAGTTGGGCATTCGTTCTGAGGCTTTACTGATGTATGAAGAACCGATCCATCAAATCAGGGATGGCATTCGGTTTTCGATCAAGCCCAGATCGCCCTTTCTAGAGCTGTGGAACTGGATCATGTCCAGTGCTATTCAGAGACATCAGCATTTCTTAGATATAAACCATATTCAATTACCTAGGTACAGACAAAAAGGATGAATGACTTGCATTTCATGGAATCGTTGAAGGTGAACACGGTCACGTGACTGGATGAGTAATAGAGTTAGCTAAGGTACTGGCCGTTACCGTTTTCTCGCGACGCAGCAATGCGATGCGACGCGACACGATCAACCTGTAATCCCACCAGCCGACGCCTACCGAACCCCAACACAAGACTTTGTTTTTCTCGGTAAAATGCAGCCTCAATATCGCGCTTATGCGCAGCAGGTTCCGCAGCGCTCGCCTCATGCGACAAACCAGCGACGTGGTGGAATTGGTATGTTTAAAACCCATTCCCCATCCCCCATCCCCCATCATTTGCGCAACCCGACCTCGTTCATCAATCATCTACTAAAATGGACGCTTTCTCAGGACCCATGATGTCCTCAGGGCCTCACCCTTCGGTTCCCCTCACCCAGGCACAGATTGCTCAGCAACAACAGGTTCAGGCTCACGCCAGTGAGCTAGCTAAGCGACGTAGTCGAAAGCCTACAGATAAGAACATTCCCGATGGAGTTGAGGACAGCATTATTGATCCAGACGGTGTTCAACGGTACAAAGAACTGCGAGATGTCGAGCGTCGACTTGATGCTACTATCACACGAAAGCGCCTGGACATTGTCGACTACACCAGCCGTGGATCCAAGGTGTGTTCGACAACAATGCATTTATTGGGAGGAACCGACTAACCCATGATTCAGAGATACAAAACATTGCGAGTTTGGATCAGCAACACGGTCGAGGATCAAATCTGGCAGAGCAATGGACTTAACTCTGATTCGTTTGACTTTACCCCTAGCATGGAGGCGTCGTACCGAGTCAAGATTGAAGGTCGTCTACTCGACGATGAAGACGAGGAGACCGAGCAGCCCAAGAAACAGGAGCCAACCACAGAAGAAGGGAAGGAGTCAGGCGAGTCAGCACAGAAGTCCAAAGCACAAGAGAAACCCCGATTCTCGCACTTCTTCAAGTCTTTGACAGTCGATTTCGACCGATCTCGATTCCGAACAGGCGCCGAACAGACAGTGGAATGGAAGAAGCCAGATGCCCCGGCTCGAAACCAACCCGCTGCCAACCTTCCATCAGCCGCTGATTTCGATGAACTTACCTTCAAGAGAAATGGAGACGAAAACCAAAACATCACCATCAACCTGTTCCGCCAGGAGACACCCGAGAGATACCAACTGACCCCTGAGCTTGCCGATGTGGTCGATATGAAAGATGCTACCCATCAAGAGGCGGTCATGGCTCTCTGGGAGTACATCAAGTTACTTGGACTACAGGAAGATGAGGAGAAGCGCAATTTCCGGTGCAATGAGCCTCTCAAGAAGGTTGGTCTATGTGTATACCTATGTTGATATTGACATAGCTCTGACGATTCCCACAGGTTATAAGGCAAGGCGACATCGGACACATCCCTTTGCTCAACGACTATGTTCAGCAACACCTGCGACCTCTCGAGCCAATTTGCTTGCCATACACTATCCGAGTTGACCAGGAGTTTCACAAGGATCCCCAGCCTACGATCTATGACATCCAGGTTCCTGTGGACGATCCTCTACGTGATACACTCTTGCCTATGCTCAACAACCCTCAGTACATTGCAATGCTCAAGGACGTGACAGGGCTTGACGACCAGCTCGCCAAGGTGGTTCAGGCGATCGCCGTGTCGAAGGCCAAGCATTCCTTCTTCCAGTCTCTTGGCAAGGATCCTACCAACTTCATCAAGAACTGGCTGAGTTCTCAGAAGAGAGACCTCGAGGTCATTATGGGAGAAGCGCCCAGAGGAGGTGGAGAGCATGCATCGGGTGACGAGTGGCGCCGTGGTGGAAAAGATAGCGTCTGGACTACCCAAAATGCGCGAGAGAGCGTCAACGTCTTGCTCTCAAAGCAGCAACGATGAGCATCCATCTGAAAACTGTCAACACGCCAGGACGGCACTTGTTGACAAACCAATTGGAGTTATAGAGTTTGTGTCATGTTTAATTGGCCACATACGGGGAACGAGGGGGCGTTGGGAGCGTCTTTTTGTATAATAATATCATGAACCAAGATCGGCGAAACGACATGCATAGCCTGGTTGCAATCAATGCTACCGCCAGGGGCATTCAACACAAGTACTGTAGGGATAAAATAAGACAAAACTGCATATCATGCTATGCCATCGTGATGAATAGAGAACTATGCTCCTTGGCCTCATGAATCGCTGTCGGGTGGAAGAAAAGCAGTGAAAACGCCGCATGAGTGCAAAATGGTATAGTGAGAACATATTTGTCCAGAGTAAGTAGGCAATGCGGCATGTATACGTTTACCGCTGAGGAGCAACGGGAACTGAGGGCATGCCGCGGATTTGCTTGATCAAAAATTCTCTCTCATCGATGAACTGTTCGTCATCTGTCCGATCCTCAAGGAAGTGGGAGAGGAAAGTGAGAAGCTTATCGCGATTCATGAGGAGAATCTTCTGGACGGCAATTGATTTGTGCGGGTTTGCAACAAAGACCTTGAATACGTGGAAGCCCTCGTACTGAACCATTTTCCTATCATCGCGTAGCAGGTTCATGCATATCTTGAGATGCTCCCCGCGATCAACATAGGCAGTCATGACGTTATAGTTGGAGCGATCAAGCAAGATCTCACCGAGAAGCTTTATGGACTGACGCTTGGTCACGTAACTGTTGGATTGCACCAAGATGTTGTTGTACTTGTCGAAGAAGAGTTCAAAGTTTGCGTTCAAGTATCTTGGTACAAGATCCTTGTGGCGTGTCAGGAGTTCCTACAGTAAGATCAGCAACAGGAAGTAATTCAGGTACCGTAACCCAATCTCACTCGAAAAGTGGTGAAAGCATCTGCTGCCACCTCGAAGGAGCTCTTATCAACCCAATCGAAGAATCTCCAGAACACGCCTCTCCCACTTTGGGGTCGGTCACGGTCAATGGCATTTAGACCCTTGGAACTCGAACCTGGCTCATCTCCGTCGTCGTATAGAATGATTGCGGCGGCGGCCTCGTTCTTGAGTAGCTCTCGTAGAACTGAACCTGCTGGCGTAGCGCTCTCCTTGTGATCATATCCTCGACATAGCTCAACTAGGACCTGGGGTCGATTGCAGACAACGTATGATAGTGCGAGAGGGTCGCTTTTGGGGGCGGCGGTGGCGGGGCGGAAGCGGAAGACGTAGGAGAATATGACTTGGGTATCTTTACGCGACTCGAATGGAAGACGGAAGAGGTTGACGGCGAGGAGATGGAGGAGATCTTCGTCGATGAGACCAGTCACAAGCTGTAAGATCTGTTCTGGAGAGGTATCGGCCTCTTGCAAGATGTCTTAGCCATACAGTCAGGGGTTCGTGGATCAAGGCGAAGCAGCATACCGGGAGTTCCCTGCAGGATAGTCTTCATCTGGCTCAAGACTCGGGCAAGCTCTTCGGCCTTTTAGAGTCAGTGTTTGGCCTTGAATCGAGGTAAGGTGATATGATTGCTACCTTGGAAGGGCCCTGTGGCCCCTCGAGCTTCAAGACATGCTCGCGGGCCTGCTTGGGGAGATCGGCAACTGTGCGTGTGCGGGCTCTTCCAAACAGGAACGACATGGTTCGAGGTTATAATGCGATTGTTGAAGAAGAATACAAAGTTATCACAGCGACACAAGAACCTATCACGGTTCAGAGTGTTGTTTGTGTAAAGTGAGTTGCTGGTAATGGTATGGTATGCAACTGACGGTCCTGCGACGTCAGGTTTGTTATCGATAGTGTTTTGGTTTCAGAACCGAATAGCGGCGAGTAGCTCCCTTGAGAAATACAGGGGCTATTCACCTCAATTATGATGAATCGAAGCGGAAGGATGAGATACAGAAGCTGGCGACATAAATGCTAAAGTCATACCAGAGTGGGTTGATGTTGGCAAAACCAAGCAATAATATAAACAAACACTTCATCAAGCTCGATCCTATTTGCTTTGCTTTGCTTTGCTTTGCTTTGCTTTGCTTTGCTTTGCTTTGTCTGGCGGGCAGCAACCACGCATGCACCAACGGGCCCTGGTCGTTTTAGTGCTGGAGCGCTGCAAACTTGGCCACAATCGCTAATCTCAATCCATGATGAGGCCTATTATTAGTGCCATTGCTGAAGGGAGAAATTGGATGCAATGCATCAAATCTTACTGATGCTTTGTAAATTGGTCTAGAAGCTACCAAGATTCATAGGCCTTGGTACCATTTGAGGCCATCCATCCATTATCTGCCGGTGTCGGTCTTATGTCATCTCTTGATGGGTTAGTGTTATGCTGATTTGCCAGGAAAGACATCTTTGCTTGAGGAAAATCTTTAAAAATAAGATAGTTAGAGTATTCCAGGTAATTTATATATAAATTCATTCTAATTCGAACTATTAAAATTTATTGTTTATGCTTATAAGCAACCATGGACAGAAAGTGCTGTGATTATAATAGGTAACCCTTGAACCCCTCCATGGAACTAAGGTAGACGCGGGGCACAAATTTGACCCCACCTCCGGTTCCGTCGCTCTTGCTTGACTCACCCACCATCGCGAGTGGGTGAGCGAGCTGCCTTTTTTCTTAAACTTGCCCCTCCATCAACGGTTTGTCGCAGATAGTGACACTTTCAAGGCATCGCCGGTGAGTCAAACATTTCTTTCTTGCCTATTCCCCTAGCTACTTAAACACGACTACGCCTCTTCTATGATCCCTCATACCATCTCGTTCAAAACTTGTCCACTAACCCCTCCCCTTACAGGCGAACCATCACAATCATGTCGATCGACTTCCCGAAAGAAGAGGAGGCCATCATCCAAAGATGGCGGGAAATCGATGCCTTCCTGCGACAGGTTGAACTGTCCGAAGGACGCCCTCGATATACCTTCTATGATGGTCCTCCTTTTGCAACCGGTCTGCCTCACTACGGCCATCTTTTGGCCTCCACCATCAAGGATGTTATCCCTCGTTACTGGTCCATGAAGGGCTACCACGTCGAGCGACGCTTTGGCTGGGATACACACGGTCTGCCCATTGAGCATGAGATTGACAAGAAGCTGGGAATTTCTGGAAAGGCTGCCGTCATGGAACTCGGTATCGCCAAGTACAACGAGGAGTGTCGATCCATTGTCATGCGATATGCCGGCGAATGGCGACACACCATTGAGCGTTTGGGACGTTGGATTGATTTCGACAACGATTACAAGGTAAAGAAACATACACTCTATATCCCTAGCCAGATAGCTAACCGCGCTCCTTCAGACAATGGACCCCAAGTTCATGGAGTCTGAATGGTGGGTTTTCAAGCAACTGTTCGACAAGGACCAGGTCTACCAAGGACACCGAGTTATGCCCTACTCTACTGTTCTCACCACCGCCCTGAGCAATTTCGAGGCCAACCAGAACTACCAAGATGTCACTGATCCTGCAGTTGTCGTCACATTTCCCCTTGTCGACGATCCTGAAGTTAACCTGCTCGCCTGGACCACCACCCCTTGGACACTGCCATCGCATCTTGGTCTCGCAGCTCACCCTGACTTCGAGTATGTCAAGATTCTGGATGAGAAGACAGGAAAGACTTTTATCCTTCTCGAGAAGCTCCTTGGTACCTTATACAAGGATCCCAAGAAGGCTAAATTCAAGAAGCTCGGAACAGTTCTCGGCAAGGATATGCTAGGATGGAAATACACCCCTCCTTTCGACTACTTTTACGAGGAGTTCAAGGACATTGCCTTCAAGGTGTTGAACGCAACTTACGTTACAGACGACAGTGGTGTGGGTATCGTCCACCAGGCACCGGCGTTTGGTGAGGACGATTACAATGTTGCTGCAGCCGCAGGTATCATTACCGAGAAGCGACCACCTCCTGACCCCGTCAACGACACCGGTCACTTCACTGACCGAGTCTCCGATTTCAAGGGCCTGCATGTGAAGGAGGCTGATAAGCACATCATCAAGCACCTCAAGAACGCCGGTCGCATCGCCAACGAGTCTCAGCTTAAGCACTCGTACCCCATGTGCCCTCGCTCGGATACTCCCCTTATCTACAGGGCCGTTCCCTCTTGGTTCATCCGCATTCCCAACATCGTCCCCGACATGCTCAAGAACATCGAGGGTTCCCACTGGGTTCCATCATTTGTCAAGGAGAAGCGATTCGCCAGCTGGATTGCCAACGCTCGTGATTGGAACGTGAGCCGAAACCGATACTGGGGTACTCCCATCCCTCTTTGGGTCAGCGATGATCTGGAGGAGAGAGTGTGCATTGGAAGTGTTCAAGAGCTTCGTGAACTGAGCGGATATGAGGGTGATCTGTCTGATCTTCACCGCGACAAGGTTGATCATATCACTATTCCCAGCAAGATGGGCAAGGGTCAACTGAAGCGTATCGAGGAAGTGTTTGACTGCTGGTTCGAGTCTGGAAGCATGCCTTATGCCAGCCAACACTACCCCTTCGAGAATGTTGATAAGTTCAACCAGTCGTTCCCCGGAGATTTCATCGCTGAGGGTCTGGATCAAACCCGTGGATGGTTCTACACACTGACAGTGTTGGGAACTCACCTGTTTGGCAAGTCGCCGTTCCAGAACTGTGTTGTCAACGGTATTGTGCTTGCAGAGGATGGCAAGAAGATGTCGAAACGTCTCAAAAACTATCCTGACCCTTCTATCGTCATGTCCAAGTACGGTTCTGATGCTCTTCGACTCTACCTTATCAACTCTCCTGTTGTGCGAGCCGAGCCCCTCCGCTTCAAGGAGTCTGGCGTCAAGGAGGTCGTTCAGAAGGTCCTTTTGCCGTTGTGGAATAGCTACAAGTTCTTCGAGGGTCAAGTTGCACTGCTTAAGAAGGCAGAGGGCGTGGACTTCGTTTGGGATCCGAAGTTGGAGTCAAGCAACACCAATGTCATGGACCGCTGGGTTCTGGCAGTTTGCCAAAGCCTTCTTCAGTTCGTGAACAAGGAGATGGCCTCATACCGTTTGTACACCGTCGTACCCAGGCTCCTTGGTCTCATTGACAGCACAACGAACTGGTATATTCGATTCAATCGAAAACGACTCAAGGGAGAGAACGGTCTCGACGATACCCTCCATGCCCTGAACACCCTCTTCGAAGTGTTGTTCACTTTGTGCCGTGGACTGGCACCTTTCACCCCTTTCCTTACTGACAACATCTACCTCAAGCTTCTACCTCACATTCCCAAGGAGCTCCAAAGCGAAGATCCCCGAAGCGTGCACTTCCTGCCATTTCCCGATGTCCGCGAAGAGTTGTTCGATGAGGAGGTGGAGCGACGTGTTGGTCGCATGCAGCGTGTCATTGAGCTCGCTCGTGTATCGCGTGAACGCCGTACCATTGGTCTCAAGCAGCCTCTCAAGACACTGGTGGTAATTCACTCCGATCCTCAATATCTTGAGGATGTCAAGTCCCTTGAGAAGTATATCAGCGAGGAGTTGAATGTGCGAGACCTCGTGCTCTCGAGCGACGAAGCCAAGTACAACGTCCAATACAGCGTCACTGCCGACTGGCCTGTTCTTGGAAAGAAGCTCAAGAAGGATATGGCCCGCGTAAAGAAGGGGCTGCCTCTCCTTACCAGCGAGCAGGTCCAGGGATACGTCCGTGACAAGGAAATCTTTGTTGACGGTATTCGTCTGGAAGAGGGCGATCTCGTTGTGCGCAGAGGTATCAAGGAGGATGAGTCTTCCAAGAACTTGGAGATCAACACTGATAGCGATGTGCTCACCATCCTGGACACTGAGATTCACCCTGAGCTGGCAGCTGAGGGTCTAGGACGTGAGATCATCAACCGTGTACAGAGACTTCGAAAGAAGGCAGGTCTCGTGCCAACGGACGACATTAAGATGGAGTACCGTGTCATTACAGACCCTGAAGATATTGGCTTGTCTGGTGCCTTCAAGTCCCAGAACCCAGTGTTTGAGAAGGTCTTGCGCCGACCACTAGAAGAGACTGGAGCGGAACCACAGACTGAGGGTCTTATTGCAGAGGAGGAGCAAGAGGTCCAACAGGCAACATTTTTGTTGAGATTACTCAAGCTGTGAATCTTCGGGAAACAAAATTCAAGTTTATGTAGGAGATAAATTATTAAAAAAAAAAAAAGTTCGATTAAAAGTGTGTTGTTTGTGGCTACATGAGTGCATCATGTTTTCTTGGATGCAGCCTTGAGTGACAGTGTCAGACTTGTCGCCGTTAAGAGGCGAATAGATAGGAGGACATACTAAATAACAATCTTTGAGCCTCATAAACTCTTTGGCACACTTATCCTTGTGGACAGCGTTATAGTCGGCAACGATACACTTGCCATATGCCGTAGCCTACCAGATTTTAGTGATTTGATGCAGGTATGACAAGAGAATTCAGACCTCGACGGAGCATTGTGAGACTGCTTTAGCAAACTTTTGAATGGGACGAGTTCTTTGCTGGTTCATGGTGACTTTGTGAGAGATGGAGATGAGTGAAGACAATGAATGGCCAGTTGCTGAAGTTGTTATGAGACTGAAAATAGTATTGCTCATACAGTGTCGATGGATCATCGAATAACACAGTACGGCTATCAAGCCCCATGAGGCGTGTGCGCGCACCAGCCACCCACTTTACACGTCCGAGCTGTTGGCCGTTGGCATCGCGACCGCGCAAATTCGCGTGCGTTTTCTGTCGGGTTGGACCTCAGATTGCGCTTTGTTTGGATACGACCCCCTCGTTGAATACGATAGTGCAATTCTTGAAGCGCCGCTAGCATCGTCTTTGTCGATTTCTATTCTTACATTTTTATAATCCGATTTACTGAAGCGCAATACTCGAAGTCAACTGAAGTTTGCCTGTTCGCAAATTTGTGGTGGCTCGCCGCAACTAACTAAATAAATAAACAGAACAGAACTGCTCGCGCTTCATTGCACACCGACTTCTTGACTATGGGTCAATGACGGATGTGGGCAGCTCGCCAATAATTATCTGTCCATGTCCTCCGACATCTCTCGCCAGGGCTCAAATGCGACTTCACCAGCAGCATCGATGTCTCCGGCTGCGCAGAGAGCGGCCTCGCCGTCTGATGATGGCCGCTCGAGCAATGCCAGTCGGGCACCCTCTAGCCAGGACCCATACTACTCCAACGAAGGTCCGTATCATTCTTGCGATGCTGTGTCGACCTGATATTGACCGACCGGCCTAGACATCGCTGCGCTGCACGCCGTAGTCGTCGCTGCCCAGGAATTGCTCGACTCAGCGCCTGAACCGAAACCTCTCCCTGCTGCTGCGCTCTTCAAGGCATACGACGTCGTACTCCCGACCTATGGAATTGACCCCGATTCAGATCACCACTTGTCGACTTTTGTCTTCCGCGTAGGCGGTGAGCGAGGCGATGGCAACTTGCTCGACAAGTTCCAAGCTATCCTCAGTCGAATGGGAATCGTTTTAGAGTTTGGAGATAATACTACTGTGTCGCCGCGAACTTCAGCCTCTACATCTCCCGCAGTATCTTCATCGAGTCGCCAGAGCCATGCCATCTCGCGCCAGCAAACAACTCCACAAAAAGGCCTACAAAACGGCCATGCCCCGACTGGACCGCAAGTCCCACAATCACCAGCTTCAGCTTCACCGTCACCGTCACCATCACCATCAGTCTCTCCGCCAGGATCGCAACCTCACCCCCAGGATGAATTGGAATTTTCCGAGACCGACGAGGAGGAGGAGGAGGAGGGCGCATATGAGGAAATGCGAAAGGCGGTTGTCTCTTCAGCCATGAATCGCTGGCGCTCTCTGGTTGCGAGTCGTCGAGCACAACCTGCACAACGGATCCCTTCTTTTCCGAGCATTCCCGAAGAAGCTTCAGCCGATGTGAGGAACTTTGAAGCTCAACCTTTTGAAGATCGACCACCAGTGACCGGGCATCAAACAGTGACGTCTTCACAAGTCAATGGACTTGAGCCACACACTCAAACTTCGCTCAAAGACCCAACAGATATGCACACAAGGCCGGTTTCCGCTCAGTCATTCATGCATCGACCCCTTTCCGTTCTAAGTAGTGCTATACGATCTACGACTTCTTTAATCCAAGGGAGTGCGCCACAAGAGGAGCACTTTGACGAGCCATCGCGCCACGGTGATGATGAATTACCCCACAGCCCAGTTGAGGAGCCTCCACAGCAACTTCAAGAGCCTGAAGAACTCGACGAACCTGAAGCAGAACCCTCTCAACATACACAGATCCAAAATCCACCAGAAGTCCATTCTCCAACCACAAGGGCTCGATCTAACACTGTAACTAACAACGAAGGCACAATTGTTCATCATCTTGTGACCCAAGAGCGCACTAGAAATACAATATCCCAACACGAACAACCCGCCGAAGAAGGCCCTTTGACACCCGAGCAGCAGATTGATTCGGAAAGAGAACAAAGCCGGCTCCTCAAACAGGCCGCCAGAGCTCGTGAGATCTACCTCGCAAGCAAGGTCTTCAACCATTGGGCTGACCGCACCGCACGTCGTCTTGAACGAGACGCCGTTGCAAGACGGCATATGATACGATTTCGCTATTTCCGATCATGGAGCCAAGCCCCTGCACTCCGTGAGCCTACCACTGACCACATGAGGGCAGCCGTGGTTGTGAAGAAGTGGCAACGTATTGTCGCCCAAGAGAAAAGTCTACAGGCCACTGCGATAGAAGCTGCTCGGGCTTACGAGCAGAGAAGAGTCCAGCGAGTCCTTGATATATGGTCTTGTCACCGACTCAAACACCTCGGCCGTCAAATGACAGCTTCGCGTAGTAGGACACGAGCCATGTCAAAGTGGCTGTCACAGGCTTCTCATGACAAGGCTCTCAGTCAAGCCATACAGACCCAAACGACTTTGCGACTCCAAGTGGATGCCATTCACAAATGGCAGGGCATGTCAGAAAATGAAAGCCAACTATATAACACTGCCAGAAGAATTGGAGATATTCAGTACTCCTTCACATATCTTCGAGAATGGTGGGATCAAGCTGAGATCAGTCGAAGGGCGGTCGGGTACCGCCAGCGATTGATGATTGAGAAGGCAAACCTTGCTTTCGATGAGTGGAACTTGAGGGCAAGAGCCCAGGCATTCCAGTGGAAGCGCGAGTATCTTCAAGTGACGCGAGTGTTCGACCGATGGTTCCAATGCGCCGAACAGGATGTGGACATGGGCCGAAGAGCAGAAGAGTTTTATGAGGAGCAAGCAAAGTCCAATGTTGTAAGGACTTTCAGGCAATTTAAGCATGATTCGTCACACATGGCACGTTTGGGAGATCGAGCTCAACTCTATCTCGGAGCTACTAGATTGTTGCAAGTCTTTGATCGAGCGATCAAGAGTCGTAGGGACCAAGACAAGCAGCAGGTCAAGAGGTATCTGATGGCTAGGTATACCCAAGTCTCTTCTGCTCGAAAGAAACGCAATTTCTTTGCTGCTGTCGATCGATGGAGGGCATTGGCGACGGAGGATCGGGCACGGGGCGACTTGATACAAGAGTTGCGAGCCCATAAAGATACCCAAAAGGTTATCCTAATTACTGATACATGGAAACGCCAAGCGGACATTGACCAAAGACGCATGCAAGAAGCTAAACTGCAACATGCAGAGGGATGGTTAGAAGCTTGGAAAGTGTACACCGTCGACCTTGAGCAGCGGGATATAGATGCCTGGCAGCTTTGGGCAGCCGACAAGCAACGGCAGTCCCTCAAGTCCTGGTCAATTGCATCGTTACAACAAAGTGGACAGGGTCACACAGCAATTGAAGTTCAAAGGAAGCACGAACGCGAAAGGCGTAACCGCGTACTGCAATATTGGCGTCAACGGGACGATAGAATTCGATCCATGGCTCCTGGAACTCGCCCACAGCCACAATCTGTGCCGGCTGCATGGCCACGCGGAAGTTGGCGAGCGTTGTCTGGGAGGCGGTCACTGGCCAGTCGCAATGATAGGGGCTTTGATTACTCCAGTACACCGCTTGAGACACCAACTAGATGGACTGGGCAGCCATTCTCCATGTCGACTATGATGCCACCAGGATCCATGGCTCCGCTCCGAGAGGCGGACGAGAATGATGAGGCGTTTTCGCTAGCTGGCGATGAAGATGATGAGCTACCAGCCTCGCCATCTTTGAGACCTGCCTCGCGAGGACCTGGCCAGTTCTCAGGTCTGCCATCAACGACACCGATGGCACCAGTCCCATCGCATTTAGAGCGAGATACCCAGGGTCGTGACCCCGAGTTTGGCCAGGACCTGGCAAGCACAGCAGGGCCTGGCCGGCCTGAACCCTCACGGCGGCCAGTAGTTGCGAGATCATTTGGTATCAGGCCTCCAAATGGGCGTACGATCGGACCTTTGCCTTCCTCGCCGGAGCCAAACTCTCCAGTCATCAACAGCAAATCCGTGGGCGCGAGACCATCTGCCACACGATTTGGACTTCCGCGACAGACCACTACTAAGTTTACGCCAGCGACAAGATCTGTGCGTATTCAATCACCGAGAACACTATCGGCTACACCACAATCTCGGCCACCAGGATTGCCAAGAGGGGATCATCTGCGTGGCCGTGTGAGTACAAACCAATAACCCTGTCCATCAGGATGGCTATTAGTATATACATCAGGGAGGAGCATGTGTGAAGCTGGCTTTGAAGGTTTGCAAGAGTTGGGTTGGCTATGGATGATCTAGATGTGTTTCTCTGACGTTGGATGACTTGTTTGATAAAAGGATACCCCTTTCTGTTAGTGTTATTGTTATATGTGAATGCATAGCGACGATACGTCGATGGCGTTGGATAGGCAACAGTTTATGAAATTTGCTGATCTTGAAAATTTTGTTACTCGGCATGAGTTTGCTTGAGCAGAGGTGAATATCATGTCCACGCGGATAGAGTGGGTGTCTTCTCGTTATTAGCAGTGTAGATAAGCAATGTGCCATGTTGTGAACCTCGAGCCATGATACCCGAAACCATTACATGGATGTTAATATACTCTAAAGTTCTATTTATGTAATCTGGACGTGGGAAAGCATCATCAACACTCTTCCAATGGCCAAATTATATTTAGCTTCTGTAATTGAAGATGTCTAGGGTGGCATTTATCGTCATGGGTTCTTGTGCATGAGCCGGGGTGTGGGGGTCGCTTTCGGGGGGGGGGGGGGGGTCACGTCACCTCTAATCACGCTGGAGTCTACTCCGTTTATTGCATTGATTGACTCTGGTGACTTAGCTCACCAAAGCTTCAGCTGTCACACCTCAAGCTCCTCTCCTTTGCGCCTAAATATAGGGTAGCGCCATCACAATTCCTTAGAGATGCGCGCAAATTGTTCTCCTTAATAGCATGAAGGCCGTCTTGCCGGGCAACCCGCGCTCGAGGCTCCAAGGGCTTGCCTCGGGTTACTGGGACTCGCGACACATTAATGTAAGTACCAAGCTCTACTCCTGAGCTCTGAACTCAGCTGATGAGCTGATGCTGCATAGGTATACATCACAGGCAGCGCCTTTGCGATCTTGGAAGGATCCCACGGGATTCTACAGACAGTTTACGATGAAGGCGAACAACCGCTAGAAGCTATCGCATTCGACGAAGCGACAGGCAAGATCGCTACTTGCACATTAACCCAAGTCCGTCTGTACAAGCCATTCGGGTCGCGCGAAGACACTTTGAAGGTTCCAATTCCCGATTTCATGATAGATGCTTAAGAAACTCAGCTCACGACTCTATTAGTGGGCTCTCGAATCGACCTTGGACATTCCTTATCCGAACTCCGAAGACGTGTCGTGTACATTATCCTGGGGCAGCTCCGAGGAGCTGTTGTTGGGTACACAATACCTGTCCCTTTTCGATACCAAGACCGAACCGAGGTGTCTCTGGCAAAAGAAGCTGCCGAGCATCGCCAAATATGCCTTATTGTCATACGATTCGAGATACATCGCCACGTCCAGCCATCATGACCACTTGATCAAGGTCTGGAGGAGACTCAACTTTGGTGCCGACGAAGTCCGATTCGATCTCACATACCTCCGACATCCAAATATTATAACATCTGTGAGATGGCGCAGACCATTCCATGTTGAGCAGGCCTCCGACAATGTTCTATACACCACATGCCTCGATAAATGCATACGAGTTTGGACACCTACCGACACACCCGACGGGAAGCATTGGCAGCTATGGGGACAGGTGGATCTTTGTGCGCCATCGCAAGAGAACCCAGAGGGCTTGGACATGCGCTTCGCTCTGGTTCTTGACGGGCGAGACTTCACAGCCTCTGTAGAACAAGCTGTTCAGGCGCGAATGTCTGACGACTCAACCACCGACGACCCCGTTGCCCTTGATCACCTAGTAGCAGTCGCGACTAAGAATCCAGAAATATGTATAGCTCTTGATGGGAAGGGCATCATGTCGGCATGGGCGCTCGAGAATGTTGGCAGTAGTACCGCGAATTCACCAACCTTATTCAAGGTGGCTCAAGTCAAGGATGTCCATTTTGAGCTTCTCGATAACTTTCTTCCGGTTCAAGACACGCCTCACACGGAGATACAAACGTATTGCGACAAGGAGAGTGGCAAGGTTCACTTTATGTTGCATGCATTCGATGGAAGAATAGGCGTATTTACTGGAAGCGTTGCCGATCTCTTTGATCCCATGACCAATGATCGACGCCTTGCCCTTCAAACAATCTGGTCTGGACATTCGACTTCAATTACCAAGATTGTCCGAAATTTTAGCGGGCGAGCGGTGGTCTCTCGAACTAGAGACGGTGAAAGTATCGTGTGGAAACATATTTTGAGCCCACGCGACAAGTCAGGCCTGACCTTGACACGAGGGAGCGTTATCCCCGAGAAGGGTCACATACATCGCATATGTGTGCTGAGAAAGGGGCGTTTTGTGGTTTTCCTTCGCCATGACACATTCTCGCTCTGGGATTGCAGGACAAGTCGAGCTACTGCCCTTTCTCAGTGTGACTACGAGGTGTCAGGGAAACCGTTGTGCCTCATCATTCTGCCTCGGTCAGATGTCAAGAACTATACCGTTGCTCATATTGCGACGATAACGTCAGAAGGACACGGTATCGTATGGGAGGTTCAACTGCCTCGCTACTTTGATGACCCAAAGACAACAGCCGGAGCCAATGTTGAGGAACTGTGTCGCTTTGAAATCAAGGACATAAAGAGTCTGGCCTATGTGTTGCCAGTTGATCCTGCCGGTTCGCAGCCCATTGTCTCGGGTTTTCTCGATATATTCGCTCGAGATGTTGCCATTTCTTATACACACACGGGCCGTGTGGACTTTTGGACTGCACGAGTTGACCCTGAACAGCGAAGCGTTGGATGGCTATCGACGTGTACCACGGAGACGGGAGTTTCTGAGCCAGCACTGGTCAGTGGCAGTACATTGAAGAAAGCTGCCCTCGTGAATTCGTCGAGATCGCAATTAACAATTTGGGACATTGGCGGTGCTCGTCTCGAATATGAGAATAACTTTCAAGAACACCAGGTGATTCAAGATCTTGACTGGACATCAACACCCGATGGCCAGTCTATTCTCGCCGTTGGTTTCCCTTACCGAATCATCCTCCTCTCTCAGATGCGATTTGATTATCTCAACAAGGGCCCAGCATGGGCACAAATTCGTGAGATCAGCATTCGAGAACTCACACCTCACCCAATCGGAGACTCAACTTGGTTGGGCGACGGCCACTTGATTATTGGTGCCGGCAACCAGATGTTTGTGCAGGACAGGCACGTTGGAATCTCCGAGTCTATGAAGACGGATTTGCGTCTTCCTCTGCGAAAAGATGGCAAACTAGACTTATTCCAGGTTGTTCAAAGATTCAACGGCCCCTTACCAGTCTTCCATCCCCAGTTTCTCATGCAATGCATCCTTTCAGGGAAGGCGACCCTTGTTAGACGCATTTTGGTGGCTCTGCATAAGACCTTGAAATACCACATTAACGGCGAAACGCTGGACGACTACCTGGGAATGGACTTGAGCGAATTCTATATGCCCGAGGTAAGTGACAATTCGATCATGCCGAGGACAACAGGCCGTGCTAATCCAATTGTTTAGCAAAGTCATACTTTAGCTGTTGACAAGTCTTCTGGGGCCTATCTGAATGGAAACAACACGGATGAGACCGATGACGAGGACATATTCACGGAGCAGACCGCGGTCTCGATCAACGAGAAGCTCGTCAAGATCGATATCATCCAACTCTCAGGACACGAACAGATTCAACTCGCTGATATTATTGAATGCGTTGCCCTTGTTGAGCGACATCGGCGATCGATGGACGAGAATGGTGCTCGATTCATGCTGCTGTTCCGTCAACATGCCCTCCGCAAAGGACGCACCAACGAGATGCACCTCTCATGGCGTGAAATCAACTGGGCTTTCCACTCCAACAGCCAAGATATTCTGGTTGACTTTGTATCGCGGCAGAACCATGGTAGTATGCTTTGGGAACATGCTCGTGAAAGTGGCCTGTTCATGTGGCTCACTGATCCTACTGCATTGGTAAAGACCGTTCGGATCTGACGAACTTGTTCCGGTAGCTAACATCCTCCAGAAAGCCCAATTCGAGCTGATCGCCAGAAACGAGTACACAAAGAACGAGGTCAAAAACCCGGTTGACTGCAGCCTTTACTACCTCGCACTCCGGAAGAAGACGGTCCTCCAAGGTCTATGGAGAATGGCAAACTGGAACAAGGAGCAGGCAGCCACTCAACGCCTGTTGGCAAACAATTTTGAAGACCCTAAATGGAGATCGGCAGCACTCAAGAATGCCTATGCCTTGCTTAGTAGGCGGCGATTCGGTAAGATATCCTTGGGGTACCAGCTTTCTGGTACAAATGCTGATTGTAAACAGAGTATGCTGCGGCATTCTTCCTTCTTGCGGACCACCTTCACGACGCTGTTCAGGTTTGTCTGAATCAGCTGAAAGACATGCAATTAGCCATCACAATATCGCGCGTCTATGAAGGCGATGACGGCCCTGTCTTGCGCCGTCTTCTTCAAGATACAGTGCTCCCACTAGCAGCGCAGGAGGGTAACCGCTGGCTGGCTGCATGGGCCTTCTGGATGCTCGGCCGTAAAGATGTGGCCGTACGAGCACTTATTGTACGTTGTGATCTGTGAAGTTTTGTATACGAGCTGAATCGCTGACATGTTGATAGACACCGGTGTATACTCTTTTGGAAACACCTTGTTCACCTGACATCAAGTCTCGATTGTTTTTGACTGATGACCCTGCCTTGGTTGTCCTTTACTCGCATTTACGTCACCAGACTCTGCAAACTTTGAGAGGAGCATCTAAGATTACTCCGAAAGTTGAGTGGGAGTTTGTGCTGCACAGCGCCAAGCTATATGACAGAATGGGATGCGATCTTTTGGGATTGGATATAGGTGAGTGCGAGACTACAAGTACCAATCACATGTTCACTGACTGTGAAATAGTACGTAATTGGGAGTTCCAACAGTCACCTGGAGCAACTGGCCTTGGTGGAGAGGTCAACCCTCTGAAGCTGCTTCGCCGGAGAAGCTCTTTGGTGGTTGCCGACTTGCCTTCACCAACTCTTAAATTTGACTCTCACCGGGAGAACAAGAAGACGGTCAAACCACCACCCACGACATTTGAAGAACCAGATGCTGGCTCTCTGCTCGACAGTTTCGGCTTCTGATAGGGTTGTTGAGTTGTGGTATTGAAGAGGCGGCGATGTGTGTGTATTACTCAATAGTGAGCCTCATGTAAGTACGCTGAAGCTCATGATGTATGGCTTTTTCATGGCAAGGCAGTGGAGCTAAGGCTAGGAAGAGTTGATTCGTAGAGCTATGCTGCAAACACGATAGCAAGTATAGTTAATATTTCAGTGGTAATAAAAGTATCTCTACTTGGAAGGCACCTATTTATTAAGTACTTATCTTACGAGGTCGATGCGATAGTAGGTAAATTAACCGATGAGTTAATAGCGGAAAGTCTCCCCGGATAGCGGAATGTGGGGTTTGGTTCGCTTGGTAATACAACTACCTATCTCATCTCACTTAACGTCACAACCATCTCTCAACGCGTCTCTAAACCAAACATCGTCATTCATTAGCTGCTCCCAGCCAAAAAAGAAAAAAAGGAAAATGGCGACACGCGTGATTCCAGGGCGCAGTTTCACGCTGCGAGGCGTTGTAGCTGGTCTCGCAGTTGGCACCATCATCTGCTTCTCCAATATGTACTTTGGCTTGCAGACAGGATGGGTTTCCATCATGTCAATGCCTGCGAGTCTCATGGGCTTTGGTATTTTCAGGCTCCTTGCACCGCATCTGAGGTTTCCATTTTCTCCTGTTGAGAACGTATTGCTCCAGAGCGTAGCTTGTGGCATGGCTATTATGCCACTTGGATGCGGCTTCGTTGGTGTTGTATGTCATCTAGACTCCTATTATACTAAGAGATTGTTCTGACTAGCAAGGCAGATCCCGGCATTGAACTATCTTTTGGCTCAAGATGAGCAAGGCCCGATCAATCTGAGTACCTGGCAGCTCATCATCTGGTCTTTGGGACTCTGCTACTTTGGCGTCGTCTTTGCTGTTCCCCTGTGAGCCATTATATGATCCGTGTCTTTCTGCTTCAATCTTGCTGATACCCACCAGACGTAAGCAAGTCATCATCCGAGAGCGCCTCAAATTTCCCAGTGGATTCAGTACGGCCGTACTGATCTCAGTATTGCACGGACAAGGTCGCCAATCGACAAAAGACGAGCTTGACGCTGCTGCTAAAGGCGGCTTTGCAAGCCTCGTTCCTCGTGACGAGCCTCTTCAACCAGACGCCATTGGCCGAGCTGCTACGGATCAGGAGCATCAACAGAGTGCTGGAGATGACGTGTCGGACAAAGGAGACTGGGCAGCCAATATCAAACTGTTACTTTTGTGTTTTGGCGGCTCTGGGCTTTATACTCTGGCGACATATTTTTTCCCTATACTGCGCAACTTGCCAATCTTTGGTTCTGCCGCAGCTCACACATGGCTCTGGACATTCAACCCCAGCTTTGCTTATATCGGCCAGGGAATCATCATGGGGACCGAAACGACGCTGCATATGCTTCTTGGTGCTGTAGTTGGCTGGGGAATCCTCAGTCCTCTGGCCAAATCTCGGGGATGGGCGCCTGGAGATGTTGATGATTGGGAACGTGGTAGCAAGGGATGGATCATTTGGATCTCGCTGGCTATTATGCTAGCGGATGCAATCGTCAGCCTTGCTTACGTTGCCCTCCGCGGAATCTTTACCAGCCAAAAGGTTACTGGGATTATGTCTTCCCTACGTCAGAGAGTACAGGAACATGGCGTCTCTGGCCTGTGGAAGAACCCGAGCCATGACTATTCACCACTCTTGAGTAACGAGACTGAGCCTGCTCAGAGGTGCTATGGAGCTGATGAATATGCCCCTATCCAAGATGATGATGAGGAGGATGCTCCTCCGCACCAGCGCATTGGGCCCCGTATGGTAACGATCGGCCTTCTTGCTTCGATAGCTCTGTGCGTCCTCACTATTCATTTGGTCTTTGGTGACCTTGTACCGCTCTATGCCACCACCATTGCTGTTCTCATGGCTCTAGTGTTAAGCATCATGGGAGTTAGGGCGCTGGGTGAGACGGATTTGAACCCCGTATCTGGCATTAGCAAACTTGCGCAGCTATTCTTTGCCTTTATCATCCCTCAGACTCACAAGTCCAGTGTCTTGATCAACCTGATCGCTGGTGCGGTAGTAAGTAATTCCTATGCCTACATATTCAAGCAAATATTCTAATCTGCCACAGTCCGAAGCTGGTGCTTTACAAGCTGGCGATCTCATGCAGGACCTGAAAACTGGGCACTTACTGGGAGCAGCTCCGAAAGCCCAATTCTGGGGTCAAGTCATTGGAGCAAGCGTCGGTGCTGTTCTGAGTGCATTCATCTACCGTGTCTACACGAGGTGGGTAGCCTATCACTTCGCCATCTCATACTAGAAAGAGGACCTGGCTGACACAATTGAAATGCAGCGTATATATGATTCCTGGTGATCTCTTCCAGGTACCAACCGCCTACGTCTGGATATTCACTGCAAGGCTTGTCACAGGTTCTGGGCTACCATATCGCGTCAAGGAATGGGCCATTGGAACTGCGGTTCTATTCGCAGTTGCCACTATCACCAGAACGCTCGCTATCGGTAAGAGATGGCGACCTCTGATTCCTGGTGGCATTGCTGTCGCCGTTGGTAAGTTGACTATGTGTGGCCCCGAGGGAGATACTATCGCTGACACCTGACAAGGCATGTATAACGTCCCATCTTTCACGCTGGCTCGAACCGTTGGCGGTCTGTTTGCATGGTACTGGACTCATATCGCGCGACGGACGCAGACCCCTCTAATCATCCTTGCTTCAGTACGTATCTTGTCCAGTCCATGTCGAAACCATCCTGACCCCTTTAGGGATTCATTCTTGGCGAGGGTTTCCTGAGCATTGTAAACCTCTTGCTGCAAGGCCTGGATGTTCCTCATCTGTGACTGCATCACATACCATATTCCACCCGTGGAGACACCATCTTCTCAGACTTTGCTGGCCGCGTACAAGCTGATAAAAGATGCGTCTATTTCAGTTGCCATGAGTGCTTCCTTGAACCACCCTCAGAATCTGTCCAAGAAGCCCTGAGAACCAGCGCTCGGGCATTGTCATCAGCTGCCGCAAAAACGATATCTCCGGAGAGACTCTGGGGCGACTTGGCAGATGATTTGGCCTCTGGAGGAGCGAGAAGAAGGCCCTGCTTCCAGTGTGTGACAGTACCAGAAGGGCCGGTAGTGAACGCGACGCCTCCATGGTCTTTCTTGTCCCAGGTCTCTGGTGTTGTCTCGGCAGGGGGCACTGGGTCGCTTCTGGATGTCGTGAAGAAGTTGTCGAACCAAATGAGGAACCCGTCAACATTTTCGACATCACGGGTGAGTTTCGACGACCACGTGGCGCTGAACTGAAGATCCTCGGTCTTGACGGTATGGAGATCAAGCACCTTGAAGGGGTAGGGTTCACCACAGACAGAACTTTGTGGCATGGCCTCGACACGGGCCTCTTCGTAGATACCTTCTTGCATAGTCTTCATATCAAAGCCGTAAACGTCTCTCCAGAAAGAGATGTGGTCTGAAACATACTCGGGGTCTGCGATGGGGGCAATCCAGATTGTGGCAGAGCTGGGCGCGAGAATACCATCAGGCTTCAGGTAACGGTCTCGAGCATACAAGACACTTGGAAGCATAGCCTCATAGAGAAGACAGTAGCCCATCCACTCGCTGACAATAATATCGACCTGGTCTACAGGCAGCTTGACATCCTCGATGGCGCCCTTGAGAGTTGTGATAACATCGGACAGACCGTTGTGGAAAATGTTCTCCCTAGCCTTGACAATGATGTCTGACTTGTCAACAGCAATGACTTGCTTAGCGCCAGCCTTTGCAGCAAACATGCTCAGAATACCTAGGTCAAAACCTTTAGTGTTGAATCAAGATCAAAATCATAACTAGGCTTACCCGTGCCACATCCGATATCGAGGACGACCTTGTCCTTGAAGATGTGCTTATTGTTGTAGATGAAGTCACGATACGCATCAGTTCGTACGGTATCTTTCAGCATGGTCTCGTGAATTTCTGGACACAGTCAGTATAAACAGATCAAGATATCGGTAAGTGGTGGGATGTACCATGGGCAGCGTAAGACTCAAAGTAGTAGGCAGAGTCATCCTTCTTCTCCGTTGCAGCCGGCTCGGTATCGTCGCCCCATCGCTTATCAAGTGTCTGCTGAACCGTCAAGCGGTAGCTGGCAAATTGATCTCTGAGCTTCTCGAGCTCCTCCTCCAGTTCCCTGTTACGGGCTTTGAGATTTCCATCGTTGTATCCAGTTGCTTGGTCGTTGGTAACGTTCTCCAATACTTCGTCCAGAGAAAAGATGAGAGCATCGTTCTCCAGAACAGGCTGAAGGTACTTCTCGTCTTCGAGGTCTTTGGCAGAGATCTCCTTGGGCAATGGTGTGCCATTCTTTACATTATCACGAACAAAGTTGACGAGCTTGACAGCACCGTGAAAGTCAAGCTGAAGCTTTTGGACATAGTCGGCAAAGCTGAAACCATGGTTCTTGCTGCTATCCTCGAGCATAGCGGCAACAGTAGGAAAAGTGTGGGCGCTGAAGAAGGATGTAATGGGGATTAACTCCTCATCCGACTCCAGGTCAAGCCATTCGCCCTCATCAGAGATAGATTCGTGAGTAGACATTTTCCCCCTTTCACTGTAAGACCAGGCCAGATCAAACGAAGTTGAATTCCTTTAGGAGAAGACGAAAATTTGAACGAAGAACTCGAGTGGCCAGTATTGAATGTTGGTTGGTTTGGTTTGCACCGAGTTAGCTACCTTAGCTTGGAGAATATTTTGTGGGATCACGGTGATTGGAGAAGGCTATGCCCTGTTGGGGAATTTTTTTCTGGGTCATGACAGGTAGAAAGTTAAGGCACAGGCAAGGCGAGGTAACCTGCCAGATGCAATCCGCGAGGTGTTTGCTGTTAATATATATGATATGTCTGTAAGGGGGTATATCGCATATATCTCTGTCTGTCCGTCTGTTTGACGACTTTGCTGATGTACCATTTTTTATTTTTTGGCCTTCGGCTTCTGTTTCGTCTCTTCCTTTTCGTCATTGTCATTTTCAGACTCTTCGTCGTCTTCATCGTCGTCGTCATCGTCTTCCTCATCATCATCGTCTTCGCCGTCTGATACGGTTTCTCCGAGCTCAAGGAGACGAGCCTGCAGTCATGTCAGTCAGTATACAGCATGCAAATATGAGCACCGCGTTTCTTGACTTGCCTTGTATTTGGCCACCTTTTCCTCCAAATCGCCAAATACTATCAAGAGGTCATCAAGTTCGGACTGAGTGGTCTCCCTAGCCTCATTTGACTCTTGCAGCTTATTCTCAGTCGCCTCTCTAGCCTTCCTAGCCTCCTCTTTTGCTGCTTCCTTCGATTCTGATAGTTGCTTTTCGGCTGCGTCCTTGGCTTTGTTGGCAGCTGATAGTTCCGATTCCATCTGTGAGACATGTGAGTTTCTTGAGTATCTTCGATCAAGACAGATTGATAATCACATACCTTTTTGAGCTTTGCCTCCAAGTCCTTCTTTCCAGCGTCTCCTCCACTGAGCTGCTTCTCGAGGCTCTGGCACTTCTCCTCTGCTTCCTTGGTCTTCAATTTCTGCTGCTCCAGGTCCACCTGACTCTGCTCTCGATAAGCGTCTATCTCGGCATCTTTTCTATCGCAGAGGCTTTGCAGTTCCTCTTTGAACTTGGCTTGTTTTTCATCTGCTTTAGCCTTGGATTGGGTCTTGAAATCTTCATATTCCTGACGAAGGTGCCCTAGCACCTTCTCATATTTCTCTCTTTGCATATCTATCTCGTTCTTGCGTTGCAGCTGTAGTGCATTGTACTCCTTTTGGGACTATGTTTGAGCCAATGTTAGCCGACTGCACTCGTACAAACCGTAATGGCTGGGATAACAGGCACGCACCTTCATCAGAACAACCTCGAGACGACTGATATTCGCTTTGAGATCTGCCACTTCAGCATCCGTCCTCCGTCTAATCTTTTCTGCTTCGGCCTCGGCCGCTTTCCGGACTTGTTCGAGCTGCTTCTGATGATCGCTTTCTTGTGCTGTTTGTTGTGAACGCAGCTGAGCAATTTGCTTTTGATACTCGTTCTCCTTGATCGAATATTGAGATTGCAATTGAGCAACCTGCTTACGCTGATCATTCTCCTTGGACGCCAACTGACCCTGAAGCTTCCTGTAGCCGTTTTAGTAGGGTTAACACAAGTTGATAATGGTGGCACTTACCGCAGCTCTTCGCTATGATGCTTTTGTAACCCTTCATTCACAGTTTTGACCCGTTGCATTTCTAGAGCAGCGGTTTCCTTTGATCTGCGATGATCCGCCTGTTCCTGGCCTAGCTGCCCCTGAAGTACTGCTAGCTTTTCCTGGATCTCGTTCACAGCATTCTGCTTTTCCTCGACCTGGCTCCTGAGAGAGTCTACAAGTTCCCTCGAGACACCTTTCTGAACACCGTTGGTTACAACAGAGATTTCCATGCCAGGCTCTCTGTCAATAGCACGTGCTATTCGGCTATAGTTGTCCTTGAAGAACTCAACAAATTCCCTGTCGAAGAAGACATCAGGGAGTCGCCCTGGAGACGAAGCATCTAGCTTTTGAGGCAAGACTTCGAAATCACGAATAAAAGGGTGGCTGCGAAGTTTTGATAGGCGGTCTAGGTATACATCTCGATCTATGCGAGCCGTCAAGATAGAGAGTAATGTTGCTCTTGGGATTGGTGAGTCTTTTGTTGAGAATTCGTAAGCAACACCAAGCAACATTGTGCACAGTCCTTGGACGATCTCGCCCCCGCCTATGGCTGGAGGCTGTGAAACAGCTTGAATTAGGCTTTGAACGTTGCTTCCCTCGGCGAGAAAGTCGTTCACCGCATCGAGATCCTCGAAAAGCCAGCCCAAGAGTAGCATAAGATAACCGACCAAAACCCGCGTATCGTCGCCTCGACGAAGGCCTGACGTAACGTGAGCTGAAAGAGTTTGAATGGCTGTCACAACCTCTTCCCCGTCTTCCGAATCACCTTCGGTCAAGCCCATGGCTTCTGACTTGGCTTTTGAGTTTTCATACAAGAGATGGAAAGTGATCACAGCAGCGAACCATTGCCTGTATGGATCCGAGGACTCAACTGAAGGCTGCAGAAGAACTGTCAAAACGTTGGAAGACTCGTTGGCCCCAGATTGATGTCCTTCAATGGCCCGGCCAAGAAAATGCAGTCTGACAGCTGGATGATGTGCAAAATAAGCTTGCAAGCACTCAGCCGCCGCAAAACGGACATCGAATTCTTGAAGGTCCTGCAGACACAATGTCAGGTCTAATAAGCCGTCGATAACGAATACTTTTTCGCCTTGGCTGGCCTGTCCATCGGCCGTGCCAGTCTTTGCCAGAGGAGACAAAACCATCATCTGAGCAAATGTCTCCTGAAGCGGTGCGTTTTGCCGAATCACGTCACCACAAGTGATCAGAGCCTATATAATGTCAACGAAATGGCCTTCCGGTAGCAATCAGATTATCGAACCTCAGCCTTGATTTGTGTTTGCGCTTCATGGCTGAAGGCCAGTTGTAGAATGTGGTAGGCAAGGCCATGCTTCCATATAGCTGTTTGATTCAACGAAGTACCCGCGGAGCCCCTGACAACAAATAGACGAATGACAGCGAGGAAAGCATAAACATTTCGGTTTCGTTGCGCTGCTGCCCATGAAGCGATCTCAGACCCATCAGTTTGAGGTTTCAGAACTCGACCTAACAAATCCGCCAAACGGTTCATGCAGCCCGACTCCCGGAATAGTGCCTGGTTTGAGCTGTTTGATCGGAGGAGGTTGGCCAGAAGGATCAGGCAGTCCTCAACGGTGCGACCTCCTTCTACGAGGGCTCCGTCGGCTTCGATGATGGCAAACAATCTCTCAAAAGCATTCTCAAAAGCCACCAGCTTCTGTATTTCGATCGATGTTGGTGTGAGGTAGGTCAGGAGAATGATAGCTTCGTTGCGTATAGCGTCGCGTTGGTCATCGAGGACGGAAACCAGCCGTGGTATACCGAGGGGAGCAGTAAAGATACATTCCTCAGTGCGTTCTGTGCGTGCGGAAAGTATGGCGGCTAGTAATTGCAAAGAATATAGACGGGAATAGAAATCGTTTGTTTCGAGGAAATCGAGCAGTAACGTAATGTTCTCTTGGCGTTGAGTGAACTCGTCAGCCAACCATAGGGCGATCTCCTCCGAAGCTTCGGGACTATCTTCATTAGGGTTGAAGAGCATTAACAACGTCTCGAGTACCACTTTGACGGTGTCGACATCTTCACCGTCTTTGCTTAGACTCCCTATTAGACTTCGTAGGGCACCCGAAGCTACAGAAGCTGGATAATCTTTGGCAAAGCTACGAAGACCCAGAATTGCAGCTCTTCGGTCTTCTAACAAGGTTGCTGAACTGAGGCGACCGCTTAGAACGTCGATGGTCTCACCAACCGATTGTTTCGCCGGGGCGCTGGCAATAGAGAACATGATTGCGGCGCCTTAATGCCATATGGCTCAAAAGGTTTCGAGAGGTTGCATGGAGCCCTTCCGGCGACTGTTAATAATGTCTTTCCTGTTGGTGAAGATCACTGAGGAAGCTATCCTAATTAGTCAACACTAGGTATTGGCTTCTTAATTCTGGCCAGCTTGTCAGGAGAAGATGGGAGCAGGCATGCTAACTCCATTGCTGCATAATTCCCGATTAAGATGCGATTCAATAAGTGGATTTCAAGGCCCCACACTGAAGCCACAGATA